GCCTTGACATAATTTGGTAATTAAGCAATATTTTCTAGAGAGAAGATAACATATTGAAATTTGTTAATGTCCTATGCTTTTAATTACTAAGTGTCAGAAATCACATTGGTGATTCCTACTTCAATCAGCCTAATTTATATGAAATTTTTTCATACTTTTCTTAATTTTGTTTGAAATAGTTTTGATCACAAATGAAAATTTCTTAAGTAACTTTAAAAAAGGATAAATGAATAGGTTAAGCTTATTCTATGGCAACTTATTTGTCATTGTAATAAACCAGTTTATGATAATCTTCAAGCAATATTTCAAATGATTTTGTGTTAAGTAAAGTTTATTGAGTTATTTTTTATTAATTATTAGTTACTAACAATGCATGAACATGTTCAAATCTTTTCAAAACACTTTCTATATTAGGTCTATGCTTCTAATCTCTAACAAGGACATATTTCAAGAAATCAATGATATAAACATTATTTCCGAGAAGCTAATATATTAACCCGAAAATACTTTTTATTTATCTTCAGGAATTAATTATTCAGTTGGTTATGTGACTTGTAGATAAAATTAAGCCCATTCTTTTTAAAAAAATAATAATTCCCCTGTCAATATTTCAAATAATAAGCAACCAAGAGACCATACATCAGAAGATCTAGTTGTTCCTACTTTTTTTCTCCTATCATATGTATCTTATTCTTTTTTTGAATTTATAGTCAAGGTTAGCATTTCGGGTGACTTTATATATTCTGTACCCCTATTTCTAACACAGTATTCATCTTCTTCATTAATAAATATGCTAGATTCTCCAAAATCAGTAAGAACAACGTGCATACCATCTAGCAAAATGTTATCAGCTTTTATGTCATAATGTGTAACATTATGATTGTGCAACATTTATACAGCCTATAAAACCTCCTTATACAAACTCAAATAGACACCTAAATTATCCTAAAAGAATCCTTTCTGTTATTATCGCCATTCTTTTAATGATAATGGATATTTCTTCATTACGATTATATAGTCACTTGAAGTTACACCATAATCATAGAGAGTGGCAACTTGAGGGGTCAATCTGAAATTTTCCATACATGCTATTTCTGTAAATAGTCCATGAAGCACACATCTCTTAAATAAATTAAATTGAACTATTACTTCATAAATGCTTTTTGGTGTTCCCATTTATTTTATGGCTACAAAATCGGGTTCTTGCAAATTGGTTTTGCATTGATAGATTACTCCGTAAGCACCTGATGCAATTTTCTACCAATCAGTATATTATGTTATATCAAAAAGTGAAATACACAATAATTTTAACAATCTTATAATCTTAATATTTGTGATTTTTTATAAAACTAATTTTATTACTTTTTAATTTTAAGGATGATTAAGATGATAATGCAATAAATATAAAATGTTTGGTTTTCCATTAATTATTGGATACTAAGAGCAATACAAATCGTCTAATGTTCCTCGAATTGGTTTTATTAATAAGCAAATTAATAAAGATAAACAATTAGCGTGTAATTCTTCATCTGAATATATTTTTCTTAACTTTCTTTCACTAAAATAGAATAACTCATCTTTTGGTTAGTTTGAAAAATTTAATTTCAATTATTGCTATTGTTCTTTCTCTTGTTAGGAATTTGGTAAATTTAATTTAGGGACTGCTTATTTCTTATCACTACTATTTGGGTTTATATTCTTTTGTAATAACATTCTTCTTTAACTTTCTGATAATTAAGCTTGAATACATATTTCTGATTTAAATGGCATTGAATTACCTCTTTTATGATTTTATTTAACTTCATCAGGGCAGACTTTTTGTAATACAGTTAAATTCTACTATTGCTTCGCTGATGTATTAAATTATGGACTATGGCTATAAGATTAACTTGAAATATTAATCTATTTCAGTTTCCCTTCCAAATCCAAGGTTGGCACTAAAACCTTTTTTAATAAAATTTAACTATTTTTTTTAGCCTGCTTGTGGTTCTCTTCTTGTATTTCTTCTAGTTACTATTTATGGATAGATTATAAATTTAACTTTACATTAGGCCTATCACTAATTTTGGAACTCAATCTCTCATTATTACTGGATGAATCAACTTAATTATTTTACTATTTAATTAAGAAATCAATATTAATTTACTTCCTGTTGTAATAGCGAGGAGTTATTTAATGGTTTTTCTCTTATTTAAGTAATGTCAAACTCTAAATCTATTTCCTAAGTGAGAAACTCAACTATTCTATATTAATAAAACTTTCTTGAAATATCTTCACTCCTGTTTTGGGCTATGCAAAACAAACACTTAATGTAAAGGTTCATAAAAATTTGGCTTAATTATTTTGATTATTTTTCATCCTGTTTTTAACTAGGTTGCTATTTCTAATTAACTTCTTAAATTTTCAAATTTATTTCCTTCATGTCATTCAAATTACTTTAAGAATACAATTTTATAAAGTTGACATAGCAATATCTAATCATAAAAGTTGACAATTCTTCATTTGGATATTAAAACGATAATCCTATAACTTCAAATGCTTTTTTGTAAACCTAAACCCTTATCACTTAAGGTTTCTGTAATAAATAAGTATGCTGCTCAACGAATTTTTGGAGAACTTTCAACACCTAACTTAAAAATCCTTAAAATAATCTCACCTGTTATTTATATTCTTTGTCATGTTTCTAAAATAGCAATAGTATAGATTCATAAAATAATAATATTCTCATTGCATGTATTTCAAAACCCTCTTCCTTATTTGAGTTTAATTCTTAAAATATATAACTACTAAAATTCTTGATCATCTCTAAAAAGATTTCATTTACATACACATTTAATAGGAATTTTATGGAAGAATCATTTATTGCTCTCAATAACAATCTTGATATAATACTGATGTATGTTGAGATAATTTAAGGGTACTTTTGAATGAATGGTTTTTAAGATTTAAATTTCAATGTAGAATACTATTATTGTTATTATTATTATTAGTGCTATTAGGATGAAAAATTTAATTAAGATGGTTAAAATTATTATTGTTATTAAAATAATTGAGTTTGAAGTTAATTTGATTTTTAATCTGGAGATGTATCAAATATGTTGATTGGTTTGAACATATTGGTTATAGTTTAAGAATAATGTTTGGCTGATTTGGATATGTATTGTGATTGATTAGGGGTTCGAGATGAAGATTGTTGGCAATTAATGATGTCAATTATTTATCTCTTTATCATAACTAAGATCTCAATCATGTAGTCTAAGAATTAAGGCAACAAAATTCTGTTGTGAGTATAACTCAAATATTTCTCAAGAATTGCTAATAAATCATATTCCAACTCATAAAAAGCATTTTTATTCATATCCATAGTACTAAGAATAAAATTGAATCGGTATTAAATATGCTTTAAAAAGGAGAATTAGGTTGTATTTGAATGTCGATAATTACAAACCACTTTTTCTAATTCATTTTTCACTGGAATCATCATTTCTGGAATATTTGCAACTGTGTGGGGAGACTTTTTATATATATTTTAATTATCATACTTCTATACTTCTTTCTGATTCATCATTTTCAAAAGACTATTCTTTATATGAATCTTATTACAATTTAATATGTTATTGATCACAATTGAACAAATCTAAAATTAAAAAATATACCTTCTATTCACTTATTAATCCATTGTCTTGTTTGATTTTGCTTTAATCACATAATTATTTTTTTTGGTAGATCTCAGTGTCAAAATCTTGGTATATTTGTTTTGATGATATTTTATTTTTCTAAAAGGAGCTCGAACATAAATAATTTAAAATTGTTGAGTATGGGCATAATTCGTATTGAATTTTCTTAATATCCTTCAGAAGGAAATAAAGAATATTTCCCCAAAGTCTACAAATCTTACTTTTTTAAGTTTTGTTTTATTCATATTCCAAAGATTCAGCAAGGGTATCCTCTCCTTCTTTTTAAATATTTGGCCATGTGTTAATTCCCAATCTTTTTAATGACTCCAACTGTTGTCTTCTTTGTTTCAATAACAAATACGATAGATCTTGTGTCAAACAATAGCTACCTAATAATTATGCCAAATTTTATAATCTAAAATAAATATTTGATATCTTACTTTTCTTTTGCATTTAATTTACTAGACTAATCCTCTTCGATATGAATAGCTTAAGAACCACTTGTAAATTTAATTGCAGAATCAATCGAATGCGAGAATCTATTAGAACATGTCGAATATGATTTAAAAGGATCAGCTCTTCTTGTTGATCTTGTCATCACACCTATTATTTCTAAACTATTTTGTGGTAATTTTAAAGGAGGTATTTTGAAATTCTTGTTTTATTATCTTGAAGGTTCTACTTAAAAAGAATTTTCTTAAATTGATTATCTAGGTTAAATGTTATTTTCTTTTGAATAAACTGTTGGATAATGTGTCAATAAAAATTTAGTAAAATTCATATGAAAGTCTCCTGTGGTACTGAGTTTGGATAATTTCATATATATCGAGTTTGGAGTTGTTAGAGCATTTTCAAATTTTTCAATAATTTCTGTTAAATAACTATATTATATTTTATTTATTACCCATCCTCATAGATTTATTATTTTAACCCAGAATTCTACAAGCATTTATAAAACAACATTAAAACATTTATACAGGAATGTTCATCTAGATGATCCAAAATCGAATTAATAATTGTTCTATTTTCCATTTAACCAAAAATGTCATAAATCTTTTCAGAACATTGTTAAAATAAGTTTTTAGGCTTCTGTGTAAGACTTTCCATATATTCACTCAATTTGATTTTTGTATTTTATATTGGTGGAAATTAGATCTCGCTGCTATGACATAATAATTATATTAGCTTCTTAGCAACTTAACAATCTCTTAGATTTAAATTTTGCAATAACTAAGGAGTCTCTGGAGTAAAATGATGCTGATTAAATATATTCATTCTTTTATATTAATAATTAATTTCAATAGAAAAATTAAATCATTTCACTCAATTTTCTAACTATTGCTTGTATTATAAAAAGCCTTGAAATATAATTAAATATTACTTATTCCTCCTTTCGGCTATAATTAAGTCAAAGTGAATGCATCTTAAGAAATTGTTGGGATAGAGTCTGATGAGAGAATATCCAAAGCCTTAATCTTCATAAAATCACAGAAATTAGTTCCACCTTAGAGTTTTTCTTTTTCTAAAGGAGATTGTTGAATCAATTATTCATTAAAAGTTACAGTTTTCTTTTTAACTATTTCTAATTAGTTCTCATTTTATTTATCACTAAAAATAACAAAATCACTAATGTGTTCACATTCATTTACTTACATAGACTATTTAAATGTTTGATTTTCTTATTAGAATTCTATTCTAGACTGATTTTTAATATTTTAGAAATTTTATAACATTTATTCGTACCTTGATGAATTATTTGATGAATAATCTTGTTCTTGTTTATCTTTATCAACTTTATTTACTTCATCTTTGTAATCACTATATCTTTAACTTTAACCAGATGATATTTTATCGCAATTTTTATTTTCTAAAATGCTTTACTAAGATTTAATTTAATTTTTATTTTTTTCACTTTCTTTTGTAATAGTTCTATTACTAGGACTTTCTTTTTAAAATGGCTAAACTAAAATTGAATTTTTCGTTCCCAAAGGACTATATACTTACAATTATTTAGCAGTGCTATTATTTTAGGGACTTTTTGTTTTGTAAGTTGAACCACTATTTTAAAGTTTACTATTTTTTTATGAATTTTCTAGTGACTTAGAATCTCTTGACTACCTAGATTAAGATTGAGACTAAGATTAAGATTTCACTATCTTTCCCATAGTTTCTATTTATTCAATAACGTTGACTTCCTTTGTTACTTCATCGTTTTTTAGTCTAGTTTATTTCTTTAAGCTTTAATTATTATTTATACATTATCTACTACTATTAAGTTAATTTTCTTATTCATTATCATATGTTATTTCTTAATAATTATTATGATTCTATTTTTATTGTCTTGAACTATTTAAATCAAATTCAGGTTAGCAAGGAGAATTCCTTTCTGGTATAACTTAATGATTATTTTTTGGGGATTTTAATATAGTTTCTAATTATAATGGTCCAAAAGTATTTCTGCAATCTGATCCTTTTAAATAATCAAATTATTATTATTCAATGCTGCTTTCAAATGAAACATTTATTTTTTTATTTTAATTTGCAGATATCTCAGCAGGAATAATTGATGATAAATTACTTATAGTTATTTAATTATTAACATCATCATCTGTTTCATCAGCCCCTTTCAAGTAAGCAGGTAATTTTTGCTATGTTATTTATTTACTTATATCTTAATATGCCGAGAATTTTTCTTATTGGTTTTAAAGTTAAATATATTTTGATTATTATGGCTAAAATTATTATTTTTATTATTATTATGGATTGCTAACAGTGATTTTTGTTTTATTAAAATTAAAATTTTCTTAATTATTCTCTTAACTCATCTCTTACTTGCTAGTCTTTTCAATTTAAAATTGTTGAGTTTATGCAAAAGAATTAAAATAATTTTTCTCAATTTTTGCTTCTCCTGTTTCTTAGGATTTGTTAAAATTAAATTCAATTTTTGATTATTTTGGTTATTCAAATAATGGTTTATTCTACATCAATTCTAATTGCAAATTCTTCAACTTTTACAATTCATTTTAAGAATTTAAAGTTGACAACATTTGTTTATTATTATTTAACATATTAATAGTTGATTCTTTGTTAGCTATTAGTAATTCTCTATTTCCAATCGGAGAATAACCATTTCTTGTTGTATTAAACACTGGATATTATTTTTCTTAATTATAATTAGTTGGAGATTAGAACTAATTACAACTTTGTTTTTCTTAATTCATATCTATAGTATTAGCAACTTATTGGTCTAATTACTTTTTAGTCTTATAAAATTCATCATTCTTTTACTCAGGTACTTAATGTTGGTATTTCTAAATTGATTCTATCTTATTATTCAATCTCTGTAAATAATCAATTTATTAATTATACTTACTAATATTTTACAAGGGTGTCCTTTCTTCTACTTACTATTAAGCAACTTATAACTAATATTAAGGGTCATAAGTAAATTTTTTAATTTCTTAAATTTATTTAATTTTTTGAGTTTGATCTTATCTAAGACTTTAAAAATTGCTTTATTAATCAACAAATGATTGTGATCTGTTTTAGTTTTCTAAAGATTTCAAGAAAGTTAGGTCATGTTATCTTTATTAAAAATGTTTGTTTTAGTCTAATGTTGCATTGATAAGATTTTCTTATGAACAGAAACTTTGTTTATTTTGAACCACTAGCTTTTACTATTATTATTTGATCAATTCCAATTATTGTTATAATAATAGTGCCTAATGTTCGAGATATTTTTATTTTTTAAATTCTTATGCCTTAATATCATCGTACTTGACTTCTCTATGTTCTTATTTGATTCTTTCTGGCAATTAGTTGACTTATATAATAGTATTTGAATATTTTTTTGTGACTTCTTAAATGTCTCTCAAAATATTTTGTTTCAAATTATCCACCATTTCTGACAAAGGTTCTCTTAAATTAGGCTTTTGTTGTATTCTCAAGGGACTAATGGATCCAAACCCTTTCTGATTAGTTTGCCTTATGCCAGCTATTATTCCTGGAGATTATACTCTTTAGATCGGACTCCTTTTATAGATTGGAGTGTAACAATCCTTTTGAATAACTGGTTTAGAAAATGGACTTCTAGTTGGGCTTCTCACAAAGTTTTCTTTATTACCTGTATAAACACTTTATGTTCTTTAATTTCTACTAAATTATCTGTTTGTTTAAATATTGCTTCTGTTGGAATATGAAAGGTCATTTTCATGTTAAGCAAAAAAGTTGGTTTGAAAGGGTACTTCACATAGTGGCAATTGGTGATCTGTTGATGAATTTTTTTTGATTCCAATTATCTTTTTGACTTGAGGTTAAAGTGGAGACAATCTGCCTGCAGTTTCATTAATTAGTGTAGTTAATTACTGAACTGCGATATTTGATTTTGGATTTCTGAATACAGGGCTGTGACGAAGAGTATAACAGTTGTTTAGCATTATTTAAAATTAAATAGTTCATTTTTAACGTAATTCAAAGTATTTCTATACTTTCTAGTCAATCCACTAATAAAATTAGATGTTTTGATTATATTTTTCAAACCATGGGGATTTCTCAAAATTCTTGGTGATCCTTTCCATTCTTTCAAATAATTCATGTGCCATCTAGATATTGATAATATAAATACTTTTCTGGCCAAATACCCAATAAGCCAATTAGGAAGATATTTAACCTAAGGATTTGAATTAGTAATAGCACGAACTCTGCATTTATTATCATTTATAGGAGTCAATTCAAATATATAGTAATTGATGATCAAACTAACAAGTTTTTTATTTGTTTCAATATGAATGTCATGCTTTTATTGATAGTCGATATTATGATCAATAGACTTGCAAACAAAGACTATCGTTCCATTGATCATAAGCCTATCAATTCCCTCGCCAACAAATACTGCCCTTCTATCGGAAATGAATGGAAAGTAAACTATTATATCACAAATCTTGCATGTTTTAGTTAATTATTTATTCATAGAGGATCTTTGGCAAAAAGGGACATAATTCTAATATAAATCGATTTCATTTATAAGGGCCATCAACTTTGTAATGTTTGCTTCAAATACAGAATCTAAATAAACAGTTACTGTTTATTCTTCTTCAAATAGTTTATATTTTATGATAAGATTTTGTGTTTATTTTTCTATTCTCCACCCTCCTGACTCTAATTCATTCAAATTCTATGTAAGAAGGAGTTTTTTCTCTTGCAAATTCTCATAGAATTCCTAGTAATTTTTCTCCTTAAACCATTGAGCTTGTTTATTATTTAATTTAAGGAAAATATCTTAAGTGATCTCTAAAGCTTCATCCAATAGGGCTTCTTGATAGAGACTTTTTGCATATTCCATTCTTATTTCTAATTGATTTAACTCTTCTTATTCTGGATTAATGCTAATCTTATTTTAATGGAAGTTGTTTTTCAAATGAATTTCAGATTCAACAACTTCTAGTTCAAATTTATTTTGTATAACTTCATCCTCAATTGGATTCTCTTCTTAAATTACTTACAATTGGCTAATTCTCAAACTATTTTGGACATTAGCTTAATTTTCCTCAATCATAAGACTTTCACACAATTTCACTGTTTTTTTCTTCTAAGCTGCTTTTGGAGCAAAGGATTTGAAAGTCTTAACCAATTAGACTTAAGAGGGAAAACGATCTAGAAATTTTGGATGAAATCTTACATTCTTCATATTCATTAAGCATATTGATAATTTCAGGCGATTTTTCTGAAGTATCGTCTAACTAACGAAGTTATTTAGATAACTAATTATAACTATTTAATTACCCTTGTATTTGAGTCGAGTTTATTAATTTGTTCTTTAAGACCTGTTTTAAAATTATAGTAGTAATCTATAATATAGGTACAATGATCAAAGGCTTAGCATTTATTAAGTATTTAATCAAACTAATTTTTAACTTAGAGAATATACTTCTTTTCTAAATTCTTCATAAATGTAATCAATTGTTTGCATCTAGGATTCGTCTTCATATAGTTAATTTTTCATTGAAGAGTTTATTATTTAATTAAAATTATATATGTTAGTTCTTGGAGCGAAATGAAATGTCACTTAATATTCGATACATATTATTTTAGTTAGTATTAAGTGCAGTTAAAATAAATTGAGTAATATTCAATATTATTAATTTTGTTTTATAATGAGTATAAAGCAGGTACACCCAACAAACGAAGTGGAGGAATAGAACGAATTTAAAAAGGGATTGCAGTAATTATTTAGTTATAAAAGTGTATAGCTCAGTTCAAACATTCAATGATCTTAGAAGAAGAAGAATACAAGTTAGAGAAGCAACATTAATTTTATCTCCGAAACTGTAAAATTTAATTTAATATTGCTAGTCAACAATATCAGCATATGTTGCAACCAAAAATAAGTTAGTTTACAAGTTAAGATTAAATTATGGAAGAGGAAGATGTTTTGGTGTTGGATGGCTTTAAAATTAAATTTAATAGGGCCATCAGAAGATTACTAATTATATTGAACTTTGCAAGAGCAATAACGTACTTTTCAAAATAGAAAAATAAAAAGAATATTACTTAAAGTTCAATTTCCAGATAATCAATTCCTTTTCTTCCTCATTTAAAGTTTATACGTTTATGGAGAGAAATTATAAGTTTTAATACTGTAGTTGCAAACATAGTTTACCCTATATATATTACTTATTCTGAGTTTGATTCATATGTATGAACTTCAGTTATACTAGGATTTTATAACGATAGTTACATTTATTATTGATTTTTTATTCTTTGTTGATATAATTTTAGAATAGATGATTTGTTAGATAGATAATAACAATATTCTCTTAAGAAAATTTTCATCTATATTTATTCATAATTTAACTGGATGGTTAATATTTGATATTCTAACAATAATTCCTTATAAATTATTTGTAGAAAAGATGGAAGATACTTTCTAATTGAGAGACTATTTTAATTTATTAAAATTAATCAGACTACTCAAATATTTCATTAAAACCGATAGAAAGATTTTATATCATTCAGCTGATTCAAAAAAATCTGAAATCTCTATAGAAGATAAATTATCTTTCTTTGATTATTTCTCTTTAATAGATGCCAAATTATTAAGTGTATTGAACATTTTTAAAAATATGTTAATATTAATAAGTGCCTTTGGATGTATGTGGCATTATGTAAAATATTATGAAGGAATTTCTATGGGAGAAGATTATAGCAATTGGACATCATATATTGATGGATTATTCTGGGCTATATAAACAGTAACAGTAGTTGGATATGGTAATGTATCTATTTCTACTTCTATGTAATATAATCTTGTCATTGTGTGGCTATTAGTTGGAGTCGGATTTTATTCATTCACTATAGGAAATTTAGCTTAAATTTTAGAATAGTAGACATCGGCTGAAATTTAGAAAGAACACTTAGAAGATTTAGAAAACTTGATGGACTCCATTGTTATTCCAGATTGGTTGTCTGATCAAGTATCAAATTTTCTGACTTACAATTTAGAAAATAATTCCTTCTGGAACTATAGAAAGTACATTTAAACTATAATAATTAGAGAATAATAGACTCTTTGCCAGGATAACTTAAAAAGTATACTATTTGCTTTTCATAACAAAAATTAATTGTAAATACTAATCTATTTAAATTGGATATTAATATAGCCTCAAAATTATTACCATATATGACTATATTCTACTATTAAAAATATGAAACTATTTATCATGTTGGTTCACCTAGCATGGATATTTATTTTCTAATTACAGGAGAAGTATAATAATATCAAAATATTACTAGGTGAGATTGTGTGATGAATAAGGTCGAAGTCTGTTAAATATAATTGAGGGAAGCATTTTTGGTGAAATGGAGATTTTAGATTAAGTTAATAGAAAATAAAGTGCTATTGCTTCCAAAAATTCTATAGTCATCATTTTTCCTGTTCAAATATTTTTAGATATAATTTAGACAGATGAGAGTCTTTCTTTTGAAATTGAATAATTGGGTTTGCGAAGAAAAATTCTTATCAAAGAAAGCCATCTCAGAATGAGATGTAATTAATTTACTTTATTTCTTTAGAAAATTAAAAGGTAAGAAGAGTAAGTTGTATAAATTACAAAGAATAAAGAAAACCAACAGATATAAGTAAAAATATTATGGAAAAGGAGTTTAAATAAAGAGTTTCAAAAGAATCTTTTTAGTTTATTCAAACTAGGATATTAAAATATATTTTCGGTAGAAATTAAGAAAGAAAATGGAGATTATTTCAGAAATTTAGAGATGTTGTTTCAAAAGTGATGAAATTTAATAAGCAAAAAAGAGAACTTAATAAAAGGAGAAGAGAAAGTTTTATAGGATTAAAGATGATTAATAATTTTAAAGGCACTACTGAAAATGAGTAGTTAATTATTAAATAAATATTTAAATTATAGAAACAAAAAAGGTAATTAATGAAAACTTTGAAGTAAATCATAAATCATGTTAAATCAGGATTATAGGCTCCAATGCTTATAACTCCTTCTCCTTATTTCTATTGTTTATTAAAGGAATAAAAATAATAAATTTTAGAAAAAAAGGAATAAGAAACTTAGAATAAATTTCAAAAATAATAAAAAATAAAGAAAATTAATCCATATTACTAATTAAGACACCTAAATGATTTTTGGAGTAAACTCTAAAATGAGTTGATTTTATATAAAAATGCAAAGACCGAACTCAGATACTAACAAATGGAAGTGGATGGAGTTTATTTTGAAATTTAAGGTTTAATCAAATCTATCATATGAAATTCTTCTGAGTATCGATAATATTTCAACTAAATATATAAAATCATTTTTCCTTATCTTTACATTGTTGGATTAATTAAATCAAGTATTCTTCATAAATATTGTCAAACTACATATGAGATAATATATATTAATATTACAGTCTTTCGATATTTGTAAACTATCTTTTATTCATTAGAAACATCATTTAAACATTTATGAAATTGTTTAATATAGGACCTATCCTTTTGGAAGCTTTTTAATTATCTTATATTTTCAAAACTTTGTAATTTTTCTGGAATTTATAAGGATTTGTCAAAATTTGAGAATAAATGTTTTGCCTAATTTAAATTTAATAATTTACTTTTTGTCTATCATCATTTCTAATATCTTTTCCATTAATTTAAATCATAGATGGAAATCTATATACCAAAAATTAAAACATGAAAGAACAATTATTAATTGGATTATTCAGTATTGTTAATTTTTGAATTTCACTCAAATGCTTGGGTATAGATAAAGATAACTTACTTCCAATTTGGCTAATTATAAAAGACTATTGATGTAATTATCTTTCAAAACTAGTTCTTTTAATTTTGAATAATCTTTTAAAATTGACAATTAAGTGTCAATAATTGAATCAAAAAATACATATTGAAAATGGATTTTTTCAATAATTTAGCTAAAATTTTAAGTTGGTAATACCATAGCTGATGCAGTTCCATATATCAGCAAAAAGACATCCTAAATATTATACACAAAGGTATACATCCTCAACTTCAGCATGTCCTCCTTCAACAAGTTGATGATCTAAACAACTCTTCTTATTAAATTAATTATTTTTTTCTAGCAATTAGATTCTTTTATATTCAGCTGTCCATTGCTTTTTGATCAATACTAAAATATCATCATCTTATGCAGCAGCTGTATTAGTTAAAGAACTTTTTAAACTTGGTATTGTTTCTCTTAATGGTTGTTATTATTATTATTAAGTTGTAGGATTTTTATAATTATTAGGGTCTTTTTTAATTTAGGCAAAAGGTGCAATTTCATCCTTTGTTTTAAATTCTGAAGCAACTCCATGGATTTCTAGACCCATTTAATTAGGTTTTTTTGGTTTTGATTATTGTTATAATTATTATTGTTATATTTGTTATTAGTTAATAGTTTTCTTTTTAATTGGTTCAGTTTTTGGTATATCAGCAAATAAAATCTCTTGTTTAATTTAATCAATAGGTTTTCCGTCTAATATTTTTAATGTCTCAAATGTTTAGCATATATATCTGTAATAATCAGATTTATTGGTTTGGATTGGGTTATTTTCTAGAGATAATTCTGATAAATTGAAAATACAAGGGAAAGAATTAATCTTGTTTTAGGACATAAATAATTTTGATAATTAAGGAAGAACTATATCAGATATATGAATATACCTTATAAATGATCTATATTCTCTATTTAATTCATTTTAATGTTTAATTCTATTAAAGAGTTTAATTCTTCAAGTGCTTCCAATTTGGTTATTAGATTATTACCAACATTCAAAATTTTGAGACTTTTCAATTTACTTAATCCTTCCAAATTAACAATACGATTGCTATGTAAATCTAGAACTTCTAATTTAGTGAGATGATCTAAATTTGATATTCTTCTGATTTAATTTTTGGGCAACAATAACACTTTTAATTTTTAAACTTATTTCAATTCATCGATTTCTTTTATTTAATTATCATACAAGTCTAGATATAATAGATTAGGTAATGAGACAAGATTTTGAATGGATGATATTCTGTTATGCTGAAATGTTAAGATTTTTAACTTTTCTTCTCCCTCTAATAATGGCATATGAGTTAAATCTAAATAATCAAGACTTAATTTTTCTAAGTTATTAGCTCGTTCCATAGGTCTTCTATAACAAACCCAAATGCCAGGTATTTATTATAATTCAGAGAAGATTATGTTTCCTCCATTCTCAATCTTTTTGATGGTTCCATTTTTAACTAAATATCGATACCTTTGATTAGATAGATATACGTTACCTTTCATCGATTTCAACTTGAAGGATATCTTGAAACTCTTGAGAGTAACAAAGTATGTCATTCTTAGTTTTCTTTTTAGTAATTTCAGGCAGTTAACTTGAAATAGGTGTTTGATTTGATTAAGTTGGCTTATATGTTGTTTTTTTGGAAAAACCAGTAGAGTAGGTAGCATTAGCTTCAGAAGATCTTTGATTCTTATTTGGAGACATTGATGATTTAGTCTAATCAAAATAATTTGAATTGTTACATATGCATAGCGTGATTCTTTATTCATTAAAATAATAATGTATAAAAATGAACTAGACTATACTGCAAACTTAAAACTAATAGATGATATTACTTCAAAAGAGTTCAAGTAATATGAAGTAGGTCATCGAAAAACCTATTCTTAGCCAGATTAAGTTCAATTGAAACGATAACCTGATAGGTTGGGTAATTATTTTATAATAAAGATTAGAAATTTCAATAAATCAAAGTATAACCTTACAAATGTACCCAAGCATCTTCAAATATATCAAAATTAAAGTGAAAGAACTAACAAAACCATTAAATTTTGTCTATGAATCCAATAATAATTAATGTTTAATCAAGATATTTGTATCATCAATAACTGATAGTCCAAATATATTAAATAATAGTTTACAAGTGATTGTAAAAATAGTCATCTATAGATTAGAATAAATCAAGATTTTAATTTACTGAACCTCCTTCTCATTTCACGAAATTCAAATGTGATTATGTATACTTATCCATTTACACTGATAAATATACTGATTTAAAGATCAAAGCTACAGTTGGAGTACATCAATCAAACACAAATAGAAGTATATAGAAAAGTTAATAAACACCTATTCTTTAAATTCCAAGAGAATTATTGACTACTCGAGAACCAGGCAGTTACACTTATAGAAGTAATTTCTCATGTATAAGATTAATCTAAATTTTAGTAATGCATAAACCAAAAACTAGTTCATCATTTATTAGATCGAACAAAGAATCTCAAGTCAAATTTAAATTAATATTGGATTTTAAGATTAAAAGTACTAAACAAAAGAATTCATTAATCGAAGAAATGATGAAGAAAAAGTCTATGATTTAGCATAATAAGAAATTACAAATTTTGGAATCTTCTTATACTCATGAAATTGATAGATTGTAATCCAGAGTACAAAGATTAAGAAGTGAAATTAAATTACATATCAGCAATATAGATATGTTATGGCTTGAAATTCTATTTATTACATTGTTAGCTAAAGCAATCAAGCATTAATATTATGTATGTTTAAATTTAAATAGAAACGAGTCATGAGAATAGTAATTAGTAATAAGGTTTAAGTTTGTTGTAGAAAATTCATGAGAATTATGCTCAATAAGATTAGTTCCAGATATTAATATGGTAAAAAAGAGGCTGTCTATCTTGATACAAATATTCTATTTTATTTTGGTGCCAAACTTATGAGATGCAAAGCTAAATAAAGGGCTTATTCTATACTCAATCATTTCCTCTATAGATATGGCCATCTATCAAATGGAATGAATAAAATGCAATAGTTTAATTTAAAGATTAAATATATCTAACAGAAGTGGAAAACATTTAAGAAATCTGAAGCCAATTACTTAAATAGAGTTGCTGATCAAATTATTGATAAATGGGGCATTTTATATAGAGAGATTATTGTGGAACTATAAAATGCCCCTAAATCTGCCCCTACTTAAGATAAAAGATTACTCTTAGAAACTATTTCTGAAAATCTTAATAACTACAAAAGAGCATTCCTTTAATTGAATAATATATTTGATAAATTGGCTAGTGGTGCAACTGTTTTTAGACCAATGAATAATATTATTATGAAAGATATCATGCATCAATATGTTATTAAAAAAGCCAATAAACTTTAATGATTTATATATATTTATTCATATATATTAATATTGTATACAAGTAGATTAATATATGGTGAGTCAAGATTTAATATTGCTATGACAGATCTTTCTAATTAAATAAAATTGTTACTTCAGCAATAATAGATTAAAGTGATTCCAGTAGCAATTCATCCATCTAATTAATATTAAAATACTCTTACAAATGGAAAAATTTTAATCATACAGTTAGGATTAGTCTCTCTTATCAATGACTCTACATTTTAATCTCTCTATAATAATATAGCTGCATTAAAGAACCTATAGTAATTCTCTATTTTTATTATGTTTTTAATGATAGATACCTGAAAAAAAGAGATTATGCTTATGTTTAGGATTATTTTGAATCCAGAAATGTAGACCAAAATGTTTATCATTGACATCATATTCTCTATAAAAGAAATCGTAATCAAATGTTTAACGAACATTTGGTAAATTATCAGTAGTTATTGATCTATTTCTCACACGCTTTAAAATTTGTAAGAATTCTTATTCATTCAATTTTATTTTTGGCGAATAAATCAATATTTTCAGTTAGCATATATCTTCTACTCCTTCATCTGCAGGTATGAAATCAAAATTAAGAAAAGCTGATTCTGATAAACTCTTTTTTCTTTAACTCTCTCTTATTACTATTTATCCAATTTATTCATATTTCTTTGTTTATACAATTATAATTATACTTTTAAATATTCTTCACATGTTTAAGCATGCAAAGCTCCACTTCTACGACGTCTCTCATGAATTGGTTGTTTTTATTATTATTACATACCAAATTATAAATATTTTAATATAAAAATTGGTCATTAAGATTCTTCATCATTTATTTTAGGAGCTAAATATAACTTCAGTGATCCCATCTCCTCAAGTACATATTCAATCACTAATGGCTAATCTTAAGACATTGACAACACAACTTAATTTGATAATGCAGATGCTTTATTAAATAAATTAAAATATCTATTATAACCATTATAAATTTACCTAACTGCAAAACTTAAATTTACTGGTTCATCAACATCACATTCTACTCTCTCTTCTATTTTCTCTGTATCATAAGCTTTAACAGAAACTTGTCCCTCTCCAATATCACCCTTTACATAAAATTTTATTCCATCTTTTGATGTCTCAATTCCTATTGCTTCATTAATGTTTCCTAACTCTCTACATATCTTTGTGAATTCATTTGATGGCATTCTAACTACAGAAGAATACTCTGTATCAGGTACACCTAATTATTCCTAATCTAATGACATCAAATTTAACTAAAATTCACTTATTCTATCTAATCTATAGATATTATATATACTTTTTGATTCAAATGTAAATGATAATGTTGTTGGTTCTTCATCTTAAGTTCTTAAAGTTATTTAATCATCATTTCCTGAGCATTTTAGAATTTTTTACAAATTTTCAATACTTAACCCCATAGTCAAAGATTTCTCACATCTATATTTTTTGAATCCCTTTTCATTTAATTGCAAAGCTACCAAGGCCACATGTGATGTATCCATAGCCTTATTGTATATAATAATATTTTTACTTATAATGAAATTCCTGTTCCATTTGCTTCTAAATTTACATTCTTTACTAATTCCTTAACTGCCTCAACAATCTTTTTGAATTAAACTCCATCATTAAACTTGGCTTCGAACATCTGTATACTTTTCTTAATATTTAAAATTAATTAAAGAGGGAAATGTTGTAAATTAGATTTGCCGGGTAATTAGTATTTTCTTATTTTGACAATATTTATTTCTCATTCGTTATTCTCAAAAGTAAATAGAAATTCTATAATTCTATAATTTTTCTTTTTCAAACTTTTTACATCGATTAATCTAAATTAATTCAAATAAGCATTAACTTATTATATCAAAAACATCAATAGTATTTTTTATAAATTTTATACTAATTTCTCCTGACTTAAAACTTAGTTGAAGATCAAACTATATATTAAATGAATATTTATGATTTTATCTTAATCAAATACTAATAATATCATCGTTAACACAAACAAAAGTTTTATTAGAATTCTATATAAAAAGAATATAATAAAATATTTTTTTTGAAAAAAATAAAAAAACTTAAAAATGAAAATTTCGATAATTTTTTGAAGTAAGTTTATATATAATCAAAGAGCTGGATAATCTATTAAAATTTCAGGTTTTTTTCTGTTTATAAATTTATTTCTTCTCAAATTGAATTGATCAATAGATTCAGTTAAGTTTGAATAATAATTGTCTTATTTTTTTTTTGGATCCGTACAGAATTGCAAATTTGATTTTCTCAAATACTCTATTATTGATCTGATCTTAGGATTAGGTTTATGATAAATTTCTAACTCTATTGAGTCTAAACTTGAGTTTAAGGAGTCTTGCATTATAATTTATGAATTTATATTAATAAAACAAATTTATTAAAATTCCAATTTAAATATAATACTGTCATAATAATCTAATATAAAATGATAAAACTGATTTAATCAAAATTTTATTTGTAAAAAAATTGTTTTTAAAATTTTTAGTTTGTAAATTGTTATCCACAATTATGAATACTAATAGAGGAGATAATTAATTTATATTTATTATAAGGTTTCTGTAATTTTATATATGATTATCATCTATAAAAAATATAGCAATAATTCATTTTTATAGAATAACATCTATAGAATTTAGTAAAATTAAAATGAGAAGGAGGAAAAAATGAAATTATAATTATTATATTCAATTTTTATTTATAACAGAAAATCAATTACAATATTAGTACGCATTTTCTTTATCATCTGTAGAAACAGAATGATCTTTATATAATAAAATATAATTACATTATCTATTAGATCCTTTTACAGACTTATCATTATTTGTTGGTTTCTTTTCACTATTGGCAAAACTAAAGTTACTTTGTCTGGAATTGCAAGTGAATGTAATTGGTTAAGTTTTATTTTTTTATGAATATGATTCATTTTAGAATTAAACTAATTTTTAGGATAAATTGGCAGAGAATTCTTCATCATCTAGGATTCTATTTAAAATTTATTCTTATAATGGACTTGGTTTGATAAATGAAGAATTATCATTAATATCCTAATTTTCTGTAAACCCTGTATTTGGGTATGGCAGTTAAAATTTAACAGGTTTACAAATTAATTTTGGTTTATTAGAAGCATAAGTTTAATTGGGACGATTTGATTATTATTTGATTATGGGTTGATATGTTGATATTTATGAGACTTCTGTTTAAAATGTATCATTATGATTAGTCATTTCTTCATATGAAATAGTTTATTTAGCTCTGGAGGATGATAATTTTGATTCAAGTGAACCTATTTTAATGTTTGCTTTATGTAATTTTTATTTTAAGTTCATGACATAATTGTCTATTTTCATAATATATTGATTATCCTATAAATAAGAGTTTACAAATACCCTTTGTTAAATTCTTTTTAATTCTTATAATTCTTCTAAAGCTTATTTATATTCATGATCTCTTTCATTTAATTATTTTCTTAACTTAGATATTTCCAACCTATAAGATGCATCTCTTTATTGTAATTTATGTATTGTCTTGATTTTATAATTTCAAATTACTTCTTTTAATTATTATGTGGACTATTATTACTAGCTGTTACTTCTCATTAAATTGTTTAATTATTAAAATTATAATACTTATCTATTATAATATTCCTTCTTTTTGAACTAGACTTAAGTATAAAAGTGAGAATAAATTTAAATTATTATACTTTATTGTTAAAAATTTATGATTAATTTGAAAAAAATACTAAATGTCTTCTTTATTAATATAAAGGTTTTCATTTTCATTTAGAGATCATTAAAAAAGATGTTTGAAATAATAATTTAGATTATAATAGACTTTACTTATTATTAGAAAAATAAACTGATTTTGACTATTAAAACAATAAATCTTATATTAATAAATTAAATAGATCAATACAATAATTCTTGAAAGTATTTCAATTCTAATATGACTGAGCATTTTGTGAATCATTTTGATTCTGACATATAATAAATTATATATTAGATTAGTAATTTAATCATGAAAATTATATAGTTTTTATTAATAATTACATTCGCAGCTAGACACTTATAATTATTAGATGATTTAAAACAATCTTCATTTGGATAATCATTAGAATAAACTATTTTATTGTAATTTCAATAATATGATACTAAGTAAAGTAGTAACATTAGATTGAAATGAATTTTGTAAGAATTTTATAGTATTATGTATTAAGAATAGATTATTGATGATGCTAATTTGAAACAAGAATATGATAATTGTAATACTAATGACTTATAAAATGAAATCATAACAATCAAATATGAAGAATCATCTATAAAATAAAAAATGAAATTGTTAAATAATTCATTTGAATTATAAGTTTCTTAAAAAAAACTAAAAGAACTTTAATTTAATTAAGAATAACTTAATTAATATAATAAATAGATAGAAAAAGAGAAAGAAAATTAAAGATCAAATCTCAAAAAATGTGATGTAGGTGAATTGTTACAAATTAGGAACTATTAGAAAATACACAATATCTAAGATTCTAATATGAAAAGAAAGTCTTGAATTAACTTACATTTAGAAGAACCAATACTTATTATATTAAAATAGGAGATGCAAAATCATATAAAAATTATTAATAATATGATAAAAAAACAGTCTAAACTTGTATTTTTAAGAATAATTTAACAAGATAACTTAGATTTAAGGTATCAATTATAAATTGATAAAGAAAATATGTGAAAAATATTAGCAGAAGATTATTATGAATATTAAATATTTTAAATTTTGTAGAAAGAGACATGTTTTTGATTAAAGATCATTACATATTGATATTATGTTCTCCTTTTAAGAAATCTATTATTTTTACAAAGCTAAATATGAAAATCAATTATAATTTATCTAATATTAATAGATGATTAAAATTAGATGAATCAGAAAATTTAATTTATAAATGATTATTGATTTTCAAATATGATATTATATTAGGAGTAAATAAAATACTTAATAAAATAAAAAGATTGTATATCATAAATTAAAAATTAATATCTGGATAATACCTTATATAAAAATCATTGTTATTATTTTTGTTAATTTTGAAGTTCGTATGTCATTTTTACTGGAAGAAATTCGGATAATCTATTTTCCATTTAATCTTTGATGTACTTTTCCAATTAATTACATTCAGTGATTGGTTTTTTCTTAATATATATTAAATAGAAAAGCATATGATACACATTATGTTCCAAATATATATGTTAATACCATCCATTTTTAGTTCTAAATATATAAGATATAAAATTACTTAGAATCAATCTCATTTCTATCGAGACTACAAATAAAACATTTTCCTTAGATATCTTTCAAAAGTTCTTATCTCTCATCACGCAATTCTCCAAACTTATCAACAATGATACCGAAAATCATTTATAAAAACAAGATATTAAAGATAATAAAAAAAGTGATGTCAAAAAAATATCTCTTCCAATATTTTGCTGGATCTTCAAAAGGATCAGCATAATCAGATAGAGTATCACCAATTCCACCACCATTTCTTAGACCGAAATTTATAACATGTGCTATTGAATAACCTAATGAATCTGAAGCAAATTTTGTGTCATCCTTGAAATCTTCACTAAATGATAATTTTATTAAAAATCCATATAAAACCAATCCAATAAGTCCTAAAAGTCCAAATATTAATAGGTTTTTAGTATTTTCAGTAAAAGCTTTAATGATATTCTACAAAACCTCTGATCTTTTTACAATGTCTAATAATAATATTGCATAAACATAATTATTAAAAAATGCAACAGCAGTAATTCCAAATATTATAAGCTATATAATTAATATGTTATTTTACATTATAGAAATTATCGAAATCAATCAATAATAATACAATTATTTTTCTAAATGGATTTTTCTTAACTTATTATTTTTCAAAATTATTTTCCATATATCCTACAAATTCATAATATTTCTTTTTATATTCTGGTATCTTAAATCCTGCTTCAATTTTTAGATTCTGAATTTATTTCACATTAGTTTCTCCTCTTCTAAAATTAACTGCAATAGGGTATCTTTCTATTGCACAAAATATAATAATAATCAAATTTAATACTAATTGAATCACAGTTATTATCTACTTAAAATATATGACTTACATTATTTAAATACAATACTATTTATACTTTTTTTGAATCAGTAATTATTTCGTCTTCATCATTATCTCCCTAAACCAAATTTCCATCTGCTATATCATCAGGCAGTAAAATAAAGAATAATACAATAACCATACAAAGAATGTAAGATATATCTTTTAAAGTTCTCCAATGTTTTTATCCAAAATGCATAATAGGTATAGTACTAACATTTTAATAATGAGCCATTTAAGAATGATAAAAATTGATATTTTCCAAAAAACTTGTAATTCTATCCTCGTCTGTTTCTCTATTAGATTCATAAATTAAATTTTATTTAATATTTTATGTCATATATTTGCAAACAAAAGGTTTCTAAAATAGAATTCTTTCTATTTAACCAAATTAATTTACTACTTCTATTCTTCCAATAAATTCTCTATAAAATAAAAAGAATTCATCTTCTCTTGATACTTAAACTAATTTAGCTTCTGTATGTTATCTTTCTTCACTAATTTCATCAAATAATTCGTTATTCACTTACTAAGTATCAACAACTCTTTAATAATATTCAGGATGTTGACTTATTGAAAATGTTTTTTCAATTACATTTCTCAAACTTATATTTTAGTAAATTTATTCTTCTTAAATCAAATCTTTTTCTATTGTCATACTTTCAAATTAAAATATTTTAAATTTTTAATCATTACTATAATTAGATAGCTTTAAACCGATAATAAAAATATTTAAGCCTGTCTCAATTAATAAAGAATCCTCTCTTGTTTTATAACCATTTATACAGAAACTTTTATTACATAAATTGTCTTTACATGGAAGTCTGCAATATTTATCAACACAAATTGCAGATTTTTTAGGATTGATTCTTATATTATATATTTTTTTTGCTAATGACATAAGAAATTCATTATTTAAATTTTCCAATAAGAATTTATATACTTGTTTATTTTCATTTGCATTACCTTCCAATAATGATATTAATAATTAAATGTAAATGTATAGAGTTTACAATAATTAAAAATAAATGTTTTATATTTTTTTCGATTAAGGAACTAAGGCTTTATCTAAATCTACATGATTAAATAATTCATTAAATCCTGAAAATAATCTAGAATTTTTTGTGATTTCTTTTTTATTTTCATTAAGACCAGTTGAAAATTCTATTAAACTTAATAAACCTTATTAATATAATTCCCATTTCTTTAAATTATCTACAGATTTATCTGATAAAAAATTAACCAATAAATTAGTAGTTTCTAAAACAAAATTAAAATTATTTGTAATTGAATCTTATTAATTTTGAATTCTCAAAAATTTTTAAAATTCTATATGAACATTCTCACATAATCCTTATAAAACTTATAAAACTTTAATACAAATATGTAAATAATTAGTATTCTTAGATAAACTTAATTCTTCCAACTTTATACCTACATCAGTACTATAAAAATCTTTAAAGAATTATATGAATATTTTCTTATGTTTCTTATGATTCTATAATAAGGTGTAAAATCTTTGTTGTACTTATGAATTACCAAAGTCTAATAAAAGATGTATCAAAGTTAAACAATCTAATTATTCAATTGTGTTTTAATGATTTAATTACTCAATTGCAATAACATGAATATCACATTCAGATATTATATTTTGGAATGTTGTAAATTTTTCAATAGTATTCTAATAATCTTTTTGATTTCCCCTTTCATTTATATCATCTTCTTCATCTAATTCACCTTAATTTATATAATTCTTAACTGGTTTTTTCATTTCCAAAAATATTTTACATAATTTAATTAAATAATGAGGATGTTATGAAAATATTTATTTACATTTGATTATAAATTCCTTAAATTTCTCTTCTTAAAGTAAACTATCTACTTATTAACTTAATTCATGTAAAAAGAATAATATTTGTACATCTTCTGATAATGGATTTAAAATTTCACCTTAACATCCTTTTTTTAAGAAAGTCTTCTTAATTTCTTCTTCTTTTCTCTCCTAAAATTTCTCCTTTAAAACTTATAAGTTTAATTCTTCTTTCAATCTTTCTTATGCTTAAGTTGTAGTTTCATTTAAATCAATTTAAGAATTAAATGCTTTTTTAAAATCAATCCAATTCTCTGCATTTTAATAATGAGAAGCCTTGTTAGATCTAATAAGACTAAGATCTAATTATTTTATGTAAATCTTGTTATTCTGATTACATATTTCTTTTAATTTGTATATTCTATCTTTCTAATTCATTTATTCAACATAGTCTATTAAAAATTAGACTGAAATCTTTTATCTAATACAATATATTTATAATCTATTTTAAAGATTGAAATCGTATAGATTCTTAACAAATAAGTCAATTATTTCAGATATTTATTATATATATTCTCTTTTTTCTTATATCAATGGACTAGAAGAATTTAGTAATATTCCTTTAATTAATGTATTTATCTTAGTATATTCTTCAACAAAATTAATATCATTTTGTCTTTCTGGAACTCTAAATTCATCAATAACTGAAATAAGAAATTCAAAGACATATAGTATATATTTCCAATACTCTTTATTGTTTAGTAATATAAGATTTTCTAAATTATGACTTTTTTAAAATTATTACATCTTTTATAAATCTGGAATAATAATTGATGTAAATAATTCTTTAAGTTGATAATTATCTATTAGATCTCCTATTAGATTATTTGATTTAACAAAATTAATGTATAATTCAAAGATACATTTTAAATAAGCAGCTTTTACAATATATGGTTCATTCTGCAATACTGATGTTAATTATTCAAAAAGTAATATTCTTTAAGTTTCAGAAATTCCTAAATAATAATTTTAACAAGTTTCTGAGATTAGATTGAGAGCAGTAGAATGAAGTTTTAGTTAATAATATCTTAGATAATTGGATTATATTTGTTTATCTTTTAGATTTTTATCTTCAAAATATTATAAAGGATCTATAAGATTTCTAAAATTTTGAAGAATTAAATGTAAGATTTATTTTTGATTACTTAAATGATTAAATTTAGGTTTTGAAGGGGTTTTTGTAAATTCTTTTAAGATTTTTAAATATTATTTAGCAGCTCTTATATGAATTACTTTTTCATTTAAATTTAGTGATTTACATATATTCATAATTATATCAATAATGATATTTGAAGCACTATCTAATTATAGTTTAGAAATTTATAAAGATTTATATAAAAAGTTATCATGTTGGGGTTATGGCAATAATATAATTTTTAATAGTTAATCTAGATATGGTATTAATATCTAAAAATTTGTCTGATTGTCCTTAAGAAAATTCTCCCAAAATTTTAAGAAATTTCTATAAAAATATACAACTTATTCATTTTCAATAATTTGATCAGAATTTATAAAAAATTCAATAAAAATAAGATGTATTCCTGCATTTCTAATCATATTTTAAAGTGATTTAGTATAAGACTAATTGTATATTCTTATACTTTCAAATAATGAATTTATTTTCTAAATATATTAAGATATTTTTAAGAATGATTTTTCAAATTCATCTAATTTCTTATTATTTTATTAATCAATTTAAACAAATTTAACTGCTTATTTAACATATTATTATATTTCTTTTGGTCCTTAATCACCTTATGCCTCATAATGTCCATTAACAATTCCAAAATATTTACGTTCTATTTCATCATCTAGAATTTCTACTTCTTTAATTTCTTAAAGATCATATTATTAATTATTAAAACTTAAAATAAGATATTGCAAAATTTCATTATTTAAATTTGGTAATTTAGTTGCTCCAAATAAACAATGAAATAAAATTGAATCATGATTTGCAAATAATTCATTCATTGAACTTTCTTTTTAAGTCAAATATTATAAGACTTATAAATTAGCCTATAAATAAAATAATACTTAATAGATATTTAATGCTTCTTAAAATATCTATTCTATTAAATCTTAATCATTACATGTAGATGTAGACCATAACAAAAAATCTGCAATCCAAGATTAATTAAATCTTAAATTAAATCTTTCAAATAATGATGAAATTTATTTACTCTAAGCTTATTACATATTTTTTAAATTTAAAATAAAAGCTTTATCTTCTTAAAATTCAAATGTCTTAAATTTATTATTTAATTGAATAATTAAAATAAAGAAAATATTTGGTAAGGTTTCTTATATTTCTCTATTTTTATTTAATGTATTATATCCTAAATCAATTGAATCTTTTATAATACGTATTACACTTAAAAAAAATTTTAATTAAATCTTAGAAATTTCTTTGTATTTAAGTGAACTATTAGAATCTTCAGTTAAAATAGTTGGGTATTCTTATTATAAAAATAAGTTAATAAAATATTCATGATATTTTTGATTTGTAATTATATGAGATGAAAAGGATTTGAGAAGTAAAAGTTCTTACATATTTTCTTAAGTTCTTAAAGTATCTTATTAAAAATTTTAATAAGAATCTGTTTTTTTTAGTATATTAGATGAAATATTTTCATAAAAGTATCTGCCTGATTCTAATTCTTTATCAAAATCCCCTAAAGCCTATCTAAGATAACATGTATTTTCAAATACTGAAATTTTAGTCAAAGGATCAATATCAAAATATAATGATGAAAACAATTCTATGATAACTTATTTACATTATAAACTATGAATTGACTTTATTATTGAATCAAAGAATTAATAATTAATACCTGCTACATTCTTAATTAAATTCATATTCTTAAAATTTCTACCTCTACACATCTTTGCATATAAATTCAATAAATTTAATAGATATTATTCATATTTACGATAAAGTCTTTCCTAATCATGTTTAATAAAATATTCTATTGCTATTTAATTTTATCTTAAATTCAAATAATATTTATGATAGTCTTCACAAAATTTTTAATTATTTTACTAAAACTCATAAGCATCAGCTTCTATTTATATAATTGGTAATTCTTCTATGATGAGACATTTTAATAATTTACATTTATTATTAATAAAGAGATTTTTCCTACATAAATTTTAACATTCAACACTAATGTGATAAGATGATGAAATAAATAAATTAATAATTGTTATTATAAACATTTAATCTTCTAAATTCTCTTCTTTAATCATCTATATTCTATTTATCCATTTTTTAGCAATAATTGGATTATATTTAGCTTTAGAAACTATTTACTTAAACATTTTTTCAATCTATTCTCTAAATTAATTTAATTGACTAAAAAGAAAATCTATTATAGAATCTTCTTGTATAACATAATTACAACAATCAACATTATCAAAGATGATTGAATATATTGTTTAATAAATTTCTTCAACCAAATTAAATTGTTTTTTCTTTTTAATAGAAGCAACAGGATCAAATTTCTATCTAGCAATTCTTTATGCTGTTTTATCACTATAACTAGATGCCCATTTATTTTCTTGATTTGATATTAAATTTACTAATTATTGTAATTTTATAAGTAAATCTAAAACATCATATTAACATAAATTAAATTGACATTATTTTATTTCTTATATTGAATTTTCTTAACTTAAAAATACATTCATATTATATAAAAGCTTTTCAAATTAATTGATTTCATCTTATAATTATTTTTAATTCTAAAATGCTAAATTATATTAATATTTTAAATCTTTATCTAAAGCCCAATCTTATAAAAATATGTAAAAGTCAACTATTCCAAAGTAAAATGATTATATTTTATTTGCAGCCATAGCATCTTAATAAGGTCCTCTTGCTACTTTAAATAGTTACTAATCAAATTATGTTTTTTAACAATTAGTAGTTATATTTACTTCATTACTATTATTACATTATATTACAAATGTTTAGAATTATGATAATTATGGATTCTCTTATATTCTTAAGATTCTATAAAACTCACCTAAATTAATTTATTATTCAGTTTTTTATAAGTTTCTTATTTAAAATTCAAATTTAGGTTGTAAACGATCAAATGAAGCATGTAATTATTCATTTTCTAAGTATAAAAATGTCCCTGTTAAGACATTTTTTATCAAATAACTCTTTTAAACTCTATTTCTATCCTTTTTATTATTTTATTATTGAGTAGATTAACTTGCTATACCTATTAATTACCATAATGAATTTAATTATAATTCACTTTCTAATGTAATATGAAACATTTTATCTAAATTTTCTTATTATTTTAACTATATTAGATTTATATAATTCTATTCTAACAACTAATCTTTTTTATATATTTATCTTTTTTCCATTAACTTTGTTGATGAGAACTGTCTTTTAATACTTAAATACCCTCCAAATAGTCTATTCTTAAATACAATAATATCCCCATTCATTATAATATTCTCATTCTCATTTTCTAGATAATTACATATTCTCAAAGTTGATGCTATTTAAGAGGCATGAACTTCAGAATAAGGACTTGTCTATTAAATTCCTAATCCCCATTTATTAAGATGAATCACACTACTCTTTAAATATAGAATATCTCCATACAAAACAGGTTCACCATAACTTTTTGTATTAGATTAAAGCATAAAATTAGAATTAGAAGTAATACTTTATTCTAATCTAAGTTCACGGCAGCAATTTTCTTTAGCCAAGACTTAACTGTTGAGAGTTAAGAAACATTTTGAATATAAGTGAAGCAATTATATTTCTTAACCATAAATGATATTTTTTTCACTTTCATTCTGCTCTTCATTTTCTTTTAATTAATCAGAAACGAATTCATTTTTAGTTTATTCATAGATAGAACGATTGCTATCTAGAATTCTGAACAAGCATTTAAATATATTCCATTCAGCTTATTTATTAACCAAACTATCCGTTTACTTATTAGTGACAAATTCTTTTGAATTAAAGTATTCGTTTGAATATTTTTAAAGGAGAAGACACTCCAACTTATTTGTTGCAAATCCTTCACCAGATATAAGACCTTTATTATCATCTGGTAAATATGATTTTAAATATATAATATCGCCTTATCGAACATTATTTTAACTAAGAATTATTGACAATATATAAATACTTTTCATCCTCATGAATTATTTGCTATAAACTTCCCCAACTTTCATCCTAGTCCATTCGATTTCGGATAAAATAATTAATTAATTAATCTAAACCATAATGATAGTATTTATTAACTACTTTTATCAATTTCAGAAAAACAATATTATAAATAAGTGTTAAATTAAATCATTATTTAAGAAATTGATATATATAAGTTTATTAATATGATAAATTAAATAAAATCTAAATCAATTTCTATTAGTGTAGTATATTACAACAATCCAATTATTTTGCCTTTTTAACATTTTATCAATTAATATTAAAAGTAATAGAGATGATTAAAACAAAGTTTGTTACTATTTAGTGCAATTATAAAATTATTAATTATTAATTAATAATATAATATTATTAGAATTAGTATTTAAGTTGTTTTTAAGTAGCATGAACTGAGAGAATATTATTTTGTAACTAATTTATAATAAAATTAAATATCTACTGGATATCATTTTTTTAAATTACTGAAAGTGATAAAGACTACCTTTTCTTGTTTGATTAAGATGATGATTGGTATGTTTTTAATTTTTTTTCTTTTTGAAAAATGGTTATGAGTAAATCTTGATGTTTTTTTTAATTAATTATTAAAATAGTTGATGATAGATTTGTGAAACATACACAATGAAGAAATCAATATCAAGTTAGAAATTATAACACAAATGGTAATTTAAAAAAATATACCAAATTGCTGGATCTTATTGTAAAATAAATCAAATCCATAGGAAAGTCTATTATTATTAAGGGAAAGAAAGGTAGAACACTTATAGATTAGACATTTTATTTTGGAAAAACTAAAATATTATTCAATTAGATAAATTATTAAAGAATCAAAGAGCATTTATTTTAAGAATAAATATTAAAGTTTTAATAAGATATAAGGTGTTCAACATAAAAAAATATACATTATTTTTATCAATCAAGAAGATATCACATTTTGATTTCTTTTCTTCAATAACTTAACTGTATAATGAATATAAGGTTCTTAAATTATAAAAAAAAGTAAATTAGGAAAAGTATAAAGATAGACGAAGAAATATATAAAGAAAATTAGCTAAAATGAGGATAAGGAATGATTGATTAATATTAATTTAATGTAAAAATTGTAAAAATTCATTTGCTTTATCCTTTAAACTTAATGTTACTATAATTATAAATATTATTTTTATAAACATGAGTAAGAATAAAGGTGTTAGTAAGGATGTTTAGACACCATAATTTTTAGAAAAGAAGCCTTAAAATGTCCAAACATAAAATTTGAATTCAAGACTTAAATAACCAGATTTGAATAGAAAATTGTTAACAATGCCTATTGATGCCAAATACAAAGCAGTTTTAGGTCCAGATACTGATAGTTTAGTTGCTTATCTTAAACATAAGAAGAAGAAAGAAAAGGCAATATAAAAATTAAAAGAATCAGGAAAAATATAAATTGTAAAAGAGCCTAAATTATCAATCGATAAATCCTTGCCTTAAGGAATTTATGAAACAGAGGAAGGTAAATTAAAAGATATATCTGGGAAAATTATTAGACTAAATGGTTAAGCTAAGTCTCTAAAAATCAATTAAGAAAAGTAGAAGCATGAGAAAGTTTAAGAGATGTTGAAAATTTAAAATAATTTAAAGGATGCTTTAAATGATAAGGGACGATTTTTAGATAAAAATGTTACAATTCAAAGTAGTAATATAAAAAGATAAAAAAGAAAATTATTAGCTTTTAATTTTATTGAAAATGGTAATAAGGATGTTGAATAAGTATAATAATAAACTTCTATTTAAATTGAAAATTAAGATGAAGAAAAAGTATTAGAAAAAGATATATAGAATTTAACAACAACAATAACAACAACAAATTAAACAAATTTTAAAAGAGTATGTGTTAAGAGGAAACATCATGATCCTATTCCTAATATAGAATGGTGGGATATACCATTATTTCCAGAGAATCAAGCAAATTATATTCCAATAAATATAGAAAATGAATAAGAACATAAATAACCTGCTACAGCCCATACTTAAGAAGAGATTTAAAGGAATATTACATTTTTAGAATAATTATAATATACAGATACAAATATATTATTGGATAAGATAACTAAATTATTAGAGCATCCTAAACCATTTGTTATTAGTGAATTAGTATAGAATAGAGAAAAAGCTGCTTTACCATCATTTTTAACAAAAAAGGAAAGGAAAAAAAGATTAAGAAAATTACGTATGGATATTCAGAAAGAGAAATAAGATAAAATAAGATTAGGTTTATAGAAACCATCTCCACCAAGAATAACATTATAAAATATGATGGCAATTTTAGGAGCAGAAGCATAAATAGATCCAAGTAAGGCAGAATAAGAAGTTAGAAGATAAATTTAAGCTAGATTAGATAAACATATAAAATAAAATGAAGAAAGAAAATTAACTAAAGAATAAAGAGGTGATAAATTAAAATTAAAATGGTAAAAAGATTCTGCATAAGAAATAAGAGTTGCTGTATTTAGAATAGATGATGATTTATCATCAACTAATTTAGAATCTAAAAAATTAAAATTTAAAGTAGATATGAATGCTTAATAAGTGAGTTTATAAGGAGTATGTTTAATAGCTTCTTAGAATGGATAATAATTAGTACCATCAATAGTAGTAGCAGAAGGTGGACCAAAAGGAATAAAATTTTATAAAAAATTGTTATTAAATAGAATAAAATGGAGATGTAATGATTAAAAATCAGGTTGTACATTAGTTTGGGAAGGTGTATCTAAATAACATGCATTTAATAAATGGAAAACAATAGAAATAAAAAATGAAGCAGAAGGAAAGAGAATATTAGCAGAAAAAGGTGTAGAATAATTTTGGGATTTGGCAATGAATAATCATTAAAATTGATTGATATATTAAATTTAAATTATGCTTCAATTATATTTATATTTTAATAGATTGATAAAAATATATGTAAATATTATATTCTGATTATAATTATAAATAACTTTATTGTAACTATGGGTTGTTGTACATTTAAATTGTATAAAGAGGAAGCAGGTATTAAAGATATTAATTTAAGTCTTAACTATAGAGGATAGATAATAAGATTAGATAGATGCAGGGGTTACTCATTAAATTGTTGGAAATGTTACAACAAAGATATTATTTTAAGATAAAGAAACTAGTGCCATTAAATCAAGTTCTTTATCAAAAGAATAAATTTATTAAAAGGATTTAGAATAGTAGTAAAATTAAACTAAAAATAAGGAAGGAAATAATTTTGAAATAGGTAGAAAATCAATTAGTGGCACTATGAAATTAACACCAGAAATGTTGGTTAGAAAGTAATGTATAACTGAAAAGTTCCTTTCTCATTATGAAATAGTGAAGAAATTGGGATAAGGAGGATTTGGAGAAGTTTATTTGGTTAAACATTTATCAACTGATAATTTGAGAGCTGTAAAAGTAATATTAAGAAAAACAATTAATTGTGAAGAAAAATTATTAGAAGAAACAGAAATTTTAAAAACTTTAGATCATCCTAATATTGTTAAAGTCTTAGAAATCTTTGCAGATTTTAAATATTATTATATAGTAACTGAATATTGTAAAGGAGGTGAATTACTTGATAGAATTAAAACAATATCTAAATATAATGAAAGATTAACTGCTAAATATATGAAATAAGTATTTTCAGCAATACTTTATTGTCATCAAAAAAATATTGTTCATAGAGATTTGAAAGTATTTATTATAATCAATAAATATTATAGCCAGAAAATATATTATTTGATTCAAATGATCCTGATGCTAATTTAAAAGTTATTGATTTTGGAGCCAGTGAAAAAATGATTAATTAATCTTGTTTAACAAAAAAAGTTGGAACTCCATATTATGTAGCACCAGAAGTAATATCTGAACCAGGTTATGATCTAAAAGTGGATGTTTGGTCCTGTGGTGTTATACTATACATTTTAATGATTGGAAGACCACCATTTAAGGGATCTAATGATATTGAAACTTTAAGATTGGCTAAATAAGGTAAATTAAATACAAATAATGATCGTTGGAATAAATTAAGTGATTAAGTTAAAGATTTAATCAATAAAATGATAGTTGTTGATCCTAAATAACGAATTACTATGGAATAAGCATTTAATCATATTTGGATCTAAAATAATGAGAATTAAGATATAGAAGATTTTAATATAATCTAAACACTTAGTCATTTTTCTGCTTAAAATAAATTAAGAGCAGCAATTATTTAATTTATTTCAGTTTAATTAGTTAATAAAGAAGAAAGCACTAAATTATTTTAAACATTTAAGTCTTTAGATTTAAATGGAGATGGAGTATTAAGTAAAGAAGAATTACTAAAAGGAATTTTAACTGCTGATATTGATCATTTTTAAGCAGAAATTATGGTTAATGATTTAATGTAAGAATTAGATGTAAATGAATCTGGTAAAGTAGATTTTACTGAATTTATTTCTGCTGCTCTTGTACTTTAATCAAAAATTACTATAAATAATATAAAGAATGCTTTTAAAATGTTTGATTTAGATGGAAATGGTGTAATAAGTAAAAATGAATTGGAAAATATTTTTGGAGGAATTGAAATTGATAATCAAGCTTGGGATGATATTTTAGAAAAGTTTGATTATAATAAAGATGGAGTAATTGAAGAAGAAGAATTCATAAAATTATTAGAAAATATTTAATTATGAATATATTATTTATGTAACCAATTTTTATTATATTTATTCAATGAAAAATCAATTTTGAATAACTATCATATGTACTTCATTCCTAGGTTAGAAATTAAAAATTTAATTAATAATCATCAAGATAAATAAAACAAAAACTTGTATTCAACTAACTCTAATATTGAAATAAAGATTATTTTTTAAATAATTTCAATAAAAAATAACAATTTTTATGATATCCTTAGGTTTAAATATTGTGATTTTTTTTAATTTGGTTAAAAATAAATCATTATTATTTATTTTTTTATCTTATATATATATGAAAAATAATTCTACTTATTTTTAATCTATGTCTTAGAATTTTTAGATCTTAAATAGAATAAGATAAGTTTGAGAATAGATGATTTAAAAAATGTTAAATTAATTTATATTATTTACAACAATTCTTTGCAATTTTTATTATTTCATAACACTTATTAAAAATATTATTAAAATATATTCAATTTACTATTTTAAGGTAGTTCCTCTTTAGACACTTTTAAATCTTAATAATTATTTAGTGATAGAAAAGATTGATAAAAATAATTTTACAAAAATTAATAATTAAATTAATTCATTTTAATTGAGTGTTTTAATTAGGTTCATCTAAATCAGAAAATTACATATGTTCATCTAAATCAGAAAATTACATATTAGTATCAGCAATGAGATTTGAGCTTTTTTATTATAATTCCATAAGCCTTTTTTTAAAATTTTTAGGTAATAAAAACTTGGCTACAACTCGACCATCCTTAAAAATTTCTTTTTTTTGTTATTAGCTTTTACTATTAGAATCATCATAGATTTCCGAAAGTGCTCTTAATGAATCTTATAAAGTTTAATAATAAACAAAGCATTATTAAACTTAAATATTTTAACCTTTATTTATTTTAATTGTTAGACGAATAACTTTGCCAAATTATCCCAAAAATTCAGAAATTTATTCTTTGGTTACATTATTTTAGATATTTTTGATGATGAGCAATCTTACATCTGGTTCATCTTCTTTGCTCTAAACCAGATTGAAAAAAAAGTTATCACTTTCACCTTTAAAAATATCAAATGGATCTTTATACATTTCTTCAAAAAATTATTCTATTTCTTAAATTTAAAATGCTTAACTACCATCAGAATCGGTAGGAGGTCCATACTTTTTAATTAATTCAAGTGCATTTAAAGCATTAGAATTAAAGCATGGATGTGTTCTAAGTTAATTACACTTTGTTATGTTGTCTTCTGCAAATTAAATATTTAGAAATGTTATTTTTGCCCATGGTTGTCTTGTTACTCGATCTATATGAACATAACAGTCTTTCGCTTAATCATCTAAGTACTCTTTGATTATTAATGACCATCCATATTCAAATGAACTGATAGCTTTCTCTTGAGCAATTAGATGTTAAGGCAATGGAGGTGCAAAGTCTTTGAAGTATACTGATGCTGATTCTATTTTGTTTTCTGGTTCATAATAATATTGCTCTAATTTTAAAATTTTGCCTTTATGAATGAAAGGATTTTTGTAGCTTCTATTGATTAAGTTTATACCATCCTCCTTCTTTTCAATTTAAATAAAACCATAACTTTATTGCTTTCCATTTTAATCTTTATTTATAACAAGTTTTTACACAGTACAATATTTTGAAAATTCTTGTTATAATTCCTTACTGTCTGCATTCTAAGGTAGATGGTGCATGAAAATACGAAAACTAAAGAAAGACTTAATTTTGATGATGTTTTTGATGAATATTTTATTTGAATGTATTTCTATTGCTTTATTGGCTGATTCTGGATTGGAGAATGTTATAAATGCCTTACCAGTTGAAAGTTTAGTTTTTTAGTCTTTTAAAATCTTTATCCTACAAACCTTTCCAAATTCCTTAAATTTACAAAATAAATAATTTTCAGTAATTTCCTAATTATAGTATAGATTCATACCTTATCTAAGTTCTCAAGACATATGATTTTTTCTAATTCGTATTATTTTCCATTTGTGATAGGTTTTTGTTATAATGACTCTTCCATAAATTCTTACATATATTAATTTGCAATTATTGATATTTTATTTAATAGTTTATGATACATATTTCCAGGTTTTTATACTATAAAATATTATCAAATCCATTAGAAAATAGAATTAAAAAAAGTTCTATTTTTTATTTTATTTATTAATAAAAAGTATTAATATCCTTTTTATTTATTTAATTATATGTGTAATAGATTTATAATTTTAAATTCAGGCATCTTATAATTATAACCATAATTGTATTAATATTAAATTGCATAATCAAATAGAAAAATACAAAATAATAATTTGATTTATATCAGAATTATATAATAATAAATTTATATTATTAGATACGATGAAGTTTTAACTATATAGTCTTATCTTAATATATTTTGTATATTGTGGTAATTTAATATAAGATTATTATAGATTGGGAAATATATAAGCATGAACTATTTGATATTGCAACTAGTGTAGATTGGATTGGACTGAATTCTGATTCATCAATCAGTTCATTAACATAAATCAATCCATCTCTATGTACACCAACATCTTCTACTTATTTGGCAGGAGGAAAGAATAAAATTTGGAGAAAAATCAACATGCCAACTAATAGAAATTTCTCTGCTATCAGAATTGAGTTAGATTTTTATTATATTGATCAAATGAAGGATGTCTTAACTAAAGTTTACTTAAATTAAGTCATTATTAGTGAGAATATTAAATTCTAAGAAGTTCTATCAACGCCAACACCATTAATTTATTGTAATAAACCTGGAAATTAGAATTCTGCTGATAGCTCTTTAATTAAATTGACATATGTTAAAGAATTTAGAGAGGATTAAATTGAAATAGTAATTGAATCAATAGGATAATAACCTGTTATAATATATGCATTATCAGGATTTTATTTATATGTTTAATTTTGTGATAATTATTGTGAAATATGCAATGATACAGGATATTGTGAGAGATGTAAAGATGACTTTAAATTAATTAGAGGGTAATGTCTATGCTCTTTTATTCGTGATTATAGAAATTCTTTATTTTAATTAGAAAATTCTGGTTTATTATAATGTTTAAATTCTTGTCCTAATGGATATGTTCCTGATGAAAATGGAATTTGTCAACTTGGAACTTAGCATTTATTATTTAATGATTTAATTGGAGATTTTGACTCTTATTTATTCTACATAATCAAAGACAAATATTTTTCAGATATATATGATAATTCTTAAAGAATAATATAAATTGGAAATTAAAAAGTAGCAGGTCCCTTTTTTTATAATGAATAAATTGTTTTTCCTTAATTATCTATAGTTTCTTTCTCAAAGATAATGATAAAATTAAGAATATATTTCTTAAGATATTAATATTCTAAATCAATTGGAGGATAAATCTAATTAAAATTTAATAATTATACTGTTTTATACATTTATGATTATGATTCACCTGGACTATATTATTAATAAGGAATAGCTCATATAAATAATTTACAGTCATGTGAATTTAAGAATTCTGATTGTTTTTAAAGTGATATTTATTTTGAGATGCTTTTAAATTATGAAGTCACTGAAATAACATTTGCAGGTTAATTTACAATCATAGAACCTCTTAGAGGATGGTGTTTATCAAATTTAGAGATTTTAGAATAGCAAATAACAATGAGTCAAAATTTATGTTATAATGATTGCTTAACCTGTCCATTTATGTAACCAAAATTCTGTAATTCATGTAAATTAGGATATTTCTTTTTTGCAAATAAATGTTTATCAAAATGTCCTTTATAAACAATATTAATAGGAAGTGAATGTGTAGAAAATGGTATGAGTGGTTCATATAAGTATATTCTAAACATTCTATATGATGATAATAATTATGATGATGAAATTTAAAATTTAAGTTATAATGAAAGAGTAGACCCAAAAATAAGTAAGTTCATATATAATTTAAATACTTATTCAATATTAGGAGGAATATCAATTTGGAGTTATGGATCAGTATATCATATAATTAAAAGTGAAAGACCTTTTTACAAAGCCTACATTAAGCTTAATGTAATTTGTATTGATTTAAAATATGATAATATATTTGAAATATTTGTAAATGCTACTGGGATTACCTATTAAATAACAACAGCATCACCTAATTTAAATCAATTCTAATTTTTATCAATTGGAAATATAATGGGTTCATCATTATTTAATGAATATTTAGCTGAAGTATATATTGAACTTCCTACATTCTAATCACTTGATAACTTGTTATTAACATTTTCCATTTAAAAATTACAAGATTGGCATTAATATTATGGAATCTTTAATTATAGAGTTATGGTAATTCAATGTCCAGAATTTTGCAATAAATGTAATTCTGCAGGCTAATGCCAAAATTGGATGATTGATATTTCACTATAATCTGGAAGTTGTGTACAAGGTTACTATTATGATCATAATCTTCATACTTGTTCATAATGTAATAGTGGATGTTAATAATGTACTAATTCTTATTATTGTGATTCTTGTTCTCCTTCATATATTCTAATTCATGGTTAATGTTATTGTTAAGATACTTATGAATTAAGTAATAAATGTACTTATACATATCCTTGTCATAAGGGATGTTTAGTTTGTGGATTTGAAATAGAATAAAATTTAAAAAATAGGATTTAAAAATGTTTAATTTGTGATGATTCTAATCATTATTGGTTAAATATTAATGAATGTACTTGTTTAGAAGGATATTATATGGAAAATTAGATTTGTTAGCCATGTTCTGAATAATGTAAAACATGTATAAAATCTCCAAGAATTTGTACTAAATGTGATTCTTCATTAAATAGAGTATTGAATCATTATAAATGTGAATGTTTTTTTGGTTATTATTAATAAGAACCATATATAGAATGTTTTAAATGTAATACTACTTGTTAAACTTGTTAATTCTAACCATCTTTTTGTACTAGTTGTTTTATTGATTAATTTAGATATCTTTTTAGTAATTAATGTTTATGTAAAGATGGATATTTTGATTAAGGAATTGAAATTTGTAATGAATGTGATCAAAAATGCAAAACTTGTTCTGATATTAATACATGTTTATCTTGTTATGAAGATTAATATAGAAAATTAAATTTAATGAATACTCAATGTATTTGTTAATAAGGATATTTTGAAATAGAAAATAAATTAGAATGTGATTCTTGTCATATTTCTTGCGAATTTTGTTTAAATTCATCTTTAATAAATATGTGTACTCGATGTCCAATCACTAGAGAACCTTCATAACATAATACTGTTTTTTAATGTGTTTGTAAAAGAGGATATTATGAATCTAATATGAAGGAATGTTTTTCCTGTAAGGATTATATCGATCCTTCCATTTCTCATTATTGTTATAGTAATTGTGGTGATAAGATTGTTTAATGGAATGAAGATTGTGATGATGGTAATCATTCAAAAGATGAATGTATCTCATGTATATTTTCACATTCATATTGTTTTAATTCATTATGCACATTATGCGAAATGGGATAATGTAAAAATTGTATAGATGGTTATTACTTAAATTTAAATAATCATTGTGATAAATGTGATTCATATTGCAAGACTTGTTAAATCAAAGCAAATAATTGTCAATCTTGTATTTTGTATAATGAGAATTTATCTTGTATTATTTGTGAAAGTAGATTAGGATATTAAATTAAAGATGGAATATGTTAAAACATTTGTGGTGATGGATTATAAGTTGATAATGAATAATGTGATGACGGAAATGAAAATTCTGGGGATGGATGTTTTAATTGTTTAATTGAAGATGGCTGGACATGTTAAGATATATGTGAACTCTTAAATTATCCATATCTTATATTTGAAGAAGATATATATGATAATTTGTATTAAAAATAGAGAAATTTTATAATAAAATCAAATATACCATTAAAAACATCTGTTTCTTTTACATAAATTTGTTAGTTTAAAATGAAAGATTCTAAAATATTTGAAATTAATAAAAATCAAGATCTTACTAATTATTTTGATGATTACAATATGCTTTTAATTAATGTAGAGATTATATTAAATGATCGAGATGAAAATCCAATTTTAATATGTTTAATAGAAAATCCTTAAAATTATCAATCTAAATAAGGTTTAACATTTAAATAGTTAATTTTTTAATTTGAAATATTAAAATATCTCAAACCCTCTTAAGAAGTTATAAATGTTACTCAAGGCATAATAGATCTTAATAAATATGTGTTGTACATTTTATTGGGTTTGGCTGCATTTTCATTAATAATAGGTGGATTACACATCTTTTGGAATTTATTGGATATCTTATAATTAATATCTTATTTATAATTTTTTAATATCATTTATCCTTATAATGTAGATACTTATTTTAGATTATTTGATTTTGCACAATTTGATTTCCTTAAAATATTTCTCAACATTGAAGATTTAGTAAATAATTATGTTAGTTCACCTGATCCTCATTTTAAATTTGTATTGAAGGGTTACTCATCCACATTCTACATCAATGCTTTTGCTGTTTTTATAGCATTTGTAACTACATTATCAATTTATATTATATGCATAATAGGATTTAGGATATTAACTAAAATAATGGCTCATTATTCAGAAGAGAATTTATATATAGATGATGAAGATCCAGAATTATTCAAATATATCATTCTTAGAATTATAAGGAAAGTCTAAAGAGTTTTCCTTAAAATTATTCATTATTTTGGTTCAGGATTATTAAGAACATTTATGTCAGTTGCATATGAATACAATCTTGCTATTTTTCTATAATTATCAGTACGGAATATATAGAATCCCTTTTTGACTTCAAGTTTTATAGTAAGTATTATATTTTTATTGATTTAATTGTATTTTATTATAAAGGGATTCTTTCTTATGAGTAATCAACTGTTTTATTTTAAGTAATAATATGTAAAATAAAAATATGGAGCTTTATTTGAAGGCATTTAAATAAGAAAATAACAGCCTTATTCTAATTATTATAATCTAATTCTTCTTTGTAAGAAAGTATTATTCATTTTTTTGATAGTGTTTTGTTATAGTGAAACATATATTACTATTTTATCATGTTCAATACTAAATGTTATATTTATCTTATATGTTAAATCAAGTTATCCATTAAAGGATATATATGAACATTATAAAGTATTAGGGTCAGAATTACTTATTTGGCTAATTAAGTTATTAATCTTGATACTATTTTATAAATAATAAAATGATTCAAATGAATAAGAGGAATTAATAATTGGTTGGTTCATAATAGTTTTATGTACTTTATTAGTTTTATATTAATTTATTCTTGATTTTAAATAACATTTTGTATTTTTGAAAGAAAATTATGTGATAATTTAGAATTTTATTTAAAAAATAAGAAATTATTTTAACAAACCAATTTAAGTTCATTAAGAATCATAAGCATTTTTAGAATAAATTCCAAATATATTTTAAATATAACAATAAATATATATGGATTAAAGAAAAATAGTAACATTTAGAATGGAAAATTGAAAATTGAAATTGAATATTTTTTAAACTTATTATTATTATCGAAATAATAATAAATTTATTGATTCTATATAAATATTTCTATATGAATATTAATTATTATATAGAAATATCCCATATTATTTATGATATCTATATATTCTAAAATATGTTATTTAAATATTAAAATATCTTTTTCAAGAGAGTATAATTGTAAATTATATTACATTTTATGTATAGAATTGATTAATTTTCATTTTGTAATTAGTTATACAATGTAATAATAAATATCAATTTAGGAATGTTAAAGAGAGAGTGTTATTATTGGAGAAATAAAAAAAAGAAAGAGAAGAAGCAGAACAATCTATGAAAATTGCTAAATCTACTTAGATTACTAAAGTATTAGAGGATTAACCTTAAATATAAAAGTATTATATATACATTATTCAAAAGTACTTAATCACAATAACAGGAGAAAGAATAAATAAATCGAGAAAATGATGTAATAAACACTTTAAATAAAAAGTTTAATGAAAATCATTAAATAAGAGATTAAATAGATGGATAGTTATAAAAATAAAATGAAATGTAAACAATAATTGCTTAAGATTCAGATGAAGAAATTGAGAAGAATGATTAAATATTTGTAAATGAATTGATTTCATAAGTAAATGAAAAAGAATTACAAAGTGAAGACAGGATTTATGTCAGTATGATAAATAATGAATTTACTACTGAAATTAAGAAATCTTAAAGATAATCAATGGATTTATAATAAATTAATATTCATGATCGATCATAATCTATTTTAAAATCAAACTTGATATTAAATAAATTAAACTAATTAATTTTAGTAAGAGATGATAATGATTATCTATAAAATATTGATAAGATTCTATATATTTAAAGATTTGTAAGATAAAAATTAGAAAAAGAATAAAAGGAAAGAATTGAAAAAGAATAACTCTTTATTGAAAAAATGAATAGGTATAGAATTAATGTATTAAATGAATTAATATAAACTGAAATTAAGTATGTTGCTGATTTAGAGATATTAAATATGATTAAAAATCTATCAATTGAAAAATTTCCAAATAAAGAAGATGATATAAAAGTTATGTTTCATATTAATGAGATTCTTTAATTTAATACTGAATTTTTGAGTGAATTATAAAAGAATAATAATCTTAAGGATCCAAATGCTATTTTAATCAAAAACATAATTCCACTACTTAATGGATTTATATTCTACTATGAATATTGTAAAGCTTATAATCAAACTAGAAAAATAACTATTTAATATGAAGCTATGCCTGCCTATTAATAATTTCTCAAAGATATCAAAATACAAAATTTATTAAAAGGCTTAACATTAAATGATTATAACATTAAACCAGTTTAAAGATTACCTAAATATGTACTATTATTCAAGGATTTATTGAAACATACTATGCCATCACATCCTGATTATTAAAATGTGAAATTTTGTTTAGATACAATTGAAAAAATTAATGATAAGAACAATAATGAAATGGATGTCTATTTAAAATAAGCAAAATTAATTGAATTATATTAGTAATTTGGCAGTATTTAAAATTTATCTGTTTTTAAACCTAATATATTTTTTATCTTTGAAGATATTTGTTAAATTTATACAAAAAAAATCAAATAAAGAATCATTATCTATGCATTTAATAATTTACTTTTATTTGCCAAAAAAAATAAAGTAAATGCCTTAAAGTATAAACTTCATATTCCAATAACTTAATAATCTTATATAAAAAATATGAAAGATTCATTAATTTTAAAGAATTCATTTGAGGTTGTGACACGTAATGAATCAATTATAATAGTAAATGGGGATTAAAATACAAAATAAATACTTAAGACAAAAATTGAAAATATTATAAATTAATAAATTGAATTATTTCAATCAAAAAAAGATAAAAAGTAAGAGATTAATTATTGTGTTAAAGTAGAAATGATAGGAACTCAAAAAAATCCAAAATTAAATAAGAATGTTACATTTTATTAAATAAACGTTACAATTGATACTGTTACTATTGTATGTCTAATTAGATTTAGTTAAGTTAAGAATTTATTATAAATTGTTAATAAATTTGATAATAAATTGAAAATTCCAAATATAACTAAAAGTTCATCAAAAAATTAAAAAGCAATTGATGAAAGAAAGTTAAGGATTGAATAATTATTATAAATTGTTTTTAATTCTACATAGATAATTGAAAATAATGAATATCAGAAATAGGTTTTGGAAATATTGAAAATTGATTCTAAATTTTATAGTTTACCAGAACAAAAAAGATTAAAACCTGAATTATTTTAGAGTATATGCAAATTGAAATAAAATTAAGTTAATTCATATTTAGAAATTCTTTAAGAATTACAACAATAAACATATAACTTAAAAATAAATAAAGATGATTAATAAGTTAAAATTGGTAATGAAGCTCTATAATAACCTTATTGTATTGAAATAACACTATTGACTGGATAAAATTTATAGGTTGGATTCAAAAAAAATACATTAACATGGTTTATAAAAAATGCAATAGCAAATCACATTAATTTAAAATATTTTGTTGACTTTAAGATATTTATTGTGGATACAGGAGGAATAATTAGAGTAATAGAAGATGATGAAAAAATATCAACATTTTTAGATAAGAGTAAAACAGGATTTCTTTAAGTATTGAAAAAGATGTTTAAAAATGGAACTAAATTTTAATTTATATTTAGAAAGTATTTATATTTGCCATAGAAATAAGAGGAATTAGAATATCGTTAGGATGAAACTAGATTAAAATATTTAATGTTTGAAATAGTATTTTAAGCAAAAAATCAAATATTTCCTTTAAGCTTTTTAGATTTTTGTTTAATGACAGCTTTTTATTCTATTGCAACCCAATAAAAAATTGATAAAAATTTATTGAAAAAAGCATTGCCTAATACTGTAATTAAATAACATTCTGAAAAACTTTGGTTTGATCAGATTTAAAAGGAGGTAGCATTTCGAGAGAAATAATTATAAGAATTTTTAATAAAATAATAATAGTAGTAATAAAATTAAAAGAATAGTACTATTTAAGGTTTGTCAAGCTAATTGATGATAGCTTGTTTTTAGACTAATATATTGTATGGAATGTAATTATTTTTTGTAGAATGTACAAAAGAAACTATTTAAATATTTTAGTAAAAGGAATTTGGCATTAAATTAAGCCCTCATATTTTAATAGGTATTTATATTTATAATTGAAGGTTTAAATTATAATGGTTTTCATTTCATAAGACCAGAGAATAGAGTTGTGCTTATTAAAATTGATTATGGTTTGATTTCAGAAATTAAATCGTTTGTTATTGAGTTTACTTGCAAAATAAAAAATTGCAATTTAATTTTTAAGACATAAACTCCTTATGAAGTAAAATATTCAGTTTAATAGTTAGATTAAACACTTAATTTTAGAATATTAGGAATTAATTAAAATTCTAAATTCTTGATAATTAATTATAATTATTTTATAACATTCAATCTTTTTAACGTAATATATTGTAATATAAATAATTTGAGAACATAAGATTTAATTGATTAATATTCCATCATAACATCTGTATTAACTTAAAGAAGAGGGAAGTTTAGGAACTTAACTTGTTTTACTTATTCTTAAGTAAGATAATGAAGTAGTCAATAGTGAAACATTTTAAAAGTACATAAAGTGAGTATATAAAAACATTAAATAAATAATTATATGTAAGAAAATGAGTTTCCCATCTCAATTTGTGTTCCCTCTTTCAAAAAGAATGATGATGTTGTCTATTATCAATTAATGTAAGATTTTCATCAGATTCTAAAATATAGTTTCATCGAAAATAATCAAAGATGTACCTTTTCAGTTGATTATCGATATTCCCATCTTAAATTATTGCATGAATCCTTATCGACTCTTAAAGCGAGTTTGCCGAAGTTTCCTCCGACTAATTGGTGGAGATCCACCAATAACAATGAAGAATTAATAGAAGAGAGAAGAATACAGTTAGATTATTTCTTTAAAAATCTCTTCTAATGTTAAGGAGTATGCAAAAGTTTGATTATGAAAAATTTCATTCTCAAATCTCAATGTTTATATCTTAAAAAGGTTGAAAAAGTATGTAAAATCTTTGTAATTTAAGTAATAACGTGATATCCTGAAGAAAGAAAGAAAGGCTTAAGCAACCCCCTCCTTAAATAAACAGAAATCCAAGTCTCAAGTAAATTCATTTCAAAATAGTAAATAGTTGACAACCCCTATTTTTGGGCCTGCTGAAGATCCAATAGAAGATCCTCGTGAGAGATCCCGTTCTTGGGAATTTAAATTAACTTAAAAGAAATCTCAATAAGTCTTTGAGAGAGATTCTAAGTAATTAAACAATGTATTTATTCTTATTCCTTATTTTAGTTAAACTTTGGTGGAGTTCCTATATTTAAAGGCATTCTATTGAGATTTAAATGATAAAAATAGATTTCATATATATATTAAAAATATAATTATTCTTTTGCTACATTGAGAGTATTACCCAATAAAACAACATTAAAATCAATATAATCATTTTAAAATTAATTTAGAGAGGTTCTATCCGATACCTCTGGCACTATTGAAACTACAAACACTTTTTTAATTTTTTGAAGTATGAATATATCTAGCAGTGGATGCAGTCTAATAGGAATTATTTGAATTCGAAAGATTAAATGCACTACTATACCATAAATTAATATCATAAGCACAATTTTCTTTAATATACCTTATTAATTCTAGAACCTAAAAACTTGATGGTCTATCAAGTGGATTAGGTCTGGTCATAATTTTGACCAATTCGAACAATTGATTATTTTCACTATTTTGATAAGTTTTATTTTTTTGAAAACTAATATTAGATTAATTTGATTATTATAATTTTGTTCCTGTTAAAAGCATGTATAAAACACAACCAGCTCCAAAGACATCTACTTTGAAATCATAATTAATTTTTGTTTAATGTACATTTAAGACTTCAGGTGCAACATAACCTTCTGTTCCACAATTAGGATTTTCAATTAATTATTTACCATCATAACAAGCAAGCCCAAAATCTATTAATTTGAGTTTGTTGTTATGATACATAATATTGGCTGGTTTAATGTCTCTATGAAGTATTTAGTTCCGATGTAGAAATGTCAAAGCTTCAAGTAATTACTTAAATTTTATCTAATTTATACTTGCATAATTTCTATAATTTCTTCATTTTTAATTTGATTTGATTTATTGAATATAAGTTATTTTAAATTATCTCCTTCAATAAATTCAGTCACTATTTAATAATACAGTTCAGTTTTAAAGACTTCATAAATCTCTACAATTTTAGGATGCTTGATTGATCTTAAAATCTGAATTTCATTTTCTATTGTTTTTTATTAGTCTTTCTTTCCATTTAGTAATATATGTTTAATTGCCACTTTCTTATTATTAAAGTAACATTCATTTGTAGTAACCTATAAATTATATGATAATTTAATACCTAACCAAACGATCCAGCTTCTAACGTTGAAAGATATTTATAGTTTTAAGTTAGATTGACAAATATCATTTTGTTACCCAACCTCTATCTAAGTTAGATAAGGTCAATCTGATCACCATAAAACTCTTTCAAATTACCTTAATATGGGAATTTGAAACCAACTAATCTTTATTGTTTGATTAACCATTCAAAACTTGTACATTCTTCAATGTTCATTATATATTTTGGAGTATCTGTATTTTAATGCTAGAATATGTCAAAAGTAATTACATATGTCATGGTGATTAGGTTATTGTGTTATTTTAACTAATAAACTCTATCTCTAAAAAAATGTTTTCGAACAACTCTACAATAAAACGGCACTTCTAATTGGTTTAACTAGAAAGGTTGTTGTAGTGATTTTTTTTACATATAGATATAATAAATTAATTATTTTAAATCATTGATTAAACTCAAATAACTTGCTTTTATTCTCTTTAAAAATAAATTAAGATGCTAGAGATGTTATCTTTTCCATATTCAGACTCAACATTCTTTGCCACAATTGAATCGCATATAGTTTCTAAGATATCTGATAAAGGCTTCCCTTATTGTATCCTCTCTAGAATAACTTCTGAAATAGCATTATTAGTCCAAGTTTCCCAAAAACCTATAATTTATCATTAATAATATAAAACCATGACTTCCCATTAAAATTAATTCTGTCTCCTCTTTATCAACATATTTTATGCTTGGAACAGAAATAAGCAATTATTTACTCTAATCTAAATTAGAATTGGATTTATATTCAAAATTTCCTAAACCTCTACTATATGGGAGATGAGCATTCACTCTATTTTCCCAAACTTCTCCTCCAGCTGCAAGTATCCTTTGTTTTTCATGATCATTCATTGGATAATGTTCAACAGTCATTACTTTATGTTTACCTTCATATCGAATGATACATCTGGATAACTATTTTATCAAAAACAATGAAATACTCCTGCATTTGCTACATAAATGTTTTCATTTGTAATCAAAGTTAATAATAATGTGACACCTTAATAACTAGTACTCTCCTTAAATTAATTTTTTAGTTAATTATCCAATCTTTCATATAGACCTACAATAGCTTTGTCATAATTTTTCTATTTATATTCTTAATCATTAACAAGTGCTTCCACTATGTGATCCTGAATATATTTGCCATATTCTATCCCACCATATTGTTCCACTATACAAAATAAACAATTCTCTTAATCAAACTTCTCCTTTATTATTACAAATTCATCCTACTGTATTTGCCAACCCTGTAAAGATGTAGACGTATATGCAAAATCCAATACTTTTCCAGATTGGGTTAATTTTGTTGTCTCAGGTTTTGCTAAATACAAACCCATTTCCAATTATATACAAATAATTAATTTTGATAAAACCTGATATACATACTATATATTCAAAATATCCATATTTTAGATTGTTTATTAATAAACTTCAAATCCTAAATTATTTCAAGATTCACTTTTTATGAAAATTGTAATCAATATGAAATAACGAAGAATTATCCATATAATTATTTCTTAAATTCATTAAGGTTAAATAAGATTAAGATCAAAGAAGTTTATTTTATTTAAATTTCATTTAATTATCTATTTCTCTATTAATTATAATAATCTTAAAGTCCTTATATTATTCAGCCAATTTATTTAATAATTATCCATATTTTGAACTATAAATATTACTGAAAGATGGAAAGTATTTAGAATACATAATTTAAAAGAAAAAATCGTCTTTTAAACCAAAATTATTAATCATAATAGTAATTATTATTTATTTTACAACAAAAAAATAAGATCATTTCATATAATTAATGATAAAAGATCCCAAAAATGATCGCAATCTAACAAATAAGCTACTGTTTAAATAAGATTGTAATTAAAACAACTTTTAGATTGATATAGATATAGACTCCCATTTTCTTTTGTTGAAGATAATAAAAATATAATTATTATTGTTGAATATAATTTTATAAATATTAAGAATCTTCTATTTTTACAAATAGCACTTTATAGAAATTAATACTTATTAATAAGATATTCTGTATTAATAATACATATGATTTATTTATTTTATATATATGTTTTATTAATATTTCGATAAAATATCAAATTAATTACACTCATTATAATTTAACTTATAAAAATGGTATCATTAATGTCTATAATTATATCAATATTTGATATATAATTATAGATATGAAATATACAATCAAAGAAATATAGATGTTTTGTATAATATTTAAAAGAACGTATGAATTTGGCGAGTTGAAATAGTATGAAATATGTAAAATACATTAGAAATTATAATGCATTATAAAATTATCAATTAATATCTTTTAACATATTGTCTTTTGAATGTGAATCTTGAAATACAATTAAATATTTTGAATAATATTAACTTATTTTAGTTTAAAACAAGATATTAGAAATTTTGAAGAGCATAATATAATTAAGATTATTAATGAATGATACTATTGTAAAAGAGATAATGCCTACAAAGATAAGTGATAAAGAGAAGAAGATTATAGAATATCTAGTGGAAGAGTTATTATTGGAGCAATTCACAGATCCCTTGTTGAAATAAATGAACTTTGAGTTGTCAAAGAAGAAAACCATATTCTCATTTAGATCTATGGATTCTGACACTGAAATGTCTGAAGCTACTTCTTGTTCAACCATTAAGAGTAGCAAACTATAAATTTGTAAGTCGCCCTTGTTTAGAAGAAGACTCAGTGCATTAGTTTTAGAGTAGTTATCTTGATTTTGTATTATTTAACGTATTTTGAATCTCAATATTGGAAGAAGGAATAAATGTCTCTCTTTACATATATTTCTTACATTTAGTTTTATTAGTAAAATAATTGAAATATAAAACATTTGTAAATGTAACCAATAAGGCCTTCTTCGGCAAGTTAAACATTACCAAAAGTGGATCAAAAGAGTACAGCAAGGAAAAAATCAACTTATTAATCACTTTTTCAACCAATAATAAAACCATCTGCTTTATTAATTGAAACTCCTGACTAACAATTAAAGAAAACTTAAGTATTGGAATTATTAGGATTCTATGAAAAATGTACTATTGATATTAAGAGTAGAACTAATGGCTGTAAAAGGAACAAATCAGGAAAAAAGTGAAGTGGATGGTATCTTTAAACGATTAAACACATTTGCAACGACATAAATTGAAAAGCTTGGATTTCATGATACAAGTATATTGATTCTACAATGGATTATTCAACATAAATCATATGAGGAAATTCCAACATAAATGTATATATGCACCCTCTTATTTTTATAGTTGTTTAGCTTATAACAATTTAAGTTGTGTTTATCGTAGAATGGGATAAACACAGTTAGCATTAAATGCTTTAGAGAATGCTTTACAATTAATTCAGATGTATGAATAAATAAAAATGGAAACAATAACATATTTGAATATTACATCTGTTTTAAGTTCAATGAATATGTAAAAATAATTTGTTATTTTAAAGGCATGATAAAGCATTGAAGAATTCCTTAAAAGCTATTCAATCAGGCAAGAAAGAATTTGATCCTAATCAAATTGAAACTGTTAAATATTTGGCTATGGCTAATTTTAACTATGGATGTGAATTAGAATAATTAGATCGTTTAGAAGAAGCTGTAAAATAATATAAAAGAGCATTATAATTTGTTCTTGAACATTTAGGTAATCACGATCCTTTTTTTTAAAAATTTCATATGAAACATCATTAAGCAAAGTAAAAATTAATAGTTTAAATGAATTAACAATAACCAGGTCTATTTAAGACAGTATTATAATTAAAGAAATAATATGAAGTTCCAACAGATGAGAGTTATTAATAAACAACTCCTTTGTGTTAAACTAAAAAATTTTCAATGTTAAAGAAAAATAATTATATGGAGGATTAGAATTATTAAAGAGATAGTAGTGAAACAATAAAGAAAGGAATGACAGATGAAGAAATGTTTTAAGATATAAAATTCTAGAAACCTATAGAAAAGAAAGAAGAAAAATAATAATAATTGAATTTTAAATAACAATAAGATGAGATTCAATCAAGAAAACAAAGTTAGGTAATTAATAAGAAGATGAATCAGATTGAATAGATATAATTAGAAGCATGGTCTAATTCAGAACCATCAGATACAGAGATTAAGAAATAAAGAATTAATGAGAAATCTCCAGAATTAAAGGTATCATCTGTTAAAATTAATACAAAAGATTAAAGATTAAATTTTTTAAATAAATAAAATATATCTAAATAAAAAGTTGATGATAATTTATTGGAGAAAGAATAATAAATTATAAGAGAAATAGAGGAATAAATATATAATGCAGAAAGCATTGCAAAAATTTAAGCTTAATTTAGAATGAAGAAGGAGAGAAAGAAGTTTTATTGTCTTAAAAAAGCTAAAAAAGATTAAGGAGAATTATTACCTTCTGATGAATTGAAACTAAAATAATTTTAGAGATTCATAAAAAGAAAGTTAAATGAATTGAAAATGAGAGATATTACAAAAAAAATAGTTTAAAAAAATAAATTAAAGAAATTTCCTAATACTGAAAATTAAGCTTATAAACGAATTATATCTTTATTAGAAACATATAAAGCTTATAAAAGAATGCTTTTACATAAATACATAATAAGAACAAGATAATTCTAAACTTTGAGATAGAGTTATTGTCATCCAAAATAGATGGTTAATGAGAAAATTGAACCATTTAGAGATTCATATATTTTTACATTTGGTATAACGAATGATGATTCATTTGTACGTTTTTCATTAGTAAATGGAGTAAAAAATAAGAGAAAAGAATAATAATATTATTTTGAAATGGATATTTAAAGTTTTTTAAAGTCTCTTGGATTATTGCATTAATATATTGAAGAATTAGAATGCTTTATAATTGAAGAGAATTAATTATTAAAGAATTTAAAGAATTTATAAACAGTGGCATAATAATTTATAATAATGAATGAGGTTGATGGGAAATATGTAGTAAGATGTTTAACTGAATTTTAAACATAGTTTAGATTAGCACTTTAGAGAACAGCAGTTATATTACAAGAACTTATTTTAGTTGATAATAATAAGCTTTATATTTAAGGAATAAATAATTTTGAATATAATGATGTGGTTCCATATGAAGAAGAAATTAGAGTAGTTAGACCTCCTCTTTACACTAAGAATTTGAGTGAAAATGAATTAAGTTCTATAAAATTCATCTAATCATTTATGAAAGGGTATTTACAAAGGATTAGAGTATAAAAATGGGTAAATTAAAAGTAGAAACAAATATATTCAACAAATTTAATAAAAACTGTGACTGGACATTATTTAAAAATTGTTAAAGCATAACATTTATAAAATAAGAAACATTATTTATATATAATAAATTAAGAAACATAAAAGAAATCAAATGATTTAGAAATTAAATAGATAGTATTTTAAAATATGGGAGAAATAAGTAGAGAAAATTTATTTGAAATATTGAAAATAGATTTAGATGGACCAAGTATAGAATATAGTGATGAAGCTAATTATTGGATATAAAAATAGGAAGATTATTAAAAAAGAGGTGGTAAGGAAACATATTCAAAAATAAATAAAGATGATTCAATTGTATTAATTTAAAGAGCAGTTTTACATTATTTATTAAAAAGAAGATGTACAATTAAGAAAATTAATAAAACAAAATTCAATAATAGTGATTAAAAAAATATAGAAAGAGAAATTTTGGTTAGAAGAGCAATAATTTATGGATCAGATATGAATTAAAGGGCATGTTTAACTACATTATATTTAGAAATAGAAAGAACAGATCCAACTACATCTTTAATGGGTTAAAGTGAATATTAAAGTGTATTGATAACTTCAAAGAATTTAGAACATGTTTATGCATTTGATAAATGTGTTCCATTTTATTAGAAATTATTTTATCCATTATCTAGAACAGAAATTATAACAGTAGCATAAAGAATGGTTGAAGTTTCAAGAATAGTGAAAAATAAAAAGGGAGAACCTAAAGTTGAATGTAAAAGTGTTGATTAAGTTCATGGTGAGATATTATCAAAATAAGGAGAAGAGGATGATGTTAATTAAAAGAAAGAGAATACACTTGATGCAAGATTGAAGATTGGATCTACATTAAGGGATAAATATTTATAATAATTTGTATCATGTTTAGAAGAGGATCCAGAAATGAAATTAAATCATTAAGCTGAAGATAATAAATAAAAAAACTTTGTTTCTGCACTTTAGAATGTTTTTAGAGATTTTAAAGTTAGATTAGCTTAAAGAGTTAAGATAACAAAACATGTTGATGAAGAAGATGAAGCATCAATCAAAGCTTATGTATAAAATGTTTTACCTACTACAGAATATGGTACTAATCCAAATTTATTTAATGATATTAATTAAGATTAATTATCAGATGTTAAATCTTAACATTCACTTAAAGAAGATTTAGATTTTGTGGCAGAATTTAATATCACATTATTAGATAGTTTATTCAAATTGTAGATATTCTATTAAATGAGTTAGTAGATATTTATAGTTCATGGATAGAGTATTTATACTTCCAAAATTTATAAATCATCAATACTAAAATCAGATCTCATTAATAATTATGATATTCCATATAATTATATCAAAGATAATTCTTAGAATATTATTTTACCACTTATTGATTTTTAAGATGAAAAGATTATATTTTCAAAAGATGAAATTAAATTGCAAAAAATTGTAGATGATTATTTAGCTTTTGAATTTAATGATGATAAATCATCAAAAAAAGGAGTCTCTATTGATCATGGAATAGAAGAAATACCTCCTGATTAAATTACTGATAAAGTAGTAATTGCCATTTATTAAAAAGGTACAAGTACTATATTCTATGAATTTCATAGAGAATATATGATTGTTAAGATAATTATTCATTTTAATAATACTAATGAAAAAAGAGTAGTTGAGATTGATACACACTAATTTTAATCTAAATATGTTGATGAAAGAATAAAAGATTTAAATAATAAATAAGTAATCAGATTCTTTAAAGAATTTACTCGTACAATTACAAAGGTAATTACAATTAATGAAAAAGAACATACTCATAATTTTGAAGATTTAAGAGGAGATTTATCTTTGTTTTTAAGAGAGAAGTTTGTTTAAAAGATATAAGGAATGTTAATGGTAAAAAGAATGGTTGAGAAATTCAAATTATATAAATAATTAAAACGTTCAAAATTACATATACATAAATTCATTGTTAATAGTGGTTAACATTATATTGAAATATCATATTTCCTTATTAAATAATCTAGCAATCTCTAATTAACTATGAGAGAATTGACATTTGTGACTCCTTAGGGTCATCTAGTAGAGAGAAGTAAAACATTAAAGAGTAAAAGAAGATTGAGAGAAAAATAGTTTTTAATTAATTTAGAAAAATTATCATAATAAAGTGATTAATTAATTAATTCATAATCTAAAAGATAGGATTAATTAGATCTTTAGAGAATTGATTTTTAAATTCTCTCTAAATATGATTAAATGAAAACTATCTAATATTATAGATCATTGATGACTCCTTTAATTTCTATAATTTAGAAGAATCTTGTTATTAATTTCAATAAATTTCAATTTTCATTGACTCTTCCAATAATTATGATAGAAAGTCATATAATGAAAAAGAAAAAGAAGAATTATTCACATGAAACTAAATTCTAATTAATGACATATGCAGTAATAGCAGCTTAATCTTCTTTTAGAAAGAAACTGTTAAAGAAATGGTTGTAAACTAAATTAGCCAGAAAAAGATAAATAGAGGAAAAAAATAAACATTTAGGAGAGTTTATAAAGAGATCTTTTAAACAAATAAGAGAGGATGATGAAGGTCATTATTATATTATTAATGTTTATAAATAACCTGGAAAAATATCAAATCAAACAATATATACTTTTGAATTAATACCAATAAATAAAAGTTAGAGGAAGACAAAGATGAGAGCTTCTTATTCTTATGATAATTTTTAATTGATAGATGTAGGTTCATAATCATTGGCAAATCATTTTATCAATAAAATTTATATTGAAAAAGGAATAATAAAATTTGATGAATATTCATTTTAAAATGTTTAAGATGAAGGTGTTTCAACAACATTTGATGAAAATCTTTAACATGAATAATAAAATATTAATGTTGATGAAAAGATGATAGAGAAAGATGCATAAGAAATATTAATAGATTAAGAGAAATAAGGAAATACTCTAATCAATATTGTATACACAAATTCAAAATAATTATTAGATAAAAAATCATATGATGATTCTTAAAATAATGTTACTAAATTGTAAGTTGATTTATAAAGTATTAAGAAATTGTATCCTAATTTTAATGTAAAAGATCCAAATACTGTAAAGATTTTAAGTTAGAATTTGAGAAAAGGTGTAAAAATGGATTAATTTGCAGGAAGTCTTATGATTGATAAAAGTAGAATTTAATCATCTTTAATTAATCCTCTTAGTGTTGGAGTATAGAGATTAGAATCATAAAATTATATATAATCATAATATTAGATTTCATCAAATATTAATAGAAGTATGAGATTATCTTAAAGACCTTATGCTACAAATGTACTTGCTAAAGAAACAATGTATTATACTGGTAAGAAATATTTGATTGTGATAAGTTAAGTGAAAAATAAGATTTAAAAGATCTTAAATTAAGATAGAGATTCAGTATTTGAAGATCATGAAAGAATATTAGAGATTAAAGCTCAAAATTTAAAAGAGAGATAGGAACCATTCTCTTGGTATTTAACACCTGATGATGCTGAAATATTGACTCATGAAAAGAGTCCTGAGAATATGGCTAAGGTTCTAACTAAAAATTTATAAATAATAAATTCTAAATTCATTTATTTATGTTTTAATTAATAGGATTAATAAAGAGTTAAATTGAAACCTGATGATAATGTAATATTATTTGTTGAAAGTACTATAAGACCTATGCAAACAAAATTTAGAAATAGAAGAATCTTTTCAAATTATAAAGAATATAGGAAGACATTGACTAGATCAAGGGCTGATGGAACATTAATATTACATTTAGCAAATAATTTAAATACTACAAAAAGAATGTTTGTAATATTGTTTATTGAAGAAAAGGAATCATCTATTTAATTAAAAAGTTGGGATGCTACTGAATAGATGTATTTTTGTGAAACTGAATTATAATTAAAAAAGGTAAATATAATGATTATTAATATAATTAGTATCAATCAATATATTTTTAAGATAAATAGAAATGTTTGAAAGCTCTATTAAATTTTTTAGAATTTAGAAGTGAATAGAATAAGATATAATTTTTACATCCAAAACCAGAATAAGTTTAGGATTATTTTGAGAAAGAAAAGAAATTATCAATACATTCATCATCTAAAATTGGTTCACCAACAAAATCAGTTGATTAAAATAATGAATAATAAATGAAATTCTTTTAATAAGAACATACACCAATGTAATCACCTATGATAGCAATTGAAAATTTAGATGACGATGAAATTTAAGAAGTATAAGAAGATGTTATTTAATAATGATAAAAAAAATCTATATATTTATTATAATATTAATAATATCCGTTTTAATGAGGGTTTATGCACTTTTATGTATAATAGCAATTGTTTATTGCACTTAAACTACAAAGTAATGATATCAATAATATGATCAAGCTAGGCAAGTATGTTTGAAGAGTAGCTCGGATAATTGACAAAAAGTAAATTAGGAAAAACTATATTAAATATGATATCATTGCAATAATTTACAGAAGTGGATTTTAGTCCATTATTTACAGCTATAGATGATATTGTTGCATCAACATAATAAGCAAAATAAGATGAGACTGAATAATTAGATTCTTATTTTTAATAATTCTTGAGTGATTCAGAGTTCTATACAAATCAAGTTACAGAATATAGTACAGAAGTATTTAAATTAATATTCATTTAAGGTTGCATAACATTAAAGTGATATTACAACATTCAAAAAGGATAGAAACAGTTTATAATAGTCTCTATATGATAAAAATTAATAATTGAGTGATTCTTTAAGAAATTAAGCATAATTACAAAAAACTGTTTAGAATAATGATTAAGCAATATCAAAAAAGACAGCAGAATATGATTAATCAATATCTATTGTTGATTAAGTTATAGCAAAATTATAACTTGTTAAATGTAAATCATAATAATCTAATTTATAGAGTCATCTTTTATTGAAATAAACAAAGAAGATCTTGCTGTTTCAACTGCCACATTTTCAAGAAGATTAAGTGAAGTATCTCATCTTCCTCATCTTTTTGAACCTTTATCAAAAGTATTAATTTAAATGAGCACTTCTGGGTATATATTATTAATAAATCTTTAAGTTTTGCTGATTAAGAATAAGCAGGAAATGCAATTAAATTACTTAACAGTTTAAGAGAAGATTTAGTAGCTACAAAATAAGCTTTATTAATGAATGCTTAATTGGAAAAAGATACTAATAATGGATTGTTGACTTCTTTAGAAGAAAATATTAATCTTTTAAACAATGAAATAATTCCATAATTAAAAGGAGATATTGAAACTAAAGATGGTGAAATTGCAACTAAATAAGAACTCTTAAAGGATGCATAATCAAATTTGGATACTGCATAATCTAATCTTGATAATGTAAATGCTGGATGGATTGCTAGGTATTTTACAATAAATTTATTTTATTAGATAATAATAAAATAAATAATTAAATGATGGATGGGATAATGAATTGATGTTGTTATCATAAGCAGAATCAGCTTTGGAAAGAGGAGGAATTAGAAGATAATGAAAAATATTATTAACAATTTATCAATAATATTAATAAATTTTATTTGTGATGAGAGGTTTCTTTGCTATCACAAGAGCTTTTATAGCTCCTATTGCAAAATCCACTTTCAGATTCTCAAGTTAATAATAGAAAATTCAAATGAGAATGTATTATCATTATCATATATTTTAGTGTAATCAATCAAATAAACCAAATTATTAGACTATCTTCCACAATGTCAGGATTGAGAATTGCTAATCAATATGATTTGGCATTATTTTCCTTATTAGAGGAGGCTAAAGGTATTTCTAATATATTAATTTTAGGTAATTTATTTATTATGATTTATAAGATGACTCTGTAGAGGTGGACATCAGGCAGATTGGCTTACACTTAGGATGTACTATTACCCCTTGATTAAGCAATATAAAAAATATATATATAAATATATTCAAAATATCAAATTTTCTAAATTCAAACAATTATACATTACATAATATTAATCTTAAATATTTAAGTATTCATTCAAAATAAAATAAATTTTAGTCAAATGTTTTGTTCATTAAAATTTAATTATTGACCTATATTTAAGAAGTATTAAGACAACCTTAAATTGCAGTTTAAATTAGAAAAAAAATATTGATTAAATTATTTATTTTATGAATCTTAATATTTAATAAGAGTAGAGTTTTGCATAACTAATAGAGCCATCTAATGAATATAATAATGAATATGATTGCATGTGTGAATATTTTCATGAACCTGAAAATTTATATAATAGTAAAATGAGATTAAACAAATTAAAAACGTAATAGAGTCTCTCATCTTCTCTAATCTAATGTTTTAAGTAATTAAAAGTTAAAAGTGAAAAAAAGCACAAAAATAGCATTCATAAATTCAAAAGATACTCAAAATTTAAATGGATAAATCGTTTAATACAAGTTAAGGCAAATATAAACAACAAAGTCTAATTAAATTCTCAATATGAAGAAATCTCCTTTAATATTATCTCTGAAATAGTTGAATAAGGAGAATAAGATGTCTTTGCTGAATAACTTTATTGAATATTTATAAAACTATCATTGTAATTAATATAATAATGATGTGCTGCCTATATTATCTCCTAATCCACAAGTTCTCATAGGATGAGGATTAATTAACACTGGAGCAACACAACATTAATGTTTTAATTAATTATTCACATTCCAGCAAAAATTCATGGTTTAAATTAAATGATCTCGATTCAAGGTTTGATTATTTGGATATAGAATTAAATCCTCCTCTTCTAATAGTATCTATGTAGTTTAATAAGATTTATACTTCAAGATTTGTGCTATTGTTAAATTATTAATCAATTTAATTATCATTATAAGATTTCATTGCTTGAATCAATCCCACAAGAATTGATCTATGTAATGCTGGTTTTATATCTCTCCAATCTTAATTTGAACAAATCAATTGAATAGTTTATGAATGGAAGTGTATTCTACATTTAAATATTAAAAAAAAATACCTTTCTAAATGTTATTTTTATAGTAATTTAACTATCAATTATAATTATTCATTAGTATTTATTTATTTTTACTCTAATTGTCCTTTTGTTATGAAATTATATAATAATTATAATTCTTATTCATTCATTCCAGTTGAATGAATATGTGGAAATATATGATCAATTAAGTAATATAATAGATTTTCATCATTAAATGCACCCATTTCAAAATGAATTTTTAAATTGTTTTTTTATGCAATTAAGATCTTTTCTAATTTTAAAATAATCTCTTCATATTCTTTTTTAGGTTTCTGATTCATTAATTGAAATCCTCCAATTACCAATAAATCTGGATGTATTGAATTAATATTTGCTTCTAAATTCTCCAAACCAGGAAATCTCATATTGTCTTAATCATTTTACAAATATAATCTATTTGTATGTTAACATATTATGGTATCATATACATCACCTTCATCAAAATTAATAACAATATGAACATCCTATATTTCTTCTCTTAAAAAACTTTATGGAACTATTGTTATTGATTCATTGAATAAGTTTTAGTAATAATGATTAGACATTATTGCAGATAAATAAACATCTCCACCTTCCTAATATATTTTTCATTTGAATTTTTACTTTGAATGCTCTAAGTGCCATTTATGCTGAATTCCCTCCTAAATCCTTTGATGTAGATATTTTCTTAGAAATTTACACAATATTTTCAAATCCCTCTGTAACATGTAATTCAGATCCCAAACCATTTTCGAAATGAAACAATATACTACTACATATATTCTTCATATTTCTATCCTCTTTACTACATTATAACTCTTTTAACAATGTTGTCGCTTAAACTTATATGTCTTCATCACTAGAAAATGCAAAGAGGATTTTCTTTTTCAAGGGTTTATTAGAATTACTATTAAGAATTCGTAATGATTTTGTAACACTATCTTCAACATTCACCCAAAACCAAGCCAACCAAAAGGCTAACAAAATTTAGAATATAATTTTCATAAATATATCAAACTGGAACTGGAGGAGGGGGAAAGTTTTAACTAGGCATTGCAGAATATCCCACTATGATTATTAGAAATCCAGCAAAGATTATCAATAATCCTACTATTGATTCATGCAAAATATGTGGATCAACAAAGCTATCTATCATAAGGGTTCCACAGCTAAAATTATTATTATTTAGTATTACAATATTACAAACATACCTTTTCCACAATATTCAATCATAAATCCAAAGTATTCTTTAACCAATCTTACATTCAATTCAACAAGGATTAATAATAATCCAAAAATACTAAACTTTCATCAACTTTATTACATCCAATAAACTGTCCAAATCCCCACTAAAATAGGAATGTCTGGAGTAAAGTAAAATTTCAACACTCCCAAAACTATTAACACTACTGCTACTAATACTGATATGAACTTAATAAAGTTATTAGCTTTATGTTCAGGACAGGCCATTTTTAATATAAATTAATTTATATAATCAATTATCTAAAAATATTATATCTAAGTTGATTTTCTTCTTTATTTTTGTTATCCCAACACTACCTTTATTATTATTATTATAATATATAATTAATATTTTTAATATTAAATGGCATCTCAATAATAATAATAATAATAATAAAGTACTCAATAGTAGCCCTAACAACAAAAATAACCTATTAGATAACCAGATGTTAAAACCCAACTCAAATAACTTTACGATAAATCTAGTATTTAATTTGATGATGAAACCATTTAATTATGTCCATAAATTTAAATATTGAATAATTTAGTGAAGTAATAATCATACAACTTATTTAAAGGTACGAGAATAGAATAGATCAAATGATTAAAAATAAGCGAGTTGATTTATAAGAATCTTTCATTTAACCAGGACAATATCTTAAAAAGACCCTTAGAATTATTGTTTACTCTGAATTAGTTTGTGATGAATGGAATCTTTTCATCAAAGGATAAGTACTATCAGAGGATAAAAAACCTTTCTCTTATTTTATTAGATAACTTGAAGTCTAATTTGATAAAACATATTATCCTTCCTAAAATATAATTCAATGGAGTAGAAATCATTTACAATAATAATAATAGTAATAATAATAATAATAACAATCATAATCATAATAATAATAAGAAACAAGTGGATTTCATATTAAAAGAAAAGGACCATCATGTGATGTAATTATTTAAATAAGTCTTTAAACTTATCCATAAAAGTATAAATTACATAAAACACTTTAACAATTACTTGGAATTAAAGAAGGTACAAGATCATAAATTTTATATTGTTTTTGGGAATATGTGAAAGTAAAAATTAATAAATTATATTCATTAGTTAAATAATTTGACTGATAAGGAAAGTAAAGATTACATAATAGCTGATGAATAATTAAAATAATTATTTGGATAAGAACGTATACCTTTATCTAATTTGAATATGTTATTAAAAATGTTTATAGAAAATCCAGAACCTATTGTAATAAAACACCATTTAGGAGTTAGCAATTATATTGGATTTGATGTTGTAGTAGAATAAGAAATGAGTTATTAACCAGAATTAATGCCATTTTTAGCTTAAAAGGTAGTGACAGAAGATAATTCAGAAAAGAAATAATAGAGAGCAGAACATCCATTTATATAATTAAATTAGAAAATTAAGGGATTTGAAAAGTAGATTCAAAAATACATAGAGTAAAGTAAGAGCCATAAATTAAAAAGGGATGCTTATTATTAATATTAAAAGAATCCAAGTTTATTTTTGGAAAATTTATTTTTACAATAAAATTCATTTCTGGAATTAATGTAAAATGATGATGAAATGCGTAATGAAGATCCAAAAAACATGAAATTCCTAATGAAAAATTAAGAATTAGTAGAGAGATAGATTCGTAAATATTTGGAACAACAATAACAACAACCATAATAATAATAATAATAATGAGTTATTGATGTATTTGGTATTTTGAACGTATTAAAAAATAAATTTTAATTATGAAAAAATTACTTGTGGTTTCAGGACTTACAGGATCAGGTAAATCATAAGTAGTTTAAATACTTAGTGAATAATTAAAATCAAAAATAATACCAGTAGATTCTCTGTAAGTATGAATTCTTATATCATTGTAGATTTATAAGAATTGGCCAATATCAAGTAATTGGCCTAAAACATTATAGAATTATGAACTCATAGGAAAATATGATGGATTAAAATAGACTATAACAAGTTATCGTTTTAAGAAGGATGTCTTGTAGATATTGAAATAAAAAGATAATTACATATTAGAGGGTGGATGTTGTTTCTTTCTAAATTATTTAATTAATTCAAGAAAGGAATAATTTGATGAAGAGTAAATAAAAGCTGCAGATATATAAGCATCAAAATTATTAGAAAATTGTGGAGATCCATAAGCTCTATTAAAATAATATTTTTTAAATTATGATGATTCAATCAATATATCAGATAGATATAGAATTTAAAAAGCTTTAAGATTTGCTTTATTAACAAATGGATAATCCATAACATCTCCATTCAATGAGGAAGATCCAAGACTATGTGATGAATTGGATATTAGAGGATTTTTTTTAACAGAACCTTAAGAAAACATTTCAAAAAAAATATATGCAAGGTAATCTATAATATAGTATCAGGTGTGATTAAATGATTCAATAAGGATTATTGGAAGAATTTTATTAATTTTATTAAATGTTAGATTAATAAGAGTTTCGTGTCACTACACCTATTGGGTATGATGAATTTGTTAATTTATTAAAATGTTTTTAAAATATTTTTGAAGGAAGGTATATATCCAATAGGAGAGCAGAAAAATAAAAGAGAGAATATGTTCTAAAATTTATTTAATAATTCTATATAAAATCACGATAATATGCTGCATACTAACGCAAATATTTTAGATCTAATTTAAATTAGTTCTTATGGATAGACAACAGAAATATAAACATTCCATAATTAATTTTATAATATTACAATTGTGATAGATAAGAATACGAATCAAAAGTGGCTTCACCATAAAATGAACAATAGAAAAATGAATAGAGCTCAAAATTATTAGGTAAATAGAATGATCCACTCCCACCAAAATAGATATAAGAAATAACTTATAAGACAGTTTAAGGATTTATAGATTAATGAATTTATGTAATATTAATGGAATCATTAAATTATTTGGTATGAAATCTTTTTAATCTTATCCAAACATTCAGGAGCTCCATTTCTCTAAACTTAAAACAATCCATTTTCTCCCCATCCTGATCCCCAAGAGTTTTTAAATTAATAATGATCTTTTCCATAACCAACTATCACAACTGCATGGCTAAGTTCTATGGCTCCAACATAACTGCAAGTGTCTATGATACCACCTCCATATTCAAACCATGACTTATCTGCATACATCAAAGCAGTCACCGGACCATCTTAAAGAGCCTCTTTAATTTATCTAGATTAATAAGATGATTAGTTTACTCAACAGTTGGATCATTAACTTTCTCTACATCAACTATCTAACCTTTACTAATATTTCCTCCTGACTTCTAACAGTCTTATTATGTAGCATCATATTCTCTATATTCATTTTTTTTAAGAGCTCCATTCTCATTAATGAACTTATATGCACCAATAGGAGATCTTCCATTGCATCCATTATTCTTATCTCCTACACAACAATCTATTAAAATGAGTCTTTGATAATTGAGTTAAGTCTTCCTTTCCCTTCAAAGCAAATCTACTTATTGTTAAATCAAAAGATGAGAATGCCCAACAACTTCCACATGTTCCTTATGGTCTAGATGGTGTAACCTTAATTAATATTCTTATATAATTATTTACTCCAATCTAATGAATCTCCTTTCTTTGCCTATTCTCTTATTTAATTTAAGATTGGATGATTTCTCAATTCTTTGATGTCTTGTTTGCTAAAGAAATGATGATTACAGAATTTTAAATCATCATCATTAAAATCTAGATGCATAAACATTTTCAATGCTAATTCATCATAATCTTAATCTGAAAATTCATTCAATTTAGCCTTATATTTGACTCCTATATGATTATGTTTCTATGGATAAGCAAACCCTTCTATACTTCAATATTTTTCTTGTTTCTCATAAAGATCTACATTCCATGAGTTACTGTAAAATCATTATCATAAGATTTACCATATTCAAACATCCAATTATGAAATATCAATTAATCATGTTCATTTAAGTGTTCATTATTCATTTCATTTCTGCATTTAAAGTCTCTTACACATTTGAATGATTTATGGATAGACAAATTCCAATACACAGTAAGTTCAAGATTATTCGCTTCATTTCTCTAATTTATCAATATAAGATTATTAAAAAATAGGAAAAACCAATATTTTATCATTAATAAATTTCTTTTTTGTTGTTATTGATTACTAAGAATTCATTTTTAATTATTCACCAACAAATTTAAAGAAATATTTTCATATATCACATAATTAAAATTTCAAATTAATTTATATAAATTATAAGTCTTTATTTCAATAATGTTTAAATATTGTATTTTAAAAAATAGGAAATCTAAATTTAATATATGCTCTCTTTTTTATTATATTTATGATTCATATATTATATTATATCTTTGGAATAATAGTGAATGTGTTTAAGATAAAAATTAAGGGTTTTTCTCATATATTAAACATAATTCATAAATAATTTTATGAAATTTATAAAGAAAAGCTTGAAATACTAAAAACTTTAATTGTAATATTTGATAGGACATTCATAGGTAGCATTAGAGCAAGAGAATAGACTATTTTGGGCCTTATGCGAATTTATCAGGATGTTTTAGACGATAGCATTAGCATTGTTATATCAGTAAATAATTCGAATGTTGAGTACTGATTAGAAATTTGAAGAACCCTCTTATACTTAAGATAAGATTGAATTAATAAGTAGAATATCAATGCCAACAATTTTAATTCTAGAATATTTATCATTAGAGTAAATAATATATTTTCAGTTGATATTTTTGGCTTTGCTTTTTTTAATGTTATTGATTAATGTAATAGCTGTGAGATTAGAATATATTCATTTTAAAGAGATTAAATTTTAAAATAAAAAATAGTTTTGTAAGACTGATGGGAATAGTTTTTGTATATATATATATTTAATGATTAGAATCCCTAAACTTATTAAATAGCACATACAATGATAATGATTTTGTAGAACATTTCTTATTAAAATAATTAATGATAACAGATAATGGATCTTTGATTGAAATGTATTTATACAGAACATCTTTACTAACAAACTATTTTACTCATATCTTATTTTTACCTTAAATATATTGGATAGCAATAATATTTTATAGAATTTTTAATTCATCTAATTACTAAGTTGTATTGTTTGCTTTAAACTTTACTCTAAATTTGATTTAATTATTATTTTTAATAATTTTAGAGGCATTGTCTTTGTATATGCAATAATCATATAGATTAAAAGACACAAATTATTTAAGATTAAGAGTTACAACATCTTTTAAAATTGGATAGATTCTTAGAATTGTACCAACAGTTTTATATTTTAGTGTTTTGTATCTAATGGATCATGAAACAATTTATGATAATTTATTATTCTAATAAATAATAAGTTGTTTTGTACTTTTGAATCTATTATTTGATTTATAGGATTAATCATAAAATATTCCATTTGTTTAGCCATATAAAATATATGTATTTCATTTTGCTTTTTCATTTACTTTTGGTATTACTTTTACAAAATTGTTGTAATTTTCAATAACAGATATAATAACATTAACTTTAATGAGTATTCCATGTACATGTAAAATGCTTAATTAATTGACAGATTATAATTTTAAGAATATTGTTATGAAAACACTTCATGCTGAAAATATGCCTCTTAAATAGAAGATATTAAAAAGAAGTTCTTAAACTATTACTAAATCTATGGCTATAAATGATGATGCTCATTAAATTGAGAGATTAATTTGGTTATAGAAGTTAGAATAAATAAATACAGTTAGATTAACTAATTATAAATATTTCTTATAATTTGTACGTTTATATGAGTTATTGGGTATTTAGAAATAGCAGGCTTATTCTCCTACTGATGTATTTAATCCAAATTAATCAAAATTTTTAATGTAATGTATAATTTTAGTAAAAACTCATGTTGAATTATGTAATAATCTATATTGTTTTTGTCGAGGATTTATGGGTGAAAAAAAATAAAGTTTAGAATTGAATCATGATAATAAATAAATGAAAATATTTTCTGATCATACTTGTTCAAATTTATTTATTTCAGTTGATTTAATTGATAGATATATAAGATATTATGTAAAACTAATTTTGAATATTCAAATATATGTTACATAACCTAATTTAACATATATAACATAATTAATTAGTTATATAGGTAAATCAGAGGAATGTTTTTAAACATGGTTATAAATAATGGAAGTTAAATTATAATTGCAAGAACAAAAAAAGCCATATGATGATATTGTTCTTAATTTGATGACAAGTTATTCAAAGTTTCTCACTCTTCAAAGAACATAATCTCATTTGAATGAATTATAAATTAGAAAGACTATTTAATATGGAGATTATAGGAGTACTGAATAATAAAGGAATCATTTCTTTAATTAATTAATAGATAGTTTATAAATGAAATAAAATTATTTATTAAAACTTAGTAGCAATAAATTGAATTATGAAGAAGTTTAATAACTTTATATTGAATAAAATAAAACACTTGATAAATTATAAGGTCATTTATTGTAATTCTATAATTAATCTCAATGTAGAACATCAACATTATTATTAATGTTTTATTATTTAGAAATAAAATGTGATTACTTCTCATTTTATCAATATAAAAATGTAATAACAATATATTCTTAAATTTTAGAGTCTTAGATCCAAAGAGATTAAGTTTTTTGAAATTCCAATATTATCTCATCAATCTTAAAATGTTAGTTACCTTAAAATTAATTTATCTAGATTTTCTAAATATAAATGCAGAGGTGAAATTTTATCTCGTTCAGATAATTCATATAACTTTTTTGGATTTTAAAACATGGATGAATTTTGTAATTAAATTTAAACTGTTCATTAATTAGTACCACCATTAATTGCTAAAGTACATAATACAATAATGGAATTATTTTTAATGAGTAGTAGACCAAATGTTTTGAGATAAGAACGTCATTTGATAGCTCAAAAAGCAAATCAAGAGATTGTATTTATAGAAATGTTTATTGATGTATGTTTTACTATAACTGCTACATAATTTCCTGTTTATTGTTTTATGTAAGAACTTAAACCAATAGGTAAATTTGAGAATGTAAGAGGTCATATAATTGTTGATGATTATGAAATTATTTAAGGTATAAGTTCTTATGCTTATTAATCTCTTTTTCTCGATTCCACATAGGAGATTTGTAATTAAGAAATTTCTAAGTTTTATAATGATTTCAATGAAAATATTTAAAAGTTAAATTTAATGATGGATTCAAAAACTGTAAGAGAAAAGAGAAAATCTTTAGTGATAACTAATTAATAAATTAAACGATAAAAGAATATTAAATCTATTTATAATCATTATAAATTAAGGCTTGAAGATTAATTATTTGTTATTAATTCATAAGATAAATTTCTTATTGATTTAACATTAACTTTAACATATGGAATAATCAATAATAAAATATCAAAAGTATCATTATTAATTTATATTATAATTTGTATAGTTCTACATTATTGAGTTTAACAAGGTTCATCAACTTGAAATTACAGATAACAGTCCTAGTGATCATTCTATTAATCTTTAAGATAGTATTAAATAATCTTCCAAGAAAACAGACACTCTTCCAGATATTTAAGATAATGAGAAAGCAAGTAGTGAATCTTCTATAAGAATGAATTAATACTCATTTCCTTAAATTAATGAGTAATGTATTACTGAATCTTAGAATCAAATTTAATAATTGAATTAAGCACCATTTTAAGAAAGAAAAAGATTAACTTTAATAAAAGCAGAAAGAAAATCAAAATATTTTGCAAGTAAAGGTATTGCTAGAATTTCAAATTCAGATAATTAAATTAATAATGAATATTATTCTAATTAAGATTATCACTAAGCATCAGCTACATCTTAAAAGTAATAATCAGAGGGATCTAAATTTCTATTTAAAGGTGTCTAATATTATGAATTTTGTAATTCAAGTAATGAGAAAATATTATATATAATGCATTTAATAAATGCACTTATTTTTGGAATCATAATAACATTTTTAATCATGTATTAACTTAGATACAACTCTGAATGTTAAACAATGATACCTACCTTTGAAATTCTAAAAGCATTTACATCTACTAATTATGTAGATAGTATATAATTATCTTTAATGTCAAAAAGTCCAAACGTATAAAAATCAGATCAATTTTATACACATTTGAATCGTTTTTTAATTGAGAATTCAATTATTTTTGTTGATTAATAAAAGAAATATTTATTAACTTCATAAATATAAGATGTTTTTAAAAGTACAGGTACTTAGGAATTAAATTAAATTAAAATTGATGTTCTATATTTAACTTTAACAACATTATATGATTAAATAGATTTTGTTTAGAATTAAGATATAATACAATTTGATGATGTACCTACTTTTGTTAATTTAATATAAGAATTTCCAACTCATAAAACTTTGTATGAGGAAATTAATCTATAATTTCATGAATAAGTTTAAAATTAAATTAACAATTTTAATGATTCTTAAAGAAGTCTTATATTAACTTTAGTTATTTTGAGCTTTTTCATTTCAATGGTTTCATTGATAGCTTATTATAATTATTTTAAATATTTAAAGAAGATTACTAGATGCAGTGAATAAGTTTCAATAGATTGTATTGATAGAGAAATCAATTTTTGTGCAAATATCATTAACAATAAATAAGTATATGATTTATTTATATTATTAGAAACTTAATATATATGAACTTAAAATGGATTTCTCATAGCATTAAGAAAATTAAACTATTCATTCAAGTTATAGACCTATGAATAATAATAGTTTATAAAAAATGAAAAGATATCTAAATCTAAAAGATGTTTTTACAATAAAAAGAACACTAAACTTTCTTTATCCTTTATTTTGTTTAGCATTCATATTAATATATCTACTATTGACTTATTTTGATACTCTCGATGTTATGTCAACTATAATGTCCAATATTAAAATCTATAATTAGAGTATTAAATATTTAGAATCATTCTCTATAATGTGTCAGAGTAGTATCATCTATGAGAATAAGGAATATCTATTAAATAATAACTACTTAACAAAGTAGTAATTATAAGTGTATTATGATTATATTGATTCATCATTAATCTATCTATAAGAATCAAGTAAATTGATATTTCTAAATTTTTAGGTTTCAGAAGTACTCAAAGTAATGATTTATTAAAAGAAGACATTTGTAGTATTTTGACTATATAAATAGACATATCAATTTGTAAATAATTACATCAAGGTTTATTGTAAAATGGAATTTTGGAATCTGTTTAATATTATTTAGTACATTACATGAATAATTACATTTCCAATTATTAAAACTTTATTGATTATTCTACATCTGAAGATGCAATTGCAATTAGTTTTATAATCAAAGCAATTAATAATTATGTGGATTAATTAAAATTAGATTTAGAAAAATTTATAGATGATAATTATAATAGCAAATTGGATTGGTTTATTTTTGTTATTTCAATAGCCATAGTTCTTTAAATTACTTTATGGCTAATTTAATCTTGGAATCTAAAATAAAAATTGCGATCATTAAAATAATTTGTCTTTTTATTGCCTAGATCTAGTTTATATATGAATGATAGTTTTTTGAAGACACTTAATTATGTGTAAAGACATTAAAATGATATATGGTAATGAATTTTATTGTTTTTATTATTTTATTATTTCTACATAAAATCTAAATCAAAAATTATCAATCCATCTATCTTTGATATTATTATTAGATTTATTTTAATTAGCGTTCTAAATGATTTTTTAATTATTGGTTATTGGGTTCATGCTTAATTAAGTCTTCCAATTAAGCTTTCAAGCCTTTTATTAATATTTTGGGCAGATTTTTTGAATTAATCTTTGAAATTTATTCATAAGATGGACAACCTTCTCTTGGTCTAAGATCTAAAGTATCACCCTATAAATATAATTGATATATGTACAGCAGAAGTTCTAAATACTCCTTTGTATCCATTAACTTCATAAACCTTTCTTAAGCCTTGATCATTGATCTCTGATTCTCTTTTGAAAACAGATAAATCAACTTTTCTTAATTTATATTTAGATAAGGCTTCTTCATAATCAAAATCTGAAGGTGGCCATTAATCGAAACAATACCACCATCTACATAAAATTTCATATCTCAAATCATCAGTATCAGGATTTGATTTAATTTGCTTAACTCTTTGTTCAGGTTATTTTTATTTGGTGATTTATGGATTTGGATTTTTTTTAACTTTCTTTTCTTTATTATACATTTCAAATTAATACCTTCCTATTATTCAGATGAATCAGGTTCAAATAAGAATTTCCATTTCCTATAATCAACTGTGATAGTTTAAGCAATAGGAGATTATTGTTATGGTTATTACACAGGTTATTATTACTATTGCTCTTCTTCTTCAGAATCAATATATTTATGTTTCTTTTTCTATACTCCTGTGTCATTAGACATTTTTTATAAAATATTAGATTTCTAAATTCAATTAAAAAAAGTTTTTATAGATAATTCAGTACTGTGAGATTTTGGTTGTCGTTTTTCATAATTACTCATCAAACATAGTCTGTTTGGTTTATTCCTAAATAGATTATGTTTAGAAGAAATCATAACACCTTGACTCATAGGAGAAAGAAATTCTTTCTAAGGACTTGGTAAATCTTTTTATTTATCTTCTATTATTTCATAAGATTATAATTTAGAATTAAAGTCTATAAAGTTTGGAAATTTAAATTATTATGATAAACTACTTTATCTGTCGTAATTTTAATTTTTATTAAAAGTTTTGGAGTTTTAATGACTATTAAATTAAGAAGCATTATTATTTGATTCTTTGTCAAATAAGAGACTACTAAATCGTCTCTATTCTCTACGTCTAAATTCTCTTCTAATTAATGATGATTAGACTTCTAAATGATTTAAAGTATCTGCAAGACTTTTCTCATTTTCTTACTGATCTCTAAATTAATAATTATAAAATACTTCTTTTATTCTTTCCTCTATATTCTTCTTATCTACTTTAATTATTATGAAGTGTTCTTAATAAATTCCATTTAGCAAATCTATTTTTTTGCTTAATTAATTAATTAAATCTTTTAAGAATCTATAGTTTATTATACATTATTAAATTATGATTTGATCTCAAAAATAGGTTGAGATAAATTAGATGGTTTTTGATTGAATTGTTCAGAATAATTGAGTTTTTTATGGGTCTTAATTGTTTTATTCATTCTTTCATCATTAATTTTGTGTCTCAATTCATAATTACGTTTCAATTATTTTTCACATTAAGGATATGATGTTAATAATTTGGCTAAATCTTTGTAAGTAATAGAATATGCAGAAAAATACTGAGATGTTACTTATGCAGTATGGATACGATCACTTTATTCAAAATATTCTAATTCTCCAAAGTATTAATCTTGACCTAATTCACACAAAGGAAACATTTTATTATTCTCTTTCTTAAATAATCTTACTGTGCCTTTTTTAATTAAAATTAATGATTGTGGAATATCACCAATTTTATATATATAATGGCCAATTGGAAAATGGATCTTTTCAAATTTGTATTATGTCTCTATAGCCTCTTTGTATGTGAGATTTTTCAATATAGAATTGCTCAATAATTTGGTCTTCTTTCTTATTTTTTCTTTTATTTATGGCAAGCATTACCCAATTAACTATCTTCCAATAGGACTTTATAATCTTTTCTAGTTAAAACGGCTACATGCAAGGATGTATTGGCAATCACAGTACCAGTTCTTGTAGATTCTATCAATAATCCTCTCTCTCCAAACATCTATCCCTCACTGATACGAGCAACAAACTCATGTAAAAAAACACCTCCATTAAATAGAAATTCCTTATCTTATAATTTCTCAAGTCCATGAGTTAACTTTTTTATAATTTCAACATCTTTATGTTTAGTATCCTACCTGTCTGTATTTATATATGTTTTTGGTTTATATGATTTAGATATCCTAAAATTACAATTTTTTATTACTATTCAAAATCATCTTCTCTCAAATTGATTGTCATTCTTCTTGTAAGTAATCTTGGAGGTTAATAGTATCTTACTATAGTACTTGGATGACGTTCTATTTCTTCTTCTGAAAGAACCTTTAATTGTTATTATTCATGATCTAGTTCTGCTTAAATTCTATCCTATTTCTTATGTACATACACATTAACACTCCCATCTATTATTATAAAAAACTCATTTGATGAATCACCTTATTAATATTAAGTATAAACATACCTTCTTTAAATACAATATCATTCTTCATATAATGTCTATAAACCATCATTTTACAACACTTTTAATGTAGCTTAGAGTCATGTAAACTCTTAAAAAAATCTAAATCCTTAGTTGCCTATTCTAAAACTGCCAATTCAAAGTCCATTCTTTCTTCAGGTGGTGATTTTAGAATACACAACCCCACTTTCAACTAAATCATTGGATCTTTCACTTTTAGAAATGATTAACATAGTTTCTTGTAAGTGTTTTAATTCCCATTTCTAACACTCATAAATTCATCTGCTGAAATCACTACATCCATTTTTATAATATAATTAATATAAATATTTATAATTTTATTTACATTATTAATATTAGGTACAATTATTGATGGATAAAGTTGATTTATTTAATTTTTAGGAATCTCTATACTCACTTGAAGAATAATTGAAAAATTAAAATGATAAAAAAAAGAAAATTAAAGTTGAAATTTTTATATGTGAAGGTGTTTATAAATAATTAAGAGGCTATTAAAAGTTAAAGCAATAAAATATTCAAAATTATTTCATCATTCCAATTTCATTGAAATAAGCCAATCTAAATAGATTAACTGAATTAAATTAATAATCAATTTGATAATGGACATAAACATCACAATATGAAATTAAACAAAGAATCAATTGATAGTTTAATCAATTAATATAGAGAATTAGAAAATAACAAAAGATCTCAACTAAAACATTATTAAATTAATTTTATGAATAACAAATATTGAAATCGAGGATATTTAGATAAATGAAAAAAAATTATATTAAATACAACTTAAAATTCATAATCACAAATATAATCAGATATTTTTACAAAGGAAGGCTTTTATGATAAAATTGTCTTAAATAAAATTAGTTAAATTTTCAATTTCTGAAATGATTTATAAATCAATAACCTTTATTATTTTATCTTAAATAATCAAATTCTTTTAATTTATTTAATTTATTCTATCTTTGATTTGTATCCTCAGTCTTTTATTCATTTTATTAAACTGTTTACATTGGAACTTACAATCTTGTACTCTTTTTATTTGCGTACATAGTCAATAATTTATTTATTAATGACCCAAAGTTATTTATACATGCTTTACAAAGTTATTCTGATGAACATTCTTGATGAAATGTATGTTTGCAATCAATATATACTTTAGATACCATTTCTATTAACTTCTAACAATGAGTGCAATAAATATCAACTGCTATTCCTGATTATGATTATTTAAACAATTATACTAAATATTTATTACATGTTTATTTTATAAGCATTGTTGATTAACCATAAATAGCTAATTCATAAAGTTAGCCTGAAAGAAGCTATGAAAATGTTGACTTTAACTCTTAAAATTCAAAATATTTCATAGTCTCATTTAAATTCTATAATAAATAAATTTATTACACATTACTTCAAGTAAGCTTTTTATTTTTGTTTTCTCCAATACTTCCTCTAATAACATTGTGAAATGTAAATTAAAACATCTTAAAACAGGAAAGAATCTAATCTTATAAAATTCCTATCTTAATTTTGTCAATCTTATTAAAACCTAAAACCAATTATTCTATTTTATATTATTAATTAATCTACATCACTTTCATCATCATTTCTTTTAGTATTAGCTCTACATATACTTAATGTAGGCTCTAAATTCTCCTAAATATAAACAAATAATTCCTTCTATCCATCTAATAATTTTGGATTCTTTTACAATTATTATTTTAATCCTTAAATAAATAACTAAGTTTTAATATAAATCATAATTACATCAAATTATAAATTAATAGCCTCCAATACTGAACCACTTCTCTCTAATAAATAAGCCAGACCTTTCAAATTCCCATAAAATCTACACAATTTTAAACATTCATCTTAAGGATAACCTCCCTTCTAAAGTTCTGTTATTACTTAATCAGGATGCAATTAACATAATAATTCAAAATATTCTATCATCAACTTATCATCTTTTTATAAATTTTATAATATTTTAAATCTCACTATTGGTATTTATTTATCTAATATATTTCTCAATTAATCCTTATTAAAATAATCAAGTAAATGCTCTGTCTTAATAGGATCTATTAGAGAAAGCTCTTTTAACTTTTAAGATAGAATCTCAATAAATTAATTATCCTTTTATTGTAATTCTATATAATTAAAAACCAATTACTTTGCTTACCCTCTTAATTGTGTAAATTTATGAATTATTTTAATTTATTGATTATTTATAAAGTATTATTCCAAATCCTCTAAGTCTTCCTTATCAGTACAATATTACTACAATAATATTTATAATGATGGCATATCTGGAGTCTTAAAGTTGATTTCTTCTTCAAAATTATTGGCACTGTCAGTATATGACAGATACTATCTTTCATAGAGTGTTTTAAATGAACTATTAAGATGATTAGATTGTTTTTATGGTTAGAATTGGATTTATTGTTATTTATCTAGTAAGGCTTCTTAAATCAATTCTTCTATATATAATTTATGATCATAAGTTTAGAGTGCCGATTCTAATAACAAATCTTCTTCTGTGATTCCCAATGATTCTAAAATTTCATCTTCTATATTTTTTTGCTTCTTCTCTTCAACCTTCTATGTTATTTGATTAAAATTAAATTAGAAAGTAGAAAACTTTTTTACATTGGGTTGAATTAAATCATCAATAGTACAATCAACCTTAATTCCTTAAGGTACCCAATAAATGTCATCTGATATCATTATATTAATATTATTAATTCTACATTATATTCATAAAAAACAATGTTTTTTATTTTTTTAATTATTTCTAAGATTTATTAAAGAATTTCAAAGTATTTCAACATAATGAAATATCAAGAATAGTATAATTTTCTATTTTATAGATACACAATACAGATAACAAGTATTTATAATTTGAGCAATATAAAATATATTTGAAGGTAATTTTTGTTTAAAATGAAATAGAAATAGTAAACCAAATACTTCATATAATACTATTTAAGAAAAATAGAATTCTATAAATTTCTTGATTCGTCCATTAATATATATAGTAGTTTTAAATGAAAAAAATCTCAATATTATTTATAATTTTTAATATCTTAACCTTATGAATTTCTATGCTCTTGACTTTGAAGATTAAAATGATTAAGGTATTGATTAATTTTAATAAAAGCTTTGGAGGAATAAGAATAGATTTAAATTAGTGAAGAGCAAGAACATGAATTTGATTAGAGTTCTAAAATTGAGATTGATAAAAATATTACATTTGATGGTTATTGGCAAGAAGAACCAGTTTTATTGTTTAATGTTGAAGAAGAGGTTCCAAAAAAGAAATAAAAATCAATCGTTAGAAAATCCAAAAAAATAAAAAAATCAGACACAGAAACAGATGTCTAATCTTAAAAATAAATGCCAAAATTCAAAATTTCTAATGATTTAGCCAAACTATAATAATGTTAAATGTTAAAGACCATTATTTCTTAAATGGAGACAATTCTATAAAAAACTCGAACTTAAATTCTAAACCAAATAATGAAAAAGTAGTATACCCAATGACTAAAGGAAATTTAAATTAGATTAATAGAGTTATTATACCATAATTAAATTATAATATTGTTGATTCTCTTGCTATAAAATAAAATTTCTTTAATCCGTAAATATCTAGAAATTTCTATTTTCTAAAAGATTTTTGTCAAAATTAACTATTATTTTTTATCATTCTAAAATATTAAGAAAATAAAGAAAATTTATAAATACTTTCTTTTATTTTTTTAGAGCACTCTTATAACTCTTATAGGCATAAACAACATATCATCATCATTTAATAATAAAATATACTCAAAATTTTTTGTTTCAAGAAGGTTTTCATTATTATTATCTCATATTAATTCCTGATGATTAAGATCTATTATTGACTGAAACTTGTTTATCTCTTTAGCCTTCCTGAGTAATTCCTTATAACTTTTTCTTTTTCTCAAATTCTTATATAAATTATTATCTTTTCTCTTCTGCTTCCTTTCTAATAATTTCAGCTTATTTTGCCAAATTCTCTCTTTCCCTTCTCACCATTTCAGTTCTTTCATCATCTTTAGAAAGCTTCATTTCAAGCTTAGTTCTCCTTAATTCACTTAATTATTCCATTCTGGTTAAATTATCAAATTTATCAATATCTTTTATTATTTAAAGAGTAATTCTAAAATAGAATAAATAATATACTTTTATTTTTAATCTTCTTCCTTTTTTTATTCAAGTGCTTATAATTTTAATTAAGTTCTATCTAATTTCTTTTGAAGTTCTTATTTTTATTATTCTTACATCATTTCATTTTTTTATAAAATCATTTATATTTTTTATTCTTTATCTCTATACTTTTTCATTTTTTCTTCCATTTATTATCTTTATTATTCACTCATAACTTCTTTTTTCTTTTAATATTCCTATTATTTATGTTCATATTATTATCTTTTCTCTTCTTCTTTCTATTAATTAGTTTACTATTTAATAATAGAATAAAGATATGTTACCATAATTTTATTGATTTACTTTTATTTCTCTTCTGCTTATCTGGCTTTATCTTATCTGACCTTCTCAAGATATTCTTCAAATTCTCTCCTCTTCTATTCTACATGTTATTCTTTCACACTATAATCATTCCTTTTCTTTTCTAGTAAATTTTCATTATATTATTTAACCATATGTAATTTCTTTTCTAATTCTGCTCTTTCTTTTTCAGCCTAAGTTTTTCTTTCAATAGTTCTACTCTCCATCATTTAGATTCTTTTTCTCTCTTTTTATTCTAGTAATTGTTTTTTGTATTCTAATTGTTTTTATTATTCATTTTAAAATTATTCATTTTCCCTTTACATTTATTCCTATTTTTTCCTTCTTTCTAATTCTCTTTATTCTGCTTCCTATTTTTGTTTCATCATACTTTCCTATTCCTTTTAACGACGTTTCTATTCTTTTAAATCATTTTCTTTTGTTCTTTATTCTAACAATTCTTTTTCTCTTTACTCCTTCTTTTTTCTCTCCATTTCCTATTTTTATCGTAACTGTTCATTTTGATAGCGTTTCTTTTATAATTCATCATGGAATTGTTTTTCTTTCTCTTACTATTTTAACATTTTCTGAAGTGCTATTTAACTCTTTCTCTCTTTAAGTTACTCTTATTCAACCATTTTTTCAATTTCCATTTACTATCTTCTTTTTATATTCTCTAGCATTTTTTATTGTTTGTCAGCAAAACTCATAGTAGATAGATTTAAATTGGAGATATGGTTTGAATTTCTACTAACATTATTGTCTTCTTAAAGTATTCTTTATCTTTAAGATCTAACAATGTTAATTCTTCTCTTTCTTTTATCTTCTAAATGTTTCTCGATCTCTGTGACCATATCTTCTGTAAGTTATGCACCTACTGTATCACGTTGCTTGATTAATTGCATAACTTATTCTCTTGTCTTCTTAAATAATTCATTAGGATGAATGCCTTCTCTTCGACAAGCTTCCTGCAACCTTGGAGTAAGAGTTGCCTAAGTAATATTATAGAAATCTCTATCAGATAGAATCAATATAATACTATTCATAATCACTTGACATTAATCTTATTTTTAATTTTATTCTATATTCATTCTTGCTTTTAAGAAAGAAGTCTTAATAGTTTATAATCTAAAATAAAGTATTAAGAAAGATTTATGTGTATGAAATATTCTTATAGAAAATATTATTAAATATTTAAGATAACATAACATATACTTTGATTTCCAAATTAGATTCAAGATTTATTTCCTATTAAATACTAAAATTTTGGATAAATCAGATAAATCATAAACTAAACTAACTGTTTTGAGTAACTGTTTTTTTTTTATAATTAAAATGAAGAATAATAAAAATTTAATAAAGATAACTCATAATATTAATATATAATATATAATATAAAATCTTCTTCTCTTTATCTTTTTTTTTTTGAAATTCATTTAAGATGTTCAATTATATAAAAAATATTTTAAAACTCAATTAATCGTTACTTTAACATTACTCTTGTAAATTAATATATAAGGTTTTATATTGTCTCCTGTCATATTGTATAATTGTCCTTCATATCTTGTTTTGTTTTCACTATCTGTTAATATCAGTTTACTAATATATTCTATAATTTTAAATTTATACTTTTCATCTAAATTAATCTTAAATGCCAACACTAATCCTTTCTTCATATTTTTGTGAAACAAAGTCTAGATTGGTTCAATTTTCTCTCCTAATTATTGTTTCATATGAAATGATCCAATGGCTGCTCCTCTCACAATATCAACAGCACAACATTACTATGTTTAATACATTATTGAATAAGTGGCCATTTAATCCTTAACCAAATCTTCCACAACTCCTATATAAACTCTATGTAAATGTTAATATTCTTATTGTGCAAATATTCCAGAATTGCTAATATGACCACCAATAGTATGTTAAGAATAAGGATTATATAATTAAGGGGAATTATTAACAATTGATGCCAATCCTTCTTATTATTCCTCTTATTTTGATTACTCATTTTATATATATTCAATAGCAATTTGAAATTCATAAATTCCTTTTGATAGTGTGCATGATCCATAAATGAGTTGTACTTCATCTTAATCATTAAATATAAATTATTTTCCTTTAATTGTCTCTTAAATATTGGCATCTTCTTCTTATGATAATTAAGATTTATAGAAAAAGATGGCTATAAAATATATATATACTATTTACAATCATCTTTTCTCATAAAGTTTTTTATAGATTCTAATGAATTACAGACTTCTGTCACTACCATATCTTTGAATTCTTATGGCAATCCATTCTATTTAGATCCTTAAGTTAATTAATTTTAACAAACATTCTATAAGTTTTGTCTATCTTTAATAATTTGAGATATAAAATCATTTATCTAATAAAAATATTAATAATACTTATTCTTCAGTTGATTAACCTGTTTTGAATTTGTTTAATTGTTCTTTTAATTTCTCAAATTCATAGGAATTGAAGTATGAATTAAGAATTTCTTTATTATGTTTCATTTGAATTGTTTTTTACTTGGATTCCTACTCTAATAGATTCAATTTGATTTGCTTAAGATATCCTAAAGATTTGATATATATTTAAACAACTTTTTAATGATTATTGTAATTGATTTGAAATTGAATTGAGTTTGTCTTTATGGATTAATTCATCTTCTGAAAACTTAACAATTTATTATTCATTTTGATTATTTGCAAATAATTCAACACAATGTTATTTCTTTTAGATTTCTGATATTAACACACAACTTTTGATATGTGATTTATGTAAAGATAGAAGACACTTCTAACAACCTAAACGATCCTCTTTACATTAATTGTATAAACACAGAATAGTAATTCTTTGTTCAGGATGATAATCACATATATTATTGTTCATTTAGTTTAATATATTAATTTTCAATCTTTTATGCTTTCAACACAAGTATTTAATTCTTTTGCTCAAAGACAAAGCAATGGAATAATCAAATTATTGGCTTATGGAGTATTCTTTGGTGGAGCTTATGGATGTGCTTGGCATTAATGGAGAGGTGCTCAATAGAAATAACTTTATGAAAAGGTTGAAAATGAAATTACTGAATGGAAACCTATAACAATTAATGGATTAAATGCCAATAGATATCCATGGGCTCGCAATATCAGAAATTGGGAATATAAATTAGTCAAATTATATGGATATTTCAGAGTATTCAATTAATATAATTATTATAGGATGAAAGATTTTTTGTTAGAAGAGAAAGAGAAGGTAGAGATGGGTTTCTTGTTTTTGCTCCATTTGTAACAGCATTACAATTTAATGATACTGAATAAGATCCTGAATAAACAACTAAATCTTAAGTGATGGTTAATTTAGGTTGGGTACCTAAAGATAATATTAGTGATATTTAAATGGGACAAGAACCCATTGGTACAACTGTATAGTATTTTATTTAATATTTAGACATTTGAAAATGTTCCTCATAATGAGGATGATGATTAATTGACTGGATTCAATAGAAATGTAGCCAATATGGAAGAAGATTACTAAATGCCTTTTGTTGAATTTGTTGGTATGGTCAGAAGAGGAGAAGAAGAAGATATTTTAAAAGGACGTAGAAATTGGCCAAGAGAAGGAGTTTACAATTACATAGATTTATGGTTCATGTCTAAATTATACAGATCTTTCAATTTGGTATTAGAATTAATTAATTTTTAGACTGATAGTTCTTCTGCCTATATTGAAAGATTAGTGTAAGAATATGATGAAGAATCTGCCAATTTATATCCCATTCCTGCCACTAAAGACAACTTCGATAAGCCTTTACCTACACCTTAAACTCATTAAGCTTATTCATTATTTTTTGGCCTATCATCTATAATGTCTCTAGCCCTTTTAGCCATTAGAAGATGAATACCAACATTAAAAATATTACCATATTCCAAAATATAAGCAGTTATTATTTTAAATTTTAATTTATTTAACTACTATTTTATGCCACACTATCCAGAAGATATTGAATATTCTGATAAATATTAGGATGATTACTATGAATACAGACATGTTATTCTCCCTAAACATATTTTCAAAAAGATAACAAAAGGTAAAATAAAAAGATTCATAAGTCTAGGAAAACTCTTAAGTGAAATGGAATGGAGAAATCTAGGTGTTTAACAATCTAGAGGTTGGGTTCATTATGAATGTCATAGACCTGAACCACATATTTTACTTTTCAGAAGACCTAAAGGAACAGATCCTAATAGTGGATTACCTCCTTAAGGCTTCTAAGCTCCTTATTGATTTAGTTTAAACCATTTCACACAATTATTATAATACTTATTTCAAATAAAGTCTAGTAATACTCTCAACTTTTAAAACTACTCATTATAATGATTATCTGGTATTTTAAACTTAATTTCCATCACATCTACACTATCCTTTAAGTAAATGAATATTGACCATGTATTATTCTTTAATTCATTTACTTCAATTTAAGCATTTTTTGGTTTCTTGAAAGCTATTTCACTAAAAATATTAAATTGAATAATAACATAAATTCTAATTAATTTCTCAATCTAAGTGGAACCATTCTTGCATCATTCCAGAATTATTCTAATATACTACTTATCTTCTTTTTTGATTACTCAGTTTTTACATCATATATTTCAAAATGCAAAAAATTAACACCATCATCATCAATTACACCTTTGACATTATCAACTCTATTTATAAGAATTTTTGAGTTAATTAATTTAAATCCAGATTCTTTATGAGTTATGAATTCCACATCTTCTACTGGGATTTATACTGATTAAGAACAAAATATTATTGAGTTTATTATTAAAATGTAATATATTAGCATAATTAATAAATTATATTCAATTTAATTAAGTATTTATAAATGATTACAAACTTCCTCTTTTATGTTTATGTGTTGGAGATAGACTATGGAATGTCTTAAATGTAGATTATTAAATTTCATTTGAAATAAAACAATCTAAATAAGGATTGGGATCTTATTCATTCAATTGTTAAATAAATTCATTCAAATCTTCATAAATCATAAAACTTATCTTTGTTTATGGTGTTGAATTTCGAAAAGATAAAGAATCCCCTAATTTTTATTATTAAGTATCTTTAAAATTGATATGATTGTTTGGTCCCAATTGGCAGATTAGATATTAAGCTAAAGGTAAGCCTAAAGTACTAAAAGGCTCTGTACTTCCTTTTAGATAAACTTCTTTAGTTTGTTAATATGAAGCTGAATCTAGATCTAATAAAGAAATTTGACTTTTTGTAACTTTCTGAGCCTTTATGTTCAAATTATGAATTTGATCACTTAAATTTTAGATGTTTTCATAATAATGATTAACTCCCCAATTCCTTTTTTTATGATCAGTAAAGGAAGCAGCTTTTAATAATGTTTGTTATATCTGATGTGGTATTTTAAGAATTTAATGTTTCATAATAATTTTCAAACATCCTGGTTAATGTGTGATTCTTTTGAATTTGATTTAGATAGGAAATCCTGATGGATGACATTCATACAATTATTTTTCATCATTTGTTATGATGGCTAGCATGATTTTAATAAATTCAGAAATACTCAATATAATTGATATCATTTTTGATCTATCTGTTTTCATATGTATATTCAATTTTAATTGATTATTTGTAAATTTAAGATCATCTTTAAGTTATTATATTAAATCTATTAATTAAAATTCATTGATTTTATATTTTAATTTACTATAAGTTATTTATGTTATATAATAGATGTTCAAACTTTAATTAAATAGTATATAACTATTACTTATTAGATTACTTATGTGAAATAATTCTTAAACACTTGATTATTATTTGAAAAACTTTAGAATATTTATTTAATCTTTAATATAATTTAGACATTATTTGCTTTAATTAACTAATTATTGATCTCTCCACTTAATCTAATTATTATAGAATTCATACAAATTTCCACCTTATTCTATAAATAAAAGTAAAATAGTGGGTTCAATTGAATTGAAATAGATTTTTGTTATTTAAAATTACCATTTTTTTTCATTATTTATAAATTAACCTAAAAACTTTGATATTTAATTAGTTTCCTATTTAAATAGTAACTCTTTCAATAATAATTCTTCAAAATTAAATTACTTCTTTTTTGGTCCTTCTAAAGGTTGAATATTTGAATCTCTTAGAAACTCTCTAAATTTTTGATCAGTTACAAAATTAAATGTTTCTCTCATTATTCTATTAATCTTATCAATCTTTAATTAGCCTTATTATTTATCATATTTAATCAAGACTACCCATGTTGGTAATTATTCCTCTATCAAATTTTCATATTATAATTAAGATCTGTGTGCTAAATAAAATTGTCTTCTTTTCATCTCAATCTAATAGCGAAAGAAAATAATGAATAATCTAATTAAACCATGCACTATTTGTGGAAATACATCCAACTAAGATATTGAAACTTCCACTCCAAAACTAAGGAGAAAAATCAAAGTTTAGCTTCTAAATCGATTTCCCTATAGATATAATACTTTTTTATAATAATAGATTCTATACTATATTTCATTATCCCCATTTCTATAGCTGTGTCTTGGGCTTGATTATAAATCATATAAATATCAATCGTAATACTAAAAATTATTAGGTTCAAACTTTGAATAAATTCTCTTTACAAAGGATATTTCTGATAGAAAAACAGTATTGTTAATTCAATACAAAGACTTATTGAAGTTGTTATGATGTAAATGACATCGTTATTGTAATTGATCAGATTGATTATAAGATAAATTGTGATTGTAGCAAGAGTAGTCTCATAAATGAATTGATATTGTTCAATAATCCATTTTTTAAAGGAATATTCAAGTTCTGAGGAGATGAAGCTTAAAGAAAATTTCTTGATCATTTTAAAAAAAAATATATTTATTTTAAATGAAGAGTAATAAGGATAGTTAAACATCCTTACTAAAATCTAGAAGTTAATTTATTTAATTGAGATAAAAATAAAAGCATATATTTATAGTAATTTTATGTTTATTTGAATTAATAATAATACATATAATAATTTTGTATTATTATATGTATTACATAGCAAATACTTTTAGAAAATTAATAATATGTTAAGTGCATTTCAAATAATCTAATTTAACTATTTCTATAATCTAAAAAATATAGATGAACAATTCTATCTATAATAATTAATAAATTGGATTATTAAACATAGATAAATATTATATTATTTTTATGATAACAATATAAATTATAAAGACTTATATTTTAGACTTTTTTCTATATATATATAAAATAAAATAATAATATTATGAATCGAAATATACCGATTGGAAATAAAATCTGTGCCACAAAGGAAATCTTTTAAAATTAAGTAATATTAAATCAACATCTCTTAACCATGAGACCATAGATTAATACAAGTGCACCAAAATAATATGATTTTCTAAAAAGTAAAAAAATTAAAGAAGCTATTAAATAATAAAAGCAATAAGAAATAGATAGGGAAAATCAAAATCTTATATCCAAATTAACTAATATTATGTAACCATCATAAAGTAATATATCTTATTTTATATTTGCAGATAACACTATTTCTACACTTCCAATTAACAAAACAAGTACATTGAATTTCGTTCCCAAAAAGTCTCTAAATAAAGATCATAGGAAAAAGGAATTGATTAAAATTGTTATGGAAAATTAACAGTTATTGAAGAGAATATAGGACTAAAAGTCTTAGTACAACGTTAAAGATTGGAATGAAGAGAGAAAATGGGTTGAATAACACATTGCTAATATATCAGAATATCCTTATAAGAATTTCAAACCTACTAAAACTCTTGTTCAATACTGGACAAACTCAAGAATTAGTGAATCATAATTATAGAGTAATTGTTAAATATTATATATTAGAAAGAGAAAATTGTATTAACAGAAAATTAGATCCTTTGATTGAAAGCAAAAGTCAATAAACAAAGTACTGAATATTATATATTCATTAAGATAAAGAACAAGATAAGAAAATAATGTAGAATCTAGATAATTATTATATTATTAAGACTTCTAATAAAGGTAAAGCTTATTTGAATCTGATTTTTAACCTTATGAGCCTTATCAAGATAAAGTTTCCAAAATTGTTAATGAATTGATTGAAAAACCATAGAATACAGAAGAAAAAGTAGAAAATAATCAATAAATCAATCAATAATAAGAAAAGTCTATCTAAGAATAAGATGAATAAATTTAATAGAAAAATATTGAATCTAATTAGCAATAGAATGAATAAATTGATAATAAAGAATAAGAACAAATAAATTAAGAGACAATTAATAAAGATTAAAGTTAAAATATACAATAAAATTCTCAAAGAAAAACAAATGATGAAGCAAATCAATAAGAAAATTAACCTCTCAATTAAATACATCAAAATAATCAAGAAATATAAACAATAGATTTTGAATAATAAAATGATGAAAGACAAGATTAAAAGGACAGTTAAGAAATTTAAGAATGAATAAATATAGAAATTTTTCTATACTCATTTTATGCTTTAATTCATTAATCTCAATAATCTTTTAATTTGTTTTTCATTTTCATAAATTTTATAATATTGTTGATATTAATTATAATATCAATTGTAACATATTAATATTTATAAAAATTCTGATTCATATATTTAACACATATTTAGATAAATATAGTATAAATTAGTCTCCAAAATATATTAATATTGAAATTTTTAATTAAAAAAATAGAAAGTATTTAATTATAATCCTTTTCTAACTAATTAATGTTATTTTTCATATAAAATACATCTATAGAATAATATTATCTAATTTATTTAATTGTAATTAATTTTTTATTTTTTAAATGTTAATTTTAATAATGAAAATACCAATTACCTTATTATTTATTTATTAAAACAAATTAAAAAATAATAATAATTTCAAATATATTTCAAATAAAAAAATCGAGAATCATAATTTAAATATCATTCTTTTAATTCTAGTTTTTCAATTTAAGTACATACATTAAGTAGTTCATTTTCTAAGTCTCTTATTTAATTTTTCAATAGTTCTTTATATTGTTTGATTTATTTTTTCATGCTTTTAAGATCCTAAAAATTATTTCTGAAAATTTTCAATTATCTTTCATAATGTGAATAATCATCAACTTAAATAGCATAATCTTAAAAGCTATAAGTTTTTTCAATTTATTATCTTGAACATTTGACTCTGAACATTTATTATAAGACATACTTTTTACTTTAATTGTGAATCCATATTTTATTACTAATTTATTATTTACGTCTTCTGTAACTTGCATTAGTAAATTATTTCATTTAAATAACTATTTTTTTTTCATTTTTTAAATTTTGATTTTAATAAGTTTTATTAATTGATTATTATTATTTTTATACAAATATTCTGGATTCATTTGATTATGTTTTCAAAGTTGTTTATGTTTATTATTATTGAAAAATCATAAGTGGATGTACTTTAGTAACATGTAATTATTGTTTTTCAATTAATTTATTTGCAAAAATGATCATCTAAACAACTTTTTTAAATTACTACATTAATTTATCAATTTTATTCCTTCTATTATGAATTAGTTATTCAAGTACTTACTAAGTTCTTGATTGCTAAGTATCATAAATAATAGATTTTAATGGTTTAATCATTCCTTTATATCTTGTTACATCAATATTACATGTTTCTTTAATCTTTTCAAGTTTTAAAGTATTAATAATTTCCCTTTCTCTTTCAAATCTATTATAAATAATTTGAGCTTTCATTCTTTATTCTCTATTATGAGCAATGATTCCTAAATACTAACGTAATGCTGGGAATGAGCTAATTTATTAAAAGAAATAGTCTCCATTTAATATAATATATTCACATAATTCAATTGCAACAGCATAGTTTTTTCTAGTGTGTTATTTTGATAATTTAAGTTTTTTAAAATACTCTTGTTCTCCAAAAACTGATCCTTCATCTATTTGTAAAAGTATTTTTCCAAATTAAGTTCTATATTATAATTTACCTCTAATTAGAAAATAAATTTCATTTACTACCTCATCTTTAATCCATATTTTACAATTTTATTAAGTTTTCATTAACATCATCTTCGGTAAAATAGATACAGAAAAATTAAGATTTAACCGAAAAAAATGAATCTACATCATTTCAATATATGAAACATAAAGAGTAATTTCTTTTTATCTAATTATTGGTAAATTTTGAAACCATTCTTATAAACTTAATGACCATGCTTAATTTTATTTAATGTTTAATGATAAATACAATTATATTTTAGTTTGAACTTCTTTTATGACTTCAATTTTTTTGAAAAATAATTTCAAAGTATTTTGCATTTCTACATATACTGATTCTGAATTAAGTTTCTTTAACCATTCTGATAGATTTAATAATATCACACAATAAAATGATGCACCCAAAAACATCCATAATATAGCTACTATATATTATGAATAATTTTTAGCAGCATCATTTCCATAACCTATAGTTGAAAAGGTTTGTAGAGCCCAAAATAAACAATTAATGTATTCTGAATTTGAATTAATTAATCCTTAGTAATCTTAATCCTCTTAGTATTATACATCATTTATATTTGATGCTAGATACCAAAGACAAGAAAATAGATGTAATCCATAAATGAATTTTACTATAATCCTAAAGATGTTTAACTAATAAGAGTTAAATATATTAAAAACATTTTCCCAATTACTAAAAACAAAAACTATAAATATAAAATAATTACTATTTGTTTTAATGAAATGTTGATACTTTAAATATACGATTGATACGAAATACTCTTAAAAATCTAGGAAATTTATGATATTAAACATGAAAACTAACAATTTTATAAGTTATTACTGATAAATTGAATCGAAGGGGATAAGTGTAATGATATCAGGAATCAACCAACCCTTCAAGTAATTCAAAAATATAAACCATTAATTTTGGACTAATACATTTTATCTATTATAGTAACAAGATCTCATAATACAAAGTATGTCTGTAACTATATAAATTGATAGATACTCAATACAATAGATTATATCGTTTATTAGATCTAATTCATACACTCCTTATGATCCTTTATCCATAAATGCTATTCTTAATGGTAAATATATAGCTGTTTAGATATATGTTATAAATAATATGATATCCCAAAATCTTCTAGATGTATCACCCTAGTTGAATTCAAAGTTTACTGGAAATATAAGAAGAACAGATTTCTTCTTTTGTCCTTCATCATGTCTTTCTAAAATTACTCTTTCATGATGATGTAGTAACCGCATTACATTATAAATCAGTCTAAATTTCTTGGCTAATAGGTTCCTAAGATGTTCTCGTTTTTATTATTATTTCAATGCTTTATCCTTTTATCTTTATATTTACAATATATCGCAAAACCTTTTTATTTCAACAAAATTAAATAGAGAGACATCATAATCTCTAGGTGTGTTAATTGAATCAATCATAGATTCTTGATTTACATTTTTCATTGATTTGCATCTTCGTATAGACCTAAGTTAGTTCTGCATTAAATTTTAATAAAAATAAATAGGAATATTTATAATTAAAATATGTTTAAAACTCTCTTGATTTAATCATAATTTTCTCATTAGAAATATAATCATTTTACAGTGGTTTATTTTGTAATTTCAGGCAGAGAAGCTCTTTTTACTTATGAATTAGGAACAGTTTTAGATTTCATGAGATATTGACTTGCTTCATCATGTTTCCTTTTAGATGGTATCATCCTTATCGTATTAATAATCTAACATTTGATTGGTTAATATTCTTCTGGATCTATAATTAATATTAATATATAAATACCTTAATCTTATATAGATTATTAATGATTGAAATTAGCAATTTTCCCTTCATTTAGAGAAGAAGAAATTATCAATGAGTCGCTAATCTCTACAATAGTGGGTAAAAAGATTGGATTTAACTATTTATGAATTTATTGATGTCTAATATTTTATTGAATAGTAACAAACCATTGATGTTTGATAGCTCTTTTCAAAGTAATATTTGGCGATAATAATTATTTTAATAGATCTAATTAACTAACTCTATATAAAAATAGATATTAGTTTTATTTAAAGCTTTGATCAGCCATTTAATTATGAATTCTATTGATTAGATCCAAATCAACATATTATTTAATTCTGTTACTAGTTGTATAAAACGTAATTTGATATATTAATATTCCCAAATTATAAAGATCGTTTTCAATTGTATAATTACTATTTTCTACATATCTGGGAAACAGTATTATAACCTCTAATGTTTCATTTTCAATATTAATAAAAACAGATGATAGATTTATATTTCCATGATAAATGTTTCTTTATTAATACTTTTGTAAATTTTGTAAGATCATATATATGATTGATACGAAAGGGATTTCTCGAAAATCAAATCCATTCAGTAATAAATTCTCTAAGGATTAAAGCTTCATCTTTTCCCCAAGAATATAGTACTTTTAATTGTCTTCATAGAGTTTTGGAGATCCAGGTTTATATTTTAAAGTATGCATTATTGTAATGGAATTGTGAAATATTTGGAATTCTTTAGGATCTTTTAATAGTTTTTTTTCATAAACTTAAGTGCAATGTTCCTCACTATTATTCTAATATAATAATCTATAAATACTTTGATAGCTTAAGATATGGGAAGGCAATTTCTTTATAATAATTGATATTTTCCAAAAAAGTTCTTATTTATACAAAATCTTTTCAATAGAACTTAAATTCGTTTCATTTATTATTCATTGTTCGCAATTATAAATTCTTTTCCTTAAACATTATACAAGATGATCACATAAAGTCCATCATTATTTTTAGTTTTTGTAAATTTGATTTCATGATAACATTTACTCAATTCAAAATATAAATTCTAAATGACAATTGCATTATCATATATATGAATTTCCTTCAACTCAAATTCTTTATTTTTATGTTGATAGATTGAAACTATTTCCTTGATTAGTTCTTACTAACATAATTTTTCAATTAGTGTTTCTTATTTTGATATTAATAAACTGTTTGATTCATTCATTTTTAGCTCATCAATCAGCTATGAATAGTGTTATTAAATTTACATATTTTAAATTATTCATTATTTCTCTTGAACTTTATATAAATAACTATACCATATCAATTTATATATATATATACAATACAAGAATAGATTCAAGTCGATCTATATTAAAAGAGTTTAAATGTAGCAAATTTTCTTATAAGATGACTTAAAATACATGATAAGATTAAAAGTATTAATTTTAAATATCGATCTTTTCAAATTATTTTTTAATTCATTTATTAATTTTCAAATTCAATATAATTCAGCTTTTAAAGACCTTAATCTTTAGACAGAGTATTATAATTTATCTATTAAAACTTTACACTTCATTAAATCTATTCATTAATTTAGAATAACTTTAAAATATATATATTAGATTTTAAATAATTATTTTATAAGTATTCTAAAATTAAGTATTGTTTTTTTGATTGAATTTAAAAATTATATCTTCATTTTTGTTTTAAACAATTAATCCTCTTGAATCCAAAACATAAGGATAGAATCATATATTATATATACTATCAAATATTATTTAAAAAATTAATCAAAAAGATTTCAATATAATCTTTTATTTTTGTGAATTATCTAATTGATTTTTAGTATCATATTTTTAATTGTAATTCTTATTTTAGTATTTGAATGTTAATAATTATTATTAAAAAAAGAATTACAATTTTGAATTAATCAGAAGTTCATTAATTAAATTTTATCAGTTTATTAAAGAAATAATTATTTGTTAAAAATGATATCAAAAGATGATTATACATGTTCCATTTGTCTTGGAGTTTTCATAGATCCTTGCAAATTGAAATGTTAACATATTTTCTGTCACTCTTGTTTATTGGATTTGATTGATTTTAATAACATTAAATACAAATGTCCTATGTGCAGAATAGAATTTATTAATAAAGATAATCCTTTATCTATAGATCAAGAATTATAAAATTTTATTAAGAACAATTTTCCTAATTAATATTAATAAAGATTAGATGAATTAAAGAATATTTAATCATTACTTCCTAATGAATTGAAGATTGAAGTTAATTATGGTAATTACTATAAGTTTGAGGATGATGAAAGTGATGATGGATTATAACATTAATGGACAGTACATGTTAGTTTAGATTATACAAAATAATCAGATAAAATAGCATTAAAAGATTTGGATTTGAATAGTTTAATTAAGAATGTTACTTTTACACTTGATGAAACTTTCTTTCCTGATGTTATAACAGTTCGATAACCTCCATATTTATTAACAAGATGGGGATGGGATGTTTTCACAATCCCAATAAAAATAAAATTTAAGAAAGAACATAATATTCAACCAATTGAAATAGAACATCATTTGGTTTTTGAAAATGATGGAATAGAAAAACGTTAAATAGTAAAGATTGATATTAGCAATTTAACTTAATTTTAGGCATTAAAATAGAATTCTTAATAATAATAATAATAATAATAATAATAGTGATTTGAATTATTTTATTTTATTTCTTTAAAACATAATTAATAATTATTTACTAAATGATTAGCGGGTTTTAAACAGGAAAAAATAAAAAAATATAACTAGTTGAAAATGATAAATACAATAAAATTATCATTCAATTTGAAGATTTATCAGAAGAAGAAGAAATTATTAAATCAGACAATAAACCAACAAAGAATGATTTAAATTTATTAAATTCACTTTCAAAAGAAGCTATAAAAATAAACAATTAATTATATCATCCTAGTAAATTTGCTGAATAGGAATTTAAATTTATGAGTAAAAATCCAAGAGATTCATTATCAGAGAAAAAAATTTCATTTTAAACTGTAATTATGGCAGATGAGATATAAAAAGAAATTATTACACCAATTAAAAAAAAAGAATACAATAATAATAATGAAATATTTTAAATGAATACAATATTATTATCTAAAATTAGCAAATTACCAAAGTGTTTAATTGGAGAAAAATTTTATGAAATCTCAAAATAATTTATGAAGAATTCTTTATTGAAATTTAGTTCATTTTGTAGATTATCAACAATACCATAAAATTTTGATTGGAAATTAATTAAAGAATATTTTAAACAATATGATGTTGAAAAAGATTGGTTATATGAATAAGCAAAATTAGTATTTTGGAAATTATAATCTAAAAATAATTATACAGATTAAAAGTTAATTTTAGAATTAGAATATCGTTATTTTATTTAATATAGATTATAAAGTAGAACTATAATACAAGAAATTTGGACAAATGATTAATCATTAAATCAACATATGATTTTATTAGTTGTTGCAATAGAATAATGTTAAGGTAAAAAGATTTTAGAATTATCTGATGGATGGTATTCAATCTTCTTTATTTGTGAATAAAGTTATGATTAAATATACAATAAGATCAAAATTGGACAGAAATTGCATGTAACAAATTTAAAAGAATATCCTATTATATTTAATACTTCTAATGTATAGTTATAGTATCATCTAGGTTAAAATAATAACATAATATCCTTTTAATAAAATGTTGGTTACTACTAAAATTAATTCAATAAAAAAAGCATAAATAAATTCAAAATTAGGAAAATAATAATAAAAGTATTTTGTACGATCACTCAAAAGCCTAAGAAATGGACCCATTCCATGTATTGATGTCTTTATAGTATCTAAATCTTATTTAATAAAAGTAAATCAAAAGAATTAACGTAAAGCTATACTATTCAATTCAGAAACAGAAAATGAAGAGGAAATGCAATAATTAAGAAATTCTAATTTATGTTTTTGGATTACAGTAATGGATACATTAAATTATTTTGATGAAAGAAAATAAAAAATAACAGAATTTAAAGATATATTAGTTCATATTAATGACCCATTATAATATGAAATGATATCTGTTGGTTAGAGAGTGTAAATAATTAATGCAATATAATTCAATTCAGATATCAGTATCAAATTAACAAAATCTTCAGGAATATTATTTGAATTATAATAATATTAAGATTACTTCAATAAATTATAAATTATTGGTAATAAACATGAGATTTAAATCAAGGTTAATAATCATATAAAACTTGAATAAATAGATGTAATTGAAGGTAGCAATGATTAATATTAAAATGTGAAAATAGAAATATAAAATAGTTTTTTTGGGGAAATCTTAAAAGATCAACAAATGAAAATTTTGAAAGTTACTTAATTAAATAAAATTAATAATGAGAGATTTCAAACTACATAAATGAGTAAATTGATAAATATTATAAATTATAATAAATGAATTATTAGTTTTTGAAATAGCCCTCAATGATTTATGATAAATCATCTAATATTTCTTCTTCAAAGTATAACAGCCCAAGATAGGATTATATGGACAATTTATTGTAATATTAAAATTCTAATAAAAAAGTGAGAATAATAGTGATCGCAATAGTGTAAATGATAAAAGAAAGTTTGGGGGTACAAATAGATAGAAAAAAAAGTATAAAAGACATAGCAGGGTTTTTGATGATGATAATCTATAAAAAGAGAAACGTGTCTTTAAATAGAGTTTATAAAGACTTTACGAAGAGTCTTTTATAAAAAATATCATAGACAATTCATATATAAAAAAAATAGGCTCATTAAGTACATATCAAGTTTAAGTACTTGATGATCTTTAATTTGGAACAGATAAATAAATAGATGATATTGATAATATTTTTTACAGTTTCTTTTCTAGTTATTTGGATAAAATATCTGTCATATATCCATAAAGTAATTTTAAAATATTTTGGAATACAATATAAGTATCAACTTTTATTTTGATATTTTTGTGGTTGCCTTATAAATTAGCATTTGAAACTAATTATATTTCATAATTTTATGATGAAGAAAAAAAAATGTCAATAGAAATAGCTTTATTTGTAATATGTGCATTTGATATATTTATTTGTTTGAATGAAGCCTACATTCATAAAGGAATTATTATAAAGTAATAATATTATATTGAATTATTTTAGTCAGAGATATCATATAATAATGAATTATTTAAAAACTACTGCATTAGCAGATATGATAAGTATATTTGCATTACTTTATGAATTAATCATAGTACATTAATATGAAAATTAATTTATATCTTTATAAATATGTTTGTGTTTGATTTTTGGATTAATCAAAACCTTTAAAATGAAATAGATATTTAATTAAATTTAAGAATACTTTAATATCAAGGGTGTATTAAAAGATTGTTTATAAATGACTCAAATAATATGTGGATTAATATATTTTATACATTTGGCGGCATGTATATGGCATGGATTAGGATAGCCAACTAGTAAATATACATGGTTAGATATAAATCATTTGAGAGGAGCTAATGATAGTATTAGATATGCAGAATCATTGCATTGGGCTGCAATTTATCTTACTAATGTAGGATCAACAGAAATTAAAATAGCTAATAATGATGAAAAGTATTTTGCTGCAGCTATGTCATTTTTATCTTTATTTTTAATGGGTATAATAGTAGTTTCTTTAGGATTTTTCTTCCATAAATCTCAAAGAAATTAAATTTATTCAGAATCAATGAAATTAATGAATAATTTTATGTCAATGAATAAAATTGATTTTAATTTACAAGTTCGTATTAGAAATTATTTAGATTATATTTGCAAAGTAATTTTAATAAATTCTAAATTAGGCAGAATAATCAATGATTGATGAAAATGTTTCAAATATTGTAAGTAAATTATCAGAGAGATTATAAGCAGAATTAAAATATTAATTAAGAGCATCTATATTAGAATCATGTGATTTTATTAAAAGGAATTTTTCAATTAAATTTTAATAAGCTTTGGTTCCATTTATGGAAGAGATTAATACTATACCTGAAGAAAGAATAGTTGAAATGAATAATATTGATGATTGTTCTATTTATATTATAAATAAAGGAGAAATGGAAGTAGTTTTTGAAGCAAAAAATAAAATGAATGTAAAATTTAAGAGAAATAATATTAAAGTTTTAGAAGTATTTATTGAATTTTTTTGATTTAGAGAAAGGAGAATATTTTGGCTTTTATAGTTTTATTACAAATTAACCTAGAACAGCTACAATTGTTTCTAAAGGATTTGGAAAACTATTTAAGATTTCTAGAGATAATTTTATAAATCTATTGGATTAATTCCCAGATGAAAGAGAAGTCTTTTATATGATTAAAGATAAAGTGAAAATAAATCAAGATTTATCAGATTTATAAATTAAATGTTATGGATGTAAAGCCCATTCTCATATGGTTAATTAATGTCCAATATTGCATTTCAATCCAAATTAAGATAGAGTAATTAAATAATCACTCTATCCTCATTAATAAGAAAGAGATGATCCTTAATAGTATTATTTTTATTCATTAATTTTATATAGACCAAGGAAATCTAAATTTATTAATGCTTTATTGTAATAATAAATAATAGAATAAATAGCCAAAGAATATTAAATGTAATTGTTTTAAGAAGAAACTCAAGATGGAACATAAGCAACTCATGTTTTATTATAAGATGATGTCTCAGATACTGATAGTAGAAGTATTATTAATAATTAATTATAGCATATTCATAAATGAGAACTCGATCTGTCTCTAGAGTTAATACTCACTCAATCTTATCAATGCAATAATAATCTTCTAATTATAAAATTAATCAACCCCATATACCTTAATAAATGGTAACCCAATAAGCAAATCATCTACCCTAAGTTGATGAAGATGAAGTTGAAATGATAGAAGATCAAGAATAAGATTAAGATTAAGAACCATATCCTAATTTTGATGAATAGATGAATAATAGAAAAGAATTTAATCGAAAAAATGATCCTAAACATACAGTAGAAACTGCTGGATTTGGTAATAAATTTAATAAAGTTTCTAATGTTGATCAAGATATTGAAAATTCTATTGAATCTGAAGAAGAAGATGAATATTAAGAAGAGTCAAGTGGTTAACCATAATAATAAATGGGTAAATCTGTTTCTAAAGGATCTTAAAGTCCATAAAATTCAGGAACAAATCCTAAAAATATCTAATAAATGGCATAGAAGGTTACATTTATTAATTAATAATCAACTTAATAACAAATAAATGTAGCAAATCCAAATGTTAGACCAAGAACTTCAATCAAAAGAGGAACAACTAAAACAAATAATACAGCTGTAATCTTTGATAATGTCTTAGCTGCATTATAAGAGAATTAATTATTAACAATTGAATTTGTAAAATTATTCTATATATATATAGCCTATTATTACTTTTCCATCTCTTGGAGAATTTGATAAAATTATGACCTTTAGAAAATATTTTCCATAACATAATATCTCTGCAGTTTTAAAGTTGGTTCAAAGATATTAAAAACATGTTGAACATTTCCCCATCTATTCTCTTTATTCATTCCTTTATACAGCAATTTGTAGAGGTAAAGAATTAAGGAAAAAGGCAGAATTAGCAAAGTAGTAATAAAAGTAAGTGTTATATTATCCTAAACTAATGAATAAGCCTTAAAAATATTTTAAGTATTATTATTCTTATAAACTTGTAGGAGATAGATTACTTAAAGGTAGGTTTGATAATTTTATAACTAAAAATACAATTTACAGTTATTATTATTTATAAATATAATTTTCTTTTGAATTCGAATTATTCTTATATTAAGAATTGTATGGATATCACATAAAAGTTCATGAACATTAGTAAAGCAAAAATAAACATCAAAAATGAAATTGAAAAGCCAATTGATGTTTTTAATAAATCTTCATAATATATTGTATATTGTAGAATCATTCTTATAGCATAATATGACAACTACTATACTTTAATTTATGAATATTTAAAAAGACAAATACACTGCAATTACTCATTTATCAGGTCATCCTTTTTCAGACAAAGAAAGAAATGAATTTGATAACTAAGTTTCTACTTAAATTACAAATTGCTCTTAAAAAATAAAAGAACTTTAATAAATGCAATCAAATTCAAAAACTAAAACGTAAATTTTATTAGTTTATTAAGTGAATATGTACATAAAGAAGTAATAATAAGTTGTCTAATTGCTAAATTAAATCAAATTATTTTACTATTTAGAGAATTTAAATATTATAGATAGAAATAAAAATAATAAATTTCATAATACCCAAAAAAAAGAATAAATATTAATATTGATAAAAAATATATGATTGAATTTAAAACTTAAAATATCCTTCATCTATCAAATAGTAAACAATCTGATCATTCTTTAATATAGAATTTATAAATATAAAAGCAATATTAGAATGATATAAATGAAATAATTAGTATCAAAGAATAAATAAGTGATATTTGTCTCTTTATTTAGAATATGCAAAATTTAATAGTTTATTAAGAAATGTAAACAGAATAAATATTATTAAATGCTACAGATAGTTTTAAACATATTGAAGCAGCTAATAATCATCTTTTTAGTTCGGTTATTTTAAATGAATAATTAGGTTCACAAATAGGATCATTCTTCTTTTTTATGGGAATTATATTATTAATATATGATTTTATACATGCTTGAATATATAAAACCCTATTATTATATTAATAATTATTATTTAATTAATTCTTATTATTTTTTATTTAATTTATATATTTATTATTTAGAGAATAATTTAAGAAATTTTATGTAATTTAATTGTTTATGTTATAAATAAATCATAGTGATGAGTATATTCCCATAAAGTATTATTTCATTGCTTTAATAAATCGAATTTAGTATTCTTCTGGTTTTATAATAGTTGGATCAATTCCTAAATTGATAGCAGTTTTTAATCTAAATATAAATTAAAAATATTACGTAGTTTCCATTTTTTTCAATAAATCATAACACTACAAGTAATCAATTATTGATAATTTAATCTATTAATTTTACTTATCTATTATTAATAATAATGAATAATCAACAACAGCAACATCAAGTAAAAACTAAGAGTCTGATTCAAGTGCTTTTTCTAAAAAATAGTAATCTTATTCTTGAATAGGTAAAGGTTCCCCATTCCTATCAATAATATAATTAGTATCAAGTAAAGTTTTTAGATTTTTACGATTCCATCTTTTTGCCTTACTACCTTTAAGATCATAAACGGTTAAATCACCTTCTAAACCCCAAAATAGATTTTCCATAGCAATAAAATATGTAATACCTCTAGAATTTTTAATAGTGAACATTCCATAAATTTTATTAAGAACAGAAGGTTTTTGTAAAAATATATTTGAATAAAGATGTTCAAAGTATTTAGGAGCAAATGATTCAAACATATTAAATTCAGATTCTTTAACTGCCTTAAAAATAAATAAATTATCAGATGATTTATAAAAAGTTGATCCACTTTTGCCTCCTGCTGAATTCCAATTAGAACAACTTGCAATAGATTTAATAAATTATTTGATTTTAATTCCATTTAACATTCTAATACATTCAAATTATTTAGGATAATATAATTAAATTGATATTGATTTAGATGGTTTTCTAGGAGACTCAGCTGCTGATGGTTAACTAATAGTTTATTGGTCTTCTTCTTCTATATCTTATAAATTATTGGAACTAGTTTTTTTTATTTATGAAGTAAATTTAGTTATTTTTAATTGAAATTCTTCAATAATAGCTAATTTAGTTTATTCTTTTAAAATTTTTGCTGCTTCAATTTCTACTTCCTATTATAAAGATTTATTTTCAATTTTTCCCTAAAATTCAGTAAATCTATATTTATATTCATATAAATCATAATATTTTGGATGATTCAAAGCAGCTGCAATTAAACCAATATCATTTTGATTATAAATAGGAATATATTCAAAAAATGATTTTATTTGTAAATTTGTTTAATCAGAATTAATAGCTTGTCTTGGCCATTTCTCAAAATAATATTTAAATAAATTCTATGAATTTAATTCATATTCCATTTTTTCTGTTCCTGCATCTGATTATTCTTCATATTAAGTTAGATGTTCTTAAGTAGGAGATTCAGGTGATTAAGTGTATTGTATAGGAGACTAATTTTAAAGAGGAAATTAATTTTCAATATTAATTTATTAAGATGATATTAAAGTAGAAGGTTCTTTTTATGTTTTTCTCAATGAATATTTCATAGAAGGACCACTTTCACTTGAAACTAATGAGAACATAGATGTTTTTGATCTAAGAAAATCTGATTCACTTTTTTATTTTGCCGCTATTCTTAATTATTCAGCCATTTCTATTTAATATAAACGTTAATAAACTTGCATACTCTCTTATTCTAATGAAATAAAATCAGAAAAAGAGGTTTATGTTAATCTTTCAATAAAATTGCCTAGAATTCCTAAAGATGTTTCAGGATTTTTATCAGATATTACAAATGAATTTGATTGTGTTGATGCTGTCATATAACTACTTCTTACACTTTTATCTCCACTTGAAATTAATTAAAATAATTTTTGTAAATAAAAGATTAAATTATCTTTTCTTTTATCTATTTCTTCTTTATCACATTTTTCTATATGTTATTTAACTTCTTAACAATCAAATTGAAAATTTTTAATCTTATAAATATCAAATAAGTTTGTAAACAACTTTATTTAATATTCATCACATTCAAATACTCTTTCTGTTTAATTATGATTACATGTATCTGATTATTTATCTGCTTATTCTTTTATTTCTCCTTCAAATATAAGCCAATCTTTCTTATTTGTTTTCTTTAATCTTAAAGAATTCTTAATAAGATATTGTATTAATCTATAAAATGAAAATTCCAATTGATTCTTTTCTAATTTAAAAGATTTAGTTAATTATTTATCACAATTAGTATTAAGACATTTAATATAAGTAATAATATTTAATTCTACTTATTATTATATTTTTGGTTCTAAATCTCCAATTAAATTATCACATTATGTAGAAATCTCATCATTTAAAGATTATGGATATAAAAAACTAGTTGCTTTCTTTATTTGATTAGTAGTAGCTTTAACTTATAAATTTTATTATTTTTTCTTTTCTACTACACATCTAACAAATGCTCCTGGACCATATCTAATTGATACATGATTAATCTTTTTTGTTTAACAATTTCCACATTTTGAACCTTGAATCATAGCTTTATCACTAATATACTTCCCTAAACTTACGTCTTCTTAATTTTATCCAGAACTTTCATAAAAACTAACTATTTCTTTTTAACAATCACATAATTAACAAAAATATGGTATTTTCTTATTATTAATATTTTTGATATTCTCTAAGATATAGTTTTCCAAACTCTCATCACTGATATTAATGATATAATATTTACTTATTCTTTTTTTGTATATCATGTATTTTATTGATAACAGCAGGATAGTATCTCAATTTGCAAAGTTTAATTTTAGAATTTTCATAATCTGTCATCAATTATACTGAAAAATCTGAAATCTCTCCACAAGTAATCATAGGAGAATTTTCATTATCAATCTATTTATATTTTAATTCTAAATCTTATCTAATTTTATAATCTAATAAAATCATTTCAAATTCTAAAGACATTTAGTAACAAATACAAAAAAGTTCTTAAAAACATTATTTCACATTAATCAATTCATTAATTCTAGGTCCACTTAAAGTCATCTAAAAAGAGTTACTTGATTATGGTGTTTAAATAAATAATAATGTGTTATCTCTATTTTTCTTTTTTTCTAAATGTATTTCAAGTAAAGACTTATCTCTTTCATCCAATTTATTATACAAATTTAAATTTTATTTTATTGTTTCTGGATCACAACAAACATAAGATGCTGTATGAGATTTACCAAGACAATCTTTAGAACAACACTTATTAAAAACATCTACAGCCTTCTATATTCTACCTTGAACTGCTTATTCAACTTTTAAAAGTTATTTGTAACTACATTGAATAGAAACGGTTATATCCTTTTTAACTAATTCATTTAATAAAATAGTATTTATGCTTTTCTCAACTAAAATAATATTAGGATTTAGTATATCTATTTACTCTAATGCTTATTGTATATACTTATTCTAATTCTTTACCACATTATCAAAATTTTGAATATCTAAATCTAAAGATCCACTCAGTAATAAAAATGATGGTGATTTATGATGTGTTTTCATTCTTTTATGAGCTATATTTTTTCTTATTGTAACTCCCCTTTAATATCTAGTAGCTGCATAATTAATAAATGGAATTATTTTGATTTTGATATATCTCACTTTATTTTTCACTTTCGATTAATTATCAATATAATGATACTTTAAGTCTTCAATTGAATTTTTGATAAATTATGTCATCACTCCTTACCAATTCTCTTTTATACCATAAACTATGGTTCTTCTTTCCACAAAGTCTTCTATTGTAGAAATCATCTTCTATTCTAATTTCTTTTACTTTCGTTCTATGTCATCGCCTATTGTAATTGTCTCTGGAATTTGAACCTTAAGCATAGGCAAAATTGTTGTTTTTTAATCATTAATCGTTTAAGGTACTAATTATAAAATAGGAGGAGGGGACTACTTGGATATATTAATAATATATATATACATCATTAGCAGATTCTGGCAATTTCTCATTAATAATATTAAATGATTTAGAATGTCTTCTCATTTATTATGAATCATCAATACCAATGGTATTCTTATCTTCAACAATATCTCCATTTTCTATTAACTTCTTGTTGATGTCATTAAAACAATCCTAACATAATCGAACCTTATTATTCAAAGTACAATTATACTTTATTTTTTTTGATCTCCTAAAAGTTTTTAAAGTTAGTTTTATCCATAAAGAAATTCGAACAACTATTTTAAGCTCTAGGACAAAATCAATACCTATCGCAAAATACCTCACCGCAATTTCGACAGTGATGTTTCCTTTTGAATATCGCCTTAAATGGGGTTTAGCATTTCTTACAACATTTAGCTTCTTTATCCTGCACCCACTTTGTAGTATATAATAACTATTGGTTCTTCATTCCAAATCTCTTACAATAAATAATAAATTTTAATCGAAACAATGTATATCTTTAATATAATATATTGAAATATGTAATGCATCATTGATCAGCGATTTAGTAAAAAAACATAAAAAACTAATACACTTTATTATAAAATACTCATATAAACTCTATATTACAAATATTTTTATTATATGGATAATTCTGAAAATCTATAATCACTATTAGACAATATTGACAATGATATAGGTTATGTTAAAATAAGATAATATGGACGAAACTATGGATTTCACAATATGTATGTTTCATTCTATCATTATATCATAGATATTATAGAAGACTAATATGGACTAAATTATTAGGAATAAATCAGCAATTACCATACTAAGAAAGGGAAAAATGTCTATAATATGATTAACTATTGAAAGATGTTCATCGATCATTAAATACTATATCACAAGTCAAAAACTTTAAAGAAATGTAATTCCTATTTTTTAAATATAGAGATCAATTAAGAAAATGTTTAATGGATGTATTAGATTCCATTTTCAGTCAATGTCCCAATTTCTCCTATTATCAAGGTTATCATGATGTTGTCTCAATTTTGATACTTGTCTTAGGAGTGGAATAAGGTTACATTGCATCTATTTATGCTGCCTAAAATTTCTTTAAAGATTATTTAGATCAAGAATTAGCTACTACAATCACTCCATAATATTAATTCATTAGAAATCTTCTATTGCGATACTCTAGAGATACTTCTAATCAAAAACTCAATTAATTGATGACAATTATTGAACATCCAACTTGTGTTATTCCATGGATTCTAACATGGTTTTCTCATTCCTTAGACAATTTAAATGATATCTCTAGAATTTGGGATTTCCTTTTTTGTTCTTAATAAAATTCAATTTTGTATGTATGTGCAGCTTTTATTGCCATTCATTATGAAGTCTTAGATTTGAGAGATGAAGACAATCTTATTGGAGAATTTTAAGAGTATTTTTAAAATCTTAATAACAAAGAACGAATTTAAGATATAAAATTAGAGAATATTTTGTAATTAGCATAATAATTTGAAAGTAAATATAAATTTGATCTTATTTGTTAATAAGAACATATTTAATTTTCATAAAAGTATATTATTAATTATTAGATTAGTTCTATTGTTTACTAACATAACTTCAAATCATAATTACCCTATTACAACTCCTTAGATTAACTATAGAATTCAATACCAAAAAAAGTATTCAATTACATTCAGGAAAGATAAGATATTATATTAAATATAGGTGGAATAGCTTTAAGTTATCTTATTTAATATTATATAGTTAAAAAATGATATAATGTATTATTATTATTATTATTTATCTGTTAATGATAAAACAATTAATTTCCTCAATAATTGAATGTGAAAAGGCTTTAGAAAACATAAGAATTGAATTAAATCAATAGTCCTTATTTTCTTTGAAACCCATCATGGATAGATTTGACCAACAAAATAAAGGACATATAACTTCTTACGATATTCTTCAATTTTGTTAAGATAACGATATTTAATGCCAGCATTATGATGCTTTTTTATGCGTCAAATATTTTGATGTTAATAAAGATGGCAGAGTTACTTTTGAAGAGTATGAGACCATTATTATATAGCTTTACTATTTAAATGCTATCGAAAACTAATCGTGAAATAAGATTTGTGGCTGCAGTCAGAGAGCCTTACTTTATTGAAAAATAGATGTGTTTGCCTGAAATAATAGAGACTGGTTTATCTTATTTCTTTGGAGAATTGTTAATCTATTTAAGGGAGTAATTAGAAATTAAAATGCTTTTAGAAAAAGAAAACTTTAATTATTTTAAACTTTTTCAATAATTAGATAAGAGTAACAATGGAATTATTCATATGAATGATTTTTAAAAATATTTTAATTTAACTCAAGAAGATACAAACTATTTTTTTATGATGGGTAATCATAATGAAACTATTGATTAAATAAATTTATTGGATATATTTGTAATAACTCAGTTGAAATCTGAAAATATTAGTAAAGAAAAACTTTTATCACCATTAAAACAAAATAATTTTTAACAATCTATCTATGAAAATGATAATTCATTTCAATCTCCTGAATAAAGATCAACAGTAAAATACAGAAAAGCTTAACTCAAACTATTAAATAGTGAATAAACTCATAGTAATGCCAGTAGTGTTTTTGTTGATGAATTAACTAAAAAATTATAGGATTTTACATTTACTCCTAAATCAAATGATAATAATAAGTATTAAATAGAATTAATAAATTTTGATAAAGTTGTTTATCAATAATTATATCAATTGTTACTTAAATGTAAATTATTATCTAAAACATAATTAAAATTAATTTAGAGAATTGATTTTTGTTGCAAGTCTGTTTTCAAATTTTTTGATCATGAAAATAAAGATTTTATTACAGAACAAGATTTCTATTCAGGTTTTAGAAGATTAAGAATTCAAATCAAAGGTTTAGTAAGAGATTTAATATTAAGTTATGGTTAAAATTCTCAAATAAATTATCAATAATTCAAAAAATTATTTTATATTGATCATCATGTAGATTCTAATGAAAGTCAACAATCTAATCCTTAATTATTTAGCAATGTTACTATTGATTACATTAGATAATTATTTTAAGAACAAATTGATATAGAATAATTTAAAAAAGGCTTTATTTCAAATCTATTAAAAAAAGTAAAAACTAATGATGATGCTATAATTATTACAAAACAAGTTCAAGATCTTTTTAATAAATACAATGCATATCCAAACGATAGAGAATTAGCAATATTAACAAATTAATTGTAAATTTTATAAATTTGATTTTTATCAATATATATATATATATTTTAACTATATTTTCTTTACTCTAGAATCAAATTTCAATAAATATTAACTTGAATTTGGAAGACGAGTAATTTAAAGCTTTATGTAAACAATTATAATATAAATTCGTTTTATTATTAATTAATAAAAATTAATGAAGTCCTTTGTTATCTTTGTGATTCTATTAGCTAGCATTATTTTGCCAAGCACTTGTATTTAAATTTGCTAATTTAGAAATTGAATTAAATAATTAAAATGTTGTTTCAGATTGCGATTGCTTAGGATAATTTAATTGCCCTTGTGGAAATAAAGATGTAAAGATTTCAATATAATTAGATTTTGTATGTAATGAGAAGTGGATAAGATAGACTTATGTTTAGGTTGAATAATAAGGAGAAAGAATATATTAAAGAACTTAATCAGGAATAAAAATCAAAGTAAAAACATAAATGAATTTATCTATACCTATAACCCATATTTGATATTATTACTTCAAAATTAAAAAGTTCTAGATTAAAATCCAAACTGATTCTAATCAAAGTAAATAATTCATAATTTCAATCCTCATTCTGCTTTCAAATTGAAAAAAACAATATCATCTACAATTTCTTATATGATAAATAAATATTTTATTTTATCAAGTATTANTTCAAATTTTTTGATCATGAAAATAAAGATTTTATTACAGAACAAGATTTCTATTCAGGTTTTAGAAGATTAAGAATTCAAATCAAAGGTTTAGTAAGAGATTTAATATTAAGTTATGGTTAAAATTCTCAAATAAATTATCAATAATTCAAAAAATTATTTTATATTGATCATCATGTAGATTCTAATGAAAGTCAACAATCTAATCCTTAATTATTTAGCAATGTTACTATTGATTACATTAGATAATTATTTTAAGAACAAATTGATATAGAATAATTTAAAAAAGGCTTTATTTCAAATCTATTAAAAAAAGTAAAAACTAATGATGATGCTATAATTATTACAAAACAAGTTCAAGATCTTTTTAATAAATACAATGCATATCCAAACGATAGAGAATTAGCAATATTAACAAATTAATTGTAAATTTTATAAATTTGATTTTTATCAATATATATATATATATTTTAACTATATTTTCTTTACTCTAGAATCAAATTTCAATAAATATTAACTTGAATTTGGAAGACGAGTAATTTAAAGCTTTATGTAAACAATTATAATATAAATTCGTTTTATTATTAATTAATAAAAATTAATGAAGTCCTTTGTTATCTTTGTGATTCTATTAGCTAGCATTATTTTGCCAAGCACTTGTATTTAAATTTGCTAATTTAGAAATTGAATTAAATAATTAAAATGTTGTTTCAGATTGCGATTGCTTAGGATAATTTAATTGCCCTTGTGGAAATAAAGATGTAAAGATTTCAATATAATTAGATTTTGTATGTAATGAGAAGTGGATAAGATAGACTTATGTTTAGGTTGAATAATAAGGAGAAAGAATATATTAAAGAACTTAATCAGGAATAAAAATCAAAGTAAAAACATAAATGAATTTATCTATACCTATAACCCATATTTGATATTATTACTTCAAAATTAAAAAGTTCTAGATTAAAATCCAAACTGATTCTAATCAAAGTAAATAATTCATAATTTCAATCCTCATTCTGCTTTCAAATTGAAAAAAACAATATCATCTACAATTTCTTATATGATAAATAAATATTTTATTTTATCAAGTATTACATTCTAAAAAAGAATTTAGATTTCAAATACAAACTGTTTATATAATCATTTTTATATAAAATATTATTTTTTGTATATGGGATTTATAACATCATTTCTATGTTACTTCATACCTGGTGTTGGATTAGCTTCATACTATTCATTCAGATTAGGTCCTTAATTACCAATTGCATGTAGAAAGATGGGGTATTACTTAACATTATTAGTGATAACGCATTGGATTGGGTTATGGTGCTTTCAAAGCAATTTTAAAAATTAATTTACCAAAAGATATTGTTAAATCAAATGAATTTATTAAATTGATGAGGTATTTAGAATAACTTATGTTTAGACAAACTGAATAATAAGCGAATGCATTAAATAGAGAATTTAAAACTAGTTTACATAAAATCAAATAAGAATTGAAAGAATAATTACCAGAAGAAATTACTTAAAATCCTCATTTATAATTGTAATTAAAAGATTACAGAAAAACAAATAGTAATCAATAAGTAAATACTATTTATGGATCTGATACTCTTTTTAGTTTATTTTAAGAAAGAAACAGATTAAAACAAAGTAAAATGTAGAAAGATAGATTAAATGATTTTACAAGAAAACTTTGAGAATTTTGAGTAGTATTTTATTATAATTAAAAAAATAAAAGGATTAATATATTATTTTATTGTTAATCCTTCTTAAGAATTCTGAAAGAATTAATTCAGTATATCATAATATCTATATGGATGTTATACAATATGTATGTTGTTTTAATGAAATATTCTATTGTCTTGTTTAGAAAAAAGGGGATTATGGAATTTCATCTACTGAAATTATTAAGTTAAAGATGTATTTTGTTATAAAGAATTATTTTATTTGGATATCTATGTTAATATAGGATTGTTTATCTAATTTTAAAGAGCATTTATGATTGATTATGAATTGTACGATATAATAATTAAATATTTGTTCTTATTAATGATCAATCAATAACCTCTATAAAAAAGAACTCCTATTTCTAATGTAAGAAAGGCAACTTTAATAAAGGATGAAGTTGATAATTACAAAGTTTATCGCTTTGAATTGTTCTCGATGAAAAGTATTTTTCAATTTTAAGTAGAAAATATCAGTCTCCATAAAAATCATGCTTCTGCTATAAACTTTTAAAAGAATGATATTCTTTAAGATCTAAATTAAAGTTGTATATGTGAAGAATGTGGAGGTAGAATTGCAAAACAAAGAATCATGATGATTGATCATTTGGACAGTAAGTAAATGATTGGGTCTTAAAAATAATCTTATTCTCCCCCTTCTTAAAATAGACATTCAGTAATAGATTCTAGTCTTCTTGGATCATAATAAATTAGTATATATTGAAATTAAATAAGGTGACAGACAAATGATGTTTAGCCTTAAGAAAAGTTAAAGAAGATCAATAAAACCTGTTTTGTAAGTGATTTAAGCTTAGAATATGATGAAAAAAATGGTTAATAGCAATTAATTATAGGCAAGAAGAAGTTTACAATCAATAGAAAACCCAGAGCCTCTATTTGAAAAAGTCTAAATAAAATTAAAATCTCAATTTAGAAGATCAATAAATAATTCACCAATATAAATTAGAACAAGAACTGATGCATCAACATATCTATTCCCTTTATTAGCAAAATCAAAGACATAATAAAAATAATTAGTTAATCAAAAGCCTGATTTTTAAATAGTAATTAAAAAATAACCTTAATTATTGAAAAGTGAAAAATTAAACTAGATTAAAACCTTATAACAACGTTTATTATTAACTTATCTTAAAAAATCATAATCTCAACAAAATTCAGATAAAATAAATATTTTAAAATATAAATTGAAAAATTGATATTAATTGAGATCAAAAATGATTAAATTAAATAACTAAAAAAAAAGGAAATAAATAGAATTTATGCTCATTTTTTCTGTTTTTTAATAGTTTTTTTTATTTTTAATGTACTTTTATTGTTTTTTTATTATTAATTCTTAAATTCTATAAGTATGCAAGACATATTATCTAAACCCCAAACAGTTTATTCAGTCATTGAAGGAGCTAAAATTTAATTCATAATTGATTTTAATTTTTATTCAGCTAAACAGTATTAAAATAAATAATTTACATTATTCTTTGTTATTTTTATATAATTTTTAAGTAAGATTCTCCCCATTATCATTTAAACCTTCCCATATTCCATCACAAGCCATAAAAATCATTTATATATTTTTAAAAACTCTAATTTCAGGAATAGCTATCACCATATCATCTTTATATTAATAATCTCCAAATGCTCTTGAAAGTGATAGAGCTCCACAAACTCTACCATCAGCCACAAATCCACCTGCATTACAAATTCTTGATCTCTCTTTTGCATGAGTTGGTTTATGATCAAAACTCATAATAATAGGTTTTCCCTTTTATATACCAACAGATCTAGAATCTCCTATATTTGCACAATATATTGAATCTTTAGTTATCAAAATTATATTGGCTGTAGTACCACTTTCATCAATAATTGAAGTACCAATCAATTCTACAATTTTCTTAGGAGCTAATTTAGATAATTCACTTAAATCAAAAAGTTATTTATTGAATTGTTTCTTTTAATTCTTAATGTTTTTTATCACTTCAATAAGATTAAATAATAATACCATCTTCAATAGACATTTAAAATCTCTCTTCTACTAATGCATTAAGTCCTTCTGGAGTTATTAACCATTTATCAATATCAATAAATGATTCCATTAAACTCTCTTCATATTGTTTATTTCTAAATTTAATATTTGATTCTAAAAAGCGCGGTAAATATTTGGAAACAACAGATGAAACTTCAAATCCTCCATGACCATCTAATATTCCAAATAAATATTCTCCTGTTGATAGTTTTACTTTGATAATTGCATCTTCCTACATAAAAAATTAATAGATTTAATTACCATTGTTTTTCTCCATCCTTACATAGAGGCACAAGTATATGTAAAATCATCATTCTATCCTGATTCAATAGTGAATTTAGTTTTAGGTTTTGTTAAATAAATATCATCAATACACATTATTTTCAGCACTAAAATAAATGATTTTATTAATATATCATAAAATATATATTTTCATAAATTGATAAAGTAAATCATATTATTGACTACATAAGTATATACTTGATTTGTTAAGATATTAATAATTATATTATTCTAAAGTATGAAGATCTTTTACTAATTTAGTCTTTATATATTTTAGCTATGATCTTCTGATTATAAAAAATCATCATAATATTATCAATATATGTAGTCTAATCCAACACCGATTCTTGGATCTGTAGAAATCATTAAAGGTAAATTTAATTCTTAATTACAGATAGACTCTATTGGATATCAGATCGATAAGCTCCTCGTAATTAGCCAAATGCTTTTTATTTTTGTATTGACTAAGTACAATATATATTATCTTAAGGATCTTGTATATGAACCATTTTTTGCTGATTTTGGTCCATTAAATTTAGGTCACACTTATCGATTTGTAACAGAATTAGAGAAATTGCTTAGTGATAAGACATATCAGAAATATGCAATTTATCATTATACAAGTTTAGATAGTGCTAAAAGAGCTAATGCTGCATATTTAATGGGTGCATTTTAAGTCATTATTCTTAAATACAGTGCAGATGATGCATGGAAACCATTTTTGAATGTTAAACCTGCATTCTAGGATTTTAGAGATGCTAGTTATGGATAATGCACTTATAAATGCACTGTAGATTTAATATATTAGTAAAGATCCTTCATTGTTTGAGAGGACTTGAATATGCTATAAAATTGAAATGGTTTGATGTTAGAAAGTTCAATCTTAGAGATTATGAATTTTATGAAAGAGTAGATAATGGAGATCTCAATTGGATTATACCAAATAAATTCATAGCTTTTTCAGGACCTTCTTCAACTTAAAAAGACTCAGATGGAGTATATTATTACTATTAAATAAATAGAATCGTACCTTTACTCCTGAAGATTATGTTCCTATATTTAAACAATTTGGAGTTACTTGTGTAGTAAGATTAAATAAAAAAGCATATGAAGAATAGAGATTTATTAAAAATGGAATAAAACATGAAGAAATTTATTTTCTTGATGGTTCTGTACCAGCAGATGATAAGATTTTGAGATTCTTAGAAATAGCTGAAAAGGAAAATGCAGTAGCAATTCATTGTAAAGCAGGCTTAGGTCGTACAGGTACATTGATAGCAGCTTATGCCATTAAACATTACAAGTTTAAATAGAAATTAATATCTAGATTTCCAGCTCCAGATTTTATAGGATGGATTCGTATTTGTAGACCAGGTAGTATATTAGGTCCATAATAGATATTTTTACTTGTAAGTTTATTTAATTTATAATACAATTAAGCAAAAATAAAATTGGTTGATTAGTTTGGGAAAAGATTCACCAATATGGAATCAAGTTAAATAGATTGCTGAAGAAGTGAATATAGAAAAAAGATTATAAGATTTACAATTAGGACCTATGAGTGAAGGTAATTAAATATTTATTTAATTTTAAAATAGCTGATAAGAATAAAGCAGAGAAGGGTGACTCAGATTAAGCATAGATTTTAAACAAGGCTAAATAAATGAAGTAATCATATAATTTATGATTTCAGTTAAAATTCCCCAGGGATTAAAAAATGATAAAGATAATTTATTGTTTTATATTAAAATTTTACCAAATGTTTATTTTTAATTTAAGAAAATTAATTTTAGAATAGAAATATAAGTAAATAAAAAGATTAATAAGATTCAGTAATGATAATAATTGATAAAGATAATTATAATCAATAAACAAATACATTCTTTATAGACTTCTTATTATTATTTATTAAATATAAATTATTATGATTCTTGAAACTTGTTTGTTTCTTTTTGATTGTTCTATAAGCATCTCCAATATAAATATCTTCTAAATCTATGGATGTTGATTTATAATTTTATTTAATTTAACTTCTTTATGAAATCCTTTTATTATTCATGGAATATGCACGATTGGATTAGCTTGTAATTTAACTTGGTTATTTAGAGACACCAGGTAATTGTAATTATCTTAATTTGTTGTTTTTTGGTGATAAATTAGGATTTTGATAAGTATTTAAATAGGTTGAGTATAAATATGATTAATAATTCTATGAGGATGAATTTGATCTATTTTCTCTTTAGGTTATTTCTTATTTAGATTTATCTTGGTTGATTGTATTATGTGATTATAATTTATTTTATTTTTAATTACTATCTTCAATTTTATCATTTAATTATTAGAATACTCCTTAATTATTTCTACTATCATTTACAAATGAATTCTATTAATCTTTATGTGTTATTTTTCCAATGCCATGCTTTTTATCATTTTAATATTCTCCCTAATTAGGTATGAAATTTTACTTCATAAATGATTCCATTTTTATTAACATATCTACCATATCCATGTCTCATTCCTTCTAAAAATTATCCTTAATAGATGGATCCATCAACCCATCTATATTCACCTTATCCTTATGGTTTACCACAATAATAGTTTCCAATATATTTATCACCATTTTGAAATTGTTCAACTCCATATCCATTTTTGACTGAATTCTTCCATTAACCAAAATAAACATCTCCATTCCATTTATGTTCACCTAATCCATCTTATTATCCATTTACCCATTAACCAATATAATAATCTTCTTATGTTCCTGTCCATTAACCAAAACCATGTTTCTAAGCATTTAACCATTGACCTATATAATATTCACCATTATCCCATTTAAAACTTCCTTCTCCATTTGGTTTTTTATTGTTAATTTAACCATGATATATACATTTATTAGGAAATATTTAATAGGTAATGTTTTATTCAAGATGATTATAAATGAATCTTCCATTCATAGTCAATTTAATTTCAGCATTGTTACTTTTTATAATAATTAAATTTTCTTTTCTAGTTAATTAATTAAATTCAAGGGATTGTATTGGTAATTTATATTGATGAAGTAAGGTTAATAATTGTTTCTTTAAAGATTCTTAGTTTTGAATAGAAAATAAGGTTATAAGATCGTTTTGAAATTAATCAACATTGGAGATTAACGGATATTTTTTTTGAATTTTCTACACTTATATTTAGACATTCTAGATTAATTGATACTCTTAAAGCCTATAAATAAATAATCATGTTTACATTGAATATATATTTAATAATTAATAATAATATTTATATGATGATGTATTCCTAAAAACTAATTAATATTGAATCAAAATAATTTAGTTTAATAATAATGTTTACATGTTGTAACTTCATGTGACTTGGCAGTATTCTTATCAATTAAATCAGGAATATTTTCATTTTATAAGGTGATATCTATGATAAGAGTGTAAATTAATACAATCAATAAACTCTCTCAATTTTTAAAAGTAACATTTACGATATTATAAATCTGTATCAATACCAGAATGACCAACATTATCAGGTATCCATAATTCATATAAATTATTTGATTTCTATGCTAATTATTTAGCATGTTCATCAGATATTATTTTATCATTAGCTCCATGCATAATAAATATAGGACATCTAATGAGTTGAATTCTATCAATATTTGGGAATAAATCATAATAAGGAGTGTCTTCTATTTTATTACTGATAACTCTTAATCCAGAACTAAAACCACTTTCTATAATCAACCCACCTATTGGAAATTAAGGATTGGATGATAAAGTTACACTAGGACCTGAACCAATACTATAACCATAAACAATTATTTGTGTTGGTTTATATCCTAATTAATGAACCAAGAAATTATAAGCCACTTAGATATTACGAATAATGCTTAAATCATTGCTCTTTCCTTCACTTTAACCATATCCACTATATTCATATGCAAAAACATTTATCTTAGTGTAGGACACAAGTTCTATATATAAATAACAAATATGTATACTAATTAATTTATCTATCATAGTTCCTAAATCACAAGCATTTCCATGACTAAACAATATTACGTAATCACTATTCTTATCTAAATGCACTGATGCTATTTATTAATTATTGTTTTAGTTCAGAAAATATGATGTTATTTTGCATATATCAGATCTCACAACTATTTCTTCATCTAAATGAATTTTCTTATTCGGTATTTTGATGAAATCATATTCCGGATATAATCTTCACATAAATTCTAATCTTACTCAGGATTCCTCACTGTCTTTCTTCTCCTATGCAAATATTATTAATCATTTATCAATGTCAATTATTATTCAGCATTGTTTTACAAATTGAAATACCCACTATCATCAAATGAGTAATATCGCTATTTTTTATTAACTCTCTATTTTTTTTACTCTCTCAATCTCAGTTCATATGTAGCTTAAGGTGGACGAAAGGCAAGCATATGAACAAGTTTATTCCTGAGACCACACATGCTAAAAGATTGAAATATTCCAGTTACAAAATGTTACATTCGATATCAAATACCTTATTTATTTTAACAATAAATTTGTATTTCATTCTAAATATTATAGATATAAATATATATATATTATCAAAACTTATTATTAATCTTTTAGATGGATTTTGTCGAATATAAAGTTGTTTTAGTGGATGGACTTGGTGTTAAATTCATCCACTTTTTAAATACAAATCTCTCTGTTTTTAATGGAGATATTCTTGGTGATGAAATACTATTTATATCGAAAGATAATATTGAATTTTGATTGCTGGTACTTATTCTAGTTTTAGTAGACATATTAGTTATTATACGAGGCTTTTTGTTTATTGGAGTAAGATATTTGATTTCACCTTAACTCTTCTTTTTCATAAAAGGTCTCAATGTACATATTTGTTCCTCCTTAGGATTCGATATCTTTGTAAATTATTAATTCACTTTAAATAACTCTGATACTAACTTAGATCTTTATTCGAATGATAGACGTGTATTCTGTATAATTGATATAAATATAATGATGAATAAATACTTTTATTTGCCATATCAAATCTGTACGATTGGCACAATAAGACAAATATCTCAGTAAATTTACAAAATCAGTTGAATAATAATTCTCATCTCCTATTTCTCTCATCTTTCTCATTAATGTTCTAAATGCTATATTAATCTTAATCATTTTATTACTTTAAGAAGTTCCTTCATCCTTAATAACCTATTTAAACTCATCTAAATCAATGCATTCTTATTGTATATTTATAGAAATTTACTATTCCCATCACGATCAGTCATTTCAAAAAATGCCTTCAAAAGTCTCAAATTTACAGGATAATTATTTTTTTTCAACATGGAATATAATTCATCCATCTCAATTGTATCTTAAAGATTTATTCTAATTTTATACTTGAATGATCTCTATCAATCAAATGAAAAGTTTCTGTAACTACTTCATCATCAAATAATTCCTTCTCTGTCTTTCTATATTTCTCCTTTACTTTAAATGAATGTCTAGAATTGAACCAGCTTTTTGTTTCTTAAAAATGTAAGACTCTATCAGCTGGTGGTAATATTTACATTAAAATTATATATATATATATATGTAATTATTTATTAAATTATATTTTTGGATAAAATTAATTATTGTTTATAAATCCTTTTTATACATTATAAAATTGAGTTTATGATTACAATATCTAATTCAAACATCTGAAATATAAGATTCATCTTTTACTATTTTTGGTAAAGTTCTAAAACTATCCTTAGGTATATTATTATTCTACTGATTTGAATTAATCTCTATTTTAACATTTGGACTGAATGAAGAATTATTTAATTAAGATATTCTAAATTAATAACTAAATCTCATACACTTTATTTTAATTTGAAATTTAATATTCCCCTTTTTATTGTTATATTTATATTTTCTATTTTTGTTGACTATTTTGTATAGCCAATTTCCTTATTGCATTTTATTTATTCATTAAAATAGGTAAATCTGTAGAATTTCTTTTAATATTGATTACTCCTTTATTTATATTATTTTAGTTCTTTTATCAATTCAAAATACTACTTATGTAATTTATGAACTCTTTGATGAACTCCTCATTTACTTTTCTTTTTCTTCTTTTTCCTTTTTAGTTCCTTCAGAACTTTTAATTTATTACTTATCATTCCCATGTGCCATATTTAATGCTTAAGATTAATATTCATAATTACTTACCACATGTCTTTGCTAATTTCTTCAATTATATTTTTCTATTATTAAAAGTACCAAGAAATGATATTGAAGAACAATTATAATTATTTTTTATAGGACCTCCTTTATAAATTAAATCAAAGCCTCCAATTTATTCCTCATTTCCATTTAATATTTTTTCAAAATCAATAATTGTAAAAACATCATCTAATAATCCACATTTTAATTCAAAATCAATTGGTGTATTAGATGTCATTGAAGGACTTTTGTTAATTTACTTGTTTTATACCTTGCATTCACTTCCAAAAGCCAAGGCTTTAATTGAGAATCAAATAAGATATCAAATCCATATAATTCAAAACAATGTTTATCATTTATGATAATTTTTTGAACTGCTAATAAAGATTTAATCATTAATTATTGAACATTATAAAAACATTCTTAAACCTTATCCTATCCATACTTTGTCATTAAAAATAGTTTCAATTTTTATAAATCCCATTTACCTCCTAATTTATCATCGTAATTTTCTGAATTCTTTTGGATGGCCACATTTGTTAAATGAACATCTAAATCTTCATGCAATAAGTATACAAGCATTTGTAATATCTTCATTATCATATCTATGATGAGTGAATCGAGCAAATCCTGTACGATATAAATATAAAGTTAAAGGGGAATAAGAAGTACACAACAAGTAGATTCTAGTATCAAACTTTTTGCCTCCAATTAAAAGTGGATCAGCAATATATCTTTAAACTATATATGATTCTGCAGAGGGATTTTCAGGATTAAACTTAACTTGATTCTTCCATTAAGAAATCTATGATATTTTGTTAAATAAGAATATGCCTCTTCCCTAAGATTTACCTATCTATATAAGATAATTAAATAAATTTTGTACTGGTTTCATAATCCATGCAGTTTTATTTTCACCTTACTTTTTAAATTCTTCATTAAAGATAGGATATTCACTAGGTAAATGATAAGTAAGTGGAAAGAAATTATAACTAAAATAGTTAAATTACTTTAATTACGCATTTGCTTCATCAATTTTTCCTTCTTTTTCTAATGCTCTTTTTTATTTCTTTAAATTTTTAATCATGAGATCTTTGCGAGTTAACTAATTTAATATTAAAAATAATTACCTCATAATGATTACGAAAATGATTAATTTTTTAATGAGATTATAAGTGAATATGATCCATAACTTCATGAATCCATTCTTTCTCAGCCCACATAATATCCCAATCGTCACCATCAGTTTCTTTCCAATTTCTCCTCTTAAATGCCTTTCATTATTCATGCAATCATACTTCTAAAATACAATTTCTAAATGATGTTTTATATTTGATATTTGTACTAAACAATTTGTTAATAAAAATTACTAATGATTTCCATAATATTCTTTTTTAATGTATTTTCTAAAATATTCTGACATTATTGACTTTTTTATTTATATATTTAATATATTTAATTATCAAATAGAAGAATCAATTGATATCTTTGAATTCACTTTTTAATTTGCTTAAAGTCATTGAATTTCTCATAATCAATTCCATTATTTCTTATCCTGGAATTTATGAAATATTTTCATCATCTCGGCTAAATTAATAAATTCAATATATTACAAATATTTATCATCATCATCTTCATCCTCCTTATTTTCATTATCACTTTCTGCTTAAGATAATTATTATATAAATGTTGTTTCTGTATTCTAGAATTTTGATTAATTCATATTAAATTTAGTTTAATTTTCTTCTTCATAATTTTCAACAGTATTATTATTACTTTTTAATCTTTCCAATTCTTAAGTTAAAGCAAATATGTGTTTCCTTAATTCATGATCAGGTGAATCTTTGAATATTATCAAAGTTTAATAAGCACTTATCTTTGATCTCATATCTTGTAATTATTCTTCTAAAAATGGAACTCTATCAGCAATAAGTCTATATTCAACATTCTACTTCTCTAATTTATCTATTTTCTCTCTATTATTAGAATTTATCTCATATAATTCTTCTATTTCTTCTTCCAACTCATAATTTAACTATTCCATCATTATATTAGATTGTGAATTATCATTATATGTATCCTATTAAAATGTATTATTATTCATTGTTGAAGCTGTTTATGGTCTAAGTCCCTTTTAAAAATTTATACTCTATGATAATTTAGATTCTTATTTGCTGTCCTTGAAAGCTTAGGCCAAATTGTAATCTTATTAAGTAATAATCTGATTATCCAACTTATCTAAAAATACTGTCCATAAAATATCGTATTTGTAAGCATATTTTTATGTACAAGGGTTATATTCAATGACTAGGTCTTTAAGACTAGGCATTAATTTAATGCTATAAACCAAATGTTCAAAATCAGTAATTTAGTTATTTCCAATTTAAAATATTTTTAAATGAATCATTAACCCAATATCTATGGTATTGATTAGATTATGATTTGCATACAATTTTTAGAGTCTTTTGCATTCTCCTAAAGGTTAGAGAGTTGTTATTTTATTGTTGTTAATATTCAAATCTACAATATTGTGTAATACACTAATTCCTATGACATTTATCAATTTGTTTTATGATAATGAGAGACTCTTTAAGGCACTACTAATTTAATATAGGATTACATTAATTCTTAAAATTGGACATCTGTAGTGCTTTCAAAAATCAAGAGGTTTTTGTCAATAAGAGATAAATGTGTTACTGATTCTAAATCAGAACCATCACTATTAGTACAAATAAATTATTTAGTTATAATTTTTCTTGCTTCTACTAAATCCTATGCTGATATAACTGGAGAGGGTTCAATTATCTTTACATTCTTTTAAATCTCTTTATTATCATTTTAATCCTTATCTTTTTAATCACCAATTTTTTATACATCCTCTAATTTTCTATTGCTTGAATTTGGACGAAGAATCTGATTTTTTTTGAATTGTAATTATATTTTCGAAATAGGTTTTGGGGGTAATTGTTGTATAACAGATTCAGAAATTTATTATTATGTTATGGTAGATTATTATTAAGTTTGCAAATGATTATCATGTAATTAAGGTAATTTTTGTCTTATTACATTTACTTTTTTTTGCATCATATTTACATTTGTATTCTCATATAGACTAGGATATACTCTCTATTATAGAAAATGTCTTCTTTTTATATGATCATCCATTTTTTTGTTATCATCAAAAGTTCTACCACAACCATGAGGGCACTCTAATGTATTCATATATTTAAATTATTTATTAATTAATAATATATAATTTCATAGACTAATACTCACATCATCTAGTTATTAAAGTTATGAATTTGTTTCTTATTTTTAATTCTTCTTTGAATTGCTATGATATCGTTTCAAATGAGTAAGTAGCAAAGTATGAGATTAATAATCTTTGGAACACAAAAAACAATTAAATATGTGATAGTTTTAACAATGCTTCTTCAAAATATGAGGAAAGAATACACTACTTATACCTGAAAAGTCACATGATGGACATTAAAACATTTCAGATTAATTATCTTTAGATTAAATTTATTTTAAATTCTTTATGCTCTTTACAAACAATTTAGTTATTGCTCTCAAATATCTAAATTTATTTTTACTATGATAAGTCTTAATATTTTCAAAGTCTAATTGAAATGATTTATTAGCCAAAGAATTCAACTATCTAAATTTCTATACAATCATATTAAGTTGCTTATAACATTATTCAGGTTATAGTAATCCTTTTGGAGTCATCTAAAATAATTATTATAATTATATATCCTCTTCACTTTAAACAAGTTTATCATTATAACTAATTATTTTATTTGATTTCTTGTTTCTTTTTTTAGATACATCTAATTGTAATTTAGATTCCTCTAATTAGTCGATTTTCTTGTTTTGTTATTCACAATCATTTGATTAAGGATTTTTTTTAAATAAAATGTTAGTTAATAATTATGTGCATTCCAATTGCATTTCCAATATCTTTTTTAATAGAGTTTTTGTTTCTTCATTCATTTTATTACAATAATTTGAATTCTCTCTTCATATTTATTTTTTCTAGTTATAATCTAAATATAATATTACATTTTTTCAAATAATGAAAAAATAATATAAAACCAAAATAAAAATCAAGATGATAATTTTTAAGCCAAAATATTTCTCTAAATAACATGATCTTATAATTATTCTTTTTTATATTTCTCTAAAAATTCTTATTCCTATTTTAATTTGTCATTTTTCTAAGTAATTTCGAGATTTTTTGATAAAATTTTATTTTGTTTATGTATTTTTTCTAACATATTTTCCATTTATTTCTATTTTGCCAATTTAAATCTATGTTCATTCTTTTAAGATAAATTGTGTTTTCTTAAATCCAATAAAGATTAATGTCTTATATATTATTAAATATCATACCTTTTTAATCCTCCTTCTAATTTCTCATCTGTTTCTTACAATTTTGAATTCAATTCTTCAAATCTCTTTTAATCCAAAGATTCCTAAAATTATTCAATCCTTTTCATTATTCTACTATTTTTTAAAGATAAACTCTTCTACTATTTCAATTAAGATATTTCATGCTTATTTATTTATATCTAAATATAAACAATATATTTACTTATCTTTAAGTTGATTTGCTAAAATATGTTTAAACATTTTAATTATCCTTTTGAATATAAGATTCCTATAATTTCTTTTATTTCTCTTCAAATATCTTTAAATTTTAATGATGTCTTTTCTTATCTTCCTCCTATTTCTTATGCAAATAATCATTCATATAATCAGCCTTCTTTTTTATTGAATCCATCACCTAATCTATCATACTCTATTCTAAATTCATTTACATCTATCTCTTTAATTATCTCTCTCTTTCCTTTTCTTCCTTCTTTCTTAATTATTCCAATAATTCCTCTTATGCCTATTACAATTATTTTTATTTTCTTTCCTAATGAAGATTATGATCTTTCTCTAACTCTTAAACCAACTTTTAATGTTCTCTATATTAAGTTTATTCTTCTTTTTTTGCCTTTTAACATATCTGATCTACTTTTAAATGATTTCTCCTAAGTTTCTTTCTTACTAATTCCAATTACTTTTATTTCAATCTCTCAGCTTTTTAATACATCTCTGGGGCAGTCTTACTATAATATTCATCTTATTTATTAATTTAATCATGTACTAAATTGAGAAACCTAAATATTATACTTAAAATATTACTTATTATAATTTTCTTAAGCTTTAATCAATTTCTTATCAAAAAGTTCTTTCTTTTAATTTGCACTTAAAATTGATGAATGTCCATCCTCATAGAAATGTTTCTTTGATTCAGTTTATTCTATTGATATTGATTCATCCTTAAATTTAATGTTTTTAGAGTTCATTTACTTAGAGACTTAAGATTATATGTGTTTAATCTAATTTCTTTTTTTTAAGATTTCATTCAATATTTTGTATTTATTAGTTACATATTACAAATATGATATAAGGTTCTGAAGTGGATCTTTTCTTTTTTGATAAAATTCTTCATAATCTTTCACTTAAAGATCCTCTACATGCAACTTAAGCATTTCCATTGCAGCTTGAGTTCTTGGTGAATTTGTATCAAAATGCATTCTAAATACTGTTAATTGATTTGGATTTCGAATGATATTATTTTTTTGATCAGCTTCTAAGTAATTGGCTTCAATGGCTGATTTCAATAATGCATTAGAAATTGTTGGAAAACGAAATTATTTGTGACTACCTAATAAGTTTTTTGGACTTGATTCACTATTCTATTGAAATGAACTCATGGACCCTTATTTTGTAATGAGAAAATCGCCTGTTTCCTTTATATAATCAATCATAATAATATTAATTTTTATTGATTAATGTCTTTTTAATTCCTTAAAATATGTTTTAATAATGATCTCAAAAGACTTAAAAGTTTAAAGAGATAGTTGTTTTACAATATCTAACTGAATGAGTTGTATAGATTAGAAAGAATTAGTTGAGAAATACTAAATATTCAAAAAGAAAATAGGATATCAGTTAAATAAACAGCTGATACGACTTCTTGGGTCTGTATTTAAAAAAAGAGATAGTAATTAAAAACAAATTGGTAATAGTTGTGATTGTTACATTTTTTATTTATTTGATTATCTATTTTTCATAAATACAGGAGAATATATTATAAATTAAGAAAATATAAACAAAATTACATCATTAACAATCTCATTTCTAAGGGATTGGTTTTCTAACTAAAATTAATTACTTTTTCCACTTTCTTTAAGGGATATTCCTCCATCTTTTGGTGATCACTTTAATCATGATATTATGAGGCATTTAGAGAAGCACTAAAACGAGACTAACTGCCAATGCACAAGGAATCATGTGACTAATATTATTAATTAAATTTCTTACACAATCAATCCACTAGCCACTATCTTCAGTAATAATGAGATAACATTTAAAAAGGGACATAATTTAACTATTTTCTTTTTGTTTATCAAAGCTGCGAAAAACAAAATCTTTTCTCCTACTAAAAAGACATCTGAAAAAATGAAGATTTAAAAGGACACTATCATTTCATCATACCAATTAGATTTAAGGATTGTATAGATGATAGTACATCCTACAAATAAAAAAACAAATCCAATAAGATTACATAGGATTAGACCCTTTGCAAATTTCAATGTAACTTTATCACCATTTGTTAGGATATATTTTCCAGGTTTTACAGGAACTTATGTAGGGTTCTTTGTTTAGCCTTCTTTAAATTCCTTTATTTCTGAATCCAAATCTACATTTGTTTGCCCATCAATTACGATTGCTGGACCTTCATTTAATTCTTTAATATTAACTTCCATAGTAAATTGTTGGTTAAATTACAATTTATTTTAATTATTGATTTTTAATCACAAATCTAGAACCCATTTAAATTCTTTTTTCATTACGAAATCATTAGAAATTTAACTGTGTTAATATATTTCTGATATTATTGAGTAAAAATTAATCATAATACGTCATTTTCTTATTCAATTCAAAGAATTCAGTAATATTTAACGACTTAAACATAATATTATTTCTTTTCATACAAATACAAGATAAATGGAATGTTAATGATAGAGGAGAAAGGTATATGTATAACATTTAAATGTTATACATATTAATTTACTTTTAAATTAAATTGATAAATATTTCTAAAAAATTGAATAATTTTAAGTTATTAGAAATTGCACAATTAAAATAATTATTCCTTGTATTACAATCATACACATTTTAAATAATCTTCTCCCCAATTATTGATAGGTTTGAAATGGCTAAATTCATCAACAATCCATTCAATACTATTATTTATCATCATTCTTCTTTCACCTCTTTTCATATTTCTCATTAAGAAAGGTTGTTTACAAGATTTACATACATCTTAATTGCAACCCCCATATGCTGGTAATATTGAAATAAAACAAGCTTTATGCCAACAAGCTATCTAAAAATAACATTATCAATTTACTCTATAGATAGGTTTCTTTTCTGGTTTATGGCGAGCAAATGCATGATGTAATTTAAGTAATTGTTCTTCCTCTTGTAATTCTTAGAACTTACAAAAAACAGAAGCTTCTAAATCTGAAACCTTAATTCCTTCACCATTTACAATACTAGAGACAACTGAAAAGTATTTATCAAGGTCTCCTTCTACTGATTATGATTTTTCAAAAAATGACATTGTTACAACATCAGAAGCACAAATAGCTAATTACTTAGCAGCATCATGAAAAACCTTTTCTAAAGTTGAAAATATGAAACCCTAAAGTTATTAATAATCAATTTACATGCTTCCCAAATAAACTACGTAAATGATCTTCATATTTAAAGTCTTTGGCCTTTAATGAAAGAAATAACGCAGATTTAAATAAATTATATCTCTTATCTTATCCTAATTTGTTTTATTGACTAATCACATAAGCCATTTCTAATCTTTGATATATAGTATGTAGAAATCTCAAAAGAATATATAGATTTTATGTCACATATGTAGTGGATTTGACTCTAGGTTGTAAATTTAAAAATAAGCCTGGAGATTCATTTTCTATTACTGGAATAGATATTGTAGCATCTTCTGGATTATAATGAATATCATATATTTCAAGTTCTTATATTTCATTTTTCAATTTAGTATCTATTAATGTCAATTATGATATTTGCATTGGTTTCATTGGAACTTAAAAAAAATGATTGATTAACTTTATCATAAAAATGGTTCCATTTCTTTTATCCAGAGAATTATTGCCTCCCATAATCTGGAGATAATGAATAACAAATTAACCACACTCTTATAAAATTTATTCATTTCCCATCCATAAAGAAATTAATGGAGAAAAACGGACATTATCTTTGATAGAAGTAATTAATGGCATTTATTTAGGTAAAGTTGGTCTTATGTTAGTCATCTAAGCCAGAGAATTCAGAAATGAATTTTCAAATGTATATTATATTTAATCTTGTTTTCTTTTAACAAATACATGTTCTTTTGATCCTAAATGCTTTATTAAGACATTTTTGGCATATTCTTCTATTTCTCTTGCAAATCTTTATCCATTAATTACTAATTTATCATTTTTTTTAAAATAAAAAGATCTGTGATCAAGTGAACGATGAAAGTTATTTAATGAGACATTTTCCCAAATTTATTTAGCTTTGTTATTTCTTGCTGAAATTAATTCATTTAATTTTGATCTCACTCTCTTTATAAGGATTTTTGCACTTTCAGCAGGTTTAGTTTAAAATATCTAAAGCACTTCATTTTAATCTTAAGTTTAATTTCGATATAATTATTGTAAGATTCTCATATTAATTACTTTAGCAATCAATATTGGATCCTCTTTATTACTATCAATTATTTCTTATAATAAATTTATGGTTCTTTTTATTTATTAAATATTGACATCAAATTCAAATCTTTCGTCTTCACTTTTAAAAAGTTGTTCTTCAAAAGTGTTTTTTCTCATAATTAAGAATGATTGATCTTCAGAACCAAATGGCACTGATACCCAAGAATGGTTAAGAATTTCTTAATTATTATTAGCCTTTGCATATCCAATAGGCATTCTAACATAGGATCTAGTTACTCTGTCCACTTAAGCAAAATCTGTATCTTTCAAAGGTTTAAAAAGAGGAGTTTATATTCTTCTAGCAATCACCCTTGTAGACAACATGGATCTAATATCATCAATGTATTCAGTTTCTAGCCATTCTTATTAATTGATTAACTCCATCACTTCCATTTAAGTTATAATGCATTCAGAATATAAATGTATAATCTTCATAAATTCATTCATAAATTGTTGAAAATCATTGGGGTATTATTGAATTACCCTCATTCTAAATTTATCCCAAAAGAGCAATTCATTCTAATATATAAATTTTAGTAATACCATATCTACAACCCCATTCTTATCCAATAGTTTTTAAAAATAATTTCTATTTTCTTCAATTTTTTTTTTTGGTGGAATTTGGTCATGCTTCTTTTTGAAACTTTACAAAAACTATTATTGTAATTAAGGCTCATTGCTAAATAAATCCAATATATGATCTTTGTTTTGATGTCCATCTAAATGTCCATTTTAGATTTATTTCAATATCGTTTCCAAAGCCTTAGATTTGTTACTCTCATTGTTTATGAACTCAGTCAATCTCTCTTTCTGAGTCTTGAATTTGACATCATCCTCTAATAAAGCATTAACTTCCTTTAATATTTCTGGTTCCTCACTTAACATTTATCCCAATTATTCTTTAGCAGCTTTAGTATTTTAATTAACAATATTGGAAAATTGTCTAAAATTGATATTAAATTGAACTTGTAGAGCTATTAATTTGTTCGTCTTAATTTTTAACAAAATTGTTCACATCTTTCATAGAGTTGTTGATCAAATTCCTAAATAACAAATCTAAATGAAAACATACTTCTCCAAATTCACCCATGTTACTTCTACTTAATATATCCTCACTCATTTAATTATCTAATATAAAATATAATTAAAATATTTAACAACTTATTATTAGGAATATTATATAAAATTTAAAAGAAATCTAAGCTTTTCTAAACGATATTATTAAATTAATTTTATAATGAATGATCTTTTTGATTAATTTAAAATAAATGAAATAAAATAAATAAAATATTCATAAGGTTATCCGCAAGAGTACATTTAAATTTGTAATGTCTTATAGGACCTTGGACAGATGAAGAGGATCTCAGAGTAATTGAATTAGTTTAAGAATTTGGTCCTTAAAAATGGACTTAAATTGCCTAATAATTAGATGGAAGAATAGGAAAATAATGTAGAGAAAGGTGATCATGAATTTTAATTTAATAGATGGCATAATCATTTAAATCCTTTGATAAAGAAAACTCCTTGGGAAGAAGATGAAGAATGGGTTTTATTCCTATATCATAAAGCTTTAAGTATGAATCCTGATTATAGATCAAGGTAATAAATGGGCTGAAATAGCCAAGCATGTCAAAGGAAGAACTGATAATTCAATCAAGAACCACTGGAATAGTGGCATGAAAAAAAGAATGCCTGAATTTTAAATGAAGTTGGGTTAAATTAAGTAGAAATTTTAAAGAGAAGGGTATCTTATGAACATTAAATAAGAATATCAATTTTGAATGATTATGATCCATTATAAAAAAAAGCTCTAGAGATTATCTTAATGAATAAACAATACAAGAGTATAATAAGTGAATCTTCTGAAAGTGACGATGTTTCATACCCTACAAAATAATCAAAGAAACATCGACATCACTTAGAGTTAATAGAGTTGTAAAGAGAACAATAGCTCAAAGGATAAAATGATGAGATAATAGAATAAAACTACATGAGCGATGATGAATAAGAGATGAGTAATAGGTGATTTATTAAATAATGTAATTTCTAGTGTAAATTCCTTCTAATTACTAACGACTTCTAAGAAGAAGAGTAAATGTGAATACGAAGAAAATAGTATTATGGAATATTGAAAGTCCAATATACCAACAATTTTGAAACAATAAATATTATAATATAAAAATTTTCCTAAAATATTCTTAAATAATATTTCTTCATTTGACCTCTTCACTGATGTACCTTGCTCTATATTTACGAGGAGATTGGGATTTTTCCTAAATCTTACCATCAATAATTTGTTGCAAGAAATAAATAACATGAGAAAAGAAATCTTCATTCCAGACTTTTTCAATAGGTTTTGGATATCTTTTAATTTCTTGTTAAGATCCAACTCTAGCTAATTTTTTATCTGAAGTTTAAATCTTCTAATTATCTTTGATCATTGTATCTTTATTAAATTTTGTGTTTTCATCCTCATCTTGGATGATCTCTAATTTTATTATATTTTATCCTAATTTAGGTCTTTCTTGAATTTATAAAGTAAAAGAATCAAATTCTAAAGATTTTTTTATTAAATTATTTGAAAATATTTTTTCTTTTAAATTTGAATATCCTTTCGGCACTCTTATATTATTACTGGTTATAAAATATATTAACATACTCGTAATTGTATTCAGCTTTATTAATAGCAATTTCAATAGGTGATAATTCATCCGGATTTTCTCTATATAATATTTCACTATTAAATTAATTATTTTAAATACGAAATATCGTGGATGGTTAAATCAACTTGTGCACAAAGCTTTAATAAAGTTGTAGATATTCTAACATTTCTCAAACAAATTTCTCTCAATTTTACCTTCTCTCTCAATATTTGAACATCTTTTATCGGATCAATCTTGTCAATAAAACACTTTTCTTCTTAAGTAAATTTTTGAGTCATTTATCCCCAATGATACCATACTACTTCATCTCTACATATTTTGAAACAATCTGGAAATGTATAACCATGATCAATAGGTATAAGAAAATAATCATAAGCTTATCTAGTTTAACCAGTGGTTTAATTAATTTTTCTAAAATAAAATAATATTATTATAATATTACTTTTTTCTAACCAAAATATTTTCTTCATTTCTATCACAATTTAGAATTCTAATATCTAAGATGGCTATTTTTCTTGCTTCAATAGAAGGATACAAACCACTTCCAAAATTTCCAACATTATCATCATGTTTTATGTACAGTTGAAATGATCCCTCTTTTATGGGAATTTTTTCATACTAAAATTATTTGTATTCTTCAGCAGCATGAAATGCAGGATGACAAATTTAAACATAATCAGTTATAGGTACTAAATTGCTTATCTTCAACATTACCATTATGATAATGTCCAGATGATTAATCTATCAAATATGCTGCCACTTCTCTATCTACTCCTTCTCCTGACAAAATTCCTTATCGAAGTCCTGGAGAATTCATTTTGCCTCTCATTCCTCTTGGATTATTAGGGCTATATATGAATTTAGTTTATACGCAAATGCCTCTTCATCATAAGGTTTAAAAATGGCCACAGGTTTATGATTTAAATCCTCCAAAATATAAGTACCCTGAGTACCAAAATCAGTTAATTTAGGTGTTATTCCTTTCATAAATGCTCCTTCAACTGCCCATTTAGCATTTTAAAATTGCTCTTAAGTTTTTTTTTATTCTTCCAATATATTGTGAATGCTGTTGATAAAATACAACTATTATCCCTACTTTCGAGCCAATAATTTTAAAGTTACATGATTCTGGATTCCATAATCCTTTAATGTTATTAATTTAATTTCTTACTTCTAAATCTTCATTATTTAGAGAGAGTTCTTGATTTTTATAAAGTATTCTAAAATCTGCTAGATCTAATTTAGTTGTTTTATGGATTTTCTATTTCAAAATTGAAATCTTCATCCAACTATGCATTTTTATTGTAAAATCATTTCCCTTTTAAACTTGATTTGAAATATGTAACACCAATTCTTTCTAAGCACTAGGGTCAGAAGGATTTAAAGAACTAAAGCCGAAACCTATTTTCTTAATACAATTATACTCTCAAATTTCCTTTTGACCTATCCTTATTTCATTGGTTATTATTTTAATTTTTATAATAAATAATCTTTTAAGTTTAATAGATAAAATAAATTCAATTATGTTTTTTTTTTTGAGATTAGGTTTCTATTCTGCCATCTGGATAAGTGATCTCAATCTTTCCATCAGGATATTCAATATATTTTACCTTATTCACATCTATTTTTTGAAATATTCCATCACTAAACAAGGTCTCTTCCTCACCATTAGAATATATATACTTTTTTGTTCCATCAGAGAATCTTATCTATTTTTCACCATTTAAAAAATGGATTTCTATTTAATTATTTGAAAATCGATAGATCTATTTATAATATACTGTATAATACCTATGGTCCATTTTGAATTGTTATTTATGTAGTTTTAGCTTGACCAAAATAGTAGACAATAGTACCATCAGGCAGAGTTTACTTTTTATCATTATTTGTAAAATGCACAATAGTAAAACCATTTGAAAACACTTCTCGTTTAACTCCATTATTAAAAATCACTTCCTTTTTGCCACTCTAATATGTTCTTGAAATTTTTCCATCTGCAGATTAAGTTTATTAAATAACCTTATCATCTTGTTTCAAATAATCTAAATATTACACATAAAATTTGTTATTTCTAAATTCAAACTCTGATTCATCTATTAAATCATTAATCATATCTATTGAAATAGTAGGTTAATTTTTTAATTAAATTAAATCAATTTTAATTTTCTCATATTCATAACTATCTCCATTTTGATAACTATTTTAATCATCTCCATTCTTAGATTCATATTCTTCTTCTTCATTAATACAACCTTGTTTATTATGCATCATAGCATATGAATTTGTTTTATTTTCTGAAAAATTAGATGTTTTAGTAGAATAATTACTTTAAGGAGGAGATGATTAAGCAATTAACTTAGTAATATTATGAGTACTTGTATTTTGATTAGTGTTCATCTATTATAATTGTTGTTATGATTTTTCTAATTCTAATTTTAATTCCTTTATTTCCTCATTTTATTAAGCCACTCTTTTTCTAAGGAAATCTAATTCTTCCAATTGTTTTGTTGTTAATTATTGTTATCTTTATTATTGAATAGTATAATGCTTTCTTGTAATTCTTTCAATTTTCTTCTTTTCCTCTTCCTTCCATTTTTCAAATTCCAATTTTTCTTATTCTAATTATTTTTATTATTGAATTTTCATTCTTTATAATTCCTTTTGTTACTACTCTAATAGTTATTTCTCTTTTTTTAACTCATTTTTATCATCATGTTATTAAATAATGGTTTCATCATTTTTAGTATGATCCAAAATTGAATCATTTGGTTTTTATGTACATTGTTTACCTTTACCTTTCTATAAAAAATGAACAGGCAGCTTCTTTTATTATTATTATTCTAAAGCATTTTCATTATTCATCTTTAAAATCTCTTCATATTCTCTCTTTGATAATTCTGATCTTGTTTATGCGTTGGATAAGAATTATCTAGTTCCCTTCTTTAAAAATACTTTCTTATTCTTCATTTCCTATTAAACAATACCTTGATCTTATAATAATTATTCAAATGGTTTTTAAGCTCCTTTTATTGGCATTTCATCAAAGATGTCTGTGTATTTATTTTGTTATTGTTAAGGTTCTTCATAGAATTCATTGATGAATGAATTCTATGCAGTTTCCTGTTTTTATTCAAAATGTCTTAAACTTCTATTCTCAAATGGTTATTCTTTAACTTATACATTTAACTTTATATCATCATCTTTTCTAATAATCATTATTTACATATTGGAATATTGAGTTGATTATAAAACTTGGACATCTCTTGCATTCTAGTAGTTAAGTATTCTTCCAAATTCATAAACTACATAAATGAAATAATATATTAATAATTTAAATGAACATCAAACTTTTCTCTATTATTTTTTATTCTATTCTTAAAAATTTGTCAATGATAAATAATAAATCTCCTATTACTTTGGTTTTTATCACAAAAACTTATCAAAAAAAAAAGTTATTAAATAAATTTGGAATAATCTAAAAATTATTTCTATTGAAATATAGTGACTGATCGAAGATAATACTAATCTTGAGAATACTTTAAATATTAAATATAAATTTAATATAATATTAATTTTATAAGCAAGTTATATTGTAATAAATGGATTATCTATTTCTGTTAAATTTTTAATATTAATTTATATATAAATAAGTTGTTACTTAATGTGAACAATTTATTAATATTTATATTTTCAAACTTAAATTCTCATGAACACCAATTAATCTACAAATACCAAAGAACTTTCTGATGAAGGTACCAAATCAACATTTATTTATATTAGAATTTATGAAACTTCATGCAAAGTAATTCTATAGAACTCATGGATAATTGATTGGAAGCAAGTAGTCCTACATTCCGATTCCAAAAGAGTACAATCATAATGGAAAATTCACTGATGTAAATATTTAATAAATTTCAGCATTTATTAATGGCCACTATGTATAGAAACAATAGTTTGAATACAACTTGCGATAAAGAACGTTGGATTAATGGTTCAAAAGATTGGATGGAACATTTATAATGAACTTATGATATCCTAATATCTATCAAAATCAGTTTATATCATTTTTCAAATTAAGTGATATGTTTCTGAATTTTTCAATACTATTAAACTTTATATATTTGTAGTAAAATACTATCAAAAATTGACCAAATAAATAAATATCAAAAACATTCAAAAAAAATACACTTTTCATTATTGAAACATACATCCATCGAGAATATAATCTGATGGCATAGAATTATCTAACTTAATATCGCTTATGGTGATCACATTTTTACCAGGTTTTTATAGTATCTCTCCACCTCCTAATTTAATTAGATATTCAATCTCAGCTTTTGAAGGTGTAACATCAACTTTAACAAAATATTTCCCTTCAAAAATTTTTACTAGATTTTAATTTATTTCAAAATAGGAATTCCTACTTTATAAGATTTGCTAAATGCTTAATCCAAAAGAATTTTAAAACTCTTCACTTCTAGGAATGTAATCCTAGTAATTTTTAATTATATTCCCTTATTAAAGCGAATTAGTTAACCAATCTAATGTTACAATTTCAGCTCCAAGCATCAAAGCACTTAAAAATTTGAAAGTTCTTTTTGGAGGATTATTCAATATTAGCAAATCAAAATAATCCAATTGATTATTTACAATTTCTAAACCTAATATTTTTAAATCACTTTTTTATGGTATTTCATGTTATTAAAATCCACTAAATGCTATTAAACGGATAATTTTATCTTTTTATTCAATTTTTTTTTGATTTCCCTTTTATTTTTTTATAATAGATAAATTTTGTTAAAATAACTTTGTTTTTGGTAATTCCATTGAATTGGCATGTCTGAAATTTTATTTATATTATACAGGTTCTTCAGAAGTTTAATCTGATATTTCATCTGTTATTTTCTTTAATAATGCTACTTTCTTTAATTCACCTTTGCTTTGTTTTTTTCCAGCTTTCCAGATTTATGATGTTAATTTTTAATTCTAATTTTTAACTTTTAATGGAGTTTATTCTTTTTGATCTTACGATTTATTCTTATCTTCTAATGTATCATCATACTTACTATTTAAAATATTAGACTTAGATAAGTTAAACTTTTTGATTATTTTTGGTTATTATTAAATTTATTAATTTGGTATTTCTGGTAAACTTCCAAAAAGATCATTTAATTCAATTTTTGAATAATTATTTTCTTGTTTTGAAAATGTTATTTAAACATTGTCTGATTAAATACTGTTTAAACGTCTGAATGAAGATTCCTATTGCTTAATACTATTGTTATTTTATGATGAAGAAAAAGCTTTATCCAAATCTTCATCAAATATTGTACCTCTATATTCTTCTTTTTTATTTAAAAATTAAAAGTCTTGAATATCTTCTGGAATTATTTTTTATATTTGGGAATCAAGAATTGTTTAATCAATTTGTGTAGATTGATACTAATATTTATTAAATGGATTTTATATCTACGAAGTTTATTTTTTAGACTTAAAAAGCTCACTAAATATAGTTCTAGTCTTCTATTACTTAGGTTCTACTTCCATATTGTCTGTTTATGTTGAGGTATCAATAGTAGAAGAATTTGAACTTATCATTTAATTTATCTTTGAATATTGTGTGATTAGTTCTTTTAAACTTGATAGGGTAGATTAATCATGTTCATTTAAAATTAATGTAGAAGACACTAATGGCTCTTAGGAACTTAGAATTTATGTAGTTGATATTTATTAAGCTGCTGAAATTTTAGTTGTATTTTCTTAAGGACTATCTAAAATATCATCCAAAGTCATTGTACCACCAAAATCTTCTAATATTTATGTTGTTTCTAAGATTATTTAGTTATTTAAATAAGCTTTATCAACAAAGTTATGTAATTTGAACTTAAAATTTAAAAAATAGTAGTTTCTGAATGGAATCATCTCAATTATAAAATTTTTTGGAATCTCTACTTTTTGATCTTTAGATAAAGTTGCTTCTTTAAAAATTTAATCAGAAGTGCTAAAATGAGTGAAATATACATCTTTATTAAGTAAAGCCTAAATTTTTAAGAATTAGATTACGACTGAGAAGAGTACATCTTGAACATTTTTAATTATGTGTTTACATTTCTTAGAATCACTGCCAAACTTATTTTCCCCCTATATCAATGGATATTTGTATATTTCTCTATCATTCTGATCCAGAACTTATATCATAAAGAATAAAGTTAACTAAAAAATTAATTGTAAAATCAATTTCACTCAAAAAAATTAATTAATTCATTTTTTTCTTTTATCAGACCCAAACAATTTTTATAGATTGGATTACTTATTAAACTATTAATTAGTAGTAGTTTTAGGATATAACATCTAAGTGATCTGTTCAGTCTTAATTCGATTATTTTAGAATTTAGAACTTTGATTCTCAGGCAATGTAGCATTTCTCTCAGTACTAAGTTGTATTTTGGAAGAATCAATCATAAATTTAAGAGTCTATATTTGAGTAATAAGATTACTTTTAAATCAGGATGTGAATTTTGTTGTTACATTGTTTTAGAATAAGCATGACCTATTTTAGAAGATGAAATTAGAGAATTTGATTTGTTATTATTTTAATTATTTCGTTTTAAGCCATCTTAAACTTCTGATTTGCCTTAATATTTTTAGACTCTTCTAAGATCAGTTGAGAAAGCCTAAACTCCTATTCTTTCTGGTGAATTCTAAATTTCAGGTACACCTTCCAAATGAAGTTGGCTTAGATTGATAGCATTTGATCTTTTAGACTTGTGTTCTGGTTTTTATGGAAGATCTTCTCTTGAGAAATAAAAATTTTGAAGAATGAGATTACTAAAATTTTCATTAGTCTAAATTAAAGCAATAATTTACATATTCTTTTTATAAATTGATATTGTATTATTTTCTAAACTCTGCATCTCCTTTATTGAATTCTTCTTCATCGAAATTATATTGCAATGGTTGTGGTTTGTAAGGAGGCTTGATTTTTTTGTTAACTATGGCTTCAAAATCAGCATCTGCAAACCAAGGATGAGTTAGGATTTCAATGACACCTTAAGATTATCCTATTCTTTATGAAGGTTCTTTTTCGAGTAATTAATAAATTAAATCTTTTAACTCATCTGAGATTTGTACATAAGGAGGAAATTGAACTTGTTCTGTTAAGATTGAGTTATAGATTTCTTGAGTATTATGAGAATAGAATGGAGGTAATCCTGTAACTAATTCATAGAGCAATGCTCCTAAGCAATAACAATCAACTAAATAGTTGTGACCAGTTTTGAGAAGCATTTCTGGAGCCATGTATTCAGGTGATCCACAAAAAGAATAAGCAAAATCTTCTGGAGCCATATTAGGTTTACTAAGTCCAAAATCACTTAGTAAGAGATGTCCATGCAAATCTAATAATATATTTTCAGGTTTAATATCTCGATAAATAATATTTTATGAATGTAAATATGCCATACCTATACAAATTTCAACAAAATAATATTTTGCATTTTCTTCACTCAATCTCTTAAGTTTTCTTAAATGAAAGAATAATTCTCCTCCTGCACAATAATCAAGAACAAATGCAATATAATATTTGGTTTCAAATGCAAAGTGCAATGGAGTGATAAATTAATTATCCATCTTAACCATAATGTCTCTTTCATTCTAAACAATAACTTCTTTTTGATTATCCATTATAAACTTCTTATCAATCAATTTTAGAGCATAAAATTTCCCATTATCTCTTTTTCTCACTAAATACACTCTCGAGAAACCGCCCACTCCTATACATTTGACAAGAGTGAAATCTTTCAAAGTCACTCTTTTGCCTTAAGGTTATTAAGCAATTAATGGTTATAATTAAAGTGTAATTCCTTAAAAGACATTTAATGGTAAATTTGGAAGGCTTAGATAATAATCATAAGGCACATTCTTCGTAACACAATAAAATTGACATACTTTATTTATTTCTAAATTATAGAATTATAGTATACCTTATTAAATGTGGTCTTCTTCAGTTGATCCTGTGCCTCCTCCTTATTTAACAAAAGATTTCTCAATACTAGCTATTTATTGGATCAAGAAATTATATAGGTTATCAGTGGTTTTGTTTTGATATTCAAATAAATAATTGTATCTAAATAAAAATATGAATTACTTTTAGTTCTTATAAAATAATATAATTTTTAGTTGCTTTTTAGAATCATAATGATTAGAGTCATCAGCTCTATTCATTTTTTTAATTGAATCAGTTTTTTGTTGAGTGGATTGATTAATTGATCTAGGTTCAGTTGAGTCTATCCTCTTAATAGCCTTTTTGGCATCTTCTTTATTTTTAGTCAAGATATATTCAATCGATTATTTTAATGTTTGAGATTCTTACAACAAAGAATTTTTGTTAGGCCTAAAGTTGAAATGTTGCTGATAGTCTAAGTAATGATTATTTTTATATTGTTTTGCACTTTTCATTTATAGATCTTAAAAGTATTGATCTACTGTTGATTTTGGTACCTTGTGATTGTTTAAAGGAGTCTAATTGACTTTGCCTTATTTGATAGCTATCTTCTACTACTTTGATTCCATCTGAATTGTAGCAAGGGATAGATTCTTCCCCTTGACAATTTATCTTTTGATGTTATTTCCTTCATCTGTATGAATCCTTTAATCTAAAGACAAAGGAAATTATTGATATTAAGCATTAAGTGTTTTAAGTCGTTCACTTTTCTGACTAATCAAATTGTCAATAGATCGATTTTATTGAAGTTAAGTTTTAATACTATTAGATACTTATGCTAGAGTATTTCGTTCTTTTTTGAAGTATTCCAACAAGTCTTGTTTAGTGTTTTTGGCGGTTGTTCTTTCAGTCTTAGCTAATTTGGAATTATTTTTTTTTGGTTTTAACTCCATATAATAAGGAGTGTCTTATAGACTTCCTCTTCCACTTGATAATAGTGGATGTGACGCATAATTCTTCATTAACGATATTTATATATTTAATTATAACAACTATGATGGATGAGCAAGGCTTCTTAGTAAGAGATCAATTAGTCAATGATATCAAGTCAATCAAGAAGACACTTAAAAGTTGGACCAAAGTGTTTACTTAAATCATGGAATTACAAGTATAGAATTCTAAACAACAAAATCAGAATGTATCATCCTATTAATAATACTTAGACTATTCTCATATAGCAGATATTGTAATACTTCTCCAAACCAAACAAGAAACCTCAATAAATGCCTATCTCTCCTATTCGAAGGATGGGACATAAAACTGAGCCAGATGATTTCTTTCTCAGAAAATTAGAGGAAACAGAGATTTACAACAATGACAACCTTTAAAATGAATTAAATAATCCTAAAAAAGTGAACTTATTCTTATTTTTAGATATCCATTGTTAATTATTAAGGAACACCATTTGATAGTGCTTATGAGAGTATTAATCGAGAAATGCAATAATATTATGAACCTGAAAATTAAGTGACAGAGTAATCAGCAGAAGTATTCAAAAATTTCAACAAAATTGGATAGTAAGGTGTTAAAGCTGCTCTTAATATGGAAGGTTTCTCATTACCTTAAAGCACTAAAAATAACACTGAACGAAAACACTTTATCTAACCATGTACCCTTTCGTCAAAGCAATTGTAAATCCAAGAATCTAAAGAAAATATGAAAATCTCTAAATAACTTGAGATGAAAAAAATTAAAATTAAAGAATAAAGATTATCAACAGTTGTTGAAGAACCTTCTGCATTGTTAAATAGTTAATAAAATACAAAACGTAAGAACTTCCTTTTATTTTAGAGGTTCTTCTTTGTATTGGAGGATCTCAAAATATTGTATAATCCTGTTAAAATAAAAATTCAATAACAGGATTCGAATTTTAAATCCCACTATAATCATCTGTGTCCAAAACACCAAATAATAACACTAAACCATAAAATTATTTTGCAGACAATACTAGATCAGGTTCCAAATCATTGTATTAAAACAACTTTCCATAGAATATTCAATATATCAATAATTCCAATAATAAATAAAATCCAATCAAATATGAATATCTGAGCTCAGTATTTCTATTTAACTCTATTATATTTAGAGAGCCAAAAGTTTTAGTGATCAAAATAGTAAGAGACATCCAAGTAAAAAATGCTTAGATTTAGAATTAATAGATAAATAATATGAAAATAGTTAAGAAATATTGAAAAAAACTAATACTATGCGCAAAACATGAAATATTATATATTTATATAAATGAATGCAATACTAAATTCATTCTTCTGCCTATTTTTTCATTTCTAACATTTTTTATTTCGCTTCAATTTTAGTATTATGAACTTATTATGTCATCAACGAAATAAAAATTGGAACCATTATCATTGAAATACAAATTATAATTATGTATTGTAACTATTAGTATATTATAAAAAGAATACATATCTTGTATCAAATGAGTAGCTTATTTCTTTTATATAATTATTAAAAAATCCTTATTGATCAATATCATTATGTAGTCCATATCTTAATGTACATCTTAATAAACCTATAAAGGTATAAAAGAAATTATCATGATTAATCAATTTACCTTATAAAGTTATAGACCAAGACATTGCACAAATACTAATTATATAAATTAAAACTAGTAACAAAAACCATGATTCTTTATTAAACTATAGCATTTTATTAAATTTTTACTCTGATCATTACTAAGCCATAGCATTTCAAATATGGACTCCAATTACCAAGAAATCTTACTATTGAAATCATCAAAAATAATAGCAACACAGCAGTGTAAATTCTAGACAATAATAATGGTCCAAATAAGGAAGAAGTATCTTGAAATTAATTTGATTTTAAATCCATTTAACTAAGTGCATCTTCATATTATACGTCAATTGTTCTTTTGATTACTAAGCCAAATTAACATAATATGTCTATATTATAATTATATCATTTATTACATATGATATCAAATATCAAAGGTATTCTGATAGCAATAAAAATTACTTTTAGATTGATAATAAAATATTCACTGAGGATTAACTCTTTTTATAACATTTCTTTATGATCTTATTCACTTATTTCCTTCTTTTTAGCTTACATTTTTTTTTTCTTATTGAGCAATTCATTATATGATAAATAAAGAACAATCAAATGATTTTTGGTTCCAGCTAAATACAAACCAAAAAAATCTAAAATTATCTATTATCATAATACCAAAAAATGATGATATTAAAAGTACAATTGAACAATAAAAAATGATATTCTTGTAAATAATAAATGAACTTGGTTCTTTACTCAAATCGAAAGCTTCAGATTAGATACTATTATAGTTTAGCAGATTCTAGAAATAAAATAAATATAAAACATCATTAAATAGATATAAGCTTGTTATTACAACTTGAATTATTCTTTTTGTAGGACTATTATAATAATTTAATATAAATTTAGATTGTTTAATATTATATTAAACCCAATTTTCTTAAACTAATTTATCATAACTCTCTCGAAAATTCTCTTTTGATGTCAAATCAAATTCCCATACATAACCTCCAAAATAATGATCGTAAATTTAAGGATTGTAATTATTAAATGTATAATTATTATTTAGATCATCTGTAATTATATTATTATAATTTAAACAAGATTAATTCTTTTCAATAAAAATCTCTTTATGATTTTCATTTAAAATGTGACAATTTTCAAAGTTTTCCTAAATATAAATTCATAATTACAATACCAACAAGAGTTTATACTAATACTGCTGATTTTAAGGGATAAGTTGGATGAATATGTTGATCATCTGGAATGGTCATAACAATAAGTTCAGATATATTGTTGATTGGATTTATAAAGGACTTCTAAATTAAAAATTATGAATTGATTGTAACTAGTAATTAACTATTAGTAACAAATTTAATTTAATCAACTTCTATTACAACAAATAATATGAGTAGAGATAAAAAGAGAAAAGATTCCATTAAATATTTAAAAGTTGTTAAATAGTCTAAGTATAATGACCAATTAATTTATTTTTGAGCTCTTTTTGCTGGCTTAAGTTATTTAGTCATTAAATCATTTAGACCATCAAGACCAAAATCAGCATCTGTGAATTTAGTGTCATCTTTAATTTTTTTCTATTTTACAATTTAAATCCCAATTGTTGGTTAATAATTTCTAAGTAATTCATAAATAGGAGGATAAAGTTCATTAATGACATTCATTTCTGGCTATAATAAATTACCTAATGAATCTGTATAAAAGACATCCTTTTCTTCTGCCATAAAACATGATTTGACAATTGATTTGAGTTCTTTGAATGTTTTGATATGTGAAGGAATTCTAACTTCAAATTAAGATTCTCCTTATCTTAATGTAACATAATAACCATTTTAATTATTCATTTCTATAATTTCTTGATCATCTTTTTCTTTGACTTAAGTGTTTGGTTGATCCAAGGTCATAACTAAATTACCTAATTATTTTGATTTCTTTGCAATTTCTTATTCTTAGATGCTTTCTAAATATTCCTTCTTGCTTGTATTTAAAAGAAAGAGATGCAATGTATCAATAACATTTTTTTCTATCGTTTCATCAAACCCTTAATTTTAGTCTGTCTATTTATCATTTTTGATTGAATGATTATGTCTATTAAAATCCTCTATTTATTTGATAAGTTGTTCAAATTCCTGAATTTAAATTATATATTTACTTTCTCTGAACGACCTATTTCATCGAAATAAATATCATTAAGTTTTTCTTCTTGTTAATATTCTTATTCAAGTATTTTCAACTCTTCTTTTAGTGCATCTCTTGTCTTTCTGAATGGAGCCAACTTTTTACTATTGTATTGATTGTTGTTCATTAAAAATATGAGAATTTTAAGGTAAAAATGAGATATTATAAAATCTGTATTGAAATCATATAAAACTAATAAGTATATATAAATAATAATCATATTATAGAGTTCAAGTATGATTTAAATGATTCTTAGCTAGCTATCAATTATGAAATATTTTATTTTATTTTATAAGATTTCATTTCTAAATTTACTTTACTTGAAATATGTTTGTTGTTTTTTACTATAACTTAATATTCTTACTACAATTCATCATAATCATCAAATAAATCTTTGTTACCACCAATTAGATTCATACATTTCTATAATAATTTAAACATATCTTCATTTCCCTTTCTTTATTCATTCTTTTGTTTCTTAATTAAATTTTACAAAGTATTCAAACTTTTCTATTTAAGAGCTTATGGTTTTGAAAACTATAATTCAGTCTCATTATCTAAAGTCTTTTGTTATGTAATTTAGTTCATGCTTTCATAGAGTAAATTCGAAAATGCTTTCTCATTAAAAGAATACTTTGGCCTATGATGAGCCATTTTTGCTGGAGGAGATTATGCTTAAGATTTTACCTAAGTTTTCTTATGCATCTTTATATACTCAATTAAATTCTTCATCTATGAATTACGATGTAAACGAGCATCAATCTAACTGGATTTTAGCGTTTTAGAGTATTTATCCAAAAATTCTAATTTTGAATTCACAAATTCCAGACTAACAATACTCAATTCATCTAGCATATCATGTATCTTCATGACTAATTATTTATATTCCTCATCTAAACATTCACATTGCGTAAGTATTGATTACATTTATTTTAACGAACAAAAAATATTAATAATGACTAACATTATTGAGGAATCTATGATAATTAATCGTCTTACTTCTCCATAAAAATTAAATAATCCAAATTAATCCCCATTACGTTTAACTCCAATACAACCTAATTCCTATAAACACTCAAGTAGACAAAGCAGCAAAGTCAATTTATTAGATATTCACAATCATAAAAATGTAGATCAATAAGATTCAGACAATGTAGCTAATCCTATGAGTAGTTAAGTTGATTTAACATAAGATGAAGCCAAAGAGAATGACATAGAACTTGATGTAAAGCAAGTCTTAACAGAAATCAATGATCAACAAACTAATTCATATTAAAATCTAGATGAAATATAACCTGAAAGTCAAGTCTAATAACCTCAATTAATTATAATGTAAACTGCAAATACTATTCAGCATTAAATTCAAAAGCATAAATAAATAATCATAAAAAATACTCAAATTGGTAACACAATCTAAAATCAACATCAATAGAAACCATAATAAATAGTAGAAAAAGAAGATATAATTCAAGATATAAATAAAATCAAGTCACTTGATAAATAGATGATTGAAAATTTAAAAGAAATTTATACATTTTACTCCAAATAAGCAATTACAACAAATAAATATAATACCTTTGAGAAGTTGTAATAATTGTCTAACATTATGATATTGTAAAAGTTTATGTTCTTTTGTAGAGATTTCTAATTAATTGATTTAGAAATTAATAATGATCTGATCTTAAAACTAGGTGGTAAAATAGATGAACTTACAAATAAAAAGAAAAATTAGTTTAAATTCAATCATAAACAAAATTTTATATTAACTAAATTTAATTTAGTGGAGATATACAAAAAAAATGCCAATTCTTAAATGGAATTGAATAAAGAAAACTTTTAAATAGTTATCATAAAAATTGCTTAATTAATTTTTCCAGAATAGAATGAACTCTTATATGAATATTTGGGTTTAAACAATCCCAAATAATATAGAAAGAAAATGCAAATTATAGGCAAACCATTTAATTCTAAAGAACAAAGTGAAGTACTTACATAAGAAAAAATTTATGAAAGAAAAATTTATTTACCTCCTAAACCAAATTTAAGAGTAGAAAGTGTAAAAAAAGAGAGACCAATTATAGAATAATAATTTCCTAAGGTTAATTTGACTTAAAGATGTAGGAGGAATTAAAAATAAAATGAAACTGGTATCAAAGATGCTAGTGGTATTAATTGGAGTGATTTAGATGATTTATAATAACATTTTGATCCTAAAAAATTCATTTTAGAATAAGATTTAAGTGATAAAGAAGATGATTATTATTTATAAGAGTATTCAAAACATGGATATAGTTTAAAAAAGAAAATATAAGATTAAATGATGAATTAAAAAGAGTTATAAATTAAGATTCCTCAAATATCTATATATAGTAATATCTTAAGTTCCAATCATAAATGTGATAATAAAGCTAGTAATATTATGTTGACTTCTGGAAATACTAGACCTTCAAATAATAAATCATTTGATTTACAAGATAATTAATAAAGAAAGTAATCAGTTGGTTAGTCTCCTTAAAATGTAGAGTAAAATAGTTTGGAGAAATAAAATAAAATTTATAGGGCCTTTTTGAATTAATAATCATATAGAGAAAGAATGGTTAATAAAAAGAAATTAATTTTGATTTGATTACTTAATTAATAAATATAATATGAAAGTTAAAATAATTAATAAGTGATATTCTTTTCTAAGGTATTTATATGAGTTTATAAATTGAAACTGTTATTATAAAAACAGTAGCATAATCTTAAATATTCTCTTATTTTTTAAATATAATTATTACATAGCAAATTGAAATTAAATTAATTATAATTCATTAAGTAGAAAATATTATGAAGGTGGAATCCTAAAAAAATAAGCGAGCAAAGTAAAATGCTATATAAAATCATAAAGAAGAGTCTATTAGAGAAATATTAGGATTTTACATAAATTAAGTTGATTTGAAATCATTTATGAAAAAAAAAAAAATATTTGAGAAGGTAGGAGATTTGGTTGATAAGCATTAAAATGAATTTTTGAATCCTGCAGAATTCTAAGAAATTTAAGATATATATGAAGATTATAATATAGGTGATTTAGCAATAGTATTTCCAAATCCTGATTATGAAGGATATACTTAAAAGGCTGTAACATTTAATGAAGCAGCTGCTATTTTTGATGAGATTTTGACTGTTATGACAGAGGAAGTGACAAAAAATTAATTAAAAAAAGAAAGAGATTCATTTCTTCTAACTTATTTAACACTTGATGATCTTATTGATAATTAGAATGATGGATAAGGTAAGAAGAAAAAGAAATTAAAACAAAAAAAGGATTCTGAAAAAAAGAAAAAGTTCAACAAAAATAATAATAGCTAAGAATTAACACAACCTAAAGATGAAAAACCAGTCAAGATAGAAAAAAATTCTTATGAAAAATATTTGGATTTTATGAGAATCTATCATAAATAAAGAGAAGAAGAATTAATGAATGAAAATGAAGGTTTTGATTTAAAAAATGAGAAAGGATTTCTAGATGAAATAGGTGTAGGATAATAAGGTTAACAAAATGTTTCTTAAAAAGTAATTGATCCAATTAAAGAATTAATGAAAGTTGATGTTAATGATGATAAATAATTTAAGAAACTTAAGAAAAAATGGTCATAGGGAGGATATTTAGTAAAAAAGATGTGTGAAGATGGTATAGATTATGATTGGATATCAAATAATGGACCTCCTAAAGATATGATGACTTTAATTAGATTTACAATTTTAGAAAAATTATCAAGAAATGGATATTTACATTGTCGTTAATTTGTATCAGGAACTGGAGAACATATATTTATAGTAATAAAATCAACTAAAGAAGTAATATAAAGATAAGCATAGAATATGAAAGTAACTAAATAAATAGAAATGGGTTTTGCTGATTTATTTTCTTTAGAACCTGTAGATGCTAATTTTAGACCTTTACGTCTTAAGAATTATATAAAATAAATTTTAGGTCCAAATTATGGAGATTTGAAAGAAGCAATGGATTCAATAAAATCAAATGATAAATTGCATTTTACTAGTTTAAAAGAAATAGATGAATATTGTGAAAGTAATTATAAATAAGAAATAAGATAATTAAAAGATATAGAATTAAGAGCAATGGTAATTAAGAAATTAGAATAAGTAGAAGAATATTTTAAGATTATAGCAAAATAATTAAATATTGATTAATCTCATGAGAAAGTTGAATTAAATTCTGATTATTCTATAACTGATGAGGAATGGTAAGTATATTACATTTATTTGGATTTATTATCATAATTATTAAATCTATTATAATAACATTATTAAGAATCAATAAAAGAAGAACATTTTCAATTTAGAGATAATTTACCATTTTTATATAGATTAATATTTGGAAAGGCATTGAGAAAAGCAAATGAGATTTGGTATTCAACTCATAAAAGTTGTTGGTCAGATTTATTAGATGAAAAGATAATACTAAAAAATATATGGGATATGCTTGGTATGGAACCAGCAGCACCATATACATAATATTTTTAATTGTAAAATGAATTTGGTAAATAGATGTGGAGAAAATATGAAATAAATGAATTAAAAGATAGATCAGAATTTAATAATATGGAAAAGATTAAAATAACACATGCTATTACTTTAAAACATGTTAATATGTCAAAATTATTATAATCTCTTATTGCTGATGGTTATTTTCCAATTCATGATACATATGCTTTATTTGGAGAAGAGAAAAAAGAAAAATTTATGAAGAAATTAATAGAATAGGAATTTGTATTAGAAAAAACTTTTGAAGGGAGTAGATAATATCTTTTAGATTTATATAGAGATTTATAATCATATGCAGAATCTACTGATTTTGATTTTTAAAGTGTTAAATAAGATCTTAGAATAAATATTAAATGTCCTTGGTATATTCCAGTTCATCATCTTAGAGATTATTTTGGTGAAAAAATAGCTTTATATTTTGCATTTCTTGGATTTTATACTTAATAATTATGGTATATAGGATTATTAGGTATATTATGTTAGTCTCTATTATCTGAATCAACAGGTTAATATAAAAAACCAATTGTAATACTTTTCTCATTTACAATAGTAGTATGGAGTTCCCTTTTTATAGTTTATTGGAGAAGAAAATAATTTTTATTTAGTGTTTAATTTGGACAATTAAATTTTGAAACAGGAGAAGCATTAAGACCTGCATTTTAAGGAGATTTCTTAAGATCTATTACTGATGATGATTTAAATGAATAATTTTACCCTCCTATTAAAAGAAAAATAACATAATTATTTGGTTTAGCTGTTAGTTTCTTAATTATTTTATGTGTTATTGGATGTGTATTAGGAATATTCTTTTTTAAAAATTTTATGATTGAAACTAAAGCAGATCCTTTTTTCTCTTAATAATTGCCTGGATTACTAAATTCAGTACTTATTGCTGTGTTTAATTTTATATATCAAAATTTAGTTATGATTTTTAATTCATTAGAGAATCATAAGATTTTATCATCTTATGAAAATTCTTTAGTTGCTAAAGTCTTTATCTTTCGATTTGTAAATACGTAATAATTTGAAATATTATTTAGTTTTAATGCATTCTTTATTATATCCTTTCTAAGTAATTACTTTTCATCATTAGAATTATGTAAAGTGAATGATGATACTTATGATTGTTTTCAAATACTATCTTTATAATTAAGCACTATCTTTATTTCTAATTTCTCTGGATTGATAACAGCTGTTCTAATACCTTATGTTTAAGAGAAATTAATGAAAAAAATGAAAGCAATAGATGAAATACCTGTACCTCATGCTTTTAATGATATTGATCCTTTTATTGAGAGTTAATTTGCTTTGTAACCATATCAAACAAATGAAGAAGTTGATGGAAGTGTAAAAGATTATATGGAATTGACAATCTAATTTTGTTTTCTTGTTGTATTTGGAGTTTCATATCCTGCATGTTTTATATTAGGTTTTGCATAAAATGTAGGTAAAATACAAGTAGATAAAATTAATTTCGTAAGTTTATCAAGGAGACCATTTCCTTAAGGAGCAGCAAGTATTGGTAATTGGTTAGTAATTTTGGATATCATTACCTTTTTTGGTATTCTTTCTAATGCTGGTTTAATAGTATATACTTCTAATTCTATTGAAGAAAATAAAATTGAATTCTTTGCATCTATTTTAGTAATCTTTTTTGCTTTAAACTTTGTAATTAAAATACTAGTATCTCCAGAATCTGAATCAGCTACTTTATTACTTTAAAGACATTAATATATTATTGATAAGAAAATTAAAGTATATATACTTATTCTTTTTTTTTTAGGGCTTTACTTCAAATCAGAAAACTATTTTTGACAGATCCAAATTAAATATTTAGATAAAGAGAGTAGGTTATCATTTATGTCATTCTGGTGTTATCAATAATGATTTTCTAAAAACTATTAAAGGCGAGAGAGAAAATGCAGATGATTGAAATTATTTTAATTAATTAAATATAATTAATTACATTATTTATGTAAAAAAGTTTGGAATAATAATATTTAGATGCTTTAGAAAGGAATCTATTATTAGAGAAGAATAAAGAAGAATAGGCTAAATAATAATTTATAAATGCAGCTAATAAAATTAAGAAATGTTATGGATTATATAAATAAAGATTAAAACTTTAACTAAAAATCAAATTCATAATTAAAATTTAAAAATTTTATAAGAGATGGATTGTAAAGAAGAAAAAACAAATAATAATTTAAAAATAGAAATAATTATAATTTATAAGACCTTATTTTTATAGATTAAAATAATCTAAACAAAAATTGATCTTAACTATTTAATAAAAATAAATTCTTAAACCTATTGTTAATTTAATTCGTAATTTTTCCAAAATTAAATCTGCTAAAAGAAGATACCTTATTCTTTCACTAATTAAATATAAGAAAATATAAAATTAAAAAACTAAATTTAATGATGCACTTTCTTAATATAAAATTAATTATTATAAATAATAAATAGATTATTAACATAAAAAAATTGCTATCTTATATGAAATAGAATTTATCAACAATTTACAATAATTAAATAATAAATATTTTGAAATAGGACTTTAAAATTATTAAAAAGAATTAGAATAATTTATTAGATCTAAAAGTCATGAATTAGATTTTATAGAGTTAAAGGATTAAAAGGGAAATTCATATTGGTAAAATCTAAAAACATTAAAAAAATATAATGTTAATCCTATAGATTAATTAATTGAAAATAATTTTGTTAAAGTTGAAGATGAATATGTTACTTAATATAAAGAATAAGTTCTTTATTTAGAAGAAGGTAAAGAAGAGTTGATAAATCTACTTTAATAAATTAAACCAGAAAAAATACCTTTTCCAACATTCCAATAATAAAATAAATGAATAATTATAGGTAAAAGTTTAATTAGATGTGTGATTATATCATCATAAATAGTTGTTTAAATAATTACTGATAACTTATTCTTATTTATAAAATTAGATATGTCTTATTAGAATAATTATATATTTATATATTATTCTATATTTCTTAAAATGGATAAAATCAGCTTATAAGGTGAAATTAACACATTGAAATTGGAAAATATGAATCTAAAATTCAAGATCAAAACATTATTAGAAGCAAGGTAAATTGCATTAGGAAATAATGAACAGATAATAAATTATGAAGATAAGATATTAGAACTTCAAACTATTATTAATGAATTAAGAAATAGGTGTGATGATTTTATATATAAGAATGAAGTGCTTAATGATGAATTGGAATATGAAAGGTATTATAATAATAATATTGTTGTAAAGAAATAAATTCTAAAATTTTACATCTTTTAATAAGAGAGACTTTAACAATCCTAATTACTAAGAGTAGATTAATAATTTGAAGAAGAAATTAGAAATAGATTTTAAGAATAACAATTAATATTCAGAAGAATTAGAAAAGATCATTTGTAATTAATATGAAACCATTATTTAATTGGATTTAGATAAATAAAAACTGTTAACTAAATTAAAGCTTTAAAATAATTCAGGTATAATAATTTAAGAAGATGAAGCTGAATTGAATGTAGATGAATTGTAGTAGAATCTTGAATAATCAATTAAATAAATAAAAAAATTAGAATAATAACTAAATGAAAAATAATAATCATTAAATGAATTGAATTAAAAATATCAAATACTATTAAATTAATTTTAATAATAGTAATAAGTTCTATAATCAAACTAAGTAAAACCATCACTATTAGATACATTACATAAATCTATTATTTAAACTTAACCAAGCTATGATATACATTAAAGTCATTTTAGTAAATCAATAATCTAATCAAAATGATTATATTTTTTCTTAAATAATTTATAAATATCATTCTTATCAAATTATAAAATAATCAAAGAAATCTAAAATGATTATATTAGAATATAATATAGGAAGTAAAATCATTTTATGTTGAAAGTATTTTTGAAAACATAATAAAGTAAATTTGATTATAATTTTTGATAATCTATTATAATCAAATAAAATAAGATTTATATTAATTTAAAAAATGAGATACATAAAGTAATATGAATATTTATGAAGTTTATTAAAATAAAAAGGATAATTTAATTAGAAAGAGGTAATAAAACTAATAAATCTATTAAAACTAATAAATCTATTAAAACTACTCTTAATATAGAAAAATCTTTTATTATTTATATCCTATTAATAGATATTATATAAAATAAGATTAAACTATTAATTTAAAACATATATTTTCTATATTTTTAATATGGATATTAAAATTTCATTGTTTTTTTTCATATCTCTTTAATATATCATCTACACTTTTTCTAATATCATTATTAGAGTAACTTCTAGTTTATCTTTAACCAGTCTAATATTTATCAATAATTGATTAAGATGGTCTATTTTATGAAGGTCTAGTGAGTTATTATGTATTTGTAATATTAGTAGGATTTGGATATGATTTAATAATTTATCCTTGAGGATTATTAAAAGTGGGAAGATTATCAGTTTTGAAATGTGGTGATCGAGGACTCTCCTAACCATCTTGAGTAGTTTGAAGAAAGCTAATAGTAGGATTAATATTACAATGATTAAGTATTATTCAAAGGTTAGATAGGAGGAGGTGAAATTGCAGGATTTTCTATTAAGTTGGCTTTTCTAGTGGTTGGAGTAACAGATGAACTTTTTCTGGTTGGCTGATTTTCATCCATTAATTTAAATGAAACTCTTTTCTTTTAATCTTTAGGACTCAATGTAGAAGTTCTTTCATCTTCAATAACAACACTCTTTCTTAATTTTGATTATAGTTCTTCACATCTCCATATTTCAATAGTTAATAACTAATTAATTATATATATTATTGATATACTCTTTGAGAATTACAAAAATAACTATTTTATTATCCTATCCATAATAAATATTTATTAGTCTTTGAATCTAAACTATAACCAAAACCATTAGTATTAAAATAATTCTTAGATTTAGATCTATAAATGTAAAAATAAGGTGCTAATTGGAATGCAATAATATTATCTGAATCTTTAGCTTCTAATTACCATTATTATTTATTATAGATTGCTATAGTTTATTTTTTATTTGTTTATTCATCTTAGAATGTTGCAACAAATAGAATTTATGTTTATTACATGAAAGTTAATATTTCTTGAAAATTAATAGATTATAATGCTGATTAATATAATAATGTTAATTATCCATGTCTATGTAATTCTGAAGTTGCCAATCCCATTATAGCTAACCATTCATATTTTAGACTAAATGAATCCTTATCAATTTTTGCAACTCTCATTTAATTAAATGGTTTCTACAATAATCTATATTATAGGTATAAACGAATTAATTTCTAAACATGAGGAAAATTAGCTTCCATTATTGATAAAAATTCATTAATTTTCATTTATTTTTCTTTAAAAAGTGAATTAACCAGAGTTTCCAAAACAGAGGCATCAATTTATTACTTTCTAATACAAAAAGTTAAAAAGATAGACGTTATTAACTTTAAAAATTAGAATTTGTTTAAATACCCCAATAAATTAAAATGCTTATTATGCTGTGATAATTTGTAACTAGGAATCATAATTTTCCATACATATCTATAGACAGATAGGTGTAATATCTGAAGTACTAAGTATGCCTTAAACTAGAAATGAATTAATATATAAATTACGTATATTGATACACCCTTCTAGAGGTAAAGGATTAACTTTTAATTAAAATTGACAATACTCATATACTTATTAACCAAAAAGAGGATTATCTTAGAATATTCTTTCAAAACATTATTAATCTAAATGAGTTGATTAGTTGCCTTCTTATGAGTGTTTTAAAACATCACATAATAAAAACACTTCTTTTTTATCTAATGTATTAGATGGTTATCTTATTCTTACAGAACAACAGGATTAATTATTACCCATTTAAAATTGATGATTAATCAATAATATTAATATTATTATTTGGAAATGTAGGATATATAATAAGTTCATACTTCAAAACTTGAATAAGAATCTGCAACAAGTGCAAAAAATCACTTATCATTAGTCACTGTATTATCTCAATTAACATTTAAAATAGAACATTACTGATTTAACAAATGAATTGCTATAAAATTATAAATAGGATATTGATCAATTGAAATAAGAATTACATCTAATGAAATAAAGAATTACTAATAATAATGAAGAAATTAAAAATACAACTTAACCAACTTTAGATGCTATGTTAAGAGATCTTAGATAAGTATTTTATACTCAATTCATTAGGCTATCAATACTTAAAAAGATGAAAATTCTAAATTGCAATCATAACTAACTGAGTTGAAAAAAGAAAAAAGTTAAATATAGTAATTAATATTGGCTGCTACTTAAAAGTTATCAGCCTTAGAATAATAAGTAGGAAACTACACCTCTTCATGATTTATAATTATTATTGAACAAATCATAACAGTATCATATTTTTAAAATTGCTTTCTCCTTAGATTCTAATGCTTTTTCAAATTCCTCTAATGAGAACTAAAATTAATAAATTTTATTTACAATTTGAGTTGGCAAAGTCTTAAAACATCCTTAAATATTATTTAAGATTTCTTTCATCATCAATTTTAATTGAATTATATTTTTACTTTATAAAATATCTACAAAAGAAAATCTATTAAATATTCATAGTAATTACCCAAATATCTTTTTATTTTAATACATTAAATTAGCACTATATATTCCTTCAAGTGATTTTTTTGAATAATTAGCATATAGATAAGTTCTTGAATTATTTGGCATGAGATTCAATATTCTACTTAATTGATCTCCTCCAATTGAATCAAATAGAACCGTTGTACTATATATTATTAATATGATTAAATATACTTATATGAAGAAGACATTAATTTTAGTTTTTCATCGAAATCTTCTTGATTTATATTTAAAATAAGTTTTGCTCCTTCATCTTTCAATAGTTTTTCTTCTCCTTAAGATTTAACAATATTAATAACATTTATTCCTTTAGATTAACAATATCTCATTAACATTCTTCCTATATTTGTACATGCACCAGTAGACACAATTCCAGATGCATTCCCTAATAATTGATACATCATTAAAACAGACATAGGATTTATAAAACTACAACAACCTTCTTAAAATGTAATATTTTTAGGTAATTCAGCACAATAATTTACATCTGCTATTGCATATTAACCATAAGCTCCAAATTAATGTTCTGTATAAAATGCTACGCGATTTCCTTTTAATTGCCAACCTAATAAACCACCACTTAATATTTTATATTCTAAGTTACCCTGAAGCTATAACTGTACCTGATCCTTCAAATCCAGGAACAGTACTTACTAATTATTTTTAACCAATTTTGTATCCATTTAGAAATTCTTTATCAAATGGATTGACTGGAGCATATTCAACCTTAATCAATACTTATCCATTTGATGGTTAAGGAATTGGTATATCTTTTAAATTAATAGAGACATTGTCCTCAATATACAAAGATTTCATCATTCCATTCATTTTTGTGTAATGAAAAATTTAATAATTAACAAAGTTTAATTCAATAATATATTGAACGAGAAATGCCTCTTGTGGTAATATCTAAATAATTCTTTTTTTTTGGATTGTTTTTATCTTTCTCTTTTCCAGCCCATAATACAATCATTGGATATTAACCTGGACCTGGAACTGGAACTTATTTAGATTTACTTTTTTTTGGATCTTTAAATCTATCTTCTCTTCCAAAATTCTATAAAATAATTAATAAATAATATTAACATTTTTATCAGACTTGTCCTTCTTTTTTGCTAATTATTACAATTTATTAAATGAAGTGAATTCAACTGGTTCTGGATTATAAGTACCAATATCAGGTAAACATGATTTACCTCTCTTTCTTTCTTATTCTTTATGCTTAGCAATTTAATCAGATGGTTTAGTTTCATTTATTTTTAGTTTTTTTTCAATTCTCTATTAAAATCATATAGAAATTTTACATGAGGATTATAATTTCCTGGGCCTGGATTGATTACAGCTAAATGTTAAATTTCATTTAAATAAGTTGGTCTTTCAACAGGTCTATTCAAAATAATAAGAAACTATTACGCTATTTTTTTCTTCTTATCTTCTTCTACTTTTTTCAAAACATCTTCAAGAGTAGGTATCACATTATATTTACCAGCACCAGGAATTCCTCTTATTTTTGCCTCTTTGAATATTTAATCTATAAATGTGCATCTATTTAAACATACATTATCAATATATACCTCTTTTATGGTGCACTCTTTACTCTTCCTTCTTATTTTAATGGAACCCATGGTTTAACAATATCATATTTATTTGGTGCAGGTAACTTCTCATATAATTTTTACAAATCTTCTAAATAATGACCTCTTTTAGTGACATGATTTCTATTTTTTTAACCTTAAACATAATAAACAAAAATTACCTTTCTTTTAAGTTAAGAATTTTCTTTCTTCCATTTATTTAATTGGATCAACGTACTTTTTTGGGGCTTCATATCCTTCAATTCCAAAACCTGATGTTTGTCTAGTTGCTATTTTAAACATATCCTCCATAGGAAAGTCTAATTTTAGATACATAAAATACCGATATTAGGTGCAGCAGATTAAGCTCTTTACATTTTATATTTATATTTAAATATATACTTTATAAATTAAATTTCATATTAATTTACATTAGTTAAATAAATCATATTATTTTATATATATATATTCTAATTGTATAATAATGATTAATAATGTATTGTAAAATAAAGTATTCATAGATCAATTAATATAAATTAAGTATTAAAAATGAAATAAATGTTAAATAAATAAATGAATGTGATAACTATTAATATTTTGAAATATAATTCATTTGAATATGTTATATATTGATAAAAATAATAATTATTATTAATTAAACTTTATGAGTTAATTATCTACTTCTATATCTAAAATATTTGGAATAATATTTGTAAGATCATAGGATGGTACAAGACTATATTCTAAATATTATCCTTAATTATTTCCAAAGAATTTATTGAGAGTACCTGAGGGTGTTATTACAAATATTGACGTGTAAAAATAATTTGAACATAATGTATGGGAGAAAGGGAAAAGAGTTGGAGCTCGTTTGACTAAGGGAAGTGAAAGTATAAATTAATAATTATAATTCTAAAGCTGAGATATTTCAATATTGTTAGTTTAATATTGTAATGAAGGCATTTAATGAAGTACACTTGTTTGTTTTGGGTGATTTTGAAGAAAATGAAATAATATTATCATAAGTTATAAATGGAATTTATGAATCCTTAAATCACATAACAAAGGATCATATAAATAAGAAAACCTTATTAGAGAACTTTGATTAAGTCATTATTATAATTGATGAAATTTGTGATCAAGGGTATAAGAAAATTATATAATATTTAATAGAATAATTATTACAATAGATCCATCAGTAATTATAGCAAGAGTAACAATGAGGGATACTGAGGCTATAACTTTAGATAAATAAGAAACTAGTGGTTCTTCAGGAGGAGCCTTTTCTTCAGTATTTGCATCTGCCAAAAGAACATTTGCTTCATAATTTATGGGTTCTGGTTGAATGTTATTTAAAATTTTATAATGATGAATTTAAGTATTGAATGTTTTTTAATTATTTGATATAATACTTAAATGAAAGGTTTACTTCTTAAATTTAAATTTACAGAACAGATATAAATTTCATAAACTTTATAAATCAAAAGATTCTATAAAGATGCAAAAATTGAAATGGCTATTGGAATTGCCAATCCAAAAAATCATTGGTTAATTAAGGTAAATTAAAAATAATTTATATGATTAGTTGGATGGAAAAGCAGTAAAAACACCTTTCAAAAATGTATTAACAATACCAACCCCATAATTAGCTTAATGTATTGCTGATGAATTTAATTCATAAAAGGAAATGATAAAACCTAATACTATGCCATTAATGACATTAGCTAGAAATGCTGTAGATATTGAAGCAGATGAGAGAATGAGAATATTTGTAGAACAATCAATCATTAATTATTTAGAAAGAGACACAGTTTTATTTAGAGATTAATCATAATCAGAACTTTATTAAATATAAAAGTAGAAATTAGATCCTCAATTAAAATTATTTAATCAAATATTTGGTATGCACTTAAAGGTTAATTTTGGAATTGATGTGGAACCATTAAAATAATATGATTAAATCAGAATTAAAACTATTCTCAAAGAAATGAATAGTTGGTAATTAGTTGGTTTGACATCAAAAGTTGGTATGATTTAACTAATAATTAGAAAACTTAAAATCAGCTATTTTAGCATTATAAATTTGGAATAATCAAATTGATATTCAAGAAGCTATTAAATTGTCAAGAATTGAAGAAGATTATTAAATCTCAAAATATGGGTAGGTTGAAGGGCATCATGATTTTGATGAAAATACAATTTATTACTAATTAAAAGCAGCTAAACTTTTTGCTTAACTCATCCAAATATAAAGTATTACTTATTGATTTATAATTTGATATTCATTATTATTAATTAAACATTAAATGTAAAACCGTCCAAGTTCCAAACATAGATATTAATAAGTGTCTACTATGGATTCAATCAATCTTAAAGAAAGATAATTATACCTATCAAATAGCAGCGTTTGTAAATCAACTTAGCATTTATAAAAATTCTAGAACTATCAAAAGATGCTATCCTAAGACCTGATTAAATATCAAATTCATAGCAATATAGTTATTCTTAGTTAGACTAGAAAATTGCTTTATAAGCCGGCTCATATAGTATATTCATAATCAAATATTAGATCCTATTACTGGTGCCCTCCAAATCAGAAATCCAATTAATTATCCAGTAGAGACATAATTACAAAAAAATACACCCTATGGTGTCCAATAACATTTCAATAACTATACTACAACCTCAGGCCAAATTGGATCTGGAACAAAACCTAATGATATCTAATAATTTCAAAAGAATTTGAATAAGTTTTTTGCAGCAGATGATCCAAATCCAGTATAATCAAAATCTCATTTAAAATCTAATTATGCTTTACCTTTACTATCAAATCCTTAATTTTAAAAGAATCTTGTTAAATTTTTTGCAGCTGATGATCCCTCTTAACCTCAGAGAAAAAATATTTTAAGATAGAGTAATTCTAGATCGATAAATTAATATTCATAATATCAAGAATAATTGTCAAAATATGAGAATGATCTATAATTTTAAAAAAATTTAACTAAATTCTTTGCTGCAGATGATCCAACATAAATAAAAAAACATCATTAATAAGATAAGTAAGATAAGTAAGATAAGTATCCTAATCCTAGTCAATAGAGATATCAACCATTTAATGATCCTCCTCTTGATTCCAGATTAGTTTATGATCAAAATTTAAATAAATATTTTGCTGGTGATGATCCCTCTTAATAAGATCCTAGATTCTAAAAAAATCTTTAGCAATTTTTTGGAATTGATGCTGTATATCAATAAAATTAGAATATCTAATAGTAGTAAATAATTTTCTTATTATTATAGAAGAACTTAAGATACCAGAAAATAAGAAAATATTAAACCACCCAAAATAATTACAATTACTGATAGCAGTTCTGCAGCTAGAAATCAAGTAGTTGGTTTCTTTAAAGCAAGAGGTGTTGATGATTTTGATTAATTTGCAATTCCTGGAGGAGTGTTTGGGATACTAAATAGTCTTGTTTAAGAGGATAGTTTAAAATATTACATAAATATTATGAGAAGTGCTTATAGCATTAAGGAAATTTATATTATTTCTGTTATTGATCAAAATTGTGTATATTATATAATCATTATTAAATAGAATGTAAAACTATATACAACTTTGAAAGATAGAAGATCACATTAGAATGCACTTTAAGAATTAAAGAGTCTTTTGGAAAATAATCATAATATTAGAGAGAAATTTCATGGAATTATAATAGATTAAAAAGGAGCATCATAAAAAGTATTTTGAAAAATATAATCAAATTATCAATATAAATTACGATTTGTAGCATTTTTAAATTTTTAAGGTAAATTGTTAAATCGTTTTTTAACTTTATTCATATTAAACAATGATAATTATCCTAATCTCATTAAATCACTTTTATTATTATTTTAAAATGAATGTTTATTTGAATTATATTCTGTTTTACAAAATCTATTTTCATCAGATTTTTTACTATCTTAATATAGATTTTTATATCTTGATTAAGTATTTGAATAAGTATTATTTTTAGTAGATAATAAAGAACTTAAAAATTATGATTTTCTATTTTTAAATTCTTATCTCTCAGTTTTATATTCATTTACTACATTTGAAGTTTAAGTTTAACATTATTTTATAAATTCTTATAATTCTTTCATTGAAAACATCTTTTTCTATAATCCTAATTTTTGAAGTGAAGTTTACACATACTAATCTAATCTCTAACTTTTTATTCTATCTTATTCCAATTATTCTTTCAATTTCATTCTCTCAAATTTAATCATCCTTTCATAATCTTAATTACTATAAGAACCTTCTTAAGCATCTTAAGCATCTTCCAAAGACAATTATTCAGATATATCATTTGAACATATTTATAAATGAATTGGTCTATGATGCAAAGATTTTCTTTAATTATACTCTTAATATGCTTTAGTTCTCTGTAATATTGAAATACTTGCAATTATATTGTGTAATCTCTAACTTTTTATTTACATAGAATCTATATATTCTTCTGGTCTTTGATCTTCATTAATAAATGTATCTTATCTAAACAGTTACTTTTTCTTAATTTTATTATCTGAATCTAAATGAAGATGTTGAGTATCTAACTTTTATTATATATTTTTATCTAGCTTTTCAACTATAGGTACCATTGAAGTTTAAATTCTTGAACATATATCAGAATAAGTAAAACTATATTATATTCATATTTTTACTTGCATTTTGGCATAGGTTCTAAACTATATTTACAAGATTCTGTAAGCATTCCTTAATCTATTTTCTTTTGTATTTCAGAAGATTTAGTCATTGAAGCAAATACTTTATTGCATTTCCTACTTTATGGCATTGCTTAATTATTTTTACTATTCATCATCTATTTTCTTGCAATCAGAAGTCTTGTTAAATATTTTAATTTAGGATCAAATTATTAAGACATTTTTAAAAAATCTTATGTATATTACAATCTTCTTTAAGTGTAAAATTATATTTCTTCCTTGGTTAATGCTTTTTTCTTGTTTCTCATGATTTATTAATTTATAATATAAATCATAATTTGATAATAAAACACACAAATATATGTCAAAAATATTATCACATCCATTATATATCATTTCTTTCTATTAGTATATTAATTAGTATTTCAATATAAAATTATTTATGCTTTTTTTAAATGTTATATTTTTTATTAATTAAACCACTCTTCTCCTATCAATTGTAAAATTTTAATATTAATATAAATTAATAATAATGTGATTAATAATTAAATTTATAAATATAATAGTTTATGTTCACTATATTTTATTTACTTAATTACCTAACAATAATTAATTTTATTTGAATAGCTATATTTTCTTTTTATTCCTAATTAATAATCATAATCAAAATATTTATTACTGTAAATATTCAATCACTTTCAAAACTTATTTTATCTATATTTTCTAAAGTCGTCACTTCCTACATTGACTCTATATTAATTTACAATCAAACCAATTATCTTAAAGGTAAAAGATAACCAAATACTACATTATTATTATATTTAGAATATATTAAAATATATCTGTATGCAAATATTATCATTTAATATCCAAATTATAACTTGGTCTATATTTCAACCTTTTATAATGAATCATTAACAATTTATATAAATTTCTTATACGAAATGTAATTCCTTAAAAACTAACTTCTATTTTCTATGAGTATTTTCTATAATGTTTAATTGTTATGCAAGTCTAAAATTAACTAAGAAGAATTAAAATTTTATACATTATGATCGTAAATTATTTTTAAGGATAATATATTTTGATATTAATATTAACATAATAACATATTAAGTTTAATATTACATTACCATATCCCTTTAGAATAATAAAGAAATACTATTTTTATATTTTTATCCAATACTTTGATATGTTATCATAACTATAATTTTATATATATAGAACTAGATTCAACATCAATAAACTATAATTACAAGAGTAGTTTAAATAATAGTATAAATTGTGAAAAAACTGGATAAGCTAAAATTTTTCATATAATATTGTCGATTATCAAATTATCAAATTAAATAGTAATCTTTCAAAAAGTTTGTTTCTTCTAAAGATTTTTAGTTGAAATAAATGTATTTGAAACAACTATTTTTTTATCAAATTAACCGATATTACTAATATTAAAATAAGACTTTAACAAAGAAAATAATTTATATTTTCTAAAAATAGTTATGCTCTAATATAATAATAAATCAAAATCCAAAAAGATATTTTGAAATAAAAGGCTAGCGAAAACCCAAACTTACATCTCTATAAACATTTTAACCTAGCAATTTTCAAATATTCAATCAATACTAACTTATAATTATAATTAACTACTTATCATTTATATGTTAAATTCTAAATCTAATGATTTATAATCACAATGCAATTTTCTTTAATTGAAGATAATTATTTTAAGATTCTATGAAATACGCAAAAATTTCAGTTGACACTCGAAAAGCATTCATTGAAAAAGTTAAATAAGGTGCTTGTACAATTAAGCAAGCAGCTAAATAATTCGGAATCAAATTTTCAACAGGAAAAGCAATACTATCACTATATAAACATGAAGGAAGAGTAGGAAAAAAAGAAAGGAGGACAAGAAGATTTAAGAAACAAATAGAAGAAAAAGAAAATTAAACTAGAAAATGTTTAAAGGATGAACCTCCGATAGAAGCTAAATAAGTTTAGGAGGTTTAGAACTGCCAAAATAATTAATCATATTTTAATTACTCTTAGCCTTAGTACTACAACTATCAATAATGGTATTAAACCTAAGCCTGGTTATAATACATGAATGGTCTTTCTTAAATGAACTGTTATAATTACAGAAATATATATTGATTATTCATAAATATTATATTAAATTTTAAAGATTTAATGACATATCACTCACAGCTTATCTGATTTTCACTTAAGATTTATTTATATAGATTAATTTTGAGCAGAAAAAGAGAATCACTTTATAAAATAGAGATTTAAAAATAATTTAATTGATATAATTATAAATTCAATATTATTTTCAAAATTTGTTACTATCCACAAAAAATCAATTATAAAGAATCTAAAAAGCTTACATTCCATTCTCAAATTATCGAAATTATTAGAATTAAAAGAATCTCTTAATAACTTATTAAACATCTTCTGCACTGAAAATTTCACGCTCTATAAATTAATATAAAATTAAGAGTTCTTTATCAGCTTTATTATCTATAAAAGGTATAATAGGTATTCCATTAAAAGGTTAGGGACTTAAAATATATGTGTACAAATACATAAAACATTATGGATTGTTATCAATCAAAATTATTTTAGTTAAATCATTACTAATAATTTTGATATCCTTGACTTAGGTATTATCTTATAAGATTGTACAATGATCTCTAAAAAAGAGTCCTTGAAAAATCTCTTTTAAAGGATCTAAGATTTACATTATCTTAATGAAATATTAATTAATATTTACAGTTGTAGCATATTTAATATTTGAGGATGTAAAAATGAATAAATTAGCATACTTGTTTAACATTTATAGAAATTATAAGCAATATGGTCTGATAAAGATTCCAAATTATTAGTTTTAAAAATCATATCTTCTATTAGGTTTTAATTCTTCAGAATGTACAAGTGTTTCATCTAAATCAATAGCTATTGAATATTTCTTAGTTAAAATAATATTATGTAATTATTTCTTAGAATTAAAGTATAAATCTTTGTAAGTTACATTTTTATAGATTTAGTTTATTTAATCTATGCACATTTATTTTAAATTTTAAGAACATTTCTCTTTACTTATAATATCCTTAATTCCACCAATAAAATAATCTTTATATTAAATTTCATTTCTTAATTAAATATCAAATTTTTATTATGCATTAACTCTACTATAATTGTCTTTTCTTAGTTTATCACCTTCTTTTTTTCTAGAAGAAGTTTAGTTAAAAAGGTTATCTAAAATTACTTTGTATGTTGATTTACCACAACTTTAAAAATCACCAAATTTCTTTAAATTGTTGATTGCACCGATTTACTTGAGGGTTTTATAGCAACTTTCTTCAGACTAAATTTTAGATGTTGAAATATTACTTTCTTATTTAATTTTTGTGAAGATAAGTTAGAACAAGGTCCTTAAATTTAATTCATTTACTATGAATATTAAATTAAATAATGGTGTATTAAATAAATATAAGTAAAGTAACGTAAATTTTAGCTAATCCTATTTAAAATAACACATTGATGTTTTAAGGAAAAGAAGTTGATTATAAATGGATTGTCTACTTTTCTGTATTTAAGTAGTTTTATGTGTAATTTAATCAAATATTTTTATATAAATAAATTTCCTTATAAGTTTGAAACATAATATTTAAAGTTTTTATAGTTAAATTAATTTGATAATAGAATAATATTTTAGATTTTAATTCGATTAAAATGTTTATATAAAAATAGTTTTACTTTTAAATATAAATGGGTCACCTTCTTCATGTAAGAACAAAATTTTGTATTTCAATTATTTTATATAGATTATAATAAATATCTAAAGAAAGTAAAGATAGGTTATTTTCATTCCTGGAAGAATATAATTTCTGATTTTAGTTATTTTTTATTAAAAACAATTTTTTAGAATATTATTTATTGTTTTTTTAATAAATGTTGATTTAATTATCACGTTTATCAGTTCAAACCATCTAGATTATATAAATAAAAGTGTAATAATAATTAATTACTATTAAATGTATCCCTTCTGCATAGATTACTCAAGACGACAATGAGGAGAATAATTTTTTGGATTCATGTTTTATTTATTTTTATATTCTAAAATAATATATAAAATTAACTTAGGTGATTTAGTTATCTAATATTCATAATTTACTATGATTTTTATATTTATATACATTGTTTATTATATTATAACTATTCAATTTTTAGTAATTATGTTATTTGATTCTCTAAGTTCTTGATAGAATTAATTATTTAATTAAAAAGAGCTTAATTGATAATTTAAAACATAGGATTTAAGAAATTAAACTTTACGTTTAGAAATATTAGAAAAACAAAAAAATTAAAAAAAGAAACATCAATTCAGATAATTCAATATTCTTTCTAATTAAACTAAAGTGATGTCTGATATTATCAAAATATTTAAGGGAAAGCTCGAGGGAGACTTCTGAGTGAATTGTAGGTTCTATAATTATACATTATATAGTATCTACTATCAGTAGAAATAAAATATTTAAAATTAAATTCCATTAAATCGGTATATAAGATTAAAAATAATAACTAAAATTTATGGGGTGTTCTGTCACAAAAACAAAGGTAGATGAGAAACTTAAAACACTTACAACAGACAAATTCGAATCATACTTGATAACTCAAAGTCATTTTCAATCACCTCCAGTACCACTAAGAAAATAATATTCTATCGAAAAGAACCCAATTATTTAAAGAAGAAGATTAAAGTCTTAACAAAAGACAAGGACTACTTCAGTCATTGACAAATAGGAATTTTCTGTTTGATTCATATAATCTATTTTCTGTCTTGATTTAATATCTATTCTTGGAATATCTAATATATATCCACTCATCATCAAATTCATTAATTTAAATTGATATTTGTGATTGAAAAACTCCTGAAAATCAGACTCTTTTCTCACTTTAAATTTTTAGATGTTGTAAATTTTAATCTGTATGAGTATGACTCATTAAAACTAAATATCCAATATATAGTTGATATTTTAAACAATTAAATTAGGAATAAGATGGAATGTCTACAGAGAGTCGGATTGCTATAAAAATATAATAAATTTCGTTTTTATAAAATTTGTCTTAAAAATAAAAATTTGATTTTGATGATGGTTAATTTGTTGATATGCATAGTTGGGAATTGGATTTTAGTTAATCAACATTTTTAAACCCTTATTTTTTCAATATAATTTTTGAAAATGATAATTTTAAGAAAATTAATACTCAAATTATATATAGTTCATAATATCCATAAGTTGGATCCAATTTCCTTGCATAGATTGTATCAATATGTTCAAGTAATACTATTTCAGCAGTAGTATATATTATGCATTCATTGTCATAAAATGGCAAATGTCCTCCAATCATTTTTCCTTCTGTGTCAGATAAACTTATATGAATATGTTATCCATAAACACTAATTGTTCCAACAAGCGATACAATTTCAAAATGACCATTAATTTCTGTAAATTAAGGTTGATTTGCAAATCTGATAGAGCATTTCAACAAAGACTATTAATCATTTTTTTAATAAATACTCCAACACAAGTTGAAATTGAAGCTGCCTTTATTTAATTAGTTTCAATGTATTATTATAATTCCTTAACTATATTTTAATTAGGACGCAATCTTAAAGTATGCGATCTTATCTCACTTATTGAATTTGCTTAAATTATTGCAAAAAAAATGCTGAGTATAATTATCATTAAAAAATTTTAAAATTTAATAGAAATGAATAAGAAATTAAACTTTAAAAAATTTTATTATAGAATAGTTGTATTTAACAAAAAATGAAAAGATGATATAAGAGAGAGATCTGTATGAATTATTTATATATTTTATTAATATCAATTAATATACAAGAATGAAAATATATATTAATAATAATTAATGAGGTATAAATTTTTAAAGCCAAGCAACAGAGTCATACCTTTCAATAGCCATCAAATCTAGTAATTGTCAATTATATCTCTACTTGCTATTTTTGTCTCAATAGCATTTCTTATTACTTCTCAAAACAAAAAGTTAGTATATAATCCTAATGATTATATAATATTAAGGAAATTAGAGAGAAACTTTGAATCTTCAAGGCATACTCAAGTATTTAAAGGTTTTATTTATTAAGGGATTACATTTTATTAATTCTACTCATCTTGTTGAATCATGTGGATAATATTAGAATTCAGAAATCCATTATATAAATTTGAATTAATTGACAACAATATCCTAAAGAGTGATACTGGATGATTTATATCAAGGTCAGGGAGTTGATGTAATTGATGGATAGGTGTATCAATTAACTTGGAAAGAACGTATGATGTAGTATAATTATTATTATCAGATTCTTGAGAGATGTAGAAACACTTGAAGTATTGGAAAATAGAAAGTTAAATATAGATGTGTAAGAGAGTTTAGGGATTTCACATTCTTATAAAGAGAATAATACATTAGAAATCTATATAACAAATGGAACTGATAAAGTGTTGATTCTTGATTCAGAATTAGTTCTGAAATAAATAATTTAAGTGCGATTTTACAATGGTTCTTCAGTAGGTAGATTGAGTGAGATAGAATATGTAAATGGAATTTTATATGCAAGTACAAATTTGAATCCAATCATTTTGGCAATTGATCTAACAGAAGGCTATGTGTAATTATGATATCAGTAAATATAGGAAAAATTATTATGATTTTTCTTAACTAATAGATTTTTCATTTGATAAAGATTTAAGCAATTGTATTTGTGGGATCGCGTATAAGCCTGAATAAGATATGTAAATTTAAGTAAAATTAATAATAGATTTTGGATAACTGGAAAGGATTGGCCATTTTTTTGGGAAGTCGAATTAAATTGATGAATATATAAGACTTATTTATTATCTAAAATTAGCGATAATAAAATTAAATGGGTTGTTTACAACCAAAATAACATGCTAGAATAGTACCAATGCAAACTAGTCACAACGATTCTATTTTTACTTCAACAACAGACATCCATTCTCTATATAATTTTGGTAAAGTACTAGGAATAGGGTCTTTTGGTAAGGTTGTTTTAGCTACAATGAAAAATAATTCAACAAAATAGTATGCCATCAAGATTATAGATAAAAACAATCTCCATGGAAAAGAAGCATAATTGGCTAATGAAATATATACACTCAAAAAATTAGATCATCCCAACATAATTAAGTTTTATGAAGTCTATCAGAGTGAATTATATATTTACATATGTATGGAATATTGTGAAGGAGGTGAGTTAGTAGAAAGAATTGCAAAACAACAGATAAATTTAACTGAACATTAAGTATAAAGAATTATATCTAAAGTAAATCATATTAGTTATTTAGATATGTTCTGCTGTCATCTATATACATGAATAAGGCATAGTACATAGAGATATTAAAGCTGAAAACATTTTATTTACTGAACAAAGTCTCTATTCGGAACCTAAGTTAATTGATTTTGGATTTGCAAATAAATTTGATGTAATACATAGAAGAAGAAAACTAAAGACTTTTATTGGCACTCCTCTTTATATGCCACCAGAAGTAATTGAAGGAGATTATGATGAAAAATGTGATATTTGGAGTTTAGGTGTTCTTCTTTATAGTCTTTTATGTGGAACTCCTCCATTTGTGGGTTAATCCAAAGAGAAATTGTTTCTCAATATAAGAATTAAGGAAGTTAAATTTGAATCTAAAGTTTGGAATACTATTTCTGAAGAAGCTAAAAATTTACTTAGTTAAATGCTCTCTAAAGATCCTCAATTAAGACCTTCTGCAAAATAATGTATGGATCATCCTTGGTTCTAAACTAAATAAAATCCATCATTATTGTTAACTGATAAACTTAAATCTACTCAATTCCAATAAGATCGAACTATTTATTAAATGTTAAAAACATATAGAGGTGGAGCTAAGTTTAAAAAGGAGGTCACAAAAGTACTAATCAATTAAATGAATGAATCTGATTTACAACATTTAAAATTGATATTTTCAAAAATTGATGTTGATAATTCAGGAACCATAACAGTAGAAGAACTTAAATCAGCTTTAATTAAAGAGGGTTCTATAGTAACTCATTGGGAAATTGAACAATTAATATAAACTATTGTTTTAGAAGAGGATGAAGGCATTTAATTAATGGGTGAATAAGATGGAATTTAATTCTTAGAAAGTAAATCTCCAAGACCATTAATGATTAAATATACAGATTTCTTAGCTGCTTGTATTGATCAAAGAAAAATATTCACTAGAGAACGAGTATTATATATTAATTTATTTATTAGTTATGGTCTTTGTTTAAATATTTCGATACTTTAAATGTAGGTCATATATAAAAAGATGATATTAAAGAAGCTTTAGCTAGACATGGAAGATAAATTTCGGAAGATAAAATTAATGAAATGATCAATGAAATCAATCCTAATAATAATAATTAAATATCATTTGATGAGTTTTGTTAAATGATGTGTGATTAAGGAATAGATAAAACTATGAATATTAAGGATGAATTTAAGGAACCACCATCAAGAGTAGATTGATTTAAATTTCATTATTATTTATATTATAATTTAATATAAAATAAATTCAATGACTTATTGAATATTATAAATTTAGTAATTATTATTATGTATAATGTAGATTGGTGATGACTTCATTTTTCTCTATTATTGCATTTTATAACTATCTTTATAGAATGGCACTATTAGTTATGTGCTAATTAATACTGTATACTAATCCATCATTCTCACTTTTTAATTAATAATATCTTTTAACTAAATTTTTATAATTAACTCTTAATGTTTCTGTATCATTAGTTTTATCTAATATAAATGTATTCTATTCCAATAATCTCATATTTTCATCACCATATTCTGATAATTTATTTAGTAATCTTTATTATTCCAACTCTTTTTTCTTAAATTCATTATTCACATTTTATAATTCATCTAATTATTTTTATAATTATTAAATTCTTTCAACATAATCACTCCTTTCTTTTTCTAATAGATTTTATTATAATTTAAAAGATGAATCCAATTATTAGATTTATTATTTTTAACTCTTCAATTCTTCTCCTAATTTTGTATTATCTTATACTAATTATTAACATAATCTATTTTTTTATTAATATAAAGTATCTATATCAACTAATTCTTATTCTAATTTTTGATATCTAATTAATTTTCCATTTAAAATTTCAATTTCTAATTCTTATTTTAAATTTATTTCTTGCTATTAACTAAGTTTCTTTGATTTTATTTCACATTCATTTGTTAAATCTTCAATTTTTTTTTTGTATGAATCTGAAATAGAATTTTATGTTTCTATTTCTCTTCTATATTATTTCTAAATGATATTTATTTCATCATCTATTTTTTTTTAATTAATTAATTCAAAATGTTTAGCTTGACTGTCAATATCAAATTAATGTTTTTCTTTTAATGAATTTAATAGTGAATATAATCCTTCATTTTATATTAATAATTCTGATGCATTTAATTTTAAATTATCTAAATCCTTTTAACAATCAAGATATTTCTATTATATTTCTTAATAATTTTTTTTTAATGTGTTATTCTCATTACTTAATTATTTGTTTTATCTTTCTAATTAATCACAATATTGCTTTGTTTCATATTATTCTTATTCTTTGAAAACATTGCTTTGCATTTTCTGAACTTAATATTGTAATTCTTAATACTTCTTTTTAATAAGTTCACTGTCATTATATTGTATTTATAAATCATATTACAATTAATCTATGATATTAAGTAGGAAACGAATTTCACCTTAAGGGTCTTTGATTTGAATTTCCTCTTTATCAAAGGGATAATGTTCTAAAGATGATGAAACATTAGCAGGTGATTGATGAATAACAGGAGATTGATGAAATTTATGAAATCTAGGACTTGTGCTAATCTTATAACTGCATTCTTGAGAAGAATTTAATAGTTCATTCTCATACTTTCCTTTCTTGCTACCATATTATTGAAGTTTTTCGATGAGCTAGGATTCACTCATGTCAGTTAATATTATAATTTTAAGAGTGATGAAATTGAAATAATATATAGTAAACCAAAATATTAAAAAAAAGAAGTTTAAGAAGTTGTTACTTATTATTTTCTTTGCCAAATTGTAATCATTTAATCATTAATCAATTAGTATTAAACATATTTTGGACAAGATCACTATGATAATTCTACTTTCATTTTATTCCATTCTCTTTATTTATAAAAATAATCATTCAATTCCAAAACTCTTTGAACAAATAATTGTCATCCTTTATAAATTCTACTATCAGACCAATAAAAATTCTAAACGATTAATTTTATCATACTCCTTCTCTATCCATTCTTTTTTCTTTCCATTTCTAATCAAAAACCTTTCATCTTCTTTTAGGTTTTTTTGATATTCTCCAATCCCCATTTAAATACTTCTTTACCTTACTTTTTGTTATCATAATATTCTTTCTCATAAAATGAACTTGTTTCTTTTCAATTTAGTTATTATTTATCATTCAACAGATGGATAACAATTAAATCAACAATATTTATTAATACTATTTATTTATCATTCTTCCATTAACTTTCATACTAATCATCACAAGAATGAACCAATCTAATCTACTATGTCCAGATGCCTCATTGTTAACAAAACCTACTCCATCATAACTTAAATCTAGTTCCAATAACTTTCCAAAACCATGTTTCTAAGCATCCTTCCATTCTCCAAAGTGAATGATGACATGGTCATTTTTAATTGGAGAATTCTTCTCTTCAATTTCAATGTCATTTGGAATTTATAGTAATAGCATTGATGATTTATAATTATATAATGAATAATTTAGTAAAGTAAAATTAACTTAAGACAGTTCCTAATATCTGATTTGTAATTTCTGGAAAGGAGTCTAGAAATTGGCCCATTTTTGGAGCTCAAAAAAAAGCCAATCTTTCAAATTAAGATTGTTTATAAAATAGAGTTGTTAGACTCTGCAAAATAGAATAAATAGAATTACTTTATACTAATCCTAATAAAAATATCATCTTCTCATTCTCTTACATCAGAATCCTTATTTTTAATGATTTGCTTTTCCATTTAAAACAACTGATTCTTTGTTTGTTCAATAGGTTAGATAAAACTAGCACTTACATTTCCTATTTATATAAATAATACTTAATTTAAGAGATATATTGTATATATTACAATGGGACAAGAATGCTAGAAATGCTAAAAGAGACAAGAAGTACATTCAAACGAAATAAATAAATAAGAAGTAATTAGTTCTGATTCTGATCCTGAATATGAAGAAGATGATGAGAAACAGCCTTGTATTATTTATGACTAAATAAATAGAAAAACCACCTTCAATGGATAGCAAATCAAACTCTTCTACATTTATTAAGGAACAATATCTTTCTTCAGATTCAAAACAAGAGTAGATAGAGAGTTCTTAGAATCAACTTAATTTTTAGGATGGTGGGATCTATACTGGAATAGTAATTAACAATATGGCAAACGGACTTGGCAGGTTGGTCATGCCTAACGGTGATATATATGAAGGCAGTTTTATTAACAATAAATTAGAAGGAGATGGGAAATGTATATATGCAAGAGGGCCTATATACACAGGCTAATTTAAATAAGGAAAATCAAATGGATTTGGTAAAGAAGTGTGGCCTGATGGTTCTGTTTATGAAGGTGAGTTCCGAAATGGGAAAAAGAATGGAAAAGGAATTTATAAATGGAGTTAATAAAGTACGTATAATGGTGAATGGGCAGATAATATGATTAATGGGGTTGGCAAATATGAATGGCCAGATGGTAGGGTAATTTATTAGTTATTTAGAACATAGTCTTATTACGGTTAATGGGCCAGAAATTAAATGCATGGTAGAGGATACTACCGTTGGATTGATGGGAAATATTATGATGGAGAATATGAAAATGATAAAAAGTCTGGGTTTGGTATATTCAATTGGCCTGATGGTAAATAATATTAAGGTTATTGGCTTGATGGAAAATAACATGGAAAAGGACTTATGATAAATAAAGAAGGAAAGAAAAAATTTGGAGAATGGTAAAATGGTAAATTAATAAGTTGTTCTGATGAATCTAATTTGTAACTTATTCCAGATGGTTGGTTTCTCAACACTTTTAATTAATGATTAAATTATTTTACTTGTGTATTTTCTTATTAAATATTTTATATTATGATCAATCAAACAGATAAAAACTGAGTTTTATATAAATCTTCCATTAATACTTTGATTAATAATAAATTTAATTACCTTATATACTTATTCCAAAAAACTAATTAAATCCATTTACATTCACATCCTAATTTATTATTATTCTAAATAACGACTAACATTTTTCCATTTCAAAACATACATGTACTAAAAACTTATCAATATTTTAGTACTATCTTTCTCTATATTGGTTGATATAAATGAGTTTATTTTAGTATTTTACTCTGTTTAATCAATCTGGCAAAAGAAAGTAAGTTTGAAAATTATATTATATATGATGTTATTTTATGAATCGAAAACACAAACATGAAGTGCATTCAAATCAGTACTTATTATTTTTCACTTTGAGAAGAAGCATTTGCTTTATATTCATCAAAGTTCTTTCCAATCCATCTATTAGAACCTTAATATTTTGACATTATTATAATTTTTTCAGAGTCTCCTATTATGATTCTGAATTTTCTAAAATACTTGAAAATATTTCTTGATATAGATTGTTTATTGTGTTGGTATTGATTTTTTTACTTTTTCTGATCTTCTTTTTACTGAGAGGAATAGAGGAATTAATGAAAAATTTATTAAATTCTTAGTCATCTGAAGGCTCTTCTATCTATTAAATCTATATATAGTAATCTTGATTGTTTATATCATTTTCTTTTTTAATTTTATGGCTTTTACGACCAAACATTATAGGAGAGGATGAGAAATCGAGATCTTCATTTTCATTCCAAGATTATTAAGGCCAATCTTCTTCTGTGGATTAAAATTGATCAAGATTCATTATTATTTATTTAATCAATTATATAATTAAGCTCCATTCTCAAAGATTGTAAATTATGGCATAATGCGTAATATTTAAATTTAATTTATCTCCATATTTATAAAAACCAACCTTAAGAATTTAAGTCAATTAATTCTAATAAGGATGATGTAATTTTTCAATAATAATTAGTTTGTTAATAAAAATTATGTCAAATCCAATACCTATCGAATTTAATTCTGATATTGATGAATTAAGAAATTGCTTCCCCTCCAATACTGGATCAACTGCTACTTAAAGTCTATTTGACAATTCCAATATATATAAAATATTATCTTCTGAATAATTTGACGATTAATTGGATTAAGTAGGTAATGCTTGTCAAATAATTAAAGATCATGAATTTGATTAACTCAATGAATAGATGAAGAATGTATTACTAAATGATGATTTCAAACCATCCCTAATTTCTGCTTTTTAAGCTGATATGTAAAATTAAACGATTTCATTTTAAGGTCATCTTATATTACACATGAAAAATTAACTAAAAATTCAAGACGTATGCAATATGAATATGAAAATGCCAAACCTAAGGAAAGAGAATATGTTTTTATGACCTTTATAAAAAATAACATAGTCAACTTAAGTTTAGACAAGTATATGCACTATATACTGGAAAAAATTATTGAAGTTGGTAAGAGAGTCATAATTTTAAATAGGTCCTCCTTTGTATAGAAATATTATTTTAGATCAAATTTTCAATAGAATTAATAAGCTTATTACTGATCTCTATGCATGTAAGGTGATGCAGAAGGGATTAGAAATTATGGCCTCATACCCTTAAGATTCATAAATATAATTTTAGAGATATGTTAATTTTATATTAGAAGATAACAATTTAAAATTGTATACAGACAAAATTGGCAATTAAATCTTCCAAAAATGTTTAGAACTTTTTGATGGCAAAAATTTACATAATCTTTTACTTATTTTGGATAAATATGTAATATCTTTAATTAAATTTTTAGATATTAAATTAACAGTAAATTGAACTTTCTACAGATTAATATGGATGTCTTATAGTAAATAAAATAATAGATATATTGCCAAAATAAATTGATTAAAATTCTAAATAAGTTGCAAATGATATAATCATGAGAGTTATTGAGAATTCTTCATGCTTAATAAGAAGATAATACTCAAATTATATAATCTAATAAATTTTAGAAAGAGGATAAGAATCCCATAAAACATTACTATTAGATAAATATCTTATCAAAGACTTTGTATAGATGTCTGTGGATAAATATGGAAGCAATGTTGCTGAAAAGGCAATCATTTACTCAGGACCTAAATGGAGATAAAAACTTTGGGAAGAAGAAGTGTCAGTCTCCGAAGAGTAAATCCAATCCATTAAATTAGGTCTTTTCGTAAATTAGTAAATGATTAGTTTGCCAATTATCCTATATAAAGATTGTATGAATATTTAACTTAAGAATATCGAGCTGAATTCTTAGAATATCTTTCAAAATTACATGAAAGCAACTTCTTGAATCATCATGGTCTAATTGTTTGGAAATTTGCCGTAGTCAATTTTAATATAAAACGATTTACTTAAAAAGTAAATTCCAATTTAAATTTCTAAATCACTTCCTTTTAAGATAAGAATAAATAAATTTCATAATAATAAGTAAATTAACAATTTATTAATAATAATCAGTATTAACAATATCAATAATTTATATAATAATAATATTAATAGTAATATTAATAACCAATGTATAATTATTGGATTTAATAATAAAATCCATAATAAACTTATGATTATTAATAATATCAAGCATTTTTAATGTAAAATACAATGATGTTCTATTAGTAACAACAAATGTATCCATTATCTTAATAATTTTATCAAAATTATTAAAATGAATAATAAAATAATGCTTAAATTATGTAGACATTAAAGATGGTATAACACCAATCTGACTGACACATAGATGACAACAATAACAATGATATTAATAATTTATTGCAAAGAATATTTTTTAAATTTTCAACTTTTTTTTACATTTTTCAATTTATAATCACTTTCAATCTAATTTAATTAGTACAGAATTAAATTTATAATGAATAAACTTTTTCCTTTTTAAATAAAGGTAATAATAAGAAACAGAATTTATTAGGCCGAGAATTTTTTAATATCGTTTTCATTATTAATTAAAAGATGATAGAATTAGGAGATAAAAAATATATTAAGGCAAGTTAAAGAAAAAAACAAATTTAGGTTGTTGAATCTGAGGATTTATATAAAACTATCTTATAAGACTAAGATGATAGCATATTTTCAACAAATTACAAAAGAGGACCAGAAAAATCTATTGAAGAAGAATATCTTTCTAGATAAATGAATGCGCCTTTTATTAAGTATTTACCAACTTTTTAAGAAATCTAACATCAAAACTAGACAAATTCAGAATTTTAAAACTAAGAGGATTTTAAATTTAGAAGCAATAAATCTAATGAATTTAAATTGGATAATTAATAAGTAGAATAGTAGAATGAAAATTATTTTTTTAATTCTGAAAATGAATAGGAATACAAAATTATTAAGGTTGATTAATTAGAGCCTTTCATAACTTTTTCATTAAATAATAATAATGGTTCTATGAAGAATGAAATAAACAACTAATAGAAAAAAAATTTAACTTAAATTAACAAAGGCTTAATAAGGAAAACTATTTATAAAATATGAATAGTTTAATTAAAATATATTATAAATAAATTTACTTTGATATTTGAATCTCTTATTTATAATACCATAACTTAAATTTATCCAGAAATTTATTTAATTCATGAAATTCTATATTATTCTAAAAAAAGTTAATATTGATTTATTTAACACCATGATTTTGAAATTTTATGTAAATTTTATTTTTTCAATAATATTTTGAGAGGAAAAATATTAAGTTCATTTAAAAGTGCTAAGTAATGTTTTGTATGAATTTCTTTCTGTTCAACTATTAAATTCAATAATAAGCATAATAAATTTAATTGCTAATTGTATTTTGTCTAAATACCTTCTCATTTTTATTGAAATTAAAAATTTGTAATTCTATAAAATAATGATATATTTCTAAGTGAAGGTTTAGTTATGATATTTAATAATTTGAAATAGAGATAAAAATACAGTTTGAATTTTAAGTTGTATTTAAATGATAATAAATTATATCTAATAATATAATATGTAAATTAGTTTTAATTTGATGATTTTAATACAAATATTAATTAAACAACGTGCACATTATTAATATTAATTAATTAAATAAATGTCTGAAAAAGCTTAACTCGCCAAAGATGCAATAAAGAGAAGACAAGGTGGAGGCAAGAGTCGTAAGATATTTTTATTTACATGATTTAGCATCAAAAACAACAGAAAATGGAGGATAATCAGGATTAAATTTCTATTCTGGAGATGTCTCATCTCTAAAAGTTCAACCAAACACCGTACTTATAATTAGTCTTGTATATTTGGGAATCGTTGTGCTCTTACACATATTCAGCAAACTAAGATCAGGAGGAGCAGAAGCTGCCCCTGAAGGACAGTGATTCATATTATATGATATCAAATATCTACGCATATTTTTGTTTTAAAATCAACTATATCAATTTCATAATTTAAGACATCATGCTTAAATAGATGTTGTAATCTTTTATACATTATTTATAAATTTGAGAAACTTTGAGTTTCGATCATATATAATTCAAAATCATTTCTACTCATATTTTGATTGAAAATATAGTAATTATATTACATTCTTATTACAGGCTGATCTACTAATATGGAAAATATTGGTGAAAATAATTTGTTTGATATTAATATTTTAACAATAATGAATCATCTGACTTTAAATTACAAGTATTAAGTAAAAATTTAAAATAAATAAACACAATAGAAAATCATAAACTCTGAGTAAATATATTTTTTTGAATATAGATCTCTATTAATTAATTATTAAAATAAAAAATGCATTTGAGGTATTATTTGAATGAAGAGGGAAAAAGAGTGTATACTTTAAAAAACACACTTGATGATGGTTCATATACATTTAATGCTCATCCTGGTATTGATAGAAAATAATTTAATAGCAAGATTTAGTCCTGATGATTTAAATTAGAAATATCGTGTTGAATTAAAGAAGAGATTTGGTTTGTTACCAACTTAAGGTGAACCTCATTAATTTTGAAATGTTCATGATAATAAAATTTATAGTTTTATGTAATATCAATTAACAAATATATGATCAGATATATAGTTGTGAGAATTAGTGTATAATATATTTAGTTAAAAACTAAAACAATATTTTAATATAATTCGTTTAAATATGTCTTCAAATATAGAGTTAGTTCCGTTTTATTCGTCGTTACTTCGTACTATATAAAGTATGTTTCAATAGAATTTGATTACAGCAGAAGAGAGAAGTGAGTTGAAGAATTTTGTAGTTTCTCATGATACGAAGGATTTAGGATAATTATTTCAATCTTATGAAAAAGGATAGTTGGAGAAATTTATATTGGAAAATTACATAAATCCAAGAAATAATGAATAATATATAGAAGATGAGGATGACTCATGCTATTCTATATCTGAAATTGAATGTTAAAAAAGTACCTTAAGTTGTACTCCTAATTAATTTGTATGGTAATTGAAACAATCCAAATAAGTAATATAAGAAAAAGAAGGTAATCGAAAAAGATCCAATTCATTTACAACATTTAAATAATTATGATGATCTAAAAATGGATAAATTTTGAGTTTATTTGTGTATACAAGCTATTTTCATATATTCAAATATATAACAAATAAGAAATATAATAAGTCTGATATTATTAATTTATTATAAATAATTAATTTAATACATCATGATAACATAGCATTAATAAAAATAATAAACTCCATAAAATAATTTATCGTATTTTTGTGATTCTAATAGATAAATTTTTCAAGATAATAAATTAATATGCAATAAATAATTAAATTATAATGTAATCAAATGAATTATCCAATAAATTACAATCAAACTAAATAAAGTTCTAAAAATTTTGAATTCTAACTAATGCATCATTAATTAAATACTAATTAAAATATTAATAAATCTAATTTAATAATTTAAATAAAAAAAATTCAATTAATATTGATTCTTTACAATATTTTCTTTAAAAAGATATAAATTTTTCCACACATTATCTAAATGTATGATACTTAGATTGAACCTTAATTTAGACATATATTAATTTATTAATATTTTATCTATGAACTAATTATCTTAATTGAATTTTGTTTAACCTATAAGATTTTTTTTAATTTATTTGAAAGGAATTAATTTTTAGTTCAAATTCAAATAATCAACTCTAATCTAATATAAGAATTTAACTCTAAATTATTCAACAACATTTAACTTTAAATTTTGATTAATATTTAATTCATTAACAATATTAATGAAGTATTTAATCATGAATCAATTGTTTTTTTAAGAGTTATAAGAATTACAACTATTAAAAAATTCTTTAAAATATTAAAAATAGTATTATAATATGAAATAATATATATATATATTATGAGAGATTATTCTACATCTTTATTCTTATATATTGATATAATATGCTATCTAAATAATATTACTTAGTCCATAAATAAATAATTAATTAATTAAAATATTTCTATGTAAATTCAATCATTCGATGAATTGGCGACGGAGAAGGAACTCAAATTATTTGGAAAGACCACAGCTTAGAAATTCTAACGTCTTAAGATTATCATCATCGGACTGTCAAGCGTAATTAATAACTACAATCCTAGCTTGGATTAGAGATTGCCAAACATATTTCTACACAATAACCTGAATTGATAACACTTTGCGATTCATAATCACAAAGACTGAAATAATGTGAATAACTTCTAAAAATAAATAATGTTACATAAATAGAAACACTTGAAATGTCTTACAAGGACAATGAAATCCTGTCAAAAATAGATAAACATGATTTAACAATAATTTGTGATATTTAATCATTGAATTTTGCAATAGCAGTAAGTGAACACTTGCGTTAAAATGCATCTAAAAATTAAAAGTATAATAAAGGTGTTATATGGACATGTACATTTGGATTTATCTGTATTAAATTTTCAGATTTTGGTTAAGGATTCAAAGTGTTTGATAGAGATGGAGTATAGCCATTTCCATATCATATTATAAACATTACTAATTCAAATCCAGGTATAGTAAAAATTCATGAATCTATTCCACATAATTATAAGACTGGTGATTTTGTAAGAATCAGTAATGTTGAAGGTATGACATAAGTAAATGGACCAGAAGCACGTCCAATCAAAGTAATATCTCAAACTGAATTTTCTATTGAACATACATAACATTTTAATAAATATTTGGCAGGTGGATTAGTTTAATTAACTAAAGTACCTTTTAAATTTCATTTTCAAAAATTGTCAGAAACCATATATAAACCTAATACACTTAAAACTAATGAGGATAAGGTTGTTTATAGTACTGTCATTGCCAATTTATAACTGTTAGATTAAACATCAAAACCATAGAATGAATAGGAGATCATTAATATTGCTTTAGCCATATATAAAACATTTGATTTAGATCAATTTGATGTTCAGTTGTGTTAAAAAACTATCAAATTCATGTAGACAACCAAATATCCAGTTATTAGTCTTTGGGCAGGTTATTGCAGTTTGGAAGTAGTCAAATTTACTGGTAAATTCACTCCATAAGAATGTTCTTTCATTTAATTTATTAGTGATATTGATAATGATGAATAGTAGATTAAAATCAAATTGTAATCACTCAATGCTTTGGTTATTGGAAGTGGAGGAACTGGATGTGAAGTAGTTCGACTCTTTTCTTTGATGGAGTGTTGCACTCAACCTAATTCAAAACTTACTATATTAGATGATGATATTGTACGTAAATATACTTTAGGAACTCATTATTGGTTTAAGTAAATTATTAAATAATAATAGTTAATAAACTCTTGGGATGTCCAAAGCTGATGTTGCAAAAGATTAAGCATAATAACTTTGTAGTTCTATGAACATTGATGTTGATAAAAGTAAATTCAGTGAGAAATCTGAAATCATTGTAAAATAGCATGATATCATCTTTTCTGCCATTAATAATTAAACATCAAGATTACTCATCTAATAATAAGCTTAAAAGCATAATAAAATTTTATTTGATTAAATATTAAATGGTTTAAAGGCTTACACTTAATTTGGAAAACCAAATTAATAATTGTAAATTTAAGAGACTTTAAAGAATGTATATAATGTAGATTAGGATACTTATAAGAAATTTCCTTATCTTCCAATTCATTGTGTTTTATGGGCAAAGGAAGTTTTTGATAATAGTTTTGTAGGTTTTGTAACTGATTTTTAAAAATTCCTTTAGGATAGAAATACATATCTCTAAAATTTTGAAGAACCTGATGTGTATAATATTATATTAATATTATTAGAGTTGATAATTATCATATTAGAGCTCATGTAATTAATAGAATATCTAAACCAGGATTTAATTTAACTCTTGATAAAATACTAAGTTTATCAAAAGAATTATATGAATTCCATTTTGAGTTTAAGATTAATTAGTTATTGAAATAATATCCAACAGATGCTTTAGAATGTGTATGGACTGGATATAAAAAGATTCCTTAACCAATTAAATTTGATTCTAATAATATGGATCATGTAGCCTATATATAGATAACTACTCTTTTAATATCTAAATTATTCAACATTAATGCCAGTTCTGTGTTCAAATAGGAATATGTTATTGATAAATTGTAATAAATGACAGAGAATTATTGGAATTTAACAAATCCTTAAGTTCCTACTCCAACTGAATATTCATCATAAAATAAACCATAATTCTTAAATTTTGATGATGACTAAGTTCGAGGTTTGTATGTTAGATGCATTCATTCATTAACAAATTTAAGATGTAAAAATTATAATCTCTAACCAATTCCATTATATAAAGTTTAAAAATATGCTTTAGAAATGCACAGAAGCAATCCAATAATGCATTCAATTATAGTAGGTTGGATGGGTATTGAATTAAACAAATATCTATATGTAATTTTTATAATTATAAGTATAGGGTAATTGTAAACAAAGAAATATGCACATAGATGTTAATAATAATATTTTAGAATTCATCTGAGAATTATTGATTAAAAATATTATTATTAAATATACATTTTTAATACACAATTATTCATAATAATATATAATATAATCCATATGCAATTATTATTGGTAGCAGAATAAATATTAATTGCAATTGTGGCTTATTTTATTATTAATTTTATTCTGTTTCTTCTTATTCTGGTCTTTATGGAGAAGCTGTTGTTTTGTTGGGGGAGATCGTATTTTATTCTTATTTCATATCTAGACTTCTCCTATTTGGAGAGGACTATTGTTAAACAATATTATCATCAGTATTATCTAATTAAGATGCATATTATTATTCTTATTATCTACTCATTTTAACTCCATATTGCTATTATAATACATAGAAATACTGTGTTTAATGGATTGATTTTATTGGAATTGATTAATCGTAATACATTATAAGATAGAGAATTAATAATTCCATCAATTTAATCTTTGTCATGATTGGATATTTCATAAAATTTGGCATCAATAGAATCTGCAAGATTTCTTCCTTATTGAGTTTGTACTTGTCTAAATTCAAGAATAAAATGACCTTTGATTTTCTTGATCCTAATGTGTAGCAACAATAACAATTTGAATCATGTCAGATGAGACTTATTTAAGGATATTAATCCAATTTTCTAATGATTTAAATGAGTTTTGACTATCTATTTTATAGAATATTATAGCAGCAGCAGCACTAAAATTAAGGATATAAAGATAATTGATTACTTTTAACAAAATGTTTTCTAAATTGCCATAAATTAAGAGCTTCCAGACTAATTAAAATAATTATAGTTACTGTGTCCCATAATTAATTTTAAACAACAATACCATCATTAAATTCAATTGATTTACTTTCAAACTCTAATCCAATTGTAGGATCATATTCCTAAATGAATTTTCCTTTAACATATTAAGATAAGAAACATGATTTACCAACACCTAAGAATTATAAATAAATGAACCTGTATCTCCAATCAATACAAATTTGAAGAGATATTAATAATCTTCAAAATTCATTAATATAATAATAGTTTATAAATAAATTAATATATTACTACAAAACATGCAACTTGCTAAAAGTAATATAAAAATATTAACAATCTAAAGTTCATCCAGATGTATTAGAAAAAGAGAAAATAAATCCTTATTTAAATGACAATAAACCATAATAGAAATATCCTAGAGAGAATTTAAATGAGAACGAGAAGAATTTAAATTTAGGAGGTTCTTATCAAAATTATATTTATAACTGTGGTGAATGTTGTGGAAATTGTTCAGCATTTTGTCCATGTAATCCATTTGTAGAATATCCATACAAAAAAATTGAATAGGGTTACGTTGGAGTATATTTAAGATTCGGAAAGTATGTAAAAACAAGTATAGGATTGTATAATCATCTTAGTGCCTCCAGGTTTATAATATTTTAATCCATGTACAGATAAATTAATAAAAATTGATTGTAGAACTTAAATGATTGATTGTGAAAAACAATTTGTAATTACAAAAGATAATATTCTTATAATGGTTGATGCATCTGTCTATTACAGAGTATTGGAACCAAAGAAGGCTATTTTTTACATTTACGATATTAAAATGGCCATATCTTAAATAACATTAGCAGCCATAAAAAGTGTTATTGGTGCATATACCTTATAAGATGTGTTAGAAAAAAGAACAGAGATTTAAGATTATATCTAATAATTTGTTGATGATCATGTAGATGATTGGGGAATAGATATTGAATTAATGATGATAAAAGACATTTAAATAAATGAAAAGATTAAATCTGCATTAGCATAAGCAGCAACAGAACTTAGGTAAATATATATATTATATTTTAAGAGCTGCATAAGCAAAGATTTTAATTGCTGAATCTAATGTTTAATCAGCTTAATTAATGAAATAGGCTGCTGAATTATTAAGTGCTAAAGCAGCTATGTAAATTAGATATCTTGAAGTCATTAATAAAATAGGTAATGAATAACATACAAAAGTTATGATTATATGATATATTTATATTTCAATCATCTTTGAATACACTAATGAAAGTATCTTTCCTTACAGTAACTCTACCAACTTCTCTCATTCTCTTTTTACCTTCCTTTTATCTATCCAATAACTTTTTCTTTCTTGTATAATCTCCTCCATAACATTTTGCAGTTACATTTTTCCCTGTACTTCCTATTTTCTCTGCTGCTATTACTTTACCACCAACTTTAGCTTAAATTGATACAACAAATAAATGTTATGGAATATTTTCCTTTAATCTTTAACATATCTTTTTTCCTAATTAATGTGCTCTTTCTTCTGGTACCATAAATGATAATGCATCCACTGGATCTTCCATTAAATGAATTACTAATTTAACAATGTTAGCTTTTTCAAAACCACAGAATTCATATTCCAATGATCCATATCCTTTTGTTGCACTTTTTATTTTATCAAATAAATCTTAAATGATTTCATTTAAAGGGAATTTAAAAATGAATCTATCTTATTTATCATATTTCTCTTAATCAACTAATCTACCATTTCTAGCATCACACAATTAAAATATAATTGCACTATACTCTTCTGGACACATTATAGTTGCAATTGCCATAGGTTATTCATAATGTTTTATTATAGCTGCATCTGGTGCCATTATTGCATTTTCAACCATTACTTCTTTTCCATTCCTTAAAATTGCTTTATAAGGAACACTTGGTGATGTCAATAAAACACTTAAATTATATTCATTTTCTAATCTCTCTCTAAAAACATCCATATGTAAAACTCCAAGAAAACCACATCTATATCCATTTCCTAATGCTGCTGAACTCTCCTTCTGTATTATTACAGCTGGATCAGTCAATGCTAATTTGAATATTGATTTATTTAATTCAGCATAATCATCTGGATCTTCTGGATAAATACCACAATAAACCAATGGTTTAACTTATTCAAAACCTGCTTCAGGCAAAGTTTTAGATAGAGGATGTCTAAATGTATCTCCTATTCTTGCCTCATTTGCTGCTTTCATATTTGTTATTACATATCCTACCTAACCTGGTTCCAATTTTTCCTAAGGGACATTCTCTGGACTTTATATTCCTACCTAATTTAATACATTTTAATACTTCAAAAATATCATATTTCTTTTTGAATGCACAAGATAAGATTTAGTCTCCTTTTTTTAGATAACCTCCTTTCATTAATATTAACAATACAACTCCTTTATCTCTAGCATACCAACTGTCAATCAAAAAACATTTAAGCTCTTTATGATCTTATGGAGGAGGTATCAATGTAACAATATTATTTAATAAATCTGTAACTCCAGTTCCTTTTTTAGCAGATACTTTAAATATTTCATTTGGATTCATATCAAATTTTTCAACTAGTTATTATATTACACTATCAGTATTTGCAGATGTCATATCTATTTTATTAATTACAGGTATAATCTTTAAATTCTACTTCTTTGCCAAAATATAATTAGATAATGTTTATGCCTGAATACCTTATGTTGCATCAATCAATAATATAGCACCTTCACAAGCTCTCATTGAACGTGATACTTCATATGTAAAATCAACATGTCCAGGAGTGTCAATCAAATTATATAAATACTAAATTCATACTATTTTATATATATATTACCTCTATTCCATTAACTGTATAAAACATAGCTGCTGATTATGCTTTAACAGTGATTCCTCTCTCTTTTTCAACCTCCAATTTATCCAAATATTATTCATGTTTTCCTTTACTTATTGTTCCTGTAATTTCAAGAAATCTATCTGCTAAAGTTGATTTTCCATGATCAATATGAGCTATTATACAAAAATTCCGAATCTTATCTATGCTTATTTGATATTTAGATAAGAGATGAAAGGAAGTAATTGAATTTTTAAAAATATATTTTAACATCACAATTAAATTATACACAACTCTCAATTTTGATCCTTTTTATTTGGTTTATTCAATAATTGTGATCTTAATTCTCTTGCTAATTTCTTTCTATCATTTGTCTAATAATGATAAGATTTGATATCACTATATTTATATCATTTCAATATATTACCAAAAATCATCAAAATATAGAGAATCTATTATACAAAAAGTTGTTCCAAGAATAAAGAATACACCCCAACTTCTACTTAATAATTTAAATTTCATCTCTTTCAAACTTAAATTAATCTTTTTTAATTGCATAGCCTCATAAGTATATGCAGCCATAAATGTCATAGGTAATGTGAATATTATTTTATCCTTTAAATTACTCCAACAAATTGGTAATTCTCTATATTTTAATAATCCCCAAGCATTATTATAATTATTTAAAGTCTCTTCTAATGTAAAAATCTTTCTGCCTTATCTATCAATTGTAGGTATATCAATAGCTTTATCTGCCAATTATTAAAATTTCTCTTTTTTTTCTTCTTCTGTTAATGGATTTTCTTCTTATCTCTTTTTTATAGTATCTTACAACCAATTCAATCTACTTTATGTTAATCCTAATTAATCCAATTTTTGTTATGCATTCTAAATTTTTTAATCCAATTCTTCAGCAAATTGTCTTTCTTCTTCTGTCATAGGCTCTTCTTAAAATTCAGTATTCTTATCTTCAGAATTGTTATTCATGAAAAGTAAATGATGATAATTTTATTACAAAATTTTAATACATAAATAAAAAATTCAAAATTATTATTGTTTACATTTTAAGTATTTAGTTTTCCAATATTAAATTTCTTATATTAATACATCTTTTTCATAATCATTCTATTTCAATTTTGCTTAATATTTTAATAAAATTTATTTAGTTTTATCTATAATTGTTAATAAATTCTCTTCTATTTTTATTTTCTATTCAATTGATATTTAAGGATTCTGATGTATTTATGTTGTTGTTGAATTTGGATTTACTAATTATCCTGATGAATTGTTTGAAAAATTGCATTTGTTTTTTTATCTTTATCTAAAATCAATAAATTCACCTTCTATATATTACTTAAATGAATATGATTCTGATTTTTATTGTGTTTATCTTTTTGGCTTAAATTATTGTTAATCCTTTTCATTAAGTTTCTCAAATAGTGCAATTAAAGTACTTCTTTCAGTATTTTATTTAGGTAATTAATCAGCTTAAATTTCATCAATAGATCGAACAAAATTTCCAAATTACTTTTACATGTCAAAATTGTTATTTGATATGAATTCATTATATTTATTTATATCTCTATGTTTATTAGATTTTAGTAACTTCAAAGCATTGCACTTATTAATTTAGAGAGAATCATTATTTTCAGTTGTATGATTGCATTTTAACATAGTTCCCTTTGATTTTTATTATAGAGATGCAGATACGAAATATTATTGTTTAAGTGAGTTAGTTGGTGAGACTTTGAATATTTTATGTGATTCACTATTCTTACCCAAAATGTTGAAAAGTTTCTTCTTCATTTGATTACAATCTTATTTATTCTAAATTAAATCAAATATACTTCATATTTTAGATTGTCTTAACCTTTAGAAGATTGAGGTTGACTATGAATTTAATGAGAATTTGACATAGTATCCTTAATTGACAGTTTGGATTTTAAGTTCTAAGATTTTGAGATTGTTGCTTATTTAGAATACATAATATTTATTTTATTGTATATATTCTTATTTGATTATTTTAATATTAATTAATAAAGGTATTTGAACTTCAAAACAATCAAATAAATTTAGTATATTGATGTATACAAAATAGAGAATTATATATAAATTAAATATTCTAAAAATAATCAATTATTTAATAACTCTTTCTCTCTTTGAATTATATAGTGAATCCAAGGATTCTGTGTATAATTTTCAAATAATTCTTGTATATTATTTTCTTTTTATTATATAATTTTTCATAAGTTACTTTTTTATAAGGTTTTAAATAAGGTTAGATAATTATTTACATTATCAACACATTCATATAAGGTTTGTCTAAGATATTATTTACTTTAAATATTTAGATAATCTTTAAATTATCAATAACTTAATTATTTTGACAATAGCATCCTTTCATCAATTTATTTATAGTATTTATATTATTTACAGCTATTATTCTATTCTCTTTTGAGATATCTAAGTATGAGCGTAAATTTTTCTTTATAAGCTTAAATTGATACTCTCTGTACAATTTCAGGTTTTAGTTTACTTATCTAAAATTTGTTAAGAGCTTCTCAAAATTACTGGGTATATTTATCAAATTTAGTTTGATATATAGCAAAATCATTAGTTTTAGATAGTCCAATATTTTATTTATTTTACTTTTTATTCATTCTTTTCTTATCCTGCTTACTGATTTTTGCAAAATTATATTAAAATAATTTTCTATAACAATGTTATTGAATGATAATAGGTCTAAATATTGTTTGAAATAATTTAAATATAAGCTATTAATATTTTCTTTTTATTATGGCTTCAAAAGAAAAACATTTAGTTTATAAAGAGCCAAGTTTTTAATTCTTTGTCAAGAAAGGCTTAATTAAACAGAACAATAAAGGATAGGTTTTTCCAATATTCACATATCGTATTAATACTCAATCATCCCCTTCAAAAAATATAGAACTTTCTGTAATTCCATCAAAAATAATAAAAAGATAAAATATCCATTAACTTAATCCATCTCCTTTTGTTATTAATAATATTCCAAAAAGAAATACAATATATCAATCATATATCGATAATATAATAAAGAGAAAAGTAAAAGATAAACCAGAAATTCGAAAGAAATACTCTAATACAATTGATGAGATAAAGGGTAGATAAATTGAAACTGTAAAAGATTGTTTTCTTCCTAAACTTAATTGTCTAGATCGTTAACCTTAAAAGTTAAAATATCGTCATTCATTGCCAAAGTAAGATATATATACAGAACCTAATCCTGAACCTAATATTTCAGATAGATTGCAACCATGGGATTCAAGTTCAAAGTCATTTGCACTTTAATGAAATTGATTATTTATTTATAGGTTTAATATTAATTATTGTTAATATTTGTATAATATATTCAATATAAAAATTTTGTATTGAAAATGAGATCAAAAATATTACATAATTATTATGTTATATTTTATATCAATTATAATATTTATCATATATAAATATGCAATACATGTATGTATAACCCTATGATGCCTTTTTTTAAAAATTCTAAAAAAATGGGAAAATAACTAGGACTGATTTGATAACTATTTTGTAGGCTATGAATTACAATGAAATGTAAATAAACAATGTATTATCCAAATTTAATGATGATGAAATAAGTAAAAGTAATTAAGTATATAGATTATAATTAGTTTATGCTTTGTATTATGGTTCCAAATATTCCTACTTATAGATTCCCTACTCAACCATAGTAACCTATTCCATAAAGAATAGAGTAAGATTGGAATTAACAAAAATTTACTTAAGAATAATAATAATAAATCTATGATGAATTCAAAAGCTTTTTAAAAGGCTAAGAATATGAAAAGGTAGTGAATTTACTATGTAAGAAGTTTTAATGAATATTTTTAGAATAGTATAAAGAAATGGATTTGGTGAATGTAATAGATTCACAAAGTAAATAGATTTGTTCTTATATTGTGGTGTAATATGATAATGAAGGATTGGCATTGAAATTTTTATCGTTATTGACAGATTTTAAAGTTAATTTAAATTTTAAGGATTCATTAAAATAATCAATACTATTTTACATATGTAGAGATGGTAAACTAAAATTACTTGATTTTGTATTATCCTAAAATGCAGTTAATATAGATGATCAAGATTAATATGGATAAACACCATTATTTTATGCGGCTAGAGATAATAAAATTGATATTGTAACTAGGTATATATAAAATATTTGATATTAGACTTGTTTAAGTAGGAGCCAATGTCAATTTAGTTGACACACTATCAAATCAAACAGCATTATTTTATTCAGCTAGAGAAGGAAATGCTGAAATATGTAAAATTTTAATAGACGTAAAAACATTTATTTAATATAGAATGGTTGTAATCCAAATCATTAGGATTAACATAAAAAAACAGCTTAATTCTTTGCAAAGAGATTTTAAAGAAAAGAAGTGATAGAATTATTTAATTCATATTTTGGAAAAAGTAAAGATGATAATAAACAAAATTCTAATTATAATAATAATGATAATAGTAAAGGAGAATAACAAAAATAATAAAAGAAGAAAAATAAGGATTTACCAAAATAAGCATATAAATTAATGTTTACTGATGAATATGGTAATCTTTAAGAAGTTACTTAATCTGAATTTGCTAGATTTCAATAATAATACCCTTAAATAGCTAATTTAATAATAAATGCTGATGATTTAATAGATGACAATGTTTTGAATTCTATTAAGGATGATGAACTTTGGGAAAAAGTAGCTAAAAAAGTGTTATAAATATTATGGAAAGCAAAAGGTGCATAATTATTTCATAATCCTGTTGATTAGAAAAAGTATGGAATAAATGATTATTATGATATTGTTAAAAAACCTATGGATTTTGGAACTATTAAGGTATTATAATAATATTAAATAGCAAAAATTAAATACAAATCAATATAAAAATTGTAAAGAATTCTATAATGATATTATTTTGGTGTTTGATAATTGTGTATTATATAATGGATCAGAAAATGATATTGGTTAGATTGGTCTCGCATTAAAATAAGAGTTCTTGAATTAAGTAGAATAAACTGGTCTAAAAAAACATTTATAATGATATATTATATGAAAACATATTTATTAAAAAATTTGATTAATCAAATTTATGTTTATAACTATTATATTTATCTTTCCTTAAATTTCCAATCAAAACCAACTAAAATTAGATCAAGCTCTTTAATTGCCATTATACAAAGAAAATATTATTGATATTATAGATGAATCTGGATATATATACAAATATCACATTTCAAATAACAATAAAAAACATACTAATCAAACATAATGTTCTGCTAGACCTTAACATTTAGAAATTGAAATAGAGTCATAATTAAAAGTTACTCATAAAACAGAGTAAGATTTTGAAATTAATTTTGTGAATGGTAAATTTTATGGTTAAACAGAATTTATTTAATCAGCTGTTATAAATACTAATGGCATTATTATATTAACAAGTGATAAAAATTTAACATTTATTTCTCATAATGATATAAATCAAAATATTGCCAAGATTTAACACTTTTAAATAAATGAATCAATTGAAAATTCTTATTTAATTTAAATTGAGTCATTAAATATATTATTACTCCTATTGTAAAATAATAAAGTGTATGAATATGAAGTTCATAATAATACATATTATAATAAAACAATCTAATTTATTAGTAATTATACATAGGATTCAATTAATGTCAATTCAATTAAATTAATTAAGGTTTATTCAACTTACATTTTTATATTATATTTAGATGGAAATCTAAAAATATACAATAAAAAAATGAATGAAATTTATAAATTTGAATCAAATATAATACATTTTGAATTTGAAATAATTACTTAATAATTTAGAATATTTCTTTTGTATCAGAATTCAACATTCATAGCTTAAACTATAAATTTTGAAGATTCAATTACTGTAAATGATAATTAATAGCAAATTTTAATGACAAAACCATAAGCAGTCAATTTCAAATTGTATAATAGAGGAATATTAGTTGTTGTTAATGATGACAATAAAGGACATATCATTGTAATCAATAAAACCTATTTATATAGATAGATTATTCATTTGATTCAATTAATTTAAAAGAATTAAATATGCAATACATAAATTAAAAAGTAAAGCATATTGTAATTCATGGTTTATATGCCTTATTGATAGGAGAGAAAACATAAAGTATAATTACAGTTGGAGTTGATGCTGTTTATCTTAATCAATAAAATTATAAAGTTTAATCAAATCTGTTAGTTCCTTAAATCTTAGATATTTTAATGTTATCTAAAGTAACCAGTTCTGGAAAAACAGATTATGTATATGCATATACAAGAACAAGATTTTTAAAATTAAATCTATTAGCAGTAAGTATTTTATTTAAAATTTAAGGGGAAGTTTGAAATAATTTGTACATGCTAAAGTTAAGAGGAAGCAAAACAATCACCCTTTCATTTTGAATTGGAATATTACAATAGTGATTGTTAAGGTTGCTAAAAAAAGAAAAGCTATACATTATACTTCAATTATGCTATAATGACAAAAGAAGATGAACCATTAATATATAAGAGCATAATTATTGGAGGATTGATTGTTATAGGAATAATAGGATTGCTAATATATAAATATTTAGCACTTCTTCGATATTGGAAGGAGGCTAGAGAAAAAGTAATCCAATTAGAAACATCTAATACTCAACCTTAGATTGAATTTTCAATCAATGATTCTAAGATTGGACTTCAATTAGAAGTTGAAAATTAGAAAAAGAGTGATTAGTGATTCTATATATATATAAATATATATAAAATAAGAATTATCTAATGAAAAGGAGTATTAAGTAATAACATCAGTTGTAATTAAAATAACTGTATTGTAAATAGAAACTAAATATCTAAACAGAAGTTGATGACACTCGAAACTCAAAGCCAGTAAGCAAATTGTGTTATGTCTAGATATCTTTAAATTATTCACCATTAAATAAGGTGGAACATAGTGTATTCTCTAACAGATGGAAAATGAATAAAGGGTTATTGAATAACAAAACAAATAGATTGATGACTCAACAATAATCTGATTCAGAAACAGAATTCTCAAATCAACCAAAAATAATTTAACTATCATAAAGAAGCTAAATTAAAACAAAAAGATCAATATCAAATAAAAGAAATAATAGCATTGGAGATTACAATTAATCTCCTAATAATTAAAATAGAACATCTTTATATACAAGTCAAAAATAAAGATCGTATTCTATTCAACAATAATAATAATAATAATAATAATAATAACAATAACAAAGATAATAATAATAATCTCTATTTTAGTCTGTTGGTATTAAATAAAATTAAATAAATGATGCTAAATCATTTATTTAGTAATTTGAAATTACTATAGAGGAATGGGATAAATTTGGAAATAGATTCCCTTTTGGATTTTAAAGAGAGAAACTATTGGGAAGAGGAGGTTTTTCATTGATTTGGTTAGCTAAAGAATAGAATGGAGGTGCATTATGTGCTGTAAAATAGATTCCAAGAAAATCTAAACATGAAACTCATTTTAAAGAATTAGCATTTTGCACTTAATTTTTTAATAAAGGAGGTTAAATAAAGAGTTAATATTAGTAAAATGAAGGAATTAAAAATCTATGCAAAATGTTAGATTATGTCATTGATCCGCATGATGTATTCATAATATATGAAGTTTGTGGATATTCATTGGGTACTTAATTGTATGACTTTGAATCCCTCAATAATAGTTATAAGGTATAATAAGAATACATGGTAGTTAATTCCATAGAAATTAAGTTTGCTCTTTAAGTAGTTTCCTGTCTTTTTATTTAAATTTATAAAAAGAATCACATAAACTATAGAATTACTAGTCAAGACAGGTTGGGTCCATAGTGATATTAAAAGTGAAAACATTCTTATCTCTTATGGATAACAAGATGTTGAATTTAAAATTATAGATTATGGTTCATCTTTTAAATTTGTAGAAGTATTTGAAAAATTCTCAATGGCAACACCTGAATATATGTCTCCAGAAATGTTAACATTTATACTAAGAGAGAATTAAATGTCTTATGATAATCAATTAATTGAATCGCTTGTCAATTATGATAAATCTTGGGTTATAGATATTTGGGGATTAGGATGTGTTATTTTAGAAATTATTTCAGGATTGCCATTATGGATGAGTTATGACACATAAGTAATTAATTATAAAGGTCAGAAAGTCATGGCTTAAGGTTTATTTGCTGTTACAGGTAGAAGTTTTAGTAAAATTGTTGAAAAATAAATTAAAATACTTACTAATCTAGAATTTGTATTGAGAGAATAAAATTATTCTGGTATTTAAGTTACACCTTTATTAACTTAATTATTAAAAGGAATGTTAGCCATCAATCCAAAATAAAGATATTCACCTTAATAAATATTGAATTTACTTTAAGATATTTGATTAATATATATTATAATATTACATTATAAATTAAATAAATGAAACCTAGAAATTACTCATTCAAATAAGAAACAACACAATCTGAGTTTGCTAATCTTATGACTAAATAATAAATTCAAAATAGATTTACACATATATCAAAATAACCTTTGACTAGATCAACATCAAGAACACATTCTCTTTATGTTAAATAAACTTAAATTCAAAATATGTGTACTATATTTGAAAAATTAATAAATAAATCAAATTAAAGTAAACCTTTAAAATAGAAGTATCAGAATATTTGTTCAGATTTCGGAATTGATTTTAATATTTTATAATAATTTACAAAACTTGAAGAAAAACAAAATTACATCATTAGATGTACTGTTGATGAAATCTCAAACTAATTTGATAGTATTTAATTAATTAATTAATTAGGAATTATCTAAAAATATGATTCTACTAAAAGTAATATCTAAAATATTGATGATAAACTAGATTTATATGGATGGTTAAAGGTTAAATCATAATATAAAGCAATATTAAAAAGACTTAAATTTGCCTTAGTATAAATGATACAAAATTCTCCTAGGGTTTTTTTTGAGAAATAATGTAACAATGATAACTCAGAATTAAATAATATCAATTCATAAACTAAATTTAATCTTAAAAATTTTGATATCTAGTAACCTGATGTATTTTTTGAGTGGAATAAAGCAGTAGAAGCATAATTCATATCAATGAAGAAAAATTATATTTAAAAAGGATATGAAACGATGAAAAAGTAATTAGCAAATGGAACACAAACTAGTAAAAGAGGAATAATACTTGATAAATGTGAATAAACTGGAAATTATATAACAAAAGAAGAATTATAATATATTGCATCTACAAGTTTTTTAATAAATAAAAATGTTGACAAAGAATTTATTTAAAGAGCTATCAATTCATTATAGAATGAAGTATATTTATTAAAAAATATTGAATAGATAAAATAGTAAATTGAGTTAAATATTTCAGAATAGATTTTATAAGATTATTATACTTTAAAAGAAAATTAAATGAAGAAAAGATAACAATATTTTGAAGAGTAGAATATCATCAAGAGAAAATAAATTGGTAATTAATTATTTGATACATAGCTGATAAGACCATAAATTATAAAAAAAAATAATATTTATCCAAAGATTCTCTTTAAATGAAAGTTGTAAAATCTAAATTTGTATAATATTTAATATAAGCATAAAAAAAAAAATTTATAAAAGAAGCAATAGAAATCAAGAAATAATCAATTTTAAGAAGATTATAAAAATCAGGAAATCCTTTAGCAAACATTTATGTTTAAAAGTTTAAAGAAATAATGTAAAATGTTGTTAAAAGATATAGATAAGTAATTATTATAATGAAATAAGAAAAAAGGGAATTAAATAGTTTCATAATAAAATTTCTTTGAAAGAAATGCATAAAAATAAATGATTAAACCATTATTTATAAAAGATGGTGAAGAAATGCCATTAGAATAAGTTAAACACAAATTTCATCCTCCATCTAAATTATTGATATCAGCATAAGAAGATAAACATAATCAAATTTAGAAAGAGAAATTAATAAAGTAAAGTCAAAATTTCAGATTAGCTATAAGAAATTATAATATCTAGAAAAGTGAATTTCTATAATTTTATAGTGGAGGACCATAATCTCGAAGAAGATTTTAAAGCTAATAATTAAAATTTATGAATTAAATAGAATCAAAAGAATTACCTATTTAATAAGGTTGGGTATCAGAAGAGATAGAAATACAAGCAGCTAATAAAATTAAAATGGCAATAAAAAGATATTTGTATAAAAAGAAAGTATCCAATATACTTGGATAAAAAGCAGTATTAAAAAATAGAGATATTGAAATTAAAATATAAAAATGTTTGAAAGCTAAAAGATTTTTTGAAGAGTTATCTCATGAATTAAGTAAAAGATAGACTGAAAAATTAAAGGATCTTTCAATATTTTCTCCTCCTAAATTACCTCTGGATTAAATTCAAAAGTCCATATTTATTCCATATTCTACACCATCTTCTCCATAAACTCAAAGATTAAGTCAATAAAAAACTTTAGATATATCTTTAGCAAGTAGTAGAATTGTTAAATAAGTAAATGAATTGTAATTTATAGAGCTTACATTAAAAATAAGAACTTAAGAATGAAAGTTTAAAATAATCTTTGATTAATAAAGTTACTAAAATTAGAATTAGTGGAGAAACAAAAATAAAAAGTAGAAAGTTGATATAAGCAGCAAAAATGAAAAGTGTTACAATTGCAGAATCAGCAGGATTTATATATGTTAAGGCTGATACTGAATAATATGACTAATATGGAAATACTCCTTTATATTATAGTGCTAAATTTGGTGATATTAATATGACTAAGTTATTATTAAAAGCAGGGGCAGATGTTAATTAAAAATGTTCAAATGATAATACTCCACTTCATATGGCATTCTAATCAGGTAATAAATAAATAATAATTGATTTTCTAAATAAAGGGGGTGATTTAAATTTAATAAATAAAGATAATTGCACTCCTCTGGCATTTGGAAGTTTAGATTTACTTAAGTCATTAAATCTATAGGATTATATAGCAACTGTATAATTTCAATATGAATATATAGATAAATCCTAATCTTTAGAGAAGAACAGACAATTAATAATTGCTTCATTAAAAGATCATTCCTTAAAATTATTAGAGTGATGATGAACTACTACTTGAATTAAAAATGAGAATTTGATTATTAGTTTACTAAACTCATTGTAATTTATATTATTTAATATGATTAATCATTTAAAATTCGGAAAAGGGGCTTTTAGTATTGTATAAGACATTCAAATTTTGGTACAAATTAATCTGTCTCTTAAGTTAAATATAATATGAATTTAGATTTATAAGATAACTATTATTATCTACTAAATAATACTATAGATTTTATTATATTAAAAATATTATCATTATAAATAAGTTCCAATAGGTAGACTTAATAATCTTTTTGAAGCATTCAATTAAAGTATATACTTATATTAAATAAACTATATTATATTCAAAAACAAAAGAAGAAGCTTATTTATCAATTTAGATGTTATTGTAACAAGATAATAAAATAATTAAGGTTTTTTAATTAGAAATTTGTTCTAATATAAAATAAATCTAATTTTTTATTAATTGTTTATTATAAACATACCTTGATTATTCTTAAATTACTATCTTTATCAATCTTTAAACAATAATTATTTTATTAATTAAAATAATGGGATCACTTGTCAGTAATAATAAAATGAATTCATAAATTGAATAATTAGAGGAGGATAATTAAATTACTGTAAATAGACCTCAGACATTTTAATATTATCCAAAACTCTATTAAAAAAACTATGATGATCACATTAATGATAAAAAATTAGAAAGTAACGATATAGATGTTAAACATTCATGTTTTATATATTTTGAAACTATCTAAAATGTAGATGAACTTGATGATATAGAAGATAGCAGAGAAACACCATCTTGGAATATTCCACAAATATCAAATTATCCAGACATTACTAATAATTCAAAAACAAGAAAACTTCATAAAAAATCTTAAACTAAGAAAAAACAAGGAAAAAATATAATTTAGAGAATAAATATAGAAACACATTTTTGAAATAATTTTTTATGTACATAGTATGATTTATAAACCCTAATTTAGATTTTAATAACTAACTTCTTCTATGCTCAAAGTCTTAAATCTTTTTATATATATAAAACATATAATTATTAAGATATTTCAAATAAAGTTGTTAATCTCATTTTAATATAGACTATAAATTCTAAAAGGACTATGTTATCTAATTCATTCTTAACCTCATTTATTTTACATTCCTCTTATTATTAATCCAAAAAAACAATAAATTTAAGGATTACTTTATTTAAAATAAAAAATCTAAAGATAGATTTACAATTTACATTATATTACTTTATTATGATGGATAAAATAGTAATCATGTTTAAGTAGTTAAGCAATAAATGAATTGAATTTAAAACTAATTTTGAAAAATCTTATTATTATTTTTTAAATTTATATATATATATATATTAAAACATTAAGAATTCGAATGAAAATTATTTAGTTATATTACAATAATTATACATCATAATTTTAGTTCTTATTCACTATAAAACTCTTTATCTTCTAACTTGTAACTATTACAATGAAAATTAAGAGAATGTTTTTAACAAGTATCCTCTAATAAATTATCAACTACTTCTAATATTGAATCATCATTTTGGGATTATTAATTTTCACTTAATATATAAATTGAAGGTAAGATCTACTCTTTATTGAAAATTATATGCGCTCTTAGAGCCTTAAAAATGTTTATCCAATCATCTAATTTGAGATTTTATAGTTATTTTTACAGATTATAAGTTGTTTCTTAAGAGTCATCTATTAAATCGAATTAAGCTTTATCATTTCCGAGATATATAATACCAAATCTAGACTAATGTCTCTCTTTATCAGCTAATAGTTCCTTTAATAATCTAATCCTTTTTTTGTCATTTTTTGTTGTTAAATCAATAATGAAGGCAATATCACATTCTAATTTCCACTCTAACCATTATTACTATTTTTCAAAGAATGAAATTAGTTATTTAGTTTCATGTGGTTAATCTTACTTATTAAATTAATCTATTCTTCTTAAGAAATAAGAAATCCCATTGTTAATTAGTTTTTAGTCGTTTTCATTTATTTATGAAATATTTTTACTTTAACCATTTTACTCATTAGAATTTTAGTTTTGGAAACTGACTTATGATGTTGATTTTCGTTATGATGAACAAGTTATTCCCATTGTTATAACTCTGACAATTAATTTTAAGTTACTTAATTAATTATAATCATTCATATATTGACACTCTTTAACCAACACAAATTATATTAATTTAAATAAATTTATCAGAATCCTTTTTCATCACTTTGATTGAATTTATATTACATAAAATTTATTCATTAATCTCACTTAATTAATATTTCAATATTTTGGTTTATATTATATGAAATTTAATTTTTTTATGTTTAAATTAAAATAACATAAACATTATCTAGAATATTTTCTAATATTTAGATAATAAAACAAATTTTAATTTAATATCTTCTGTTTTAAAAATATAAAATTTAATGTGCAACTATTATTCAAAATTACAATAAATAACATTAATATATCTAAAATAAGAGTAATTAATCATTAAAATAGATAATTATTATTCAATTATATATTATGCAAATTTTTATTTATATAAATATTTATTTAACAATTTTATAATTTTTTATAAATAAAGTACAATAAATTTAGTATTTAAGATAATCTAAAATTGTTAAAATGTAAACATAAATTTTAAATTATAAAAATACTTAAAATTTCTCAAGTTTATTTGTTACCATCAGCTTTAAATAATAAATCTCTTTTCAACTTTTTATAAGATTATTTTTCAAAAAAAGTTATCTAAGTTGGTTAGATTATTAGAATCCCTTTATTATGCAAAGTAATTTTTAAATATGATTATGATAGTTTATCAAAGTTGTTATAATTTAATAATGATTATACTTTTTAATTTTGAATAATGATTTTAAAGATAAATCAAAAAGTCATATATTTAATTTAAAATTGATAACGACAGACCAAAATTAAATTAAGTCATCAGCTGAATCAAATGTGAATAAATTTGCTTATTTGGTATGTTCATTAAAAAAATTAATCATCTTATTAAGCACTTCATTTTAATTATTGGCATTCTAAGTACAGGCAATTAATTGTATTTTTTCTCTTTTAGCTTAATTTAGTTGTAATAAATTTTAAAGTTCTTATTATGGATAAGCAGCTCTCCCATCAGTGTGAAATAATATTAAATATCTATGATATATTTAAATTTACAGTTCAGAGAAATTATCTTTATTAATTATTTTAATGGCTTTCTTGATTGGATTAGAGAGGTTTGTTCCTCCACCTAAAAAATTCATTTTTACATGATTCTCTATTTTCCTTGCTCTCTAACTATTCTTCAGTACTATTTCTTCATTGTCAAAAATGATAAGACTTACTTTAGATTCACTGTTATTTTGCTAATCATCTTATTTTATTTTAGAAATAAAGTCTCTAACTCCTATTTTAATATTAGACCAATCTTCAGACATGGAGCCAGAACTATCCAGAATAAAAATATAATGAATTTTTTTTTGATTAATTTGTTCTAAAATTTTCTTGTATTTTTTTTATAATATCTAACAGATCTTTTCTCCATATTATTACCAAATTTTTATCAAATCTTATTTTAATTATTTTTTTTCATTTTTATTTTCATCTTTTTCAAAAGACCAATTTTATTTAAATTATTGAAAATTATTTCCTTTCCTTTCCTAAAAATATTCATCACACGAAAATTATTATTCCAATTCATTCATATTCACTTAAATTATATATTATTTGTATACCTATTAAAAAATGCCCATATTAACATTTGTGACTTGATTAATGTTAATACTATAAATCACATTTTCGATTACAAAATTAACAAGTAACATCACACCCTATCAATTTTTGTCGTTTTTTTAATAATGCTTCTTATTTATTGAATCGATCTAAATCAAGTTGTAATTATAAATTTTATTTTAATAATTCTATCAACTCATTAACGAAAACATCTAAAAATTAGATTTTAGTATTCTATAAATTATTTAAAGGGATTTAAACTTACACTATTTCATTTTAATAAAATATATATCTTTACTTATAATTTATTAATTTATTATCATTAAATTTATCCCCCTTAAGAAAACAAACTACAATTTCAAACAATTTTGTCTCTAAGTCTTAATCTAATTTTGTGTTCTCAAAGTATTCTTCAATATTTAGATTAGGTTACAGATATTATTATAATAATTAAGCATTTGATTTTATATTCTTAATTAATTCTTCATATTCCTGATTTAATTCTTTTTAAAGCTCATTATTCAATCTTGTTTTTAAGTCAGCTAATTTATTATCCACATATTTTTCTATTTATGATTTTTAATCACTAATATAATTAATAATAAACTCTTAATTATTATTTCTTAACTCTTAATCTAGCATAACAACTGGATTAAAATTTTCATTATCAATTTACTATAAAAAATAATCATCTTTATTTATATAGAATTATGATTCAAAATTTTATTTAATTGTATTAAATAGATCTCTTGCTGAAATTATACTTAAAACAGTTTTATTTTCTTGAAGATATGCAAAAGTCTTCTCTATCTGATTTAATTTCATTTGATTCAATTCATTTATATATTTATTTACTGATTACCATTAAGAATAACTTATAAATCTCCAAATAATTAATAAACAAAAATATATTATGCATCTCTCTCCTAATTTATTTAAAATTACTCCAAAATATGATATTTAAGTATTTAATTTGTTTTAAATTAGATTTACATTCAATTTCTAAATGATGATATTTATTTTTTACATATTAAAACATGACACTTACTCATTATTAGTTTTATTAACATCTTATTTAACATTCATCTCTTTTTCAACCAAATTATAAGCTTCCCCATATATTTTATCCCATACTTCTTCTTTCTCCATTAAACTTGTTAATTATTTACTAAATTCATTCAAAATCTATAATCTTTGATTTTTGCTCTAGTGTTCAATTTAATCAATGTAACTTCTATATTAATTATAATCGTTAACATTATATTCATAATCTAAGTTTTATGAAATGATATAAAATTTTTTATGCATTTCTTTTAAAACAGCTTTTACTTCTGAGCAAATATATTTTTCCCTCAATTCTGAAATTTTTAGATTTTTGTAATTCTTTTTTGGAAAATTATTTAAGTTACTTTATTTTTCTAATTCATCAGGTATTTATATTTATTAAAAATAATTTTTTAATTGTTCAAAATTATCATCCTAATTTTCAGAGAGCAATTCTCCAATTAATTTAATCTCAATTTTTAATTAAAAATAATCAAAAAAATATGAAAAGAAATTTACATTAATTTAATTCGACTAATTTTCAATTTAAAAGTCTCTAAAATCTTTAATAATTTAATTTTATAAATAATCTTCAAGATTTTCTTTTCTTACAAATTCAATTTACATTTAACAAATATAAAAGTTTAGAAAATTGATATAATTTGATCCTTCAAATTCTTCAATTTTTTATTTGATTGGTTTTTCATATATATTAATAAACTTTTAATCTGTTTGAACAATAGGTCTAAATTAGTTTTCTTTTAATTCTTCAAAATATAACTTAAATAATAACTTTTGTTCCTCTTTAGATTAGGAGGGTTCAGTTTTATTTATTTTATTTCTTAATAAATTTAGATATTCAAATTCTTTTGTTGATCTTAAAATAAATTCATTATATTGTCCTTTCATTATTTCATACTACAACATCTAAAACTTATCAAATTATATATCTAAAGTCTAAGAAAATTATTTTACAATATTATCCCACTTTTCTTCAAATTATTCCAAGATTTGCTATTCATCTAGTTGTTTATTTTGTGAATAGTCATATAAAGTTCTAATACTCTTTCCTAAATTTTATAAACTCTAATCTTTATCATATAAAATTTTTTGTTAAATGATAGCTTCTGTAATTATAAGTTTACATGCTAATCTTTCATTGTTAATTTATCTCTCTAACTATTCTGAATATTTTAAATAAATCTTTTTAGAAATTTTTTAGCTTTATTTAAATTCTTAAAGTTCTTAACTTATGTATTTTTAAATCTCATTTAATCTTATATTAATATCTTTCATTTTTTCATCCTCTAACTACTTAAAAAATTCTTCAGATGTTCTATTCTTTAAAGCAGCTTCATTAATTTAAGCTCTTATCAGATTTTTGAATTCGAAATCTCTACTTCTTCTTTCTAACATTTTTTAATATTCAATTTTCATTTATTTGTTTTAATAATATTATAGTAATTCTGAAAACTCCAAATAATCAGGTAATTTTTCAATATTTTTCCATGTTTCATCAACTGATAATAAAAACTAAGATAGAGTTTAAAGTTAATTAATATCATTCTAAAGTTCAAATTTTTCCATATAGTTTTTTATCATTATAATTCCATTTTAATAAGCATTTTTAGAAAAAGTTTCATTAATACTTTATTATGTCCAGTTTTGAAAATCCCAAATATTCTGAATTTAAGCAAATCCTAAAACCCAGATATGTTTTGTATCAATATCAATAATATTTGCATAATCAATTTATTAATTTTATTATTCTTGGATCTCAAAATCAAATGGGCTTGATTGATAATTTCTTTTTTCCACTCTCATAGCCAGCTATTATATTTATTCAAAAAAAGGCCCTTTCTTTTAAACATCATTATTTTAATTAAAACACCAAACAATTTATTTAACTCCTGCAATATTTTATATTAATTAGCCATATTGATATATACAAATTTCAATAAGATTATGAAATTATAAATGAATATCCCCTTTAACAGTTAGCAAGGTTATATCACTGATAGCTAGTATAAACAAAGACATTTTTTAATCAAATTCAATATCTGTTTAATTTGGACTTTAAAGACCTTCTGTGTCTAAAAGCAGAATTTGATCAAACAAACTTCCAAAAATAGATTTATCTCTCACTTTTATTAATTGAATATTAATTCCTCTTGTGCATCTACCAACACTTGTCCAAAAATGACATCCAAATATTTTATTCCATAAAGTAGATTTACCTGAACTTTAAGGTCCTAAAACACTTAATACTAAAACTTTTTGATTTTCATCTTATTTGAGTTATTATATTAATTTTTTTAAGAATTATTTATCAATAGTTTAAGAATCTCCATCTAAAAGTTCAAAAGGTTCACCTTTTCTAATAATTTAACAAAGTGCATCAATAGGATTTATAGATAATTATTTTCCTAAACATTCAAATTAAATTAATTCTCTCCAAAATATCTCTATGCCAATTTTTTTAAATTTTAACTCATTTTCAATTTGTGTTATTGAATTTGCTACATCATGTAATTATTAATTTAAATCTTAAGATTAAGTCTTAAAATAAATTTGACTATTACTAGTAAAAGATGATGATCTTTTTTGAATTAGATTTTAATTCTTTTCATTTAATTTTTATGTATTTTTCTCATTAAATTACCTTAATTTTTCAAGAAACCATAAATACTATACATGATCTGACTATAAAATTTATTGAAATAAAATTAATAATGTTGATGGAACTCTAAACTTTTTAAACATTAAAATTTCTTCAATATCCTCTCTCAACTGTTAAATTTTTGTTTATTCTTAAACTGATTATAATGAATATTCTATAATTTTTTAGTGTAAGATTTTGTTTTGATAATCACTGTGACGTAATGGAAAAGCTGATTAATTATAAAATCCATCATTTAAATCTATTACTCTTAATAATTCTACTTTTATTTATTCAAAAATTGTTTTATTTTAGATTATAATTTCAGAGTATTCTTTAGATTTTTTATTAAAATCCTATAAAATATTCAAAAACAATTATTTAGACTTCTTTAATGAATATTGATTTTCACTAATATTATTTAATAAAAATTTTGAAACACTTTCAATTTCTGTTAATTGAACTTATTTATCTATTCCTCTCTATGATAGATCAGAAACTTAAAAATAATTAATTTTTAATTATGTTAATTCTTTTTCTAATTATTCTGGTATTTTACTTTTTCTTGAATTTCTAATTAGAAGATAAATAATCATGGAATTATAAATTTGAAGAGATTTAATAGAATCAATGTTTTCTTATAATTCATTTTCTGAATCTATTTGAATAATACAGATCTAAAATAGTGGTAATATTTTTATTAATATTTCTTATGGAATATAACCATGTGTATCTGCAATCATAAACTTTCTTGTACCATTAAATTCAAAATCAAACATCACATCTATTGTGCTTTCATTAATTTAACAATTATCACCAATTTCAAATTTTTACATTTTATAGAAAATGTTATTAATCAATTCAGTTTTACCAATTTTACTTTAAATTTTACTTAAAGACAAATTAATTATATTAACACTTTTCTACATCAAATAATATATTTTATCATTTATTTCATATAAATTATCCAATCTTTAAATTTCATTAAAGAAGGAAGTTTAATAAATTAAAGGAATAGGATATTAATTAGAGCGATATTTAAGCAACAAGAATTTTAATTCTTAATTAGAATTATTATAAAAAATCTAAAATAGAGATTTGCTATTGAAATATTCAGATTTAGATTAATGATTAAATATTTCTTCATTAATGAGCTTTACTAAAAGATTTATTGATTCACCTCGTTTTAATATATCTATAAAAAAGGGAAAGAGATCAAATATTATATTATCACTCATACATTTAACCCAATTACTTATAGCTTATTTTAATTATTAATTATTTTCTTCTGGAACCTAAAAACTGAATTGCTCTATTGCGATTTTTTAATTTGTTGGAAATTATTTATGGTACTTTATATGTTTTAAACATTTAGGTGTTATTTGAAAAATTTTAAAATACTAAACACTTTCTAACCAAATTTCATATTATTGTTCATCTAATTCAAAAAAACGTTCACAAAGTTAGATAAATTTATTATCTTTTACATTTGTATTGTTTTTTTAAAAGAATATTTCTTTAATTAAATTCTAGACTTTTCCATTAAAAGTATTATATTTTAAATATAATTATATTAATAGAATCTTTTATGTCTTTTCAACATTTGATAAATTGTTTGGTAATAGCATTAAAATATTTGAAATAATCAAATATGTATTATTTAATTTAGTTTCTTTTAGTTTATTTTCTAATAAGATAGCTATTTCAAATAAATTTAGGGATTACTATTCTATTAATAAATTATTAATAATCATGAATATTTCAGAATTAAGTTAAGTAATCCAAAAAAATTTGATTAACTCCCCCTACCCTTAAATTTTGTTTAATTAACAATATTATAGCTAAGTAATATCTTTCCAAACTTAAAGTGATAATTCAGAACAATTTTAACCAATCTTTTCTTATAATTTTATTCTTTCTTATTTATATCTTTAGTATTCTTAGATATTAATTACACTGAGTTCTTTTGAAAAATAAAAGATTTTATAAACAAAATGTAGTAATATTTAATCTTAATTTGATTTAATTTATTCTTAAATAATGATTTACATTGCTTATTCTTTAGTTTCTATAGTATCCTCTGCCATAATGTTAATCTATTAAAGGTCAGAAAATCCTTGTTCTATATCATATTTAATAAGATATTTCATCCAAAAATAAAATATTATACAAAAATATAACTCCTCAATCTCTTCATTAATATTTTCAATATTTAAGAGATGAGATAATATTGATTCAACTTTCAATTATTATTGTGTGCAGTTCAACAATTAACAAAATTTCTAGACTAAAATTTCTCTGAAAGCTTAATGATCTTCAATAAGAGAGTTGATAATCAAAAAGAAATTATAATCCTTCATTTTTAATATAGTATTTTCAAATTCTTCTTTGGATATTAATTATAATTGTCTATGTTATATAATCTAAACTAGATTATCAAAAGAAATCTAATTAGCATTTTGTTTTATTTCTAAATAATATTAGAATTGATATATTTGAGGTATTAATTATGAACCTATAATCTATTCCAAAAGATAAGGTTTGTCTTGCATAATTGGGAGGAAGAAAAAAGAAATCAAAATTTTCAATAATTCAATTTATGTTATGAATATATTGCCTAATCTAAATTCATTTAGATCTAATAAATCAAAAATATTTTCTTCTAATCTGCAAACTATTTTTTCATTGTAATAAATTAAATCATGAATTTCATTATCTTTAATAAACTAAGGATTTCTTAGTTGTTAAAATATAAGTTATTTATCTTTCTCATTTCTTGCCTTCTAATATAATTATTTGTAATTTGGTTGTTCCACATAACCACTATGTTTAAGAAATTCCTCATCTTTAAATTCTTTCTACATGTATTCAATTATTATTTGCTTTTCTTCATTATCCAATTTTTCCATAATTGGTTTTAAATCCTTAAGAATAAACACTGAGCGAATATATTTTTTATTCTTAATCCTTTAAAAAATCGTTAATAGACTTTTATTAACATCACTGTTACTGATTTTAGGAAAACCTTAATTCATCCTTTAAATCAAAAATATTAAATAAATTATTCATTCAAATAAATAAATAAAGAAAGAAAAGATAAACTATAACTAACAAAAATAATGTAATATTCACAATCAGAAAATGCTTTTTAATTACTATTTTTATACCTAAATCTTAAAAAATATCATAGAATTATTGTAGAATATTAATAAATAAATTTATCAGATTAATCAATTATCAGGATTTATCAGTTTAGAACAATTAGTAAAATAATATATTAAATAATAAAATAAATTATTTTCATTTAATGTTTAGTGAAGGTAAAAATGATAAAGAATCAAAAGCTAAAGGTAATGACAATCAAATAAATCAAAAATAATAAAAAAAATAGTAGTCTTAAGAATAATAAGAATTAGAGCGATAAAAATTCAACAATAAATTTAAATTTCAATATCAAACTTTGATGTAGATAGGAATGAATGGAATAAATTTTGAATTCATGTATAACTAGAATATAAACTCAAAAATATCAGAGATTATTGGAGAGGTATCACTTGAAGGAATAAAACAATGAATATTATTATTAAAGTATAAATAATTAATTATAATTGTTTAACTTTATTATTTCAAAATAAAAAAATAATGTATTAATGTCATTAGAAATATTATAGAAAATATTTGATAATTTAATACAACAATTTTTTACCTTTATTTAATAAATATAAGAAATGATCAAAAATTAGTTTATATATCCTGAATAAGCTGTAAAATTTAAGAAGAAATTTTTAATTCAAAAGTACTCTCAAAAATAGAATTCATTCTTGCTTTCATAAATAATAATATAACACTCTTTATATATGAATTTTTTAACATATATATAAATTAAATAAATAAAGAAATGATATGCTGAGTTGCTTTTCATTTTTATCGTTTAAGAATTTCTATAAAAATAAAATTTACTTTTTAAGATTTCTATTTAAATGATTATGAGATTTTAATTGCTGAAATAGTTATGTATTTACTCTTAATTTATATTTACATGTTTCTATTTTAATTTATTTTGCTTAAGTTTTAAAATGCTTCATTATATCTACTTGTTATCTTTTATATTTAGCTTAAGAAGCCTGAAGATTAAAGAAATGGATTCATCTTACTAAATTAGCAAATAATCAATAATACTTTCTGATAATAATTTCACAAAAGCAAATGGATTTCGATATGGATTGTGGTCAAAATATAATCCCCTAACTAAAATACCTTAAGTTGGTATTGTTGGATAATTTGACAGTAATTGCTTGCTTTTGCACAATGCATCAGAGCAGAAAACTCAGTCACTTAATCTTTTATATTATGATTGTCTAGATTATGAATCAAAAACCATAAAGAAAATAATTGCATTTATTGATAATAATGATGAAGAACATTATTTTAGTAAGGAGATTGATTGCTTTGAATATGAGAATGCTTGGTATTTCTTTATGATTTTGCAATGGCCATCATAATAAAAATTTGAACTCATTTTTATGTATTAAGACTAGACTATACTCCATTCTTATTTATAAATAAAATGGCCTTTTTAAGATAATAATTTATTGCTAACCTTTGGTGGTAGTATGATAGTAGGTTAATCAAAAATTTCATCAATAGAACAAGGAACTAAAATTTCATATTTTCCAGGTAAACTAATTCTGTATGAATTTGAGCTTTCATAAATCTCAGTTTCAGAAATATATGAATAAATTTAACCAGCTTTTTTTGAATAATATTAAAATTGTATTTGTTAAGAAAATTCTAAATCAAAAATTGACGACGTTGATATCAATATGATGAAAAATTTAGTGTTTGTCTCAGAAAATATAAATTGTAATTCATTTATTTTATCTGGATGGTTGAAAATTACTGAAATAATAAAGACATAAGATGTATTAATCTATCAATTATTGGTTATAACATCAAATTTTTAAAATTCTTTAGCAGATTATAATTTATCTCCATTTTCATTATCTTATAATATTTCATCTACAAAGAATTAAATCATTCTAACTACTTACAGTTATACATTTCCATCAGTCACAATCGATTTCTCTGATAATCCATATTTAATTAAAAAAGAATTCGATATATCTATTTCAATATTCCTTTGGCATAATGTTTTTGTTTAATTGTAGGATGATTAATTGTTAATCCAAATTTAATTTTTTGAAGGTCATTAAATTTATGATTATAAATTCTAAATTAAAGTATTTTAATTTAAGCAGACTTAATTTAAACTTTAATATGGAAATAATTTATATTCAAAAACTAACTATATGAATATATAATTTAGAAATTTTAAGTTTTACAATTGTGATATTTAATTTTATCAATAGAATTGCCATTACAGCTGTGAAGATTGTGAGGGCCCAAACAAAAATAATTGTTTATCCTGTAAAAAAGGATCTCTTAGAATTTATTTAGCTCAATTTAAAGCTTGCGTTTGCCCATATCATACTATGGATGATGAAAAATGCTAATCATATCAGGATTATGATTTGAAAATAGTGGAAAATAAATAAAAGAAATCAGGTTGTAAATATGGATACTTTGAATATTCTGATAGTTGTTTCTAATGGTATTTTTTTAAAATGATATAGTCCATCAATTATTAGAGAAAATTTAGTAACTTGCTTAGAATGTATATAAAATCCTAAGGGATGGATATATAAACCTGAATGCGATGGAAATTTGTATTTAAGTTTGAATGGTGAAGTTGAATAAATTATTAAAGATTAATCGCCTATATTTTTCGTTTTTGATGGAAATGATGCAAATTATTGTAAAAGTTGCACAGAAACTTATTCTTTTGTTCCAAAGGAGTATAATATAGAAGAACCAGATATTTCTTTATTTTCATTGAAGTATTATTGTTTTGGAATTCTCAAAAATTGCTAATAATGCTTGCATACTGTTTTTGGAAATATTTGCTTAGAATGTTACTTTGGTTACACATTAATTCAAGGTGTTTGTACTTCCTTATTTTAAGATAAATTAAAATATTGCATTCCCCCATTTTATTTAACATTGAGAAGATAATGTAATTTATGCAATATTCAATTTTGCAAATATTGTTTTGAATATCTGCGGAATGATTTAACTATTTCCACATTATATAAAGATTTTGAATTTATTGACTAAGATGAAGAAATAGTAGTTGGTTGTGCTTTATGTGAAGAGAATTATATATATGATTTCGATAATGGACTATGTTTATATTAGCGACCAAATATATAAAATTGTTAAAGATCATTTATAAAAGACAATTAAGAAATTTGTACTTTATCTATGATAGATGATTTTAATCTTGCTTCTGAAATTATTAATTGCCAAAAATATTAACTTCATTGTTTACAATGCATTTTATCTCTTGAATCTACAGTTTAATGTATTGTGTGTGATTTAGGATATACAGCTTCAATGAAGAATGGAGGTTGCTATTTAACTGATCCGTCAAAAACATTAGGAGCTAAAATAGTTATCGAAAGTTCAATATCTCAAAAAGAAGGTTGGATTTAAAGAATTCAAAGTTTTATCATGAGATTTTTGCCTAATCAATATTTTTACCCTCAATCATAATTAAATACAGATATACAAGAATAGATAGTTGAATGTCTAGATGGATTTAAAATCAGGGAGGTTGTTTGCTAATAATATTGTGATTCTGATTGTTAATCATGTGCTTATGATTATTAAGAAGGTTTTATTTGTAATCAATGCCCTTTGAATTATTTTTATTAGCCAATTAGACATTAAATCAATGGTTCATGTTCTGAATGCCCTTATCTATGTTAGGCATGCTAAATTAGATCAGAAAAGGATATTTATGTAATTTTTATATTTTATTATCCAGACCTATTAACCAAATTTCAAGTTGAATAGAGATAACATTCACTATACTAAAAAATGTTTAAAGCCAGTTTCTGATCCCAATATATATATTGATCAAGATAATTAGATAGCAAGGTATTGTTTTGATGAATAGTGCACTTCAACTCTTTAATATGAATTTATTTATGATTATTGTGAATTGTTTGATACATTTTGGGAAAGATAAATTAATATAAACTACTTAAACTAAATTGGAATAGATACATTAATTATCAAATTTAATTTTACAAGTTAAATCCCATGTTATTTAGTCAATTTATGGTTAAAATCAACTCTATTAACTAAAATATTTTCACTTAATAGTGTTTAATTTATTATAACATCTAAAATAAATTTAATTTTTTCTACTTAATCACCTATATATGTTCAAAATATTGATACTTTAATTATTAGCTACCTAACACAAAAGAGAGTTGCTAACGATGATTTTATTATTCAAAATAATTAAACATAAACAGACCTGAAATTAATTAATTTTACAATTATTGATAGCAAAATTTAAAATTCTGAATCTGTATTTTAAACTGAAATATATGGTGATATATAGCTTAACAATGTTTCAATCATTAACTCAGAGTTAATGAATTCTTCATTTCTAAGCTTTAGAAAGTCAAAATTTAATGGAGTAATTAATATTGATATATTACTTATAAAAAGTTGCACTCTAACAAATTCTAAATTATTTTAATTAACCAATAATAAAATCATTTTGTAAGTTTAAAATCTTTTAATTGAAGATTGTGAATTTTCAAATTCGACAATATTTTTTATTAATGCTCCCCTTGATCAATTAAGTAACATATCTTTTAAGAGTGTAATCATTAAAAAGAGCAAATTTTAAATCTCAAATTTTGTAAATTGTTTTGGCTATGCGATTTTATAGTTGATAGACATAAAAGTATATTAAAATGATTTACAATAGTCAAGCTTAATTACTTAAAATTATAACTTATCTTTATAATATCTTTAAATATTTGATAATGATATGAAAGGATCTCAATTAATTTCGATTATTGAGGAAAATTATAATTCAAATGTTTCAATTAAAATTGATAATTTTGTTGCCTAATAAATTCAAATTAGTAACTCAAATTTATTAAAAATATAATCAAGCCAAGAGTCAAGTAATATAATTTTAGAAATTTCAAATTTAAACTTTGAAAAATTAACAAGTTTTTCTAGTTCTGAATTTATTTCTATGTTATTTATTATAAAATGCTTTCAATTTAGCTCATCAAATATTAGATTCCATAATTTAAATAATATTTTCATCTTTTATATATATGATAGTAATAAAATTGTAATTTAGAATATTACATATGAACAACAAGATTAATAATATAAAGTGCCATTAAGTTAAAATTGCAAAAGCTATATTATGATTAAAAATTAATTGCTCAAATTGGTGAACTTTTCATCTTTTAAACTTTCAAATGTATTAATTTTAAATTAATATACAGTTGATGAATCAATTTTAGATTTATCTCCTAAACAAATTTAATTAACATCATTTAATATATAAATATAAATCATAGATATCATATTCAAAGGAAATTTATAATTACACTTATAATCATCAAGATTTTTTTCACTTTTAGCTATAGTTTCAGAAAGAAATCTAGAAATTAAGATAGTTAATATTTAATTTTT